CGCTCTTTGTGCTTTTTGACTTTTTCTTTCATTTTATGTTCAGCCTAATCTCCAAGTGCACTTGCATTTGTCCAAGCAAAAGACCAGGCTCCCCAAAGACCGATATCCTAGCCTCTTGGAGAGAGAACACGGCAAAAAGATGCAAGAAAAGAAGAGAAAAGCTTACAGCACCTGGTATTCCCAGGCGGTCTCCCATCCAAGTACTAACCAGGCCCGACCCTGCTTAGCTTCCGAGATCGGACGAGATCGGGCGTGTTCAGGGTGGTATGGCCGTAAGCGATGACACAGGCTCCAAATGAGCTATTTGAACATGCGCCTGTGTGCTTCTCTCAATTAGAATCAGCATTTCACTTTCAGTGAACAATGCGGCGCTCAAGAAAACACCCGGATACGCAGTCAAGCTTAGTTTTACAGCCTATCTCTGCAGTCCATCATGCTCCACTCCTTTGCTCCACTTTAGGACAAGATCTCAGTCCTCCCGCTCTTTGTGCTTTTTGACTTTTTCTTTCATTTTATGTTCAGCCTAATCTCCAAGTGCACTTGCATTTGTCCAAGCAAAAGACCAGGCTCCCCAAAGACCGATATCCTAGCCTCTTGGAGAGAGAACACGGCAAAAAGATGCAAGAAAAGAAGAGAAAAGCTTACAGCACCTGGTATTCCCAGGCGGTCTCCCATCCAAGTACTAACCAGGCCCGGGCCTGCTTAGCTTACGAGATCGGACGAGATCGGGCGTGTTCAGGGTGGTATGGCCGTAAGCGATGACACAGGCTCCAAATGAGCTATTTGAACATGCTCCTGTGTGCTTCTCTCAATTAGAATCAGCATTTCACTTTCAGTGAACAATGCGGCGCTCAAGAAAACACCCGGATACGCAGTCAAGCTTAGTTTTACAGCCTATCTCTGCAGTCCATCATGCTCCACTCCTTTGCTCCACTTTAGGACAAGATCTCAGTCCTCCCGCTCTTTGTGCTTTTTGACTTTTTCTTTCATTTTATGTTCAGCCTAATCTCCAAGTGTACTTGCATTTGTCCAAGCAAAAGACCAGGCTCCCCAAAGACCGATATCCTAGCCTCTTGGAGAGAGAACACGGCAAAAAGATGCAAGAAAAGAAGAGAAAAGCTTACAGCACCTGGTATTCCCAGGCGGTCTCCCATCCAAGTACTAACCAGGCCCGACCCTGCTTAGCTTCCGAGATCGGACGAGATCGGGCGTGTTCAGGGTGGTATGGCCGTAAGCGATGACACAGGCTCCAAATGAGCTATTTGAACATGCTCCTGTGTGCTTCTCTCAATTAGAATCAGCATTTCACTTTCAGTGAACAATGCGGCGCTCAAGAAAACACCCGGATACGCAGTCAAGCTTAGTTTTACAGCCTATCTCTGCAGTCCATCATGCTCCACTCCTTTGCTCCACTTTAGGACAAGATCTCAGTCCTCCCGCTCTTTGTGCTTTTTGACTTTTTCTTTCATTTTATGTTCAGCCTAATCTCCAAGTGCACTTGCATTTGTCCAAGCAAAAGACCAGGCTCCCCAAAGACCGATATCCTAGCCTCTTGGAGAGAGAACACGGCAAAAAGATGCAAGAAAAGAAGAGAAAAGCTTACAGCACCTGGTATTCCCAGGCGGTCTCCCATCCAAGTACTAACCAGGCCCGACCCTGCTTAGCTTCCGAGATCGGACGAGATCGGGCGTGTTCAGGGTGGTATGGCCGTAAGCGATGACACAGGCTCCAAATGAGCTATTTGAACATGCTCCTGTGTGCTTCTCTCAATTAGAATCAGCATTTCACTTTCAGTGAACAATGCGGCGCTCAAGAAAACACCCGGATACGCAGTCAAGCTTAGTTTTACAGCCTATCTCTGCAGTCCATCATGCTCCACTCCTTTGCTCCACTTTAGGACAAGATCTCAGTCCTCCCGCTCTTTGTGCTTTTTGACTTTTTCTTTCATTTTATGTTCAGCCTAATCTCCAAGTGCACTTGCATTTGTCCAAGCAAAAGACCAGGCTCCCCAAAGACCGATATCCTAGCCTCTTGGAGAGAGAACACGGCAAAAAGATGCAAGAAAAGAAGAGAAAAGCTTACAGCACCTGGTATTCCCAGGCGGTCTCCCATCCAAGTACTAACCAGGCCCGACCCTGCTTAGCTTCCGAGATCGGACGAGATCGGGCGTGTTCAGGGTGGTATGGCCGTAAGCGATGACACAGGCTCCAAATGAGCTATTTGAACATGCTCCTGTGTGCTTCTCTCAATTAGAATCAGCATTTCACTTTCAGTGAACAATGCGGCGCTCAAGAAAACACCCGGATACGCAGTCAAGCTTAGTTTTACAGCCTATCTCTGCAGTCCATCATGCTCCACTCCTTTGCTCCACTTTAGGACAAGATCTCAGTCCTCCCGCTCTTTGTGCTTTTTGACTTTTTCTTTCATTTTATGTTCAGCCTAATCTCCAAGTGCACTTGCATTTGTCCAAGCAAAAGACCAGGCTCCCCAAAGGCCGATATCCTAGCCTCTTGGAGAGAGAACACGGCAAAAAGATGCAAGAAAAGAAGAGAAAAGCTTACAGCACCTGGTATTCCCAGGCGGTCTCCCATCCAAGTACTAACCAGGCCCGACCCTGCTTAGCTTCCGAGATCGGACGAGATCGGGCGTGTTCAGGGTGGTATGGCCGTAAGCGATGACACAGGCTCCAAATGAGCTATTTGAACATGCTCCTGTGTGCTTCTCTCAATTAGAATCAGCATTTCACTTTCAGTGAACAATGCGGCGCTCAAGAAAACACCCGGATACGCAGTCAAGCTTAGTTTTACAGCCTATCTCTGCAGTCCATCATGCTCCACTCCTTTGCTCCACTTTAGGACAAGATCTCAGTCCTCCCGCTCTTTGTGCTTTTTGACTTTTTCTTTCATTTTATGTTCAGCCTAATCTCCAAGTGCACTTGCATTTGTCCAAGCAAAAGACCAGGCTCCCCAAAGACCGATATCCTAGCCTCTTGGAGAGAGAACACGGCAAAAAGATGCAAGAAAAGAAGAGAAAAGCTTACAGCACCTGGTATTCCCAGGCGGTCTCCCATCCAAGTACTAACCAGGCACGACCCTGCTTAGCTTCCGAGATCGGACGAGATCGGGCGTGTTCAGGGTGGTATGGCCGTAAGCGATGACACAGGCTCCAAATGAGCTATTTGAACATGCTCCTGTGTGCTTCTCTCAATTAGAATCAGCATTTCACTTTCAGTGAACAATGCGGCGCTCAAGAAAACACCCGGATACGCAGTCAAGCTTAGTTTTACAGCCTATCTCTGCAGTCCATCATGCTCCACTCCTTTGCTCCACTTTAGGACAAGATCTCAGTCCTCCCGCTCTTTGTGCTTTTTGACTTTTTCTTTCATTTTATGTTCAGCCTAATCTCCAAGTGCACTTGCATTTGTCCAAGCAAAAGACCAGGCTCCCCAAAGACCGATATCCTAGCCTCTTGGAGAGAGAACACGGCAAAAAGATGCAAGAAAAGAAGAGAAAAGCTTACAGCACCTGGTATTCCCAGGCGGTCTCCCATCCAAGTACTAACCAGGCCCGACCCTGCTTAGCTTCCGAGATCGGACGAGATCGGGCGTGTTCAGGGTGGTATGGCCGTAAGCGACGACACAGGCTCCAAATGAGCTATTTGAACATGCTCCTGTGTGCTTCTCTCAATTAGAATCAGCATTTCACTTTCAGTGAACAATGCGGCGCTCAAGAAAACACCCGGATACGCAGTCAAGCTTAGTTTTACAGCCTATCTCTGCAGTCTCTCATGCTCCACTCCTTTGCTCCACTTTAGGACAAGATCTCAGTCCTCCCGCTCTTTGTGCTTTTTGACTTTTTCTTTCATTTTATGTTCAGCCTAATCTCCAAGTGCACTTGCATTTGTCCAAGCAAAAGACCAGGCTCCCCAAAGACCGATATCCTAGCCTCTTGGAGAGAGAACACGGCAAAAAGATGCAAGAAAAGAAGAGAAAAGCTTACAGCACCTGGTATTCCCAGGCGGTCTCCCATCCAAGTACTAACCAGGCCCGACCCTGCTTAGCTTCCGAGATCGGACGAGATCGGGCGTGTTCAGGGTGGTATGGCCGTAAGCGATGACACAGGCTCCAAATGAGCTATTTGAACATGCTCCTGTGTGCTTCTCTCAATTAGAATCAGCATTTCACTTTCAGTGAACAATGCGGCGCTCAAGAAAACACCCGGATACGCAGTCAAGCTTAGTTTTACAGCCTATCTCTGCAGTCTCTCATGCTCCACTCCTTTGCTCCACTTTAGGACAAGATCTCAGTCCTCCCGCTCTTTGTGCTTTTTGACTTTTTCTTTCATTTTATGTTCAGCCTAATCTCCAAGTGCACTTGCATTTGTCCAAGCAAAAGACCATGCTCCCCAAAGACCGATATCCTAGCCTCTTGGAGAGAGAACACGGCAAAAAGATGCAAGAAAAGAAGAGAAAAGCTTACAGCACCTGGTATTCCCAGGCGGTCTCCCATCCAAGTACTAACCAGGCCCGACCCTGCTTAGCTTCCGAGATCGGACGAGATCGGGCGTGTTCAGGGTGGTATGGCCGTAAGCGATGACACAGGCTCCAAATGAGCTATTTGAACATGCTCCTGTGTGCTTCTCTCAATTAGAATCAGCATTTCACTTTCAGTGAACAATGCGGCGCTCAAGAAAACACCCGGATACGCAGTCAAGCTTAGTTTTACAGCCTATCTCTGCAGTCCATCATGCTCCACTCCTTTGCTCCACTTTAGGACAAGATCTCAGTCCTCCCGCTCTTTGTGCTTTTTGACTTTTTCTTTCATTTTATGTTCAGCCTAATCTCCAAGTGCACTTGCATTTGTCCAAGCAAAAGACCATGCTCCCCAAAGACCGATATCCTAGCCTCTTGGAGAGAGAACACGGCAAAAAGATGCAAGAAAAGAAGAGAAAAGCTTACAGCACCTGGTATTCCCAGGCGGTCTCCCATCCAAGTACTAACCAGGCCCGACCCTGCTTAGCTTCCGAGATCGGACGAGATCGGGCGTGTTCAGGGTGGTATGGCCGTAAGCGATGACACAGGCTCCAAATGAGCTATTTGAACATGCTCCTGTGTGCTTCTCTCAATTAGAATCAGCATTTCACTTTCAGTGAACAATGCGGCGCTCAAGAAAACACCCGGATACGCAGTCAAGCTTAGTTTTACAGCCTATCTCTGCAGTCCATCATGCTCCACTCCTTTGCTCCACTTTAGGACAAGATCTCAGTCCTCCCGCTCTTTGTGCTTTTTGACTTTTTCTTTCATTTTATGTTCAGCCTAATCTCCAAGTGCACTTGCATTTGTCCAAGCAAAAGACCAGGCTCCCCAAAGACCGATATCCTAGCCTCTTGGAGAGAGAACACGGCAAAAAGATGCAAGAAAAGAAGAGAAAAGCTTACAGCACCTGGTATTCCCAGGCGGTCTCCCATCCAAGTACTAACCAGGCACGACCCTGCTTAGCTTCCGAGATCGGACGAGATCGGGCGTGTTCAGGGTGGTATGGCCGTAAGCGATGACACAGGCTCCAAATGAGCTATTTGAACATGCTCCTGTGTGCTTCTCTCAATTAGAATCAGCATTTCACTTTCAGTGAACAATGCGGCGCTCAAGAAAACACCCGGATACGCAGTCAAGCTTAGTTTTACAGCCTATCTCTGCAGTCCATCATGCTCCACTCCTTTGCTCCACTTTAGGACAAGATCTCAGTCCTCCCGCTCTTTGTGCTTTTTGACTTTTTCTTTCATTTTATGTTCAGCCTAATCTCCAAGTGCACTTGCATTTGTCCAAGCAAAAGACCAGGCTCCCCAAAGACCGATATCCTAGCCTCTTGGAGAGAGAACACGGCAAAAAGATGCAAGAAAAGAAGAGAAAAGCTTACAGCACCTGGTATTCCCAGGCGGTCTCCCATCCAAGTACTAACCAGGCCCGACCCTGCTTAGCTTCCGAGATCGGACGAGATCGGGCGTGTTCAGGGTGGTATGGCCGTAAGCGATGACACAGGCTCCAAATGAGCTATTTGAACATGCTCCTGTGTGCTTCTCTCAATTAGAATCAGCATTTCACTTTCAGTGAACAATGCGGCGCTCAAGAAAACACCCGGATACGCAGTCAAGCTTAGTTTTACAGCCTATCTCTGCAGTCCATCATGCTCCACTCCTTTGCTCCACTTTAGGACAAGATCTCAGTCCTCCCGCTCTTTGTGCTTTTTGACTTTTTCTTTCATTTTATGTTCAGCCTAATCTCCAAGTGCACTTGCATTTGTCCAAGCAAAAGACCAGGCTCCCCAAAGACCGATATCCTAGCCTCTTGGAGAGAGAACACGGCAAAAAGATGCAAGAAAAGAAGAGAAAAGCTTACAGCACCTGGTATTCCCAGGCGGTCTCCCATCCAAGTACTAACCAGGCCCGACCCTGCTTAGCTTCCGAGATCGGACGAGATCGGGCGTGTTTTTTTTTTTTTTTATCTTTTATTATCAAAAATATATTCACAAAATTCCATCTTTACAAATCACAGTCACAGTCCACAATAAAAAAAAAATAAACAACAGAATAGAAAAAACCTTTGGAAAAAAAAACAACATAAATTATATGAACCCAAACAATCTGCAAATTAAAATAAAAGAGCTTCATAAATTAAGTGTGATATTGTTTTGATGTACTGTAAAAAGAGTGTGTCCAGTGTTCAAAAGCTGATTGAAAGTGTCCGGGATGGCGAAGAAGCAGTTTTTCAGATGGTTCAGAAATAGGGTTTTGAAAAAAGGAAGCAGTGACAGAGTCCGGTTTTCGTATAAAGCATAGTTCCTGACAGTCCAGACTGAAAATCTTGTGTAGCTGAGGATGGTGTTGATGATGTGAGTATGCTGATGTGCAGAATTCTTTTTTAGTCCGAATAAAAAAAGCAAAGTCCATTCCGTGTCACTTCCACAGTGGAAATTGCAGGCGCTCTGTATTGTCCGCCGTATTGTGGAGTAGAAGGCTCTTACAAGACTACAATCCAAGAAGAGGTGCTCCAAATCTTCATCCTGTTCATTGCATTTTTTACATTTTCTTTCGTATTTTCCCTTGTTGATTTGATGCAGAACGATGCCTGTGAAAATCCTCCTGTGCTTAATTTTGAAATCTAGATGTTGTAGCGTTGGGGGAGTGAAGAGACCTCCCCCACTGGTCCATATTGATTTGGTGTTAAAACCCGGAAAGATTTGAGCCCAGATCTTTTCGGTAGTTGGAGTTCTTTTGATTTCGGCTATGAGGAGTTTGTACCATGCTTTTGTTTTAATCTCTTGCACTGGGACCGGGTTATTGTTTTGGCACAGGAGGAAATTCAAGTCATCGTTCTGCATCGAGATGTCTTTTGTCTGCATTATTCTTTCCCAAAACAGAATTACTGTATTTTTTATTTTTTCCGTAATTGACCTTATGCTGCATTTTCTGAAATTAATATTTTTGTTTTTTAGCACACCAAAAATAAAATCAAGTTTGACGCTAAAGTCATCATTCCATTATATCTCTGATCCACAACAGACCAGCCTCCATCAGGTGTGAACTCGTTATTGTTTTCCCCTTATGCAAAAAACAAGGGTTTTTAAGGAAGGGTAATCGAAACACATCCTCTTTATTCCTGCATATCGGCATGAGGTGGGGCAGCAATTTGCCCCATGCCTCAACAATCTCCCGGTAGAACGGCTTAAGCTCACCAACTACCTTCTCCGGGTGAAGTATACACAGATTGCGTACGTCCCTCAGCCCGAAGTTGGACAATTGGCTTGCCAGCGCGTCCTCCCAGGGATAGTGCCTGTTTGGATCTAGAAATTTACTAATTAATTTTGCCCTGAGCGCATCTTTTTTGGCTCCAATATCAATCTGCCCTAAACCCCCCTCCCTTTTGTTAGCAATTAGCACTCTGTGAGCGATCAGATTTCCCTTTCCTCTCCACAAAAAGGAGGATATTACACTATTGAGTGAATTTAGCGCCCAATGCGGCAACTCACAGACCCCCATTATATGGTTGATTTTGGACAGTACTAGTGCATTTGTTACAATTACCCTTCCTTTTAGTGTTAAACCTCTGGCTTTCCAGAGATTGAGAATATTTTTTGTTTTGGTAATCACTATTTCCCAGTTGGTTCTTGTTGCTTCATTTTCGTTTTTCCCAACATAAACACCCAGGATTCTTTTTGGTTTGTTTACTTCTGCAAAGTTCCATTTATTTACGCTGTCAACATTTGATCCACAAAACATAATCTCGCTCTTTTCCAGGTTCATTTTCGCTCCAGCTACCTTCTCGTAATCATGAATGTGTTTCAAAACCTTATCGATACTATGGCTGTCTAAAACCATGATGTTTATGTCGTCTGCATACTGGGTTATTTTTGTTGTTCTGTTGTAACCTGTTGGTATTCCTTTAATGTCTTTGTCCTGTAGGATATGAAGAGCTAAGGGTTCTGCTACTATTGAATAGAGTAGTGCTGATAGTGGGCAACCTTGTCTAACTGATCTGTTTATTGTGAAAAATTCTGTGAGGAAACCATTGACCTTAATACAGCTTTTTGCATTATTGTAAAGAAGTTTTATCCAGTTGATGAATTTTGAACCGAAACCAAAAGCCTGTAGAATATTGAAAAGAAAAGTGTGATCAACTCTGTCAAACGCTTTTTCAAGATCTATACTGAGCAGAAACCCTTTGTCTTTTCTGCATGTTATGTATTGTTTCTTTTATGGTCAATATGGAATCACTGATGTCTCTTCCTGGTATGCTGTAAGATTGTGTACTATTTATGATGGAACCCGAAACCTGTTTTAGTCTATTTGCTAGAATTTTTGTTAGGATTTTGTAATCAGTATTCAGTAGACTGATGGGGCGGTAATTTTTGATAAGTTTATTGTCACCTTTTTTGAAAATTAGCGAGATTATTCCTTCGGTTAGCGTTGCAGGCACTCTTTTGTTATCCAACATATCTCTGTAAAGTTTATTCAGGAGCGGTGTAAGCTCCTCTTGGAACTTCACATAGAACTCTGCAGTCAGTCCATCTGAACCTGGACTTTTATTTTTGTTTAGCGCCTGTATGGCGTTTTTTATTTCTTCTTCAGTAATTTCTGAATCACACCAGTCTTTATCTTGTCTTTCAAGTTTTTTATTTATACATTTTATATATTCCGGTATTTCTTTTTCTTTTAAGTCCTTCTGTTTGGAGAAAAGCTGTTTGTAAAATTGATATGTATGGTCTAAGATTTCATCAGTTTCAAACAGCGTTTGTCCTTTATTGTCTGTTAGTTGATTGATGTATGATTTGTTCTGTTTCTTTTTTTCCAAGCCGAGAAAAAAAGAAGTGCATTTTTCACCTTCTGTTGTATATTTCACTTTGCTTCTAATGATTGCCCCTTTGCACTTCTTTATTTCTATGTTTCTTAATTGTTCTTTGTAAATTTCATATTGCTCACATGATCTGTGTATGTCAGTGTTTAGCAGTATAGTTTCATCTGCTAAAAATTTTTTTAATTTTATTTCTTCTCTGGTTTCAAACCATTTTTTCCTCTTGCTGTAGTTTATGCAGGTTTTTTTTATTCTGTTTTTTATGTCATCCCATGAATCGGTTATGTTCTCTTTTTCAACTGTTTCAGCTTTGATGTTTTCCAATAAATTTTTTATTTTATATATTAAAGCTTTGTCATTTAGGATGCTGGAGTTTAGACACCATGTGCCAGCTCCTCTAGTTTTATTATCTATGCCTTGTTCCCATTGTAAAATATCGTGATCACTCCATACATTAGGTTTATACTGTATATTGTTAATTTCTTGAATAGTGTTTTTTGCAGCTAGTAAAAGATCAATCCTTGATTGTTTTAGTTTTCCTAGTACTGTCTGTTTTCTGGAGAAGTGGGTGCTATTTGTATTGTTAATTCTCCATAAATCCACCAGGTTGTGCTCTTGCATTATTTTTCAGTAATTGTGTTCTGCTTGTGTCATTTCTGAATTTATTGTTTGATGATAAGTCTATTTTGTTCAGCACTATGTTGAAATCCCCTACTATTATTGTATTATCATTTATCCATTTTACTATTTCTTTGAGTTGAAATAATCTCTCCCTTTCGTTGTTTTCACCATGAAAGTTTATAATTCTATATGTTTTATTTCTATACAAGATATCTATAATTAAAATTTTACCTCTTTTGTCTTTATAAATCTCTTTACTATGTTCTAGTAAGTTATTATTTATCATAACAGCTACCCCCCCTGCTTTCCCCACCCCAAACCCCACAAAGATCTTCCCACAGTAAAGTTTTTGTATTTGAAGAAGGGTTTGAGGTGACCAGCCGGTTTCCTGTAGACAAATAATGTCTTGTTGAGTTGAGTTGAAAAAAGAGACCATTTTATGTGAGGAGCAGAGACCATTAATGTTTAGGGAGATAGCTGTGAACATTATAAGAAAGGAGAAGAGTGGTCTATAAATCATTCCTATTAATCTGAGAAGTCGAAATTTGGACTCAATCTAGGTCAATCAATTTTCCTTCTCCATGTTTTTTCCTGTCCTTCTTTTTCTTCCTAATTTCCACCACTTTACCATCTAAATCCGATTCCGATTCTGTCAGAGATGATGTGGGCTTCAGCTTTTCACACGGGCCGAGGTTTTCCCTTCCCGGCCCCACCGGCTGCGCTCTGCTGCCTGTCTTTGCCGCTTTTTTTCGCGGTGGCAGAAACTCAATTCCCTCTGCAAGGGCTGAAGGGGCTTCGGGGGTCTCCGGCGTAGCACGCGCTCTCAGAGCCCCGTCCGTCTCCCTCCCTCGCACATTTTTCTGTGCGGCTCTTGAGCTTGGACTCGGCTCGAAACCCTCACTTTGGGACCCACGAGCCTGGAGTTCCTCCTCCATGTCCACAGAGCTTTCAGCCACAATTACGCACGTCTCATCTGCCCCGTTTCCCTCACTTTCGACGCCACTCATGTGATCATCGTTAGTGGGAGAGCACTGTTGTTGTTCCCCACCCTCACTCTCAGAATTTCTGCAAATGCATCTCCCCATTTCATTAAAACAAATTGTGCACTTGACTGGTGCGTTTGCACACTCCCGTGCGTAATGGCCCTGCTCCCCACATTTATGACATATAAACTCTGGGCATTCTCTGAAAATATGGCCCGGTTGTATGCATAATCTGCATACTTTCACCTGTCTGTCATGTATGACCCTAAAAAATTCAGCACCTGTTGCAGTATTAAATTTTGCCGAGTAAGGCAGTGACTGGATGTCTTTTGTGAATTTTACCTTACAGTATCTTGTACCGTCGGCGATGTTTGTGCCGGGCCACATTCTCCTTTTTATCGGGGATACAGCTGAAACTCCCCACATTTGTAGTTTGTTCTGAATGTCCGAGTCCGGGATGTAAGCAGGCAGGTTCAAAAAAGAGACCACCAGCTCGTCATTTGAAAGCTCCCTCGCCCACACATTCACAGCTCCAATCTTTAGACCCTCCATCAGTCTCTCTTTTCCTTTCCCATGGTTCATCGTGACTTCGTATTTCCTCTCCCCGACATATCTGCATGCCACCACCGCTCCACACGCCAGCCTCACCGCCCTCAGAAGTTCCGTCACCGTCACTTTCTCTTGTCCCTCCAGCTCCAGCATCACTGTCAACTCCTTTCTATAATTCAATTGTAGATCGTCATTCTTCTTTTCTTTCTCCATATTCCTTTTTCCATCTCTTAAACTGTCCGTAGTCGAAACCGTGGGAATTTCTCTGCCGTTTTCCGTGTCTTTTACCATGTTGTCCATCTTGTGAGTCAGCGTTTGTGTGCCGCAGCACACTGAACGCCACGTCACCCAACAAAAAGAGGATCAAAAACTCCTCACCCCCAGGCAGTAGAAAACCCCTGCCAGGGGTACAAAACAAAAAAAGATACAAAATACCTACCACTATCTACGATCAAATATCTAACTTACCTAAAAAAAACTTTTTTCACTTCTTTCCTCACAATCTCTCTGACTCAAAACTACCGTGTGCATGCACCAAAAAAATGGGCGTGTTCAGGGTGGTATGGCCGTAAGCGACGACACAGGCTCCAAATGAGCTATTTGAACATGCTCCTGTGTGCTTCTCTCAATTAGAATCAGCATTTCACTTTCAGTGAACAATGCGGCGCTCAAGAAAACACCCGGATACGCAGTCAAGCTTAGTTTTACAGCCTATCTCTGCAGTCTCTCATGCTCCACTCCTTTGCTCCACTTTAGGACAAGATCTCAGTCCTCCCGCTCTTTGTGCTTTTTGACTTTTTCTTTCATTTTATGTTCAGCCTAATCTCCAAGTGTACTTGCATTTGTCCAAGCAAAAGACCAGGCTCCCCAAAGACCGATATCCTAGCCTCTTGGAGAGAGAACACGGCAAAAAGATGCAAGAAAAGAAGAGAAAAGCTTACAGCACCTGGTATTCCCAGGCGGTCTCCCATCCAAGTACTAACCAGGCCCGACCCTGCTTAGCTTCCAAGATCGGACGAGATCGGGCGTGTTCAGGGTGGTATGGCCGTAAGCGATGACACTGGCTCCAAATGAGCTATTTGAACATGCTCCTGTGTGCTTCTCTCAATTAGAATCAGCATTTCACTTTCAGTGAACAATGCGGCGCTCAAGAAAACACCCGGATACGCAGTCAAGCTTAGTTTTACAGCCTATCTCTGCAGTCCATCATGCTCCACTCCTTTGCTCCACTTTAGGACAAGATCTCAGTCCTCCCGCTCTTTGTGCTTTTTGACTTTTTCTTTCATTTTATGTTCAGCCTAATCTCCAAGTGTACTTGCATTTGTCCAAGCAAAAGACCAGGCTCCCCAAAGACCGATATCCTAGCCTCTTGGAGAGAGAACACGGCAAAAAGATGCAAGAAAAGAAGAGAAAAGCTTACAGCACCTGGTATTCCCAGGCGGTCTCCCATCCAAGTACTAACCAGGCCCGACCCTGCTTAGCTTCCAAGATCGGACGAGATCGGGCGTGTTCAGGGTGGTATGGCCGTAAGCGATGACACTGGCTCCAAATGAGCTATTTGAACATGCTCCTGTGTGCTTCTCTCAATTAGAATCAGCATTTCACTTTCAGTGAACAATGCGGCGCTCAAGAAAACACCCGGATACGCAGTCAAGCTTAGTTTTACAGCCTATCTCTGCAGTCCATCATGCTCCACTCCTTTGCTCCACTTTAGGACAAGATCTCAGTCCTCCCGCTCTTTGTGCTTTTTGACTTTTTCTTTCATTTTATGTTCAGCCTAATCTCCAAGTGCACTTGCATTTGTCCAAGCAAAAGACCAGGCTCCCCAAAGACCGATATCCTAGCCTCTTGGAGAGAGAACATGGCAAAAAGATGCAAGAAAAGAAGAGAAAAGCTTACAGCACCTGGTATTCCCAGGCGGTCTCCCATCCAAGTACTAACCAGGCCCGACCCTGCTTAGCTTCCGAGATCGGACGAGATCGGGCGTGTTCAGGGTGGTATGGCCGTAAGCGATGACACAGGCTCCAAATGAGCTATTTGAACATGCTTCTGTGAGCTTCTCTCAATTAGAATCAGCATTTCACTTTCAGTGAACAATGCGGCGCTCAAGAAAACACCCGGATACGCAGTCAAGCTTAGTTTTACAGCCTATCTCTGCAGTCCATCATGCTCCACTCCTTTGCTCCACTTTAGGACAAGATCTCAGTCCTCCCGCTCTTTGTGCTTTTTGACTTTTTCTTTCATTTTATGTTCAGCCTAATCTCCACAAGTGTACTTGCATTTGTCCAAGCAAAAGACCAGGCTCCCCAAAGACCGATATCCTAGCCTCTTGGAGAGAGAACACGGCAAAAAGATGCAAGAAAAGAAGAGAAAAGCTTACAGCACCTGGTATTCCCAGGCGGTCTCCCATCCAAGTACTAACCAGGCCCGACCCTGCTTAGCTTCCGAGATCGGACGAGATCGGGCGTGTTCAGGGTGGTATGGCCGTAAGCGATGACACAGGCTCCAAATGAGCTATTTGAACATGCTTCTGTGAGCTTCTCTCAATTAGAATCAGCATTTCACTTTCAGTGAACAATGCGGCGCTCAAGAAAACACCCGGATACGCAGTCAAGCTTAGTTTTACAGCCTATCTCTGCAGTCCATCATGCTCCACTCCTTTGCTCCACTTTAGGACAAGATCTCAGTCCTCCCGCTCTTTGTGCTTTTTGACTTTTTCTTTCATTTTATGTTCAGCCTAATCTCCACAAGTGTACTTGCATTTGTCCAAGCAAAAGACCAGGCTCCCCAAAGACCGATATCCTAGCCTCTTGGAGAGAGAACACGGCAAAAAGATGCAAGAAAAGAAGAGAAAAGCTTACAGCACCTGGTATTCCCAGGCGGTCTCCCATCCAAGTACTAACCAGGCCCGACCCTGCTTAGCTTCCGAGATCGGACGAGATCGGGCGTGTTCAGGGTGGTATGGCCGTAAGCGATGACACAGGCTCCAAATGAGCTATTTGAACATGCTCCTGTGTGCTTCTCTCAAATAGAATCAGCATTTCACTTTCAGTGAACAATGCGGCGCTCAAGAAAACACCCGGATACGCAGTCAAGCTTAGTTTTACAGCCTATCTCTGCAGTCCATCATGCTCCACTCCTTTGCTCCACTTTAGGACAAGATCTCAGTCCTCCCGCTCTTTGTGCTTTTTGACTTTTTCTTTCATTTTATGTTCAGCCTAATCTCCACAAGTGTACTTGCATTTGTCCAAGCAAAAGACCAGGCTCCCCAAAGACCGATATCCTAGCCTCTTGGAGAGAGAACACGGCAAAAAGATGCAAGAAAAGAAGAGAAAAGCTTACAGCACCTGGTATTCCCAGGCGGTCTCCAATCCAAGTACTAACCAGGCCCGACCCTGCTTAGCTTCCGAGATCGGACGAGATCGGGCGTGTTCAGGGTGGTATGGCCGTAAGCAATGACACAGGCTCCAAATGAGCTATTTGAACATGCTCCTGTGTGCTTCTCTCAATTAGAATCAGCATTTCACTTTCAGTGAACAATGCGGCGCTCAAGAAAACACCCGGATACGCAGTCAAGCTTAGTTTTACAGCCTATCTCTGCAGTCTCTCATGCTCCACTCCTTTGCTCCACTTTAGGACAAGATCTCAGTCCTCCCGCTCTTTGTGCTTTTTGACTTTTTCTTTCATTTTATGTTCAGCCTAATCTCCAAGTGCACTTGCATTTGTCCAAGCAAAAGACCAGGCTCCCCAAAGACCGATATCCTAGCCTAGAGGTCGTATCGCCGAGCTCGCAGGACGCCAAGTCGCGTCGCCCCCAAAGTTAGAATATTTGAACTTTGGGAGCGACCAACGGTAACTCCGTGCCGCGACAGCCAATCAGGGCTCTGCTGACGTCAACAAACCGGCGAAGCAAGGAGGAGAAGAAGATTTATACAATGCAGGAGCAGCTAATCACAGCCGTTAGCTACCACCCAGTGCTATACGACGTGGGGTGCGGGCTCTACCGGGACTGCACCTCCAAGGAAGAAGCATGGGTGAAGGTGGCCCGTGATGTCGGGCTTTCTGGTAAGCTTGTTTGTTTATTTATTTCAGTGAGCAAACTGTTTTATGAAAACATAGCTAACTGCCCCTGCTTGCTAGGCTACATGTTTCAACGTATGTGTGTGTGTCTTTGCAGTGGATGTGTGCCGCAAGCGCTGGAAGGGGCTTAGGGACGTTTATATGAGGGACAGACAGATAGACAGGTGCTCCGAAGCTGAGATGGAGCGCCTGTAGTTCATGTCCTGGCGGGAGATGCTGCTTCCCACCCGAGCGAGGAGGTCCTCGAACTGCGCCGTCGACACACGGAAATACCGCTGGAAGCGGCCGTCGTCCAGGCGGAGTTCCTGGAGCAAGCGGTGAAATTCACCCAGCTCCATCCTCCTCTGGATGATTTCATGCACCCATAAACGCTGCGGATGTACAGATATGCGGCAGCACAGAGGACGATGAACTGAAAACTGAGCTAGTGACGTTCTCATGAATGACGTCACCGGCGACCAGCCGCGACCTGCGACTGCAGCTTTGGACCTGCTGTGAACACACCAGAGGCCTGTACTACGAAGCTGGATTAACAAATCCAGGATAACTCTGCGACAACTCGCTCAACTTCACCGGATCTCCGCGATCCCGATCAGCTGTACTACGAAGCAGGATATCAACTCGATAACTGAATCCAGTTCAGATCTGTGCGCGCACACGTAAAGGGGGTCGGGTCAGTGCCACCGGACCAATCTCCACAATGGAGAAGGCTGCACGTCATTTTTCACAGCTGAAGAACAGAGCTTTATTTAAACAGTGAGACAGACACAGCCGCTAAAAGCCGGAGGGACTGCCGGCAAAAAAAATCACCAGTTGTGTAAATTACATTGGTGCGTTCATAAATTTATGGCCCCCTAATATATTGTCATGCAGCGTGTGTGATCACCACCATCACTGACTTCATTATTTCAGATACGACAGTAGTGGGGAAAAGAGTACGTGGGAGCAAATAAAAATAAATCTAAAAACATCCTTTAAAGTAGTTTGTAAGTTTATTGGAAGATTTTATTTGTACATATTTCAACGCGTAAACAGTGATTTCCTCACACTGCCTTTTTTTTTCTCCATCATCTGATGGTCACGTCATCTGCAGACACATTTGGGGTTAAGAGTTTTCTAATTAAATTCTGAATGATGACCAACAAATTTGAACCTGGAGCTTGGCAAATATTAGTGCATTGCTTAGACTTCATGCTACCTGAATATTGAGGCCGTCCGAGGAAAACCTGTAACGTTCATAGAGAACGTAATCAGGTAAATCAAACGGATTTGAACGATCATGAATATAACGCTCTCGGCGAAGCGCTCCTCTCACTATCCGTGCAACGATGTCCCCGGAATCCGGCAAAAGTGGGCAAGCCATTTTCCAAGAGATCCGATTGGTCATCGGGCGGTTTTTTATACCTGCTGAGATCTTATCCTGAAACATAACCTGCTCCGGAGCAGGTTTGGCGTTCCGCGTAAGTTACCGGGGCAACGGACCCGGATAAAAAGAGATCCACCTTCGTAGTACAGAAAACCCAGAAGTTATCTCGCTAAGACCAAATCCAGCTTCGTAGTACAGGCCTCTGGGCACGACGCGACGCGACCTGAAGGATCAACGCGACGCGACCTGGTCGCGTTTGGTCTGAACACCCCTTTAGATTGACCAGTATCACATAACACTGTGAAGAAACAATAAACTATGTGCAATTTAATTTACATAACACTGAAAGTTTCAACCCCTGTACATGACACTGCACACACAGACACTTGTGTTATTGTGACGCGGTTGGAAAATATATATGCAGCCAGAAAGAAACCTACGAAAGCGGTTGGTCTGTTTTTCAATGTAATTTTTTCTGTATTTCTGAGTAGTGTTTCCCTGTTATTTTGCCGTGGCGGTGCCACTAGCTTACTCCAGTAGCTCGCGCACACTCACCCGCTGTCTCCATTGGTGTGTGTGTGTGGTGGGCGCCATAGGGCGCTGTTCACGAAAGAGCAACGTTAACTTCGTAGCAGTACCATGGCCGGAAAAGTGCTTCATAAAATACTTCCCACACATGTTCCCTTGATAAATTTACCTGGAGTCGTAAAAAGCCAAAAGAGATGGAGATCCGAGAGGTTAACTTGTCCGTTCGTGTTCAGTCAGAGCGGGCTATCAATCACTGACAGTAGATCAGCTAGCACGGCTGCTGCTCAACGATTGGACGCTGAGACTGCTCGACCTGCTCAACGTCGCTCAACCATTGGTCGCTGACTGCTCAACGTCGCTCAACCATTGGTCAAGTTAAGGTTTGGATAAGAACTTGGAGAGTTTGCCTGGGAATACCAGGTGCTACAAGGTTTTCTTTTCAAATACCTCAAATATTGCCATGAAATCCCACATGGTGAATCATATCCACCGTGAAATGAACTACCTGATCTGTCATTATTTCATGTACAGCACTTGAGGTACAGGAACACCATTTAGACTAACTTAAATTATTAGGCTTAACAACGTGGATATTGTAGAGTTGACTCTTGTTTTGCAGTCCAGGCAATGTCGGCAGAGCTGATGAGCATATCTCAGAGTTGTGAAATCTCTGCGGTGTCCCAAACCATTAGTAGGAGATATAACAGCATCTATGGTTAGTTGTGGCTTTTGCCACAATGAAAGATGTATGAACGACTCAGTTCTGAGGAAGAGGAGCTTTGTGTCGACAGAAAGGTCGGCATACACCTTCCTGCAGAAGTTTAGCTTAGTTCATCAAATATTACCTTCAGTAGAAATGTTTACTTCAATAGATGTAATACTATGCAGGTTAATGATTGGCCATGGCTGTACATCTTCAATTTAAAGTGTATTTGTCTCATAGGAGGGCTGATAAGAACTCATTACCATGGAAACAGTACTTGCTGTGAAATCTAAATGTAATTTAAAACGACGCCCTAAATTTTTTATTAATATTTTTTCCCTAACTCATTTACTGCTTTTGATGACTGATACAGGATTATTATGTACTGTGAGCTGATCATCATGATGATTAGGATCTCACCCTGTCTGGATTCTAGTTAACATTATCACCTTCTAACTGTACACTGTTCCTTTTATGAATCACTCCCTGATGGGCTCATTTCTCTTGTAGGACCTGAAAGCAGCAGTGAGATATATATGCACTTTCCTGGGTAAAAACCTGAGTAAGGCAGAAATTGAACAGTTAGTTGAAAAATCTAAGTTTGGCAACATGAAGAACAACTCAAGGGCAAACTATGAGTTTCTGCCAGACGACATGGTCAAGGGAGGAGCCTTCATGCGCAAAGGTAACAGACTTTAACACCTGAGTATAAAGATATAAAACTGTTGGTCTCTTTTTCATGATTTCTTTTAATCCAGGTAAGATCGTAGACTGGAAGAACACCTTTACAGCGGCTCAGAGTGAGAGAGTGGATCAGCTGCTTAGGGAGAAACTGGGGGATCTGCCTCTTAAGTTCATGTGGGAATAAAAAAGGCGACAAACTGCCTGGAGGCGTTTAAAGTTTGCTGCTAAGACCAAATTCGTAAATATTTTTTCAGTGATGATTGTCCAGAGCTGTCCATGTGCTAAAGTGTCCTTCGGTAAGACCCTTGACCCCAGCTGCCCCTGCTGGCTGTAGCCATTAAATCACAGATGTCAGTCACATTGTAGCAGTCGGATGATTGTCCTGCATTATCTTGATTTATCATCAGAATGTCTTTGCACTGTGTTAGTTTGAAGAAAATGACAAAAACATTAAGTCTTTCAGCCAATCGGTGCTCTTTATTAAATTTCAAATGAAGTAAACTGATTTTTCTTGAAGGATGGCGAAGGCTGGTTTGGTCTCTGGAGTTTCAGACTTTAATTCTCTTCATCTGGAAGGAAAACAAAGAAACAAGATCAACACAGAAACACGATTTCTAGTGACATACAGACTGAAGTGTTTACTGCTTAAATTATTGAATGACAAACTGATGAATCCCTTCTTCCAAAATATTCATCTGTGTATATCGATTATTTATGGGTCACCTTTTCAGTTGGAAAACCCTGATTTTTAACTCACAACTTACAGCTCAGTGTGAACTTTCAGTGAGGACACTTACACACGGGCAGAGTAATGTGTGACTTATTGTTTCATAAACAGACTGACTCAGAGCTGCTTAAGGCTTCAGAAAATTCTCTACCCATAACCCTCTCATCTACTCTTCACAACCTGCCTTTAGGAGGCTGATCGTGATGTCACATAAATGTTCTGGTAGTCATCACATAATGTTTTAAAATCCAATTCAAGATTAAACCATTGATGCTTTTATTTAACGAGTTCATATGTTTTAATTTACTTTCAATCTTATTCTATTTATTTCTGCTTCCCTCTCAATCCCTAAAGACGTGTCTGTAAATCCGCTACCAGGGTGCCAGCGGGATATATTCCGAGTGAAGAACTCGGCTGTGACCACACATAGAGCTCACTCACAGGGGAATTTAACTCAACTCAACTCAACTCAACTTTATTTGTTAAGCACTTTAAAACAACCACAGCTGTACAAAGTGCTGTACATAACTAGCCAAAACAACAAGAATTTAAGGACGTTTTTATTTCAGGAACCTTGTTTATGTCTGAAAGGGCTATCAGAGTTCCAGAGGCTGAACCTCACACTATACATTTCCCTTTTTATTAAACCAAGTGCTTGTGCTTTAAAAGTAGCTGAAACAATTTAACCTCACCTTCATCCTCCTCATCCTCTTCATCTTCTTCTTCCTCCTCTTCTTCATCGGAGCTGAAGGTTCCATCAGGCAGGCTGTACACCCGGATCACTTGCTGTTAAGATAATGAATGAATAAAATTTAAAAGACATGAATCCTTCAGTGTCAAGTTCTTCTTGAAGAGTTTTTTCTGACTCCTCCCCCTCAGAGCGTGAACAGGACCACGCTCAGCTCACCTTGTTGGGGTCCTTCAGGATCAGGTACTTCCCCTCGTCCAGCTTGCGACAGATGTCGATGACGCAGCGGAGGATTCCCCAAGCGTTCTCCATGCTCAGGTTGATCTGGCTGGCGAACTCGTTGGGTTTGAACTGCTGGGTGCCAAGGATGACGTGACGAGCCGAGTCCTTCACGTGATACCGAGACACATACCTGAAGAACAAAGAGTGATCATGAGTACAAAAAAAGTCTTGATGTGGTGTTTGTTGTACTCACAAATCATCCGAGAAGTCTGAGCTCTGGCTTTGACAAACTGTGAAATTTTAGGATAATTTCCTTTGAATGTAGGCCCCACCTAGCAGTTTGACCTCATGTTTAGGCCGTTGGTTTGTCTGTGTGTCGTGGGTATTCCTTACCCCAGTTTCAGGTACTCCGATCCAGCTAGCATGGCGCAACAAGTCCAGCGGGCCAGCTTGTAGCTGTTATTTTTCAGCTCAGTGGCCAGGACGGCTCCTCTCTGAGAGTCCAGCTTCTGACGCCAGTCCACCCCGTTACAATACTGATCAGAAACACAAAGACAACCCGTTATAATACAGTGCAAGACTAAGACGGAGCACAGAACCCAGGCTCAGCAGTTATGTAGGGTTTGTTCCCAGGGAAAGATGTAAACAGTGAATATGAGGGAAATAAAAATAAACCGCAGAAATTTGACAGATAGGAGGTGAACCAGCCCAGCGCCTCATTACTAACTCCTCCAGCTGATTTAGACATTTGGGTTAAGTGTATCAAGAGCTGAGCTAAGAATTAGCATAGGGTACGGACCAGAAACAGCTGCAGGTGAGAACTCATTTAAGACCTTGACCAGTTTAAGTAGGTGTAGGTGTCTGATAAACCAACAAGAAGTCAAGTTCAGCTTGATAGTAAATTAAAAAAAAAAACTCTCAGTGGACATTCTTGGATGATATATTTAAATCTACTGACCATCTTTTCTTCTTCAAAGACTTTTATTAATGTGTGTTTGAAAATTGTTGTTACTTTGCCCTTGGAATTGAATTTTGGACTCTCTATTTTCAAAAAGTATCGAAATAATACAATTGACTTTATGTAACACCAATCGTTGGTCCGTTTAGCACCCTTACTCATGACAAATTTCCCCCACAGGAACCAAGGAGTTATTCTAATCTAATCACAGATAATCAGGTTTTTCTAATCTAGACTACGTGAACAAAAACAAATTGAAAACATATTATTGTGTTAGAGGCCTTGGTAATATCTCTTGTGCAAATTATAATCTCCTCATATAAGCGGTGTTAAAAGCCATTTCCCCTCTCCTCTCTTCTCACCCTGGAGTCCCACTCGTTCAGCGTCTTCACGTTGACGAAGGAAACCTCTCCATTGGCGCCGGTCATCACGCCATCATGCTCACAGCGGACGATCAGATCGATGTCCTCCCCAAGCTTCCAGTGACGATACCTGAAGATTAAAAACATCCGTCAAACTGAGAGGAAGCTGTTATTACATTGTGTGATTATGACTTATCAGCAGAGATAACTGATGTTACTGCAGCTTCAGAGGGTTTCAGGTTCCTAACAGTTCATGCTCACACTTCAGGAGGAGCAGGATTTATTAGAGTTCCTGGATATTTTGTATCTGAGGTGTCTTTAAACTCTGCAGCTGTGTTAAATGTCTGACCTGTAGGCCACAGACGCCACCTCACTCTTGTCCATATCCTCCTCCACAAACGGGTTTGGGTTTGGGAACTTGTGGCGATCTCCGCCCTGGAAACACAATGTGACAAATACGCTCTTGAATAAATATATACAGGATGTGTCGGGAATTCACTCAGAGTCGTGAAGTTTTATAGCAGAGATATTTAAAAGGAAGCTGAAACCACTTGCTACATCACAAAGCTGGTTAGCTTAGCTTTGAAGAAAGACAAGAAATGAGGGGAGCTGGCTCAGCTGGATCAGACTGGTTGCATGGAGGGGTGCACTCTTACCATGCGTAAACACTGCTGGCTGAAGTTGTGGTTGATGTAGGTTGCCTCCATCGCCAAGTTGCGGGGAGAGTTGAAGGAGTTGCCCTCATCCTGGGGTGGCTCGTTAGCCGTTTCGCTCACAGTGAGAAGATCTGAGGTTACACAAGTGACAGAAGTTCAACAAACTTCTATTCTTCATTGATAAAGTAAGACAGAACAGTAACAGATGTTGACAGGATGGAAAGAAAACTTTAGCCTTAAATATGTGTCAACACTTCAGAGAAGGACTCCTGATCAATCTAGTCTTAGCGTCAGGAGACTAACCCTGCTGTATAATAGTCTGTATTGACAGGTCTCTGTCGGTAAAATATTCTTGTAGTCTCACCAAAGTCAGAGTTGTCTCTCTTGTCGAAGAACAACTTGTTTCCGACTCTCTGCACGATGATGTCCCAAGAGTTGACTGAGCGTGTGCAGCACATCAGAGTGGCCAGGATGGCGTCAGTGGCAAACACGTTGCCTTGAGTCTTGGCCAGCTGTAGAGACACAGATGAACAGCTTCTGTTTTAAAGGCACACCTCTGTAAGGAACAGCTGTCTCTGTTTTCGGGGAGCACTTCATTGTATATGAGAAACATCTGTTAGTGTGTGAGACCTTGCGGATAACGGGGTCGTCGGTGGTGGTGACAGTGTGGAAGATCCTCTTGATGCTCTTGAGCTGCTTCTCATTGCGGGTGGTGATGCGGTCAAAGGCCTTATCGTAATACTCCAGGGCGCCGCAGCACTCTCTGCAGGAGGAAAGACGGACTCAACATGACTGTCATCTTTTTTTCTCTGGGACAGATTTATTGACCCAACTTGACTCACATGTCGACAGGGTCAGCCACCTCCATGTATCTCATCTTCATCAGGCGGGGGAAGTCCATCTCCTCCTTCACCTCCCAGTCGCTCCTAACCTCCACTGATGAGTCCCTTGGCTTCAGCTGAGCCTTGATAATCACAAATCAAGCTCAGGATTACGAAGAAACATTTCCAAATGTTGCTGTTGTTTACAATCAATTTTTATTCTTTCAAATGAAAACTAGTTTTTTTTTTTATGAAAATGCTTCTCTTTATGAAATTTTTTGTCTACAATATCCAGTCATTTATCACTTTATCAATTAATGTACAGGATTAGTACCTGAGATTTCTGGTCCCACTTCTGGCGTACTCCAAACTGCTTCTGGAACTTCTTCTGCAGCCGCATTCGATCCCTGAGGAGACAAAAGCAGCTGGAGTTCAGCTGAAGTTTTCCCGACAAGTCTGCCTTGATATGAAATCTGCAAATCTGATCCCATGCTGCTACTTTTCTCATCTAAAAACAAGACATGGAAAGCGCAGTATGATCTGTTAAAAGTATAAACCTCACCTCTCCTTCTGCTTGGCGCTCTTGGGAAGTGTCTGCATGTTGAACTGAGTCAGGTTTCTGCGGTCTTTGTCCCGTCTCAGATTCCTCTGTTCAAACACACAGCATCATGTTAAGAGAGCAAGTTCAGACCAAACCACATCAGCTGCATCTTAAGGAGTCAATCTGTTTTCTACTTTTTAATTACCTGCGCAAACCTCATGCGGTTCCTCTGATAAGCCGTCTTCTGCGTCTTGGCCGTGTCCACCAGCTGGAAGCTCGTCTCATCCTCCTCGTGGAAGTACGCGTACTGACTCCCTCCCCCAAACTGAGATGAATACTTATCTGATGGCAAAATACAGAAAATCAGCTTCACACTTCAATTTGCTTTTCTCAAACATCAAAGAAAGAGATTTAAAATGATTTCAAGTGTTTTAATCTCAGAATTATGGAAGCACAAATGTTTAGGTCTGCAGAAGTGGATCAATACACTTAACAGTATTTATTTTGGCTTTGTGTTTGCATCTTTTACAGAGACTGTTATCTCATATGTTAAGATTATAATAGGATGTTTCATCCACACATTAGATGGTTTTTCAGGGAAATTAAGAGAAGTCTATTTGCCTTTATTTCAATCTCACAGTGAAAGTGTTTCTATGTTTAAATTTAGACAGCCACAATCTTACTTCTTTCCCCAATTTTACTTTGACAGAAATAGAAAATATCTGTGCCTGTGAGCGACACTTGAAATACATTAAAAAAAAAACAATTTTATTAATCCTCCTCCTGTGTTAGGGTCTGCACCGACCCATTTTTTTATTCTAAATGTCAAAAAGAGCCACTTACATTAGACTTTTTGACTTTGTCAGGAACCTCTATTTCAACAAAATAAAAAAAAATTGAATTGACTAATTTATAAAATTCTCTTATTAAAATTATGGCACTTGACGTGTTAGAGTTGCTGTTGACCCCATTAGATCAATATCTAATAATTAGAGCAAAAACTGAAATTATAAGTGCACTGCTAGGCACCACAGTGACAGTCAGCTCCTCTTCCAATCATATGAGATTTAGGAAATTCCCTTTTTGCCTGTTTTTCCCTGCACAAAAACAACATCAGACATGTCCAGACATATGAGATCAGTTCAGTATAGATGTCTGTATGAGGGGTATACTGACAAAGAAAAGCCCAGAGACCCACAACAAAAACTACTGTAAGCAAAATTGAACCCAATGAGAACCAAATTGGATGATAGAGAATTGTTTTTGGTGTGATTTGCAACTGATTTAAGACACGGGTCAAAACCGACCCTTAACATGGTGGGTGTGTAGTAAAAGCTAACACAGGAGGAAGGTTAAAGGTGAAGGTGTCTCTGGGTGGACATCTGTCTCACTCACTTGTGTATCGCTTGTCTTGATAAGTGGCACCGGTCCAGTCAGCAACCTGTCAAAGAGAAAACTCAGAATTAAAATTTAATAAAGTATGATAAATGAACAGAAGAAATCCAGCTTAGATCTATGTACACGTGAAATGTGATTGATCAAACCTTTCCCAGACGGTCTCCTTTGCTGAAGGGCTGGTACGGCATGTCTTTGAACTTCTCTGGGACCGCACATGGACCCCAGCCGGACGGGTTGTCCTGGATCACAGGAGCGTGGAACTTTGCCATGACCTGAAATGAGAGATGAAAGATATGAGATATATCAATGACAGAAAGAAAGGCTAGAATCCAGATTGACCTGAACCATATGATCATAAACTGACATTCAGGGTCTCAGCCAAACAGCAGCACTGATATCTCCAGCAATGCACCTTAATATGCACTGATCAGCTTGCGCAGTGGGCTAGTCATCACTGACCCCCTACCATACAAGAAGTAGAAATCAACTTCCGGACTGTGTACCTGACAACACCTAAAGATCTTAAATTGATCTGTTGATCAATAATAGGATGATCTTTCAACCTTAGCGACATTTATCATCTCTATAACATGCTACCGGGATGGAATAAGACTTCAGCATTTTATTAGGAGATGCTGGTGATCATTTCCCTTGATTTCTAAGACTGGTGCTTCAGTTTTCATCAGTAAACTCGTGTTACTGTGACTCAGCTCTGACGCTCTTCACAGATGCTAAAGCTAATGCTAGTCCTTCTACCAGGTGGCCGCGCTAACGCTGCTAAGCTAACTGTTACGTGTCCGAACAAACCTCCTCAGGACTCACTGCGAATTAGCTCTAAACACTATCTTTCACCAAGTCTGTACAGGGTTCAATCTCGTCTTACCGTGGATGGTGTGTCACTTTATGGGTCTTTTTCACCCACCGCTCCTTTCACGGTGAAAATCCCGACAGAGCGCCGGTGTGAAAGGAAGTGTGCAGCTGTCGTAAAGCGGGCGCTGGTTCCTGCCGTAAAACTGGTGCCACTGTCATAAAACCTGACCTCTCTTTGCATCCTGGTAAAAGAAAGCAGGGCTAAATTGTTTAGGAATTGCACAAAGTGCTATGCACATGTGTTTCTCATTTATGATTTTGGACTTTGTTATAATGGCTCGCTGTATCAGGATTTTTACCAGCATGATGTGTAATTTGAAACACTACAGTGCTGTAGCCACCAGAGGGCAGTATAGACTGATATCAAGGTGAGCATGTCGACCACTCTTTCATCCTCTGCCCTTTAAACCTGCGGTCCTCGACTGGTCTCACTCTGGGACCCATATTTTCCCATGGTCCTTGAGTCGCGATCCACTTTTATCAAATTCAAACCAAGCAAATTTATTTCTTATAAAAAGCCTTTAAAGACTCAAAATTTTGACATAACTACAACAACTTTTGAGTAAATTGCATTTCAGAGAACATGAACTGAGGACAACAATTACTAAAGTTGCATATACAGAAAATATCAAAATGTACACAATGGAGACCAGCAAAATTAAAAATTTGACTTCTTTGCATCTCTGCATTTCAAAGCATATTCAGAGGAACATGAGGAGGACCTCAAAATAAAGACAAAACAAAAAACAAACAAAAAAAATAACATGTATTTTTACTGCTTTCAGGCCATATCAATAAGAAACCGAGGAGGACCACGACACAACACGTGCCTTTTTCCAAAATAAAAGACATGTCAAACATCAGATGCGCATTAAATATTTACTTTTTGGACCAGCTGTTCGCGACCCACCCAGAATGTGTCCATGACTCACTTTTGGGTCGGGACCCACCAGTTGAGAATCACTGCTTTAAACTATCTTAATAAATCAGTTAAAAGTCGGTACAGAGATTTTAAATTTAGTTTTAACCATTAAGGGACTATCTTACTCAAAGTGACTTACTGTTTTTTTTTTTTTTAACAACTGGATATCTTATCTTGGCAGTGTTTATAATCTTAGGTATCAGAATTCCAAGTAGTTTCCCCCGAAAGACTATACTGCCATGTAACTGGTATAAAAGAAAACAATCTCACATTAAGAGGATGAATGATTTGTTTTTTAATGGAAAAGTTAGATTATGCACCTTTATATATTTTAGCTTTAGTTTTTTTTTTTTTTTACATTTTCTGTGGTTAGAGTTTTCTTTGCCTTTCTATATTCTATCATAAGCATTATCAGTCTGTGTTCTGTGTCTCAGCCGGCTGTATTTCCCCCAATTACAATGTGTGCCTCACCCGAAAGTGTAAATGAAGAAGTTACTGCCATAAGATGTGAGTGTGACCCTAGTTTTTTCACAGCGAGGTATCTGTACCAGTAATCCTCCTGTATTTCATCAGAAATATCTTACTGTTTTGAACCACTGACTATGTATCATATCAATAATCTCTGTAGAAATCAAACAGTGAGGCATCATGAAGAGCAGCTGGTCTGTGAGTCATTTCGATCTGTTGTCCTTCACAGAGAGTTCAGATTGAGCGTCAGTCACATTTATTCATAAAAGATACAGCTGCTTATTTCTGCAGTGAGACAGAATTGATTTACTTTCACCACACTGACTTCTATTTGCACAGATGGGCAGAGACAACTTTAGCCAACACATTTGTTACAAATAGTGCAGTTCCTCTAGAGTCCACTTGAGGCTGTCTCTGAAGTGAGTTAGTCCCCATAGCACCCCATGCATTTAATTGTGTTAGGTCTTCTGAAACAGATCAGCTCTAAAGTAGGTGTCCGTTTTTTTACATGAAGCAGATTCTGATGTCCCAAAACTTGCAGTTCTTTGATGGCTACCTGAGGCTGTTCCCAAAACTGAGGTTTTCCCCATAGAGCCCCATGTTCAAATGTCCAGATTTACAGCAAAAATAAACATGTTTACAGTCTTGGACACAAATATTTTTAGTCTCTTGAGCTCATTTCTCAACACACAACAATATGACAGGGTTGAAATCTCATAGAACTTGCTGTTCAATTCTAAAAAGCCTCAAAATTTTGAAGTATAGTTTGAAGACTTTGAAGTATAACTCATAATAGCTATCACCTGACTATAAGCCTGAAACAGAGTTTAAAGGGAAAACAGTGGGTTAGACAAAGTATAACCCTATTGAACAAAGATTAGGTATGTATAGAATCTTTGCTGAAAGTAAGTGATGGTTTTTATTCACCCACATGCTGTGGTCTAATGACAACTGACTCTTAGCTTTCCTTGTTAACAAAATAATTAAACCTAATAGTGCAGTGGAGATCGAAACAAACTGGTATTCACAGCCATTGTCGTGCATGTGCAACATATAAACAATTACTACGCTCAAGACTTGCCCAAAAATGTATATCTGTATTTTAATAGTGTTTCCCAAAACCTCTGAATTTTACCATGTTGTTCTTTTAACTCTGTTCAAACTCAGGAGCAAATAATTTGGTTGTTTTGAGCTGTGGTGTCTCTTATTAAGATTTAAATAAACCTCAATACATCCAGGGGTTTGTGTATCTAATTATCTGGGAGTAATTACTAACACCTGTAACCAATCTACCCCCCACCCACCCTTCAGTGCAAAAGGGAGGGGCCACAGCCAAAATGATGTTTTAATCACACACACACACACACACACACACACACACACACACACACACACACACACACACACACACACACACACACCCCTTAACTCTCCTCTGGCTCAAAAAAAAAAAAATGGCTCAATGTCTTGTTGCTTAGCAACAATGAAGATGTTGTTTCAGTTCTTGAGCTCTAAAAGCTGTGACGCCAGAGTGTTTATAGAGACTCAGGGCCACACAGTGACATGTACAAGATTGTTCTCATAAACTTTGAAATACACGGTGTCCTAGAAAAATGATTTAATGCCGTCAGTAAGACAATAATCTCATATCTGAAAGATAAACATGGAGTTCTGGCCAGCGCCTGGTTATCTTAGCTTAACATTAGGCATAGGCTACAGTGTAAACATACCCTAAGCAATATAAACCACTAAAAAAAAAGAAAAAATCTGAATTAAACTCAGATTTGTCTTCTTGTGTGTCAGTAATTAGTTAATTGTTGTTAAAACAGTCACTGATGTCTGTATTTTTTAGCATGCTAACAGTTGTATGAAGCGTTTTTGATTTTACATGGATGCTGAGAAATTCATTCTAAAGAGCCCAAAGAAACTGACCATCATTCATTTAAGGTCAGAAAATGTGAAGGAAAAAAGTTTAAGGCTGGGACAACTAATTCAAACATTTTTTAATATTTAGTGAGATGGAGAGAACGGATCTGGTACAACTTTGCTAACTTTCAGGTGCATGGAGAAGGAAGGTCTAAAAAAGAGAAAAGTAAAAGAACAACTTTATGTAGAGATCAATGTGTTTCAGCTTATAGCCTTCATTAGGGTCATAAAACATACAGCAACCACACAAAATTATTCAGTTAAAAATTCTGATTGAAATAAAAAAATCTTTACTTTTTTTCTCCACAATTCTGAATTTAAAGTCAGAATGATGACTTTAAACTCGAAATTCTGATTAAAAGCTCAGAATTCTTAAAATACACATTGAAATTTGAAGTAAGAATTTTTAACTTAAAAGTCAGAATTCTGACTCTCAGAAACCTGACTTCAACTTAGAATTTTCTGTTTAAAGTACAAATTCTGATGTTTTCTAAAAGCTTGTTACTTAAAATTCCAGTTGTTATTCTGAGGAAAAAAAAGAGACTGACTTGAACCTCAAGACTCTCTTAATAAATCAGATTTTTGCAATTTGAGTTCAAAATGTAGTGTTAAAATAATAAATATAATAAATATTTAAGGGGCTCTAATCCTATCTCGTACCACTTGATACTAAAGAGAGCTGATGAGACAGAAAGGAGTCCTGGTTTTCAGCACAAACATTTTTATTTCCAACATTTTAAATCCTTTGTGACATTTTAGAGAGCATTTTTGTCTTTTTTACACAAAACATTTGATCCTGCAGCTGCTCGAAAAAGAACACACACACACACACACACACACACGCGCACACACACACACACACACACACACACACACACACACACACACACACACACACACACACACACACACACACACAAAACACAAATCAGAAAAACAGCTGATACTAAATCTTTTCTTAACTGCATCCAGCAGGATTATGATGCACATTTCCCCTGATGGTTGGAATGAATCACAAATGATTTAGGTTCAGAGAGACAAGAATATATATATATATTTACACGTTTGGCAGTGTAATCTGCTTTCATGAGAGTTTAGGGTCCATGGGGAAATTGTGTCTGGTCTCAAATCAACAATTCAGCTGAAGTCAGGGACATTTCTAAAAAACACAGCAACACTACAGGGATGATATTACACCTCCTGCATGAGTGTGTGTGCTAAATGTGCAGCTGGTCTGATTAATGTAACTGAAATAGGACCAAAATAACTGAATATTTATCATCAAATAATGTTGGACCTTGTTGTGTCTGTCCTGTTGTTTTTGGCATTTCCAGCCTGTGTGTGTGTGTGTGTGTGTGTGTGTGTGTGTGTGTGTGTGTGTGTGTGTGTGTGTGTGTGTGTGCGTTTTGTTTTTCAGCCACACGAAGAGAAAACAGCCTGTTAGAGTTAAATGCAGCCTGTGGGTGGAGATTCTGACTCATCAGCTGACTCTCACCTCTGTGCTCAGGTGGGTTATCACTGCAGGGAGTCGGCAGCACATGGCACACATGCACCGACATTATTTATAGACAATACACATGCATACACACACACTCACACACGCACACACTGACTGGTTCTCATCAGACTGCAGCCTTGGGGCCGCACAAAGGGAGTATGAACCAAGCAAATCCTTCCATAATGTGACTTTAATGATGGTTTTTGCCACCCAGAGGAGTCCTGCAGAATGTGTGTGTGCTTATGTGTGTGTGTGTGTGGGCTGAAGACTGGGAAAGAGCAGAGCTAACACAGAGAATGAGCAAAGGCATCATTCAGCTGTATATACAGACTGATAAATATAACCTGTTTGTGTGTGTGTGCGTGCATGCGTGTGTTTGTGTGCATGTTTGCTTTCATGAATGAACAGCACTCTGGTCAGTTTTCGATGAATGTTGGAAGATTGTTGCCTCACTTAAAGAATCCTTTTTTAAATGTAAACATGTTTTCAAGGTTCTGATTGTAGATGAAACTGGTTTTGTTTGTATTACTGTGAACACACACTCGCCTAATTTACACACAGTTTTCTTTTGAGATGATTAGTGACATCCCTGATAACAGCTATGCTTTGTTTAAAGTTGTCTCTGACAACGACAAAAAGGCAAATTATTCATTTTCATTTGTGGAAAATGTCAAAATTATTCAGGATTTAGAAAAGAATCAAACCTTACAGGTACATTTTGTAGAATTCATCAGTACCTTTCTCAAAGAAAAAGAACAAATCATGTAGAAGTATGTTTTAATCAGTTTATATTGAATATAATATCATAATAGTTTCATTTCTGATGACTTAGAAAAAGTGTTTTAATTTATAGAAGCAGAGGGTTCTCACTGTGGAGGCTGATGTTTTTGACAGTAACGCCAAACAGACAAACTAGTGAAACCAAACTCAATTTTAAACCACAGGTCACTGCCTAAGATGCACTTGTAGAAGAATGGAGAGAATGATGAGATTGGTTGTTGTGCAAATTAATTTGTATCTACATAAAACATCTCCATCAGAAATAGTAATAATATGAGATCTATTTTCATAACCATACAAAAACTCCTCACAGGAGCTTTAAGTTACTTTAATAAAATTCAATAACTTTCACTCCCTCCTCATCTGAGAGCAGCTAGCCAAGCAGGACTGTTTAATGTCAAACATCATCATATGTACAAGAAACACAATAATAGGGAAAGGTGATCACTCACAGCTGGATGCTCATAGAGACAAAAAACAAGGCATTTTACTGCTCTTAAGTCAAAAAAGTACAACCTTCACAGTATTCATGGATACAGATATGACATATTTTAAATAAGCAATATAATCCATCCAGATTTCTGCATGTAAGTAATTGACCACAAGCAACAAGTTAAAAAGAAATATACTATAAATCTAAATAAAAACATAAGACTTGAGATTAAAAAAAAACAGCAACTACATGTTCATGTTTTTAGTGTCCCATTTACAAAGGATGGTCACATGACAGATAAAAAAATGTTGATATTTCAAGAATTTCTTATTTTATGAGAACAAAGTTCAGACCCTGTTAGAATAAAAGGGCGGAGAAGAAAGTTGAAAGATTGTGAGAAATACAATTTAAATGAACAGGTTTAATATGCAAACTGATGAGTAAAAAGTCGCAAATTTACATACAAGGTTAAAGTGATAAACTATAACCAATTCAGTACTTAAGTCTTGCTAATTCAAGTGTTTAAAAGAATAAATGGTGTTGACAAGATTCAAGTTTGCTGGATAAGTTTTAATGCTAACCAAGGACCTACTTTATAACTTATTACCATTACTATTTGTATTGAAAAGAAAGAGAAGCCTCCAAAGCTGAAAAAATACTCTCAAACTCAAGTCCCAAAATTGCAATTCTTGGGGTGTCCATTAGAGTCCATCTCCAAAAGTGAGTCAATCTCAGTAGAACCTCAATCGATGTATTATCAATCAACACGTTTAAAGACTGGTACAAAGGGAAGAAAAAGTTTGGGTCTCTTCCAAGTCTGTGCTTCTCATTTGTGAGGGAAAAACAACGTTTACATTATACAGTGTTAAAGCTTTAAGGGACATGGCCTGTTTGAGTGACAGGTGGGAGCTGTGTTAGCTGATCCTTCATTTTCAAGTTTGGCCATCAAAAATTCCTGTCAGTACAAATTCCTTCTTCTTTGTCGACCAAAAGGTGCATTTCAAGCAGCCACTTGCCAAACGCAAATACAGTTTTTGTTAAACGGTACAAACGCGGGGGTATAAGATGTTGGCCACTATGGTAGGGGGACCCACTCTGATGTAGATTATTACACAGAACATTAATTTTTCTCCCCCCTGCTTGCGATGCTGACATGTAGTTATTGTAAGACTGGTTTGTGCTCAAGTCCTCTTTTTTCTGTGAAGCTCTGTTTTTAAAAGTTATTAGGGGGTTCATGTTTGCTATGATTGACACCTGATACAGCCTATGGGAGTTCAGGGATTGAGTAGCTCTCCCGGGGGATACGCTGTTTGAGCCGAGCATCATCACAGTGACTCTCAGCGACTGCGCGGCTGAATGCGCACAACGCTACTGCGCAGCGCTGGTTTCAGGAAATGAAGAAAAATCCCGGAAATACTGAGAGCTTTTTGGCTTCAAATCCGTATACAGGCGGGAGGCGGAACCAGGTTGTCCATAGTATATACAGTCTATGGTGATTACACACTAATTTAAACATACTTGCAAACATGATATTCTATTTATAACAGGTCTGTTCTACCAGATGTTGCTTTGTACTACACACTGTACCTTTAAAGTTGTTAAAGGTAAACAAATAGTAAAAGCTATGACTTCTGTGTTTAAGATATGTTTGTATAAATTATTTTCACATTATAAAATAGAAAAGGCTACAAGAACAAGGATCAGCAAAGTAAACATTGTATAACTCAATAAAGGCACAACTTTGTACATTCAGCCATGCATAAAATATCAACATTTATACATTCTTGTTTAAGGGAAAAACATAGGCATCTCCCAAAATGTGGGTCCACTGATCAAAAAATGATCCTAAGGCCTGTTTCAGTGTTCTTTGTGTATTTTTAAGGTCTGTAGCTTCATTATGATTATTGTTTTGTAATGGCTGCTGTGTGTCATACGCAGTCCACCCCCACTTGTTTATTAAACTATAAATAACTGATCTCCAGTGAGGTGCTCTGTTCCTGATTCTCCTCTGGTAAAGTTTTTATACTCCCATTCTTCGTCCCATTTTGCAGCAGTGGGACAGTCAGCGAGGACCCATTCACGATATCTGCCTTCATGTCGGCGGTTGTGTCCCTGTCGTCTGGGGTCGACGGCTCAGTCACTCCTGGCGTTGCTCCTTGTTCAGAAAATGGCGGCAAGGAACTCTGAGGCTGAAAGCTGCTGTTACCATTCTGGGCGATCCGGTAGATCTCAGTCATTTCGGAGACATCCTCCTCGTCATCGTCGTCGTCATCCCTGATGGCTCGTCTTAGGCTTTCTCTTGGCATAAGTGCCGTCCGCCCCTCCTCCTGCTGCTGCTGCCGCTCCATGGGCTCGTGGTTCTCGACTTTCCTTGTAGAGCGGCAGAGAGCTTTCCGGAAACCTCTCTTGAAGTTGTCTGACAAGAAGCCGTAGACGATGGGGTTAGCACAGCTGTTTGCGTAACCGAGCACTACGACAAAGTAATACAGCCCCTGGTACTCTGAGGGCAGCGACACCAACAGGTTGAGGATGTTGAGCGCGTAGAAAGGCAACCAGCAGAAGACAAACACAGCGACCACGATCACAACCATGCGGGTGACTTTTCTTTCTGATTTCCTGCGTTTGGTAGAAGTGGCGTGAACTTTCTTCCCTGAGCTGCGGATCTTGAAGACAATGAGCAGGTAGCAGAGGCAGATGATGAGGAGGGGGCAGAAGAATCCAACTGTAGAGGTGTAGATAATGAAGGCCGCCCTCCAGATGTTGGCGGGCTGAGGCCAGGCGATGTTGCAGGTCCCTCCGGCCCTTTGAATGTTGGCGAAGATGACGACAGGCAGAACAACGAGGAACGACAGAGCCCACACTGTGCCATTCACCACTTTGGCCACCTGAGGGCGGCGCCACTTGGAGGATCTAATGGGGTGGACGACGGCAAGGTAGCGGTCGATGCTCATGACGGTGAGGCAGAAGATGCTGGTGAACTGGTTGATGGAGTCAACGGTCATGACCAAGCGGCACATGAAAGAACCAAACGGCCATGATTGCAGGGTATTCTGTACGGCCAGGAAGGGCAGGCCAAGCATAAAGAGTTCATCAGCGATGGCGAGGTTCAGGATGTAGATGTTAGTCACAGACTCAATCTTGGAGTAGTGCAGCACAATGTGAATCACCAACGTGTTTCCCCCCAGGCCGATGATGCAAACAATGATGTAGATGAGTGGGATGAGGACTCCCGCCACGCTGGGGCCGGAGGAGACATCAGGGTCGGTGGCGTTGGTGAAGTTGAACAGCGTCTCATTTAGATAGCTGTCGTTGAACATGAGCAGGAGCAGCGTTGGCGTGGGCGAGAGGCCTGCTAGGCTGCCGTTCTCCCACGTCTCCTCTGCCATCTCAAGCCCTGGAGGCGAGGAGACCCCCGCCATGAGCTCCTCCTGTGGCTTTGTCCTCCTCCTGCCTCAGCTCCCACCCATCTGTTCTGTTAGAGAGAAAAATCAATCAGTTATCTGACTGAATATTTGACATTTTCTACGTTTTCTCATCTCTGAGGAGGCTGAAAAGGGATGAAGCACAAACACATCTTTGCTAGCCAAGGACAGGAGCATAGTTTGAGAGTCTTACTATTACAGTGAGCTTTCTTAAGTGCTGCTAATGTCAAAGAATATCTCTTTCTGTTTGGAAAATAGTGCATTTGTGCACAACACAGCGCTGAAAAACCTCCAGTGTCATATTGATTGATGAAAAATTGTTATTTTTCTGAGTAGTTAAAGATGAGGGAGTAGAAATAGAAATGACACGTGTCAAAGATTGTACCATGTACTCTAGCAAACAATACCATCTGAGCTTCAGAGTATAAGGCAAAATCTACTTAGAGTAATGCACAACAATGGGACATACTGAACATTGACAACATAGTGAAGTGAAATTAACACTGTACACATCAAAAATCTTAAACTCCTTCCATTTATTTGAGAAGTTCTCCACATGCTTTCTGTGTAAAATGTAAGTTTGGCCACTTCAGTTCAAAATAAGTGTCTGTATAGTGACCCAGAGGACCATTTCTCACTACCTGACCCACAAGAGAGTGCAATATCCCTTTCTGAAAAGTTCTGGGGTGTGCAAATAGTTGTAAGACAATAACTCTTACACAAAACCTGAGTTAAAGAGAGGATGAGTTAGAGAGATGAGAAGAGGTGTCTACAATACTCTGACAGGAAACAATTACGTCTTCGCGTCACTGGATACTTGCATGTAGATTTAATATAAGTAGCATTAAAAATTAAACAGTTTGCTTCCTCACACATGATCGATGGTGACCTTTCATGAACAGCCCAGCAGCACTCCGGCAAACATGACGTGAGACTCTTGGAGGTTTCTGCAGACCATGAAAACATCCTGTGCTGAAGTTAAACTCATGAGCTCCATTATCTTTAGATTTAGCAGAGATTCAGGGAGTCCAACACCAACACTAACCAATGCCACATCCAGGTCACCTCACAACCAGTTTTGAGACATTTGGATGGACATATTTTATGAATATTGACTGAAAGTCGACTGAGATTATTTTTTGTCCCAAATTCCAACAGAGATTCTAGCCAGTGAATTAGGCTGCTGACTCACAGATTTGGAAAAAAATTATCCAGTTTTTGGGGCTGAAATAAAGATGGTGTAAATGAAGATTACTTGACTAATTAGTTGAGTTGAATTTAATTAACTTTAGTTCAGTCTAGCTAGATAATTTGTCAGGGACCATATAAGCTAAATATACTCACATCTGTGGTCCCTGGGAGGAAGATCATAAAATACAACGAAAAACAAACAATATAAGTGATTAAAGCGAAACTTAATATGTCACAGTTGGCAAATTTAAGGATGCCAAGCATAAGGATGTTAGCATTAAAGCTCAGAGTAGTGCCTCTATGTTGCTACAATAAAGATGTAAACCACACATTGTGTAAAAAGGCAGAGTTTTGCAAATAAAGACTATTTTTTGTTCCTTCAACTAACGCTGAAGGTCCTTACACACCGGGACCAAATGATGACCGTTTTTTTGTGCGATTATAATTTCAGACGTCAATATTTCTTTTTGAACCCGTATCCTGTCAATACAAGCGTTTACATCAGCGACGTTTTCCTGTCCTGCGATATTGCGGCATTTATTTTTTCGGATCATGGTTGATTTTTCTGAAGTTTTGCATACTGTGTGTCCACTTCTCAACCAATCAGATTTCGTGTTGTTGCGATGTCTGAATCACGGGTTTATCCAACATGGCCGACTGGCTGATTGTTTACGTGTCGGAGAACAGAGTGCTTTTTGATAAAAGACACAAACATTACAAAGATAACCACCTGAAGGACAACTTGTGGAGAGTCATAACGTCAGATTTCTCATATGACGATCGTTTGTGTGCTTTAACAGTTTGCTAAACGTCTTTGTTTTAACTTTCATCTGTGCTAAGTAACTTTAGCTCGTAAGCTAACCTGTTTAGATACAACATACCATATGTATTTTCACCGTCTCAAACTCAATCAGGTTGCTGTCACAGCACCATTAGGTCTCTGTTGTTACCTTACATTTATGGATTATAGTTTAATGTGCTTATCTGCTACTGGCCCAGACTCAGTACATGCTATCATGACAGACAGCCATCTCAACACTAGTGTCTAATCAGAACTGAAAAACAGTCAGTCTGCTGATTTGTCGGTCTTGCTTCCACCCGGGACACGTCTTTATTACCCCCGGAAAGTCGCAAAATCGCATTGTGCTTGTCATGTATAGTCAGGCACGTCAAAATTCATCTCAGAATTTTTCGTAATTTCGCGATCTATATTTGCGTCTGCCCTGGTGTGTAAGGACCTTTATTCTGATATCTGTATGGAGAATATCAGCAGGTGGTTAGCTTAGCTAGCCTGGATCTTTCCACCACTGATTCTATCACTATCCAGCAACTAAAAATCTCTTTAAATTAACCCATCATTTTGGCTAATTTATCTTAATTATACAGTGACAACACATCATAAACTGTAGGTTATTTTGTGTCACTGGTCAGTTATTGAGAAAACTCAATAACCCTAAAACAGTGTCTCAGAGGACAATCACACCAGAATAACAATTTCAACTAAACAGGATCTTTAAAAAGTGTCTGATGATGCCTTCGGAGACTCAGCAGAGCGGAAAACACAGATGCGTCTGGAGCTCACTAATAGACTTCATCAAACAAACACTGAAGGCTGATTGTTCCCACAGTCTGCATGAAGAAACGTGATGTTTTCGCTTTACTGGAGGTTTATTCAAAGATAGACAACAGAGAAAAACAACCCGAAGCAGCCAAACAAGGGAAAATCACCTAATTTTTTTTATGAGACCGGGCTGTTTTCTATGATTCAGCACCCTGTCTGCCACATTTATCATTTTCCAATATCTAGAATTCCTCCTGATTACAGACGCTTCACATCACATTTGGCAATTTGGATCTCCATGGAAACCGGTGGAGGAGAGATCAGTGTCGTAAATCAAACGGAACCAAATAAACTGCAGGAGAACAAGAACAGATTTCTCGCTCATCCTCTACTCTACTCGGCGAATGATTCAGAGGGAGAGAAATATTCTGCAGGCCCCCGGAGATGTAATACGATAACTTTAGCAGCAGCTCGGCCGAGTCTGAATCTGAGTCTTTCTGCAGCCCTTGAAGGAACCTTTCCCCGCTGTCTCTCCTGACATGTTAGAGGAAAAGGAGGGCATGCAAACTGCTTCATATCATCCTCTTTAAGTGCTCCCTTGCAGCAGTCAGCACTTGCTCTGAAGAAATCAGAGAACAAATGATGATTGGCCTTTTTCGAGACGCGGTGCGCTCATTGCAGCTCTGTTTCATCAGGTACGAAAATGATCCTCCACAAGCAGTTAGGTGAGTCAGACAGCTCTTAAGCTTTCCCTTAGATTAATGCGCCTCAGGCTCTGGGATCCGTCTTTGATATTTGCATCTTTAACAGCCAGATGAGGATCCTCGCGCTTTCTGGCAATTTTTTTCCATTGTTAGGCAAAGATGATGGTTAATATCCTCTTTTCTCTGTCTACAAAAAGCTAAATAAAAACATAAAATCTGTTTTTACAGGATTGGATGTACACTATACCAGGATAAATTGAGTTTACCTGGACTTAAGGAACTTTTGGTTTGTGTTGATACTGGTGCCCCCTGTGACACCGACTTTCTTACAGCAGTTTGAAGCATTCTAGCTGATAGTTTCTTTTACTTTGAAGGTCATAAACAGACATCTGTATCAGGCTGTTTTTCAGCCAGTTAAAAACTTCTCATGGTACCTTTAAAAAAATCAAGGACACCAGTTGCATTATATAGAAAAGAAATAGTAATGGATTATAAAAACTTGAGTTGAATTAAAGCCCCAATGAGGAATTTTTGAATGTATATGAAATGTATTGAAATCTGCAATGATGTCTTTTTATGATATACAAAAATCAAAAAGACCATCAGTGATACTCTAATTTTGAATGTCTGGAACCGGTGTGAGGGGGACAAGAGTCAGCAGTGCAGTGTAACAGCCCTATTCTTACATTTTCCATATCAAAGATTCGTTGAATTTTTCGTTTGGCTGTCAAAAGTCGGCAGGATGAAGTTTTTTGTTAGATGACTCTACTTAAACATGTAGAGGACAAGATAAACAAAAACTGTTTTGTCTACAGGGGGCACCAAACTTGATACAAACTGAAAGTCCCCCATGGGAACTTTCACTTATAATTGTGATTTATATAAAGTTAATTCCAAGTTGATTCAAGTTACAATATTAAGCCATTTCAAGTTTTCCAATTATTCTAATTAAAGCTTGAGTAAAAGCTCCTCTCTTATACTGTAATTAAAAAAGGAATAAATCCGTTGTCATTATTCAGAGATTCATGCTACTATCAATCAGAAGATGAGTACAGTGTCTGCAGCTCAACCAGCTGAGCGAGCATCCATCTCAAAGTCAAACATGCAAATAGAGGTGTAAGAGAGTTGGGATTCCTCAAGATATTTCTGCAGATAGAGCTTTAACAAGGTTATCATGGAGACGGATCTGCACTCAGACCAGATGATCATAGATTTAAACCCTTAAACCGTCTTTAAAACCAACATTTTAAAATCTATTCCCTGACAAACTGAAAGTCAGAGATAAAAGTGCTGCTTTAAACTTCAGATAAGACCGCCACATGACGGCTGGCTGATGTTGATATTGTCTTCAGGTGGATGTTAAAATCAAAATTAATCCATCCACTCAGAGGTTTGAGAACAGACGTGGGTTCCTCCTGTGGGCTCAGTGAGTCAGATTTAATAAACTCACTCACTCAGAGCCCAGGGGAGATAAACCTGACCCCAGACTAATCTCTTTGACCTTTTCATGTCTTATGGATCACCTGCTGTTGACTACCTAAAGGGCTGAGCGAGGAAAACATCATGTGGACAAAGACCACAAAACCAATAGCTGGTTTTACTTCATCTTTAGGAGGAGAGGACAAATACATCAAATGTTCATTTTACATGTAATAATAAGATACTTGTTACTCTAACATGAAAAGTCTGACCTATAGCAGCTGCTCACAGTTGACAAAAACAAAAGTTTATTTTTGACTCAAGTCAGGGTTTTAAAGCAGCCACACTACTGTCTATCATATGGGTGACACCAACACACCTGTCACGATATAAACATCCTGTCATGCTGCATTAATGCCCCAAAACAGAAAACATGTCTCATCTTCAGCTCTATGACTTTTTGAAGTGCACCTTAAATTAATAATACATTTCTTTATCAGATTGTTCTCCTAAGAAATATTTCAAATCTTTGGATTAAATTTCCCACCCTGAAAAACTGTTTTGTGTTTGAAATGAACATGTTACGCAAAAACGGAGTTCCTGTACGATGTGTGCAATTTGAGGCCTGAGCTATTCAGACCATTACCGTCTTTTGGACCAGGCTTTAAACTTGATTATTTTTGCTCTAAAATTACCTTTTTTCGATAAGTGTGTTTGTGCCTTATGGAGCTTCCGCAGACAGTCTCAAGTGAACACTCTGAGAACTGCAATTTTTAACACTTCTGCATCTACTTTATTTCTGGAGACTATCTTGAAGACTCCAAAATCAGGCAACTGGACTTGACTGTGTAGAGTTGAGAAGACGTTTTGCCTCTTGTCCAAGAAGCTTCTTCAGTTCCAAAGATTGCTAGTGTGAGGAGCAGATATTTATCTTACTGGAGAAGGGGACAGACAACGACTGGGAGGAGTTGGAAAGAATACCCCCTCTGTTCAGAGAAGGTTTCTCCAGCCTGGTAAAGATGGCTCCTTTAACTCCTCTTTCAAACCATCTGTCTTCTCTGGCCAACACCTCTACATTGTGAAGCGGTTGTTTAGTTTCCCCATTGTACAGGTCCGAGCATTCCTCGCTGCACTGGACAGCAAACACCACATTACTCTGTTTGTGTCTCTGTGTTTTGTCCTTGGGATGGACTAGCTTCTGCCTTTGTGTGTTACCAGGCTTGAAATGAACAGGAATATGGTGTTTGCCACAGATCCTTTTGAGTTTTTCCGACAGAAATGCAACATAAGGGATTAGAGTGCTCTTGCGTCTCTCCTCCCTTTTGTGTTCACTGTTATTTCGCCTTCTGTTCTTCACTAAGGCCCACTTAGGGTATCCACAGGTTGTCAGGGCATTTTTGATGTGCTTCTGTTCCTTTTCCTTACCTTCTTTCTTCATGGGAATGTTCTCAGCCCGGTGGTTGAGTGTTCTGATAACACCCAGTTTGTGCTGCAGAGGATGGTGGGAATCAAAAAGTAAATATTGGTCACATGACAGGGGTCGTTAACAACTCTTTCAGGTTAACGACCCGGAGATAGGTTTCTACGACTTATTCTTTCCAACTCCTCCCAGTCGTTGTCTGTCCCCTTCCCCAGTAAGATAAATATCTGCTCCTCACACCAGCAATATTTAGAACTGAAGAAGCTTCTTGGATCAGAGGCGAAACGTCTTCTCAACTCTACACAGTAGATTTTGGAGACTTCAAGAAAACCATGACCTGGATGAATGAGAATCTACATGGACCTTCCGGAGACTACATGTCACAGTTTGGCACACACACAAATTAATACTTGTGCCAACAAAGTTCCTTGTTGGAATCAGTATTTAAGCTTTTGTGAGGAGTTGTCCACTGGTTACAAAACCAAGCAAAATTAACATATATGTATATGAATGACAAAAGACAAAAAAGGTTTGTTACAATTCAAAGCACCAGTAAGGAGTTTTTGACAGGTTAGATCAGACTTACATCACTGTCAGTGTCTATACATGAGCTACAAAAGCAAACCAAACCGCCAATTTGAAGGAAAAAAAAAGGACCTTTTTATGGAACTTAAAACTGCAGAAGCTCATGTACAATACATTTGCAAGTACCAGCAGCATTTGGGTGATTTTGGTTCGGCTGCAACAGAATCGAATTAGTTGAATCCTGCATCCGGCAAAACTCACAGCCAAATGTAGGATTTCGGGGTGGCACCTGGGCTGACCAATTACATTTAATGAGAGTGCATGCCACCTTACACATTCTTGCAGTATGTGTGGGTGTTCGTGTCTTCGTGTCCTCTGTGTGTCAGTTTCACTTTGTAGAGGGACAGATGACTGTCTAATTACTTTCGGCACACAGGCAGACGATTTCCTGCTCCTGGACTGCACGTTAAAATACATCTGAATGCTCTGCTTTCATATTGTTTTCTTTATCTCAATCAGAGATCAAAAAACTGTGTCAAATGCAGCATGAAGTTTCATCATTTCACACATGAAGGGTTCAGCAGTGATGTGGTTTGAACAGATCTTGGCCACTGGGAATCAAACTCACGCTGCCTCACACTCAGTGGGAACATTTTACAGAAAAGTGTTTTTTTCCTCACGAGCTGATCTGACAGCTGATCATGTGACAGGAACTGACAGTGCCTGTCAGAACTAAATGGATGGATTAATTATTACAAAGCTTGTTATGTAAATAATGCAGTGAAATAAGTATACTGAGTTTGTCTGATTATTATTCCTAATCTCTTTTATTCATGGAGAACAAAAAAATGAATTCCTGCTACTACGTGAAATGTTATATTTATTGTCAGTATTTGAATTTTGTGGTTAAAAATAACTTCACTGGTAAAACTACCAACAAAAAAGGTGACACTGAATATTAATTTTAATAAATAATTGGATGAAAGATGAAAAGAAGGAAAAGAATAGAAAGGAAAAGCACAAGTATTGAAAGAAAGAATAAGAAAAAGATGGAAAAATTGCAGATGAAGTAAAGGAAGAAGGTAAGGAAGATGGAAAACAGGTGGAGGGAAAGAGAAAAAAGAGATAAAGAAAATGAAAAAGGGAGGAGAAAAAGAGAAAAGAGAAAAAGGAGTCAGGAGGAGAAGAAGGAACATATTAAGAACAAAGACGAAAAAAGTAAAATGGAAGAAGGGAAATAAAATCAAGTGTTAAGAAGAAAAAAGAAAATGGAAATAAAGAGTGGAAAGTTAAAGAGGAGGTAAAGAAGGGAAATGGAATGAAGATTGAGAAAAGGAGAGAAAGAATACGAGGGAGCAAATGTAAAAAACATTTTTGAGGAAAATTTGGACAAAAATGAAGACAGAGACAGAGAAGTGCAAAGACAAGACTATGACATGAGCATGAGGAAAAAAGTGGAGAATCTTGAAAAATGAGAAAAACAGTCAATAAAAAATAAAGAAAGGGAAAAAACGATGAAACGACTGAACAAACAAACGAAAACAAAAAGATTTAGAGGGACTACAAGGGAAAACAGAGTCACACATAACAGCCCCAAAGTGACGCAGATAAGTTTATGCCTGACATGTTGACAGGGTTGTTTAGAGTCACACACATCAGCTGTTCATCAGTTCATCCGAAAATGACAATTCAAGATAGAAAAATAAATGCCTTTTCCACTAGTAGGTTCAGTTTCTCATAGAAAAAAGTAAATTAAAAAGCACTAGCTGTGATTTTATATCTTTATTTTAAGGGGACTCTCCCCTGATCCTCTCTGCAGTGGTTTAGAGAGCATTGATCAGGTGTTTGTTGGTCTGATGTTGTTTGAATCGATCGTCTCACAATTCCAGGTGAGCTGAGACTCTGAGGCTTCACAACTGCAGACACTAGCACACAGTTAGGACAGTCCTGAGGTGAACAGGGACAATGATAAACTGTAAACCTCGGGTGACAAACAACACAAATGTTTTGAACTTACTCCAGAGACAGAGTCCTCGGACCGCCGTGTTCCGTGTGTCCCGCTGGATCAACGACGAAACAACGCGAGATGGTCAGATTTATTTTCCGTCAGGACGAGTTTGACTCTCATCCTCCGCTCCTCCGGTATGTTCTCCGCGAGTTGACGTCCGTCTGGAAACGGGATGAAGCAGTGCAGCTCTGAAACATGTAGGGAGACACACTGAAGCATGCTCTGAAACACCGAGAGTCTGCAGCAGCATCATACGAGCCGAGCGAGGACCGTCTCAGTCTGTAACCTGGTAACAGACTGAACACACAAGTAGGAGGTGTTAAAATCCTACACTCTGTGTGTGTGTGTGTGTGTGTGTGTGTGTGTGTGTGTGTGTGTGTGTGTGTGTGTGTGTGTGTGCCTGCCATATGAACCGCTACAGAGCCTACTGATGTGGCTTGACTTGTCAACATTCTTCTTGCTGAAATAAATCGGTAACGATTTACAATAACCATAACTTATAAATGGAAAATAAATCATTTATAAATATAAATGATTAATGTTTAATCATCATTTATAAATATCATATAGACCATTGATAAATTGTAAATTTTACCATTTTAAAAACCTAACCCTAACTTTACATTAACCATCTAGGTAATGTTCATAGATGATTAAAAAGCAAATATTAACCATTTACAAGGTGCTACTGACACACATTTTAATGTAGATGTTTTACAACCAATTTTTAAACCCTATATAAACCTTAAATAAATAGTCCTTTAATAATTGATGAAAATTATTAATCATAATTTCATTGCTTGTTAATGCAAAAGTAACAATGAATGTACATTAATAAACCATCCATTTACCATTTATAATTGGTCTATATGCTGTTTTTAAATGATGATTAAACATTGATAAACTATCCATTTACCATTTATAAATTATGGTTATTGTAAAGTGTTACCAATAAATCAAATATAGCCTATCAAATCATTAGAAAAGCTGTTTTTACTTATCTGTGGTAATCACTGAGTTCAATGGGGGAAAATGGGCTATTTTGTCAGATATGTATACAAATGTTTCCATCTAATTGGTATTTGAGCTATTGAAACTGTCATACAAAGACACATTATAATGAATCAAAAAGTATTGAGGCAATTTACATAGATAGCCCAATGTTATTTTTTTTTATTACGATTTGGCTAAATGTTTAGATGTTGGCAATTTTTAGTCAAATAGGGGTTGATTTGTAATAATAAGCCTCAATAAGCCAGCTATCACTTTACTTCATGACTCCACCATTCCATCTACTCCTCTATTAACTCTTTGTTATTCCAGCGGTAGTTTTTATGCTAATCATCCCTTCTTCCATCCATCTACTCTTTTTCATTCAAATCAATGTCACAACAACGTCCATCCATCCACCCACCGATCCATCAATCTGTCCGTCCATCTGTCCATCCACCTAACCATCCATCCTTTCACCTTACCATCCATCCATCCATCCATCCATCCATCCATCCATTTATTCATCTTTCTACCTAACTATCCATCCTTCCACCTAACTATCCATCCTTTCACCTTACCATCCATCCATCCATCCTTTAAATCTATTAATCTATTCTTTGTTTTCGTGTGTCCATCTTTTCTCCTTTTTAACATCCACCCTTTTTTCCCCATCTGCCTCCAAAAATAATATAAAGACACAAAAGAAAAGCAGAGATAGTGGCCGAGCATTTATAAGAAAACTAGAACGTGGTGTTCAGCCTTCAGCTGCAGGGAATGAGTTCATTTTTTCAAAGCTGTACTAGAGCTCAGAGCTATCACACTCACAGTGAGGCTTATATCACGGTTCATCATTTCAATCAATCAGTGTTGGTGAATGAATATGAATGAATATGACTACCATGTCGATCCGGTCTTACAGACTTACAGGGACAATGTCTGGGCTTCATTCAGCCTCACATACAGCTTCATGTTTATCCACAAGCATAGATTTAAAAGGAGGAATTTTTCAGTTCTTGATATGGAGTCACAAAAGAGAATCTTAAATCAATGCAGAGTTTACTTAAAGAAACTTTAGAGCCTAAAAAGTGCCACACAGGAAGAAAAAAAGGATAGACCCAATTAATTTTCATTTCTGTCTCAGCAGAATAATCTGTCTGAGCTTTTTTTAATTGGGGGGATGTCATATTTTTGTAGTCGGCTTAGAGTTGCCTCATTAATGCTTCATATCTGCCTCTGCAATGCACAGAAAAGTGATATCTTTATCTTATTGTAGTGTCTGCTGCGTTGAGCAGCTATCATCTGACGATAAATCATCTTGGGAGACCAGTCAAACTTTTAAAAGTTTTCATCGTAAACTACAAAAAGTTCCAACTGTAACAATTTCATGTCCCCATTCATTGTATCCTGTCGCCCCCCTATCATTCATTGTATTAATGTTTAGCACTAAAAAAAGCAATAAAAAGCAATAAAGATCTCATGGGTCCATGCAGTCATGACATCAGGACTCTATGTTCAAAACGGGTTTAGCACTTTTGATAAATAAGAGGAGATGTTTTTATTATAGGTTTTGAACCTTTGTGTGTTGGAGTGTGTGCTTTCTAGTATTTTACAGCCTATAGATTTTCCCCCTGCTGTTATCACTGACCAGTTGATTGCAGCCTTGGGGCTCATAAAGCAGATGCTTCTTTTTCGTTTTCCTCTTAACCTGTATTGATCCACCTGAAAGAGCTGCGATTAATCAATACATTGTTGTGTTGTACAAACTCTGACTCTTGGTCACGTCTGCAGTTCATCACACAGCAACTGTTCTTGGATAGAAACTATTCTCTCCTCCAAGGCTGCTAACGATGGGTTCACAGCAGGCTCAATCAACCATCTGTTGTAGTGTTTGGTGCAACCACATCAGTTCTTATTGTAGTAGGAATCCACGGTAGAAAAACACAATGGAGGAGTGAGGTTTTTATTGTTGGTATGGGCAGTAAACAATTTATTTTCTAACCAGAAAGATAACATGACCAATTCTTGGTTGTATAATGAGTGTTGCACTAGGAGAAAATGTATTGCACCAGTAAATAGATTGTATTGCAATAAACTGAATGTGCAGTAAATTGGATGCAGTGGTGAACGCAGGTGTGTTGTACCCCCCTGGTGTCATTATGTCTGGAAAAAATGTCCTCTTGAATATCCTTGTAAATAAAAATAATAATCAAATACCCAATCTGGTGCCCTGTCCACAGAAAGTGTGTAAAAATGCCTCTAATCGCTGCTCTTTGAGTAGATGAAAAGTGCCCAATTAGCACTCACCCAGTATATAAAATGTCATGGATGGATGCCTTTTCAGTGTATAATGAATAAAAAGGTGTCCTCTGAATGACCCACCAATGCATAAATTGTGAAACACAGTTCTCAGTGGATCCCCTTCCAATAGGTAAATGGTAAAATAATATCCACCTAGATACCTTTCCAGAACATAAGGTTACAAAGAGCCATGTGGAAAGTCTTTTAGGATACAACATGTTAAAAGTGCCCTTTGACTATCCTTCCAGAGGATTAAATATACAAAAAAATGGATGAATAAATAAAAAATTCACAGAGAGGGATTTTGACTATATGAAATAGTCAGAAAAGGGCCTTGTGGATGTCCTACCAACACATAAATTGTAGAACAGTTCCAACTGGATACCCTTCCACTGGATGAACTGTAAAATAAGGTCCATCTGGATAGCTTTTCAGTGTATAACAGGTTTTAAAAGTGCTTTATGAATTTCTTTCCAATGCAAGAAAAGTTAAAAAACAGTTCCCTCTGGATTCCCTCTTAGTATGTATAATGTAATAAAAAGACCTCCTGCATATTGGTTTTTAAAAAGTGCCCTGGATTGCCTAACAGTGGATCAAATGTAGAAAAAAGTGCCCGCTGTGTGCCCTTTGAGATATACTGTCTTTTTTTCAAGATACCTTCTAGATGCCCTTCCAGTGCAAAGTAGATAAACAAATAAAAATAACATAAACAAACAAAAGTTCCCTCATAGCTAAATGTAAAAATAAGAAACCCTCTGGATGCTCTTCCAGAATATGAAAAAATGTTCCATCTGAATGCCCTTTAAGATTTCAGTGTAAGAGATCCGAAAAGTACTGTTTGGTGACTTTACCTTATTGAACCGTGTTGACGGTTTGTGAGCAAAGTTTATCACCCCAGAAAGTCTCTGTTGAAGTGTGAACTCTGTCAAAGACATTACAGATCCAATCTTAATTGAATTTAAGCCTCATGCAGAAAAAAAACCTGCTTTTTTTGTTAATATTGTTTTTGGAAATTTCTATTTTCCACCAAAATGCACAAAATCAAGAGTTACAAACACAAACATTTTATTATGTCTGGGTGAATCACACACTGTGGGTATAAGGGATTTGAAAAACTCTCCAATTCTGAAACCCTCAGGCAATCTAATGTCCTGGATTGCCAAAGTAAATATTTTACCAGCCAACCATTTCTGAGATGCAAAGGAGGGACAGAAAAGTAAAGGGCTAAAAAGTGGTCTTTAAAATGCTCTATCGGCAGGTCTTCATCAAGCTCAACTTTCTGTGCCCCCTACACACACAGAATCTGTGAGGTGCTGATGTGAAAGGGACTGGAAAATCTCTACAGACATAGAACTTTCTATAGATACAAAAGGAAAAGAACAACTTCAAGTATGTGTGTAAGATTATCACTATAATTAGATGTCTATTGGAGCCTGGCCTGCTCTTGTGTAAACCCGGACTCAGCTGTGTGAGAACCCGTAGGAAACATGGAAATCAATAAAGGAAGGAAGATGATTCTCCTATGAAAGAATCTGCTCAAGAGCCTCTCTTGCCATGTAATCTAAATCAAGTCCCTTTCACCTTCACATCCCTCTACTGTTTGGTTTGAAGACACCTTTAGTCGCCGTGGTAACAGATACACCTCAAGGAGTGTCCCTGCAGAAATGCATTAAGGGAGCTAATTGAGTTTTATTAGTTGACAGCAGTACAGACTCCAGGTGATTTCATAAAGCAGAAAATTCATGGTGTGTTTTTCGTCATGTATGGGAGCAAAGTGGGTTACACAACCCAGTGTGAGAGAAGAGATTTAGAAGCTGCTTTCAGACAAAAACAACAACAAGAAACCACCACATCTTTTGTCCTGAGTAGTAGCTGCTTTGACAAATACGTCATTACTTCAGTGTTTTTCAAGTGCTCATTTTTTCTTTTTTGAAGGACAGCTACAGTTTCCTTTTTTTCTACTTATAACCTGTGCAACCTCTTTACAAGATGAAGTACAGGAAGCCTGAAGTATCCAAAGAGCCAGGAGTGCTTGTACTTGTCCTCAAAGGCCAGAGTCTATTTCCATCATCGAATAAGAAACACAAGCCAACTTTAAAAATGGACTGTGTTGAAGAAGCCTTTTTCTCTAGTCCTCTGGCCATTTAAAGCACTTCACATCACATGTCACATTCACCTATTCACGCCACATTCACACACTGATGGCAGAGGCTGCGGGGGCGGGTGGGCTAGAGTGTCTTGCCTGAGGACACTTCAGCATGTGGACGGCCCTGAGATCGAACTCCCGATCTTCTGATTGGGAGATGACAGACTCTGAGCCACAGCCAACCCAGCTAACATCCATAAGTCTCTTTCTTTTTAATTACATATCCATTTCAGAGTGCTCCCAAAAGCCTGTCATCATGTTTACTTTTTGTTTTTCTCAGTGAAGCATGAAAGAACTCTGTAATTATTTAGTCTGGAGCTGATAGAAAAGTACATCAGCGTCACTATTACACTATATGTATGTGATGGTTTGTGTGTGTGTGTGTGTGTGTCTGTGGTGGGAGGGGTTGAGCAAGTCAGCAACTCAGGGACAGACTCCTGCTGTGTCACAAAGGTCAGAATCAGTCCACATTCACCCTGCTGCCTTCATCGCCACAAATAACACCTGTGGAAAACAAAGTGATTTCTGTAAAAGAAAAAGTCCACTATGTTTCTGTTTGATGTTGACGATATTTAAAGGAACAGATTCATTTTACAGAAGGAGAGGAAAAGCAGTGGAATCTTCTGAACATTTCAGGGCAAAATAAAGCAAAATAAAGAGATGCTGTTCTATACTAATACAATCTTTTCTATAGGGACTTAGAATAAACATAAAACTAAAGGAGCACTTAACAGACAGAAAACATACAGTGTAAGTCTTCTATAAGAATTGTTATGTCCCGACCCAGAGGAAACCTGGACCTAACACACTGTGTGACCCTCCCCCCACTATTCCTGCCGCCAAGAAAAAAACAGCAATACAGCTCAATTTGGGATAAAAACTGCAGATTTGATGATCTTCAGAGGTGAGCAAGTGCCCAAAACAACAAATAAAAGTTATTTTGATAAACCCTGAACTTACCTATTTTCCATCTTTTTAGAAAATATTTTGTTTTTAATCACTGTAAAGCACTTTGAAATGCATTCGATAAAAAGTACTTGATTGAACGTGATTGAAGTTGCTAATAAGCACCAATAAAAGTACAGCTGTTAACCCCAATTTCCACCGCATCCGGAACAGCTACGAAAAGGCCATATCCGCCGATCGTAGCTGATCGTAACCATTCAACTTAATGTGTCAATTTCCACCGGCTTCCTTTCGTTCAGCTGCGGATCGCCGGACTCCACAGCTGATTGCAAGAGTTCTATTTTTTTCCGGACGCTGGAGCATGCCGGATAAAGTCAGCTCAGATTAACCCGTGCTAGAAAGGAAGTCGGGGAACAGACACAAAATAAAACATCCAGCTTCTTTTCAAATTTTCCAGCTTCTTTCCGCCTGAAACACTGCGAATAGTATTCCACACCATGCAAACGGGCAGGGATGAACAAGTGAAAGGTTTATAGACAGCATTTCATCCCCATGACCAATAAGTCTAGAAGTGGATTTCCTCCTCTGGAAGGACACAATCTACTGCTTATATGGTAGCCTTTGTGGCTAAAGACAACTTGTTATCATGCAATCGAGTCTGCTGGTTGTTGTCAGTTCTCGCGATTCCTGCTGTCTGTAATCTGCCACGAAATTCGCCTCACAAACGGCTCCGATCCGTAACGGCGAAAATTGCTGTCGTTCCGGATTAGAGCCGTTCTGGATGGGGTGGAAATCCTGGGTTATTCAGCTGAAGCAGGGGCCAGCCAGCTAGGATTTCAGACTCAGGGTACCTAAAGTTGCTCTGATTTTTCCCTGATATTTTCCTGAGTTGGCATTTTCACTCACAAAGATGCTTCGTGTGACGTATCCAAAAGGCATCTAGTGTTTCCAAATTTCTAGATCAAATGGAACGAGCTGTTTTGACTGTATGAGAGTCTCTTTACATTATTTTGTGGACACATTAACTTTGGTAAAAGATTAAAAAACTTGTATAACTTCTGCATTCTTGTGGGTTGCGGTCTGATGGAAAATTCTGGAGTTTAAAGGTTGGCCTGCTGAGGGTCTGACAGTGGCAACATTCATGCTGGCAGGCCGTCTCCTCTCAGTGAGCAAAAATCAATGACCTCTCCAGAGAACAAATGTCTGACATTTAATACATTCATTAATTTAGGTTTCAGTTCGAGGGCAGAGTCAAAAGACCAGCCCGGGGAAGAGCTGAAAAGATTTCTCAGCTCTGGAGGAAAGTCTTAAAATAATCTCAGAAACTAAACCAACAGTGTGAGTATGTGGTGAGTCTTATGCTCATGTGGTCTTGTTGGATTCACGTTGGCTCAGCTTCGCATCAGAGAGGTTGTTATTTTCACACTTTAGATTTTATATTGATTTGACCACCAAAGTAAATGTGTAGACCTTTAGATCTGAAAGTAAGAAGGTTACAGAACTTCAGGGAGCTGCAGACACTCGCTGTTTGCACTTTTTGAACTAAGCTAAGCGAAGCTAAGAAGCACATGAAGCTTGTGTTTGTGGTATATAATTGATTTCTGTAACATATATCTATGTGTGTATATTTGCACTGTTTTGATGGCGTGTTAACATCAGCACACACTCATTAAGTCATGCAGAGCGTTGAAGAGAAACTAATTAAATACTGGAGCTTAATGTTTTTTCAGTGAAGGCAGAAAAAAAAAACAAACCGAAGAAGAGCACGTTCCTTTTTACTTTTAGAGTTTTTAATTAAAGTCAATTGTGGCTGTCAGCTCTTCATTAAGTCTGTTAATAGATTTCTCTCTTGATACAGACGAGAGGAGAGGATAGAAAAAAACATCTACAGCTTCAGTCTCCCCCTCAAGTATTAGAAAGCCTCATATGTTTGTCCTGTGCTTCATTTGTGCGCTAACATAACGTAATGTTTCAGGCTATTAAAATGTGCAACTGAGAGCAACGAAAGGTTTTTTTGTCATAAAAAGCAGGATAATAAAACTACAAATCCCTTAATGCCAAGTATCTCAACTTGGTATCTCATGTATCTTTTAAAGGGATTAAAGTTTGTTTTTTAAAGAAAGATTTCCTTAGATCAATGACGACAGGTGGCTGTCAACTGATAAAAGGATCACTAAGAGGCGGCAGTGGCTCAGGAGGTAGTGCGGTTGTCCAACAACCGGTGGTTATTGGTTCGATACCCCCCCCCCCCCCCCAATCCTGAGTTTGTTCAATGTGTCTTTGGGCAAGATACTTAACCCACCTTGTTCTTAGGGTGTGTCCTCCACTGGTGTATGAATGTGAGTGTTGTGTGGCAGTGGTCAGAGAGGCAGTGGGTGCAAAATGGCAGCCACGTTTCCGTCAGTCTGCCCCAGAGCAGCTGTGACTACTAAGGTAGTTTAACTACCACCAAGGTGTGACTGTGAGCGAATGAATGATGTATCCAATGTAAAATGTTTTGAGGGTCTCTGATAAAGCGCTATATGAAATCTGATGCATTATTTAAGAGGTGCTTCATCGATGGGCACAGGGAGTCCTAACGAGATCAAGATCTTTGCAACATTGTAAAGACACCACATGGACAAGACAAGATCTATACAGAGTAGATTCTATCTATCCTGTTTATATCTATACATGCATATATAAAGTGTAAATCTAGTGAAGTCATCTTTGGTTTCTTTTATTGGCTCTGACTGAAAAATCTGCTGCTCACATTAGATAAATTTCCCTCTTTCATTGTCCTCCCTTCTCTGCTTCTTAGCTTCAGTTAATCTTTAACAAACCTGCACATTTCTCGAACACTTACACAATCAAAATCTGAAAAATAAACACAGATTGTGCCTGTTTTTTCTGCAGATTTATATCATGAAAACATAAGTGTATGTTCTTTATACCACATGTCATGGCAGTTTTCAGTCCCCTGTGTTTAAGCCCTCGTGGCTTTATAAAACAGTGCATGCATATGTGATTTAACACAACCGCAGTCTGACTTAAATAAACCAACATGTTTTTCTGCACACTGTTTAACGTTTTTGCTCGTTTGCCTTTGTCATTCTCCATAAATGAGTCACAGTAAATTTCTTTGTGTGTCTTGCAGCGTTTCTGTCAGCAGTTAGAAGATCTGTGACCTTTGCCTTCTTTGTTCAGTGCAATTCAAAACCAGACCTGGCTTCAATTAGCTCTAACCTAACAACAGGCAACAAGGTATGAATGTGCGCCTCTCATTCACACACTCACACAGCAGCATGGATGGGGACTGAACTATTTGTGTGATTGAATAAGGCTGCCATTTCTTCCTCTCATTCTCCTGCTGTTTTTTTTTTTTGAGGATTTGATTAGCTACGAATTATCTGACCTCTGACCTCTAAGGGAGCAGACCAAGAACAAGTCCAGCTTGTATGGTGACACAATAAAAATAAATAACTAACCTTAACTAAATAACTAAATGGACAATAACAAAGGTAGATGGTAAATGACACTTAAATAATACATCTATCACATTTCAAAAAAAAGATCCAGCATATGACTGTTAGAAAATGATCCACCGTTGGTCTTAAAACGTGTAAAAACACATGCCAAATGTTAGTAATGTTGTCAAAATATCTGAAATCTAGGGGTTGCCCCAACATTCCCAACAAGCAGCCACTTCTGTTTTCTTAAAATGGAGCCAACTCTGAGGGTCCAAAAACTGCAGTTCTTTAAGTGTCCACTAGAGACTGTGTCCAAAACATTAGTCAGCCCTCATTGAGCTTTATGTCAAAATGTTCGACTCTACAGTTGAAGTGAACAAGTTGACTTGGGCCTTTGGAGATTATTTCCAAAAAGTCATTTAAACCCTATATTTAACTAAAAGCAGTACACACACACACACTATGTCAAATATTGAAACATTAGGAAGTGTTATTTAAAAAAAAGTATGCTCAGTTTAAATCAAGTAAAATAGTAAATGATCCCCTGGATAGAAAAATCTTTTAGTTTTGGTCATTCAAAGCTCCTGTGAAGAGCTTTTGGTCTGAGCCAACTCTAGCGCCACCTATGGACGAAGCAGCCTTATCCCCTACATTTGCATGTAGTGTCTTTTGAAAATTAATCTCATCCTGCAGACTTTGACAGGCAAATCCATCATCGTTTATTGTAAACATTTTATCTGGGACTTTTTCATTTTACCTCTAAACTAAAAAGAAGAAACCATCCAAGCCTTCTCACCGAAGGTAGGAGCACAAAAATTCAGAAAAGTATCCAAATCAAAGTAATTCAACCTCAGAGAGTCATTGTAACCTGCAGCTAGTATGCTTTTATCTGTACATATTGATTTCAGTGATCTTGATAATCGCACATGATCTTGTGGAGTTCTCTTGATTTTGTAATCTAGAAAGTTCAGCAACTCCAAGCTGCTTTGTGGACAGGGCAAAAATGGACAAAACCGTAAAGTCCCAGTTCATGTGCTTGCTGTTGAATCAAGGGTGATGAACCTTCTTTGTGCGTTTGATGTTGTTCCTAAAAATCAAACTGATAAAATTCTGATCTGAGCATCAAAAGCAGCCAAATTAGGATCCCATCTTCAAGCTTGTCCACATGTGGCTTAGATTTAATTTGTCATTTTTTTAAGTTTGACGTTGCAGCTTTCTGAAATAAATCTGGACAGAGTTTGCATTTACAACTGGTCTTGACTGGTAGTTTAAATGAGGTCAAGTCATTGCCATCATCAAGTTATGATTCATACTTTTTTTCTGAGAAGTGTTCTGCCTTCTGCAAAGTTGTCCTTCCATACAATAGTTCCAAATCTTTTGTTGATTTTCAATATTCCCAATGATCTTGACATACTTTACTGCCTTCAAATCTATTGAAACTGCACAAAAAAACACACATTCAGAACTAAATCAGTGTTTTTTAACCTCGTATGAAAATAGTTGAATGGTGAATGTGGTTCAATAAAAGTTGGAATGTTTCTGTCTGTTGAAGAGCGCTGAAACCTTCAGTCAATGAATCTCAACAACATCAGGGTCTAGTGCTTGTCAGAGTTTGAGGAAATGTTGAATAAAGAGTATACAGGTTTTGTTCTGCTTTTGTCATTCAACCTTCACGACCAAATCTAATCAATGCAAAGAAAAAGAAAGACAAAGACAAGAATGCAAACTGCACATGAATTATGCCAGCTGTGAGCGGGCAAGGCCACTCAAACATGACCTGCTGACGTCAGTAATGTTTTCGAGTTTTAAGATCTTTGTTCGGTGGGCGACTGGTAGTGACTCATTTTTGGCAAAAATTTGATAAATTGGACTATTTTAGCTAAACTAACAGCCTGAGTGCATGCACTGAAATATAGAGCAGCTTGTTCAGACAGAAATCAGCATTTATTATGATTTAATGTGATGACATGTAGCTATACTTTCCAGGGTAAACATGACACTGTTAGTGAGTAGACTGTGAATCTTAACCCTAAGTGTCACTATAATCTTCCAGAGAGCCGACCCTGGACTTGTGGATATTGCATGATGTCACAAAGAGCACTGATCTTCAACAATTTGAAGGTCCTGGCTTCAAATGACAGCAGTGATCAACTCATATGAAGCTATGAGGCTAATGGGATGTACGCCAAATAATGAAAATAGAGTCACTTTCACTGATCTGTGCTGTTTGTTAGGAAAATTTTGTTTTTTATTTTCTTTCTCCGTCTGTTGAGGTTTTGTTTGCTAACCTGAGCCCGGCGTGCTAATACTGGGGCTGAGCTCTGAGGCCAGTTTCAGTCCGATATACATGACAGAGAAAATCGATCCCCAACTGTATAATCTGTGTGAGTCTTACAATAGCCACGTTTACATGGGGAACATTTCTTGATCCGATTAAAAATTTGACAGATCGGATAATCTGAATCCACTGTTTATATGGGTGCAAAATCAAATAATCCAATTATGACGTGCGTATACTGCAACAAGCTTTATTTAAATTAGAAGTGTTTGGACATGCGCAGAGTTGTCTAATTTCACTAAAACATCCTCAGAAGAAGAGTTGTATTTACACCTGTGCTGTCAACAAACCAACAAACGCGGTATCGGCTCACTCCATCCAATTTAGGAGTTTTCCTCCTGTTAAATGTTGTCACTAGATGGCGCCCTAGCTTACTTATTTTACTGTTCTGTCAAAGTTTGTGCACTGTGCGCACGATTGTGACATCATTACACTGTATGTACGCCTTTTTATGTTACCGGAGGAGGAACAGACATAGCACCTGCGGTTGTGTTTTATGAAACCACCTGTACCGACCTCAATAAAAAAGCCAAAGGCTAAGGAGTGAACATCGAGTCAGGTAAGAGAGTGACAATCAGAATTGGATCAGAATTGGATCAGAATCTTCCGATCGACATGTTTACATGTGCGCCACCCTCCGCCACACTGCCGGCGGGCATGAAAATAGAGCCCTCAAGGTTCAGATCCAGAAGAGCGGCAATCTATGTGAGACAAGAAGTACATGATTCCTTCACACACTGAACTTTGAGCGGTGACCAATAAATCTATCTGCTGCCTGGCCAAAGTGGTTGACTGAGTAGTGAAAAGGCTGGAATTCAAGGCTTACATCTACTCTGGTAGCACAGCCACCTGGCTACATAATGTATTCATGCTAATTTTAGCCTTCGGAAAGCTAACGGAAAGTACTTACGGGAGCAGAAGCAGCATCCAGAGAGAGAACAATGCTGTGAATAATCTGAAGGTCCAGTGAAGGTCTGTGTAAGCTCTGGGGAGAAGCTTTAGTGATGAGACTCTCATTCCCACACAGCAGACTGAACCACCAACAGTTCATAAAGTTAAATTCATGCTGAAACATCCAGCCACTGCTTTCTGCCTACATTCCTGGCTGTAAATAGATCTGAATTTCTACCACAAGATCTCTAATCTGACGAGGCAGCATTTGCATAATGGACTGATTTGGGTTTACTGTGGTTACTGAGTAAAAACACCAGGACCTCGACAGAAAAGAGATGGAGTTCAGGTGTGGTCAGGAGGGAGGGTAATCATTCTAAACACTGAAGGTTCTTGTTTGTGCAGGAAGAGAGATTCTAAGTGGGATAAATTGGGATGGATGATTTGAGGGACTGGTTGTCTCTTTGCACCTGTGATTTATGCAGCAGGTTTAGACTTAATGCTCATTTCTGTTGATTTGAGGGACTGTCAGTACAACAGCTGCTGGAGACCACTTTGGAGGCAATTACACTTGCTCTGACAGAGAATCGAGCAGGGTACTCATCAACTGAAGTGTCTTATGCATCTTGTTCAAATGCTCCAAACACTTCATACACGCAAAGCAATAAAGCTGCGCTGCTTATTTGTATTGTGAGTTTTTTTTTTTTGCTGCAGTTTGTCCATATATTCATGGGGTTGTTATTCATTGTTAGTTATTTGTCTTTCAGTTTGCATTTCTGTGGTTAATTTAAACAAAGTGATTACCCTTCATATTTTATTGGAGTTAAAGTTTTCTGACATGATTTCAGCATGACAGATTTTAAAAACGGTAAAATAAATGAACTGTTTACCTGCCAAAACAATCATTTTCTCCACTATCCCTCTTTTGCTCTAATTGCAGCGGCTGCAATTATCCGTTCATGGTTGTCTTCGAGTGTCCACGATACTTAAAATTTCATTTTTGCAACAATGCCCATCTCAGCATAGACCAAAGAATACAAAGACAGAGGTACTTACAAGAGACCACAGCAGAGAGAACAGATTACAGCTAGTAGACAACCTTTAATTTAGCTTAAAATCTCCATAATTGTAAGAAGAGAAGTGAGATTCTTTAAAAAGGGTCACTAAACACCCAGCTGAAGACAATCTGTCAGGGATACAGTCTGGTTGGTCTATTAATATCTACAACACTGACATGTCCAGGTGGTGAGGAGTCACATTTTGTCCCCATCTGAGCTGACACAATACACCCAGACTTTTTCCTCCTGGCACTTGCACCAATTCTACCTCGAGGCAGGAAAAAATATTTCAAGTAAATACTCATATTTTTTAGGACATGCTGCCAAAGTTTAAAGTATTGAATAACAATAGTTTGGTGCAATGAGCTTGCAACACAACCTCTAATGTCCCAAAGTTAGAAGAAAGATGCAGATAGATGAGAAACAGGAGCAGCTGCATCACTGTGGTTATCAAGGGGGCTTCTACCTTCACCAATGTAATGTCAAATTAGGCCCACAACATCTCAGAGAGGCTCAGCAGTAAGCTCAAGTGTTTGCATCATCCACTATCAGCTCTTACCTCCAATCAATCCACTAGAATAGACAAGAAGTAAGACTAAAAAAAAGAGGGAAACAGAAAACTTGGTCAGACAAAGAACTGGAAGGGCAGAGTAAGAAGTCTGATTAAGCTTTGCTGTACGCCCTTTTTTGATCATTCACACAAGCATCCACACGGTAGGGCTGTACGCTCTTCCGTCCCTACAAAAGAGGCAAGAAAAGAGGGAAAAAGGGGATACATCATTTTCACCTCTATTTGTTTTGGCCCTGAACTGAAATTAACTCTCCTGATCCGGATCCAGTGACCGGGATTCATTGCTATTCCTTTTGTAAGTAGTTATTAATTGAACCAAAGGTGTCGTGTTTTTATTTTTTTTATATACTTAAACAAATAAAACTTGATGCAGTTTACAGAAACTTTTAACGTTGACTCAAAAGTTCAGAATGATGAAGCCAGTGAGCCATCATTAACACGTTTAACATCCCACTCAGAGCACATTAAAAGGCACAGTGACTCATGTTTAAGTTAAAAACAATATCTGACTTATCACACAGACATCACCCTCCTCATCCTCAGCCACCCACCCACACGCACGCATGCACGCACAAACACACACACACACATTAGACTAATGACGTGCCAACTTGAGGAAAGTTATATTTATCTTCGTTCAACTTTTTTGACTGTAAAGAAACAGCAGAAATAAAACAGGGGCTCTAGTTGTGGAGGGGTTGGGGTTAGTTTTGTGTCACCAGTATTTGGTTATTTAAATGAGATACATTGAAGTCGTCTTTATGGCGTATGAACTGTGTGTAAATTTCAAGTCTGTCATTAAGAACCTATGAGATTAAGTAGCAGAGTGTTGACAGTGACCAGTTTCACTCCTGCTCTCAAACACATTGAGTACAACGTAAATACTGATCATGATTTGCACCTCATAATAAAAGTCTGGTGTATGATATTTCCAGCAGGTGGGGCTTCAAATTTAGAAATGAACAATTCTTCATCTGCTCTAGTTTCATTTCCTTCCTGCTTAAGACGACACGGTCTACTTCAGTTTGAAGACAACTTTTGACATAAAAGTTTGGATTGTATGGGTTGGATTGTTTGGGTCTCATTTAACTAGTATGGTGACCAAATAACTGGTTCATTTGGTAAAACAAAGCAAGTTTATATAGATATACCTTTACCTTTTATCATTTAAGTAGAAATATAAAGCTTGCATACTTTAATCCCTCTTTTCAGGGCATGTTTATTGAGTTTTTTCACATAATTTTTCAATGTTAGGGGTATTTATCAATATTTTGTACTGCTAAATTGGTATTTTCTCTTTTCTGCTGGGTGTAAAACAATCTATTGCTAAAGTATGGACTGTCCCTTGTGAATCAAAGATACATGTTAGCTCACTCAAAGGATGAATGAGGATGAATGTGAGCATTTTGTAATCATGTCATCAGACTGTAGATGCAATGATAGACTTCTGAGTGAGTTCATCCTGTCAAGACGTCAGCGTTTTTTTTTTTTCTTTCTGCAGACTCTGAGTCGTTTCCTGCTCAGTGCCGGTTACTGTGATCATCAGAAAGATGAACATACGCAGGAAAGACAGCTTTCTCTGGGGAAAAGGTAAACTTTTATTTAATATCATTGACAGTTTATTTATGTTTTAATCCAAAATAGCTGCTAAAAAAAAAAAAAAAACATTTCAGATTGATTTTGGTGTTGTCATAATGCAGTCAAGTCTGCAGAACTTACAGCAGCATCTCATTTAGATTTGACCTGCTCTGTTTGTTTGTTTTCAACTTTTTATTCATATTGAATTTTATCCTCTGCTTTTGCTTGAATGTAGAGATAAACCACTTAAGAGAAAAAACAGACTGTCATTTATTTCCAATTTCTTTTTAACCTGTGATACTTGTATTTGTTTTCCTGTGTGTATGAACGGTGTTATCACTATTCTGCAAACAAAAGCTTTGGGCAGGTATTCCCGCTTGTTATCGCTTCTACTTTTTTAACCTGCTTTTTATCTATCACATCATCCTGGAATGACATTTATGATTAAAATAACTTGTCAACATGAAAAAAAAAACAGTATAAATGAAAGTATGCTGCAGTACTGTTCAGGACTTCCTTTAAAATCCTGGTTTAATGCTGAAGAGTACAATAAGAAACATGCAACAATATAGAAAACTGAACTTTAAAACAGGATTTGATGTAAAAGCTGTTAATAGGATGAGATTAGAGACAGTACAGGATGTTATCAGGGGTGAATCCAAAGGGCTGGCTGGGGTGGCATGAAATCTAATTGGCCACCCCAGGTGCCCCCCAAAATTTGTGTATAGTGATTGGCTGCAGAGGCGGAACTTTGTGTTGAGATCACCCATTTGGACTGAGCTTATTGCTTTTTTGCATTCAGGTGTAGCACATTTGCTTTTATAGGTCTTTAAATTGTGGACAAAGATTGCACATCTGAGGCAGGTGTAAAATTGCATATTGAAGGGATTTTAAAACAATACTTGCACACTAACTGTCAAGAATACAAGTATTGGCAACATTTACAGCAGGTGCATTTTGAGAGAAGTTTGGTCTGGAATATTGAAGTGGTTAAAAGTGTGAAGTGAAAATAGTCAACACCATACAAATTAACGTTTCCCATTGGATCTGTGATTTTTGAGTGTATACATTGACTGGAAATTTGCTGAATGTTAACTTAAGCTGTGATGTGATGTTAGTTAATAGATTGTGGTCTATTCTTTCTCAAATTAATGGCATGGTTTTGACCACAGAAACTATTTTTTTTTTTTTTAGTTCTTAATTATTTCTGATTCTAATAGACACTTGCAACAGTTTATTGACCCAACACTAAATCCTTGAAAGCTATTTCTATTCTTGCAAATTATTTTCCTGATTTCTGTTTTAATGGTCACACTGAAGTGAGACTCAGCCTGGTTCATTACAGAGAGGCGAGGAGTTGCTATTTCCAGCCTCCAGTTTCTCCCGTTCATTGAGCTCCCTTCTGATAGAGAAGGATGACATATGAAGGCTGCTGGCGGAGGAGCCTGGGAGGTTGTTAAAACAGTCCACGTTTGACCATTGCCTTATCAAATTCCTGCTCTCACAGCTCCGCCTAAAGCCCCCCCTGGAGAGACCAGGAAGGGAGAAACCATGAAGTCGTACAGGTGTGAGCTGCTGGAGGCCTCTCAGGTACAGAGCTAAGTGTTTCATCTTCAAGGTCTTATATCCAAACCTCCAATTATTTTCCTGCAGGCACACACCCCCAACGAGCAGGCCTTTTAACAACGCATACAGACTCACAAGGACTCACGAGGACTCGAGTAGAATCCCTGACGTTGTTTCAGACATTCACTCTGGTGCTCTGTGCTGAAACTTTCCTAAGTTGATTGTCCAAGCTTTATGTTTTCCTGTCTGACGTGGGTGGAAAGTCCCTGGGAGGCTGAACATGAACTTAAGTAGACGGAGTGTTAGTCATACTGTTGATTTACTGTACTTTTTTATTATACTGTCCTCATTTTATCACCCTGTACCCCCTCACATATTCATAGATTCACTAGTGTGTTAATGTTAAGGATTGCAATTGAGTTTATTTCATAGTAGCTGACAGACAGGAACTATACATAAATACTTTTTCATCCAGTTAGGTGTTGCTCTTTGGACTCAGGTGTCCTTTTGAAATGAACTGCTTAGCAGCTCTACACTTTGTTAAGCCACATCCAAGGCATTTGTCAACACTGGGTCCATCATTTATAGATGATATCTGTCAAGATAAACTTGCTCCGGAGGATTTTGTCCTTAATATTTCATAGAGGTTATTTATATTTAAATAAGGTTAACCTTATTCTTAGAGAGCACTCACCCTTATTTTTAATGGTTAAAAACATAAATTGACCAGCCAGCACTGCAGCTGAAGTTTACAGGAACTGCTATAATGTTATTGTGCTCTACAACCCAGATATAAACAGGCAGAGATTACAGATGGTACCACATAGCACAGCACTGTTTTTCAGAATTATGAGTGGATATTAAATTATACCGAGACTGTGTCTGGTTAACAAGATCATGGCAAATGTCATGTAGAAAGTACTGGAGTTTAGAGGGGATACCTGTTACCACACTCAGCCAAAGTAATCGAGCCACGTTCACCTGTTGATTCTGTGATCCCACGTTAGGCGAGGTTTAATTAAATTGTGCTAAATTTTGGCTCCTTTTCTCCTCTTGCTTTCAGACCAGTCAGTTAGTCCAAATTTAAATTTTTGTTTAATTGACTTGGACATGACTTGCTTCTCTGCACATCCTTCATCATCACCCCCTTCTAGTTTCCTGCCCACCCCTACAACTCATGGAAACCTCCTGGAAGGCTGGAACATTTCCCAGTAAAGTCTGGATAAAATTTTGGCTGTTTTTACTCCCACATGCAGTCTACCCATGAAAATTAGCAATTTGTTATATTTTTTAGATTTGTGAGTGAAAGCGACTGCAGACTTACAAAAGCTCATAAAAACTCAAGCCAACCCACACAGACTCACAAAGACTCACAAGGACACACTCAGAAGAACAGGCCATGGTGGAGACAAATCTTTTGCTCTGAGGCTCTGTATGTGTGTGTGTTTTTTTTCACCAGTGATGAGTTATCTGTTATTTGTAAAGGTTAATGAAAAAGCTTTTGTACTAAGCAAACACTCATACTGTGATAGACGTGATAAAGACATACACTGCAGTGTGTGGAGGAGGTCCTCTCTTGGGTTGGTGGACATCACAAAAGCCTGCTTCGTCCCTCTTAGCAACTTCATTAAAAAAGATTAAAAGCCACATTTGGCAAAATCTTATCATCAAAAAACATTTGAGTGACATTTCATCATGTTTCTGTGGTTAAAAGTGACCAGAAATGAAGGTCCCCAGTTGGTTGGCTTATAATGGTAGTTCCCTGTTGGCAGGGTACGTGAGCATAAGTGTGTCTGTATGTTCTGAGCTAAACTCACTAAAGCCTCTCTCTCTTGACTCTGACAGATGAATCCAATCTCAGAGATCCTCAATCCAGACCTGAAGCAGCACAAGTGAGTATGAGCAGCTCACCTGTCGGTCAGCTAAGCCTTTTTTTTATTATTTCACAGACACAGTGATTCACTTCAACTCCCACAACAAACCTCACGTTCAGTTTGCTCAGTTTGCTCAGTCTAACGGAGTCATGGAGTGGCTATATTGTGATTTTTATTTTCCGGAGTCAGACATTGATTTGGTGTCATTACCTGTGTGCTCTACAGTGAAAAACCTTTTAGACCTTAATCTCGAACCTTCAACCTCAGCTTTTAAACCTTTTAAAACCTTTCCTTATAAAGGGATAATTCTCACTGAAAACATTTTGTACCCTCATGGCTTAGTAAGAGAAGTCAAGTGTGACATAACAGCCATTTATTTCTTCCATTTCTCCATCAAAAACTCAGTTACTGATCTTTGCACAGGAGAAATGTTCAGAGAACATGTTGGTCAGAAGTGCGGCTCGCTGAAAACCTTCATTTTGGACCCCCTGTTTCTTTTCTCACTTTTTTCAGAAGGTGGTTATATTCTATTAAATGTATTAAAGGTTTTTTTTCTTGTTGGTGTTGTTTCAGTTCAACCTCAGTGTCTAAGTACCAAACACCACATATGAAAACCTCTAACACCAATCATGCTTTAAATACCCTAAGTGTGAAATGCTTGTATAGAGCCTGTGATGCGGGGAAACGTTCTCAGGAGTTCACATGTGACCACAGAAAAAAAAAAAAAACTATGACCATTTTGAAACTAAGATTTGGAATAATCAAGTAATGGAAATAATATCTTGCGCAAACTATTTTTATTTCTATAATGCTAAGTCATGAAAAATGTTCCCCTTGAAAAAGAGCAGGGCCATACCGCATACTTTGTCACATCATTGATGAAGATCCAACATTACTTAGCAAGAGCAGAGAACTTGTGTACAATGCAGGAACGGCAGATTTTGATCTAACCAGTCAAGGGACTGCAGATGTAGTTTAGCTTTAAGCTAACTCTAGCACAATGCATCAAATGATAAAGGTCCTTACACACCGGGGCCGATGCGAATATAGAACACGAAATTACGAAATATTCGGAGGCAAATTTTGACGCGCCTGACTATACACATCAAGCCCGATGCGATTTTGCGACTTTCCAGGGGGAAAGAACGCGTCCTGGGTGGAGGCGAGGAGACTGACACAACAGCAGACTGACTGTTTTTCAGTTCTGATTAGACACTAGTGTTGAGATGGCTGTCTGTCATGGTAGCATGTACTGAGTCGGGGCCAGCACCAGATAAGCACATTAAACTATAATCAATGAATGTAAGGTAACAACTGAGACCTAATGGTGCTGTGACAGCAACGCGATTGAGTTTGAGACAGTGAAAATACATATGGTATGTTGTATCTGAACAGGTTAGCTTACGAGCTAAAGTTACTTAGCACAGATGGAAGTTAAAACAAAGACGTTTAGCAAACTGTTAAAGCACACAAACTATCGTCATATGAGAGATCAGACGCAATGACTCTCCACTAGTTGTCCTTCAGATAGTTATCTTTGTAATATTTGTGTCTTATCAAAAAGCACTCTGTTCTCTGACACGTAAACAATCAGCCGGTCGGCCATGTTGGATATACCGGTGAATCAGACGTCGCAACAACACACAATCTGATTGGTCATGAGGAGGACACACAGTATGCGAAACTTTAGAAAAATCGACCACGATCCGAAAAAATAAATGCCGCAATATTGCGGGATGGGAAAACATTGCTGATGTGAACACTTGTATTGACAGGACATGGGTTCGAAAAAAAATATTGACGTCCAAAATAATTGCACGTAAAAAAACGGTCCCGGTGTGAAAGGACCTTAACACTGATGTTTGATATCTTACCTGGTCCTTTTTAAAATAAAAGGAACAAAAAATGGTTAAACAATAATCATAAAGTAATCTAAATATTAATGACAGCCTAAGTCAGTAGGTGTGAATGATCTATTTGAATTATGATTATTTTTATGAGGGTAGTTGGGTACAATATCCAAGTTGGGGTCAAGCATTTTCAGCATTGTAAAAGTGATGATAAAGGTGAGACTGATACTTACAGTTGAAGCACTTGTAATCAGGCAGGTCTACATCAGCAGGTCATCTACATCAAAGAACAAAGAGACCTACAAAACCAGGGAGCTCAAGAGCTCCTTAGAAAATAAAATAACATTAACAGAACATAAAAACTTAGCGCTTAGGAAGTGCAAACAGAGGAGATAAATGAGGGACAGTAGAGAGGTTATCTGCCTCCTGGACCTGGATAGGTAGATGATAATAACTGTAGGCCTCACATCCTGTACTACTTTTAGAGACTTCAGGGTTCCTCACCATAATATTATGTGCTTTTGTGGTCAGTCTATTGCATATATGATTAGAGGACTTTGATTTGGCTTCATTCTCATCTCACCTATTTGTGCTTTTTTTGTGTTATTTAGAAGAAAGTTAAGGATTAAATGAAAATCAAGATCTTTGCCTCTTGTATGTGTTTTGTTTCAGTAAAAGTGTTGTGAGGAATAAGAGGTTTTTACGAGGGAAAAAGAAGTTCAACATGGACCCAAACAAGGTGAGATGTTTTTATTTGTTGTATTTTCAAACCAGAAAAAGGGGATTTCTGTATTTACACCTGCATAAAACGAAACTTAAGTTTTGCATGGCTTCATGGTTGCCTCAAAGCAAGACGGTGCCTGATTTGCATCCTGAGAGTACCCAACTTATTGCTCAGTGACAGCAAGATTAAAATAGGTTATCTAGATATCAAGTATTTGTGAGTAAACTCCTCCTTTGCTTCTGTTAAACTTGAGGTTTTTCTGAATTAACAGGGTGTTTTATAGAGTTCAGTGTTCCTCTAAGTCACAGCGAGGTGCAGTAGGTTTAGCTCCTTTGAAAGTATCAGGCAAAAAGAGAGAAGTCCTCGCTGAGAGAAGTGTGAAGCAGTGTTCGCGTGTGCATGTGTGAATGTACTTATCAGTCTGTATAAGTGCTAAGGTGCAAACAGTGCGGATGCAGATGCCTGCAAAGCGAGAAAAACCTCTTCCTGTTCCCTGAAGTGGGGCAGAAGCGTCTCTCGCCGCAGTAGCCTTCATCTTCTCGTCATCGTCTCCGTGCCCTCGTTTCAGATCTGACTCTGCAGTAAACACGCTCCGCTCAGACCTGAAGACAAACTTGAAAAGAACGAGAAGTTTGAGACTCGTAGAGGTTAAGAGAGAGTTAAATTGAGGTTGATTAGAAGTACTCCTCGGTGAACAGAGTTGTATTTTGCAGATTTGTCAGTGAGCTCCTCATGAGACTCGCACACGAAGCATGAAATATTCATTCAACCTCTCAGATACCTGCTGCTCTCAGGATTAATGACAGTAGGAATTAAAAAAGAAGGGAGGAAAACTTCCCTCATGTGTAAGCTGACTCAATTATCAACCCACAGAGTTAACATCGCAGACAGGTTTTGGTTTTAAGTCAAACAGAAATGAATCACAACTCAAAACCTTCAATTTATGACCGCACATCTAAAAAAGAGCATTTTCACAGCTTTTAACTCCTCTAAACCACAGCGAATTAAAGCTTTCTATGCAAACATGGACTAGTTTCCACTAGATTTCACTCCAATCTGACCTCTCACCCCCAATCTTTCAGGGAATCCAGTTCCTGGTTGAACACAATCTACTGGACTGGCAAGCGGATTCAGTGGCAGAGTTTCTTTATAAAGAGGAGGGACTGAACAAGACTGCCATCGGGAACTTTCTGGGAGAAAGGTAAGAATCGCAAAAGAAAAAGAGTTTGTGATCAAATGCCTGTGAGAATAAAGATTTAGAGCCTTTTCTTCAATAGTTTGAGCTGATTTTGGTCCCCCCTGTGACACACTGCCCCCTCTCCTTGTTGTTCCTGTCACCTTTATGTCTAAGAAATGTTTAACGGTATAAAAAAAACCCTTCTGCTTTCTTTGAATGTTCAAATCCTTGCTGTGGATGGAGTAAATGTAGTCTTTCTGTATCAAGGTCAGTTTCATAACCAGTTAAAAACTTCTCACAGATGCTTCAGATACAAGAAAATTCTATAGTATAGTAATAGAATTATTATTAGATATTTTTTCTTACCTTGACAAACTCGATGTCCTTGAATACAATGCATGAGCTGACTAGCTGTCTCACAAAGTTTCTCAGAGAGGTGACGCAATCGAATGAAACACATTAAATATCACAGCATGTATGACAAAAGGAATTTGGTTCAGACCTACACCTACTGCTTCACTGACTTGCCTCTTCGCCCAGAGACTTCAAGATGGGGAAAATGGTACCAAGTCAGGGCCTGTGTCCACTAACACACAATTTCTCAGAACCTACTCTTGCTAAACCACTAAAGTTGTTTCGCTGTACTTCCATTTCCATCTGCAGTGAACATTAGGTCTGTTTTGAAATGATCTTTGTGCTTTATATTTTCTCACATTTATTGGATTTTACAAAGAAAATGTACAACAAAAGAAATATGTCATAGCACAAGCGCACTAGCAACTGTTCTGGACTCATATCTGTACCTACAGATGGACTAGAGTAATTAGTTTCCCCCCATAAGGATCTTTTCAATTGTTTTTATACACAAATTGATTCAAAAGGAAGTTTAGTTCAACTGAGAGTGTTATGAATCCAGCAAAAACAAACTCTGAGCACTAAAAAAGAAATGCCAATGTTAAAAAAGCAGCTAGTGGACACAGGCCCTTAAGGTTAACTCAAAACTCAATAAGATATGATTCAGTGTGAATGTAGTGAACAGGTAAAGAGGGCCAAAAGAGGAGGAATGTTACTCGGGAACTGAGCCAAGTAAAAACCATCACAGCTATCTCAATTTAAAAATAAAAGCACAAACAAGTGAACAGTTTAGCTCAGCACAAATGCATTTTTCCAATATTCTCATAGTTTAGGAGATAAAAATGAACACAACAAATGTTCACAGGTGCAAACTTGCAGGTCACAGATTTAGTTTTAATGTTGATTATGTGTTTTCCCTCACAGGGAGGAGTTGCACTTGGAAGTCCTGAAAGCATTTGTGGATTTGCACGAGTTCTCAGACCTGAACTTGGTGCAGGCACTCAGGTGTGTGTCCATGAATCCCTCTGAAGAGGAACTCTTTGCTGCAGTTTCTGTTTAAAACTTGTTCCCCCGAGGATGTACAAACCTTCTTCTTTTGGGCCTGACATTGTGTTGGTTTTATCCTTGATGTCTGTGTCATCTTTCAGGCAGTTCCTGTGGAGCTTCCGCCTACCGGGTGAAGCTCAGAAGATTGACAGGATGATGGAGGCGTTTGCAACTCGTTACTGTGACTGTAACCCAGGTGTTTTCAAATCCACAGGTAGCGCCTATAGGTGGTTTGATTCAGCCTGTCAACTAGTTTAATTAAATAGAAAACCCCACAGATTCATGTTAACCCCCTGCAGTGATCTCAGCAAACATACTGTTCAGTCTGAGTGTTTTTCTGTAGTAGCTATTATTTTTAACAGGCTCAATTTATTCAGCTGCAGCAGTGACAATGATGCACACTGAGTTTGTGTGTGTGCATGTGTGTGTGTGTTTGTAACAGACACTTGCTACATCCTGTCCTTCTCCATCATCATGCTCAACACGAGCCTCCACAACCCGAATGTGAAGGAGAAGCCGAGTCTGCAGAGATTTGTTTCCATGAACAGAGCAATTAACAGTGGGGAGGACCTGCCCACAGAACTGCTCACGGTCTGCTAATCACACTCACACACTCACACATACGCACGCACGCACTATAAGTACTGTCATTATATTAACATAGGCTTTAGGAATGTGGTTGCTATTGTAAGTTAATTTATATGTTTACATCTGTGATCTCGAAGTAGTCAGTGTTTTGACTTAAAAAGAATTATCAAACCTGAACCAAAGTCTGCTCCAAAACATTAAATTAAATGCTAATGAAGACATGGTAAACAGTTCATGATGAAAAAGGCGATATTTGCTTCAGCTTTTGAATATAAATGCAGTATCAGTTGGCAAGTGTGTCTTTTATGTCCACTGCTGTTTTGTTAACCTTAAACTACGTTCCAGCAGTCCAAGATCCAAAAATTATGATGCCATGTACTGTGATATGATACAATGCAATATGATATGATACATTAAGATGCGATACTGCATGATAATACGTGATAATAAGTGATATGATACAATGGACACAACACAATACAATATGAGACAGTAGGATACGACACAATACAACATAATATGATGCAACATGATACAATAAACCTTATAGTTTGCATCAATATGAGCAAAACCAAACAATAAAAAACAATATACAACTTCACTTTAACAAATGATATAATACGACAAGACAGAACAGATTGTTACCTTCGGGGGGGTTACCTTCAACGGTAAATCAGCTCCATTGTCATTTCTGAAATTGTAGTCCATTTGTAGACGAAAGCAGCTTGCAGTCTTAGATGGAGGTTTATTATCAGATTTTCTTCTGCCCACTCCTGTAGCCCCTCCAGAAGTTGCCACTTGCTCTCAGAGGCTTATGCTGTATTGCTTTAAATCAGTGGTTCTCAAGTCCAGTCCTCGAGCCCCCCCAACACACCTGATTCAAATGATCAGCTCGTTATCAAGCTCTGTAATGGCCTAATAACGAGCTGATCATTTGAATCAGGTGTGTTGGAGCAGGAAAACATTTAAAACATGCAGGACAGTGGGGGCTCGAGGACTGGATTGAGAACCACTGCTGTAAGTGACAGCTGAGAGGTTTAGAGGATGCTATTATGCTGAAACACAGAGGGATATAGTTTATATAACTTCAATTTCTTCACCTGATTCTTCTACTGCACCAAGTTAAAAGTCAATGTGGAATTTTCCCTGTTTTGGGCTTATGTATTTAAAGACACCGCTGAAATCCTCCTCCTTTTTCTATGATTTACTTCAGCTGAGAGATAAATCAGATTATAAGGAATGAAAATTTTGAACATGTTGCTGAAAAGGTCGCCTCTATTTTTAATCCGTCACAGAAACTGTATGCGAGTATTCGCAGTGAGCCATTTAAAATCCCAGAGGATGATGGGAACGACCTCACACTGACGTTTTTTAACCCGGACAGAGAGGGATGGCTGCTAAAGAATGGTGAGTTGAAGATAAGAGAGTTTCCTGAAGATTTTCAGAGCTTTTTTCTCATAAAATGTTTGAATTTCTGTGCTGAAGGAGGCCGAGTGAAAACCTGGAAGAGGAGGTGGTTTATTCTGACCGATAGCTGTCTGTACTACTTTGAATACACCACAGTGAGTGTCTGTCTCTCTTCTGATATAAAACCTCTGTGTCATTAAATATGTAAATGTCAAACTGTCTTAATTTTGTCTCATCCTGCAGGATAAAGACCCAATTGGGATCGTTCCTCTGGAGAACCTGAGTGTCAGGAAGCTCCAGGAAACCAATAAACCGGTACAAATTCATTTTCACTGTTTAAAATTCATTTTCACTCTTAATTACACAGTTTTATAGTTTTTAAGGGGAACATGTCTCATCCATGTCTCTGCTTCCTCATGAGTCACAAAAGAGCTGCTGTGTGAATTCTAACAGAGGAGCTCAAATTGTGCGTCACAAGGCTAACAGAGAGCTACAGAATAAACAAAGCAGAGTAACAGTGTGTGTGTCTGTGTGTGTTTGAACAGTACTGCCTGGAGTTATATAACCCAAAGGGACTGAAGATTAAAGCCTGTAAGACGGAGAACAAGGGTAGAGTGGTTCAAGGGAAGCATCAGTCTTATAAGCTGAGCGCAGCCAGCGAGGAAGAACGAGACGACTGGATTGATGCCATCAGGTCTGAGAGGGTGACATTAAACATTAAACTGATACAGCCAATAACTAATTAGATAAAGTATTAATGAAATGCTTCATTATGAAATTAATCATGGGTGGCAGTGGTGCGGTAGTGACCATAAAAAAAGATGGGCAACATGATAGCACCTTCAAAGTGAAGCCAACATATTCAGAGCTCTCCTACTGATGGTCAGCAGTATAGTTAAAGGTGGGGTAGGCAGGATCTGAAGAAGTGCCAGTTTTTGGGAGAAATCTTGAATGTAAACACTACCCCTCCCAACCAGTTTTCCCCTCAGCTCCTCCTCTCCCCTTCCTCTCTGCTCCAGCAAGCCCCGCCCACAAACAGACGCTCCTGCTCGCTCATATTGTTTCAATTAAATTCAGATAAAATGCAGATAAATACTTCAGATAATTACAAATGGGGCCCAGTCAACATGAGAATAAAAAGCACTGGTGCTACTGTAGATGCCAACAGACAACCAACAAACACAATGTTTGCAGGACTTCTACAACTAGGATAAAGTGACACAGTCCAGGACCCGAGGTAAACAGTTTAGTGGCGCGTCAACACGCAGCAGGTCCCGTTTGACAAGAAACACTTCAGTTACAGACACTTGTCTTACTTTGTTAAAGCGGTTTACCTGTCCAGCAGAAAGACTACAAGGTCCCTAAGATCCCAAAGCGTCCCCCATCATTTATGCTGATGTGGACCCGGCTTCTTAGCTCTTGTCCGGTCTACCTCCGTTCTAAGAGCCCGTTATTCCGCCAGAGTCTCTGGTATTTACTTTGTTTTATTGCTTGTGTTTTCTGTATTTTCTGGTTGGTTTTTACTGTCCAATGTTGTATCACGGTAACTTTGTTTGGGCTCGTGCACGTAATTGGAGGACATGGAGCATGCCTCACAACACAAGGGAGCAGTGTCTGCCTCACAACCAATCAGGATGAGGGAGGTGGAGAATGGCTTTGTTTACAGTCAGAAAGAGCGGGCTGCTCAAAAAATTTTAAATGTCGACTACACAGACATGACAAAACACAGCAAAATCATTATATTACCAAATGTCATCAATAACTAATAGCTATTGCTATTAAAAGCTTTTTTTATATATACACCATAAAAAAAAGATGCTTCTTTAACGGAATCCTGCCTACCCCACCTTTAATACAACCCTGCCTCCTGATGTTACCAGATGATATGTGCCAAACTTCTAAATCATAAAACTCAAACATATTTACTGACATTATAGATACCTCTTTCCTTGCTTATTTATGCCCAAGGGTTCAAGTTTCTGAGTTTTGATTTGAATGAGTAATAAAGTAAAAGGGTATGCCATCATGACTGACAGCTCTGTTCACAAATGAGGCCTCGCTCCTGCAGCGCAGAGTGCAGAAGATTGTCAGGGTAGAGGAAGAACATAGAGTCAAGAATAGAACTGTGCAATAAATCGATGAAATCCATTCATCAGCATTTTTGGCTTTGTGAAATTCACAAAAAAAAAAGGAAATCTAGATCTTCCTGGGCCTCTGTCATCCATGCCTCTTACCCCCCAGTTCACTTCCTGCAGAGATAAACACTCACACTTACTTCACTGCTCCTCTTTTAAAGCTCTTTCTTCATCTTACAGGTCGAGTATGACCAAAGACCCGTTTCATGATCTGGTTTCGGCACGGAAGAGGAAGCTCATGAACAGTTCGCCAGCAAAGGACTGAAACTCAAACTTCAGCTGACATTGGATCCTGAAGGGTCTGTGCATCATTAATCCTGTGGATTTATAAGATTAGAGGAGTCGTTAACAAACTAGATGTTAAATTTCTTCTGAGCAAAAGAAATACATAAACATAATAGAAATACCACTAGAATTTCTGGGATTTTAAATGGCTAGAGATACTAACATCTTTGTTGTTTTCTCTATATACTTTATGTTAGCTCACCAACAATGTGAAGAGTAGTGTGGAAGAGGCAGTCGGTGTTATGATTTAATGGTCGACCCGGATACTGTGACAACAACCTTAGCATTTCACTGAAAGTTTCACTGTTAGCAGCGTCACCTGTTAAATTAAACACTGTTTAATTACCTTCATTTTCAGAGATATAAGGCTTAAGCTGGTGGCAATGTGAGAAACCAAAAACTGTTTAAAATTTGAACAAATCAACAAATTGGTGAATAAATTTGCAAGGATTCTGGGGAAAAGTTTCTAAAAAGGATTTAGCAACTGTATTTAGGCGAAGTGAAAAGTAAGACTCCTATACTGTACTAAGAGCTCCTATGAGGAACTTTGAGCTGATTTTGACACCCCCTGTGGACAGAGCAGTCTTTGCTTATCTTGTCCTCTATGTAGTAAAGTTGTGTCATGTGACAAAAATGTCATCCTGCTAACGTTTGACAGTCAAATATCTAAATTACAGCAAACATTAAATTTAGCAATTGTAAAAACAGGGTTGTATGTTCAGCTGCATGTTTCCTTATACCTGTTTCAGACCTTTAAAATTTCATTATGAAAATCATCAGCTTTGTTGTGGATGGTTTCAGTGCTTTTGTATATTAGTTCGCCAACATTATTAGTAAGTGGCTAAATGCTAACTTTGGCTGTATTCTGGTGTTAGGAGTAAGATTGTCATGAAGGATTTTTTGCTCAATATGTAGTATAATGTCTCAGGTTTTCACTGACCCGTGTTTCAAGGGCGATGAAATTGCCATTCTTTGTCAGGTTGTGAACTTCTCGTTGACTTATGACCTGAAAAACAGAAGTAATCCAAGACATGACATTCAAGCTTCTCACCCTCATGGTTGACGTCTCAACACAGTTGCCATGGAAACATGGTCTATTGTGCCACCTTAGTCAAAGAAACTTTGACTTGCCCCTGGATTCAAGGTTAAACAGAGAGCTGTTTCCAAACTATCTATTTCAATTCTTGAATATACTCCAACTATTCACAAACCTTTTTTGATTTTTTTTTTTTACAGCAAATAGATTTATCATCTATGTATTATTCATATAGTAATGTGTATAAGCTAAAGGATCTATCCAACTAGATTAACCTTATAGATAAACTGTGTAGCACTTATTCAACTATTGTTTTTCTGATATCTGTATTATTTAATGACTGTTGATGGAAGAATCAAACTCACATTTGTACATTAAACCTCTTTATTCTGAATCTGTCAGTGTGGCTATTTGACCGTTAGATGGCGCTGTATCATCACTGCGTCACCTCACCTATTGTAGAGCTTGTTTTGAGATATTAACTTTTAATCACAAATAATTGCCACCTTTATGAGTTTATTTTGTGAAGTTGTGAAGTTTAACTGCAGAGAAATTCATCCTCACTTCAGTGTTTTAGAGTCAGACAGAGAGGAGATGTGGTGTGTGATGAGTTTCCTGTGCGCTTCCTGTCGTGGGAGTGTGTGACGCTCGAGCAAAGAGCTGTGGTTTCCTCATAGCAACAATACTAAAGAAAAGAGCCTTCTCTGCTTTTTTTCAACAAATTTCCTTCGAACATAGAGGGTGTGATCATGTGACCCACCTGGAGAATAAACTCCAGGATGACGGGCTGCTTCACCCTGAGTTTGTTGACTTTAGTTTATTCTCTTTGTTTGTTCAACAGTTTTAAATGCTGTGTCTGACCTTTTTGAAACAACAAGTTTGAAGATTATTACCTCCCCGTGTTGCCCTCAAACAAATTTCAAATCTGATTAGGGTAAGTAAACACAACTTTCCCTTAAATTAGGGGGAAATATGTTTAAAATGTAAACCAGGCCTTGCATGAACAAACTTATTCTTGCTGTTTGTCACTCACAAACAAACTCACAGTTTGTTCATGCTTTTGATGTTTGAGTTCTTCTGAAAATACTGCAGGAAAAGAAATCTAAATGTTCAGGATCCAGGGGGATGTAGTGCGACATAAAAGGTTCTGTCAACACCGATCACGAATAGTGACAACTGAATGATTTATCGATCCAGTAAGATCAATAAAAGCTGACAGGTAGCTGCAGGTAAACCAGAACACGTGCAAACGTTACAACTTTTGGATGAAGCTGAGAGAGCACGGCAGCAGTAACACAGCAGGGCTGCACAGGTAGAGACAGGTGAGGAAGGGAGGGGGGTTAGGTTAGGTGTCTGGCTGTGTTGGGGGGAAAGGAAATGGTGGGACAGATAGGGTAGCAAAGTAAAAGTGAAGTGATAATAAACAGGCCACAAGATGCAAAGATGTGACAGAAGATTTTGCAGTTTCTTGCTTTATATATTATTCTGTTCACAACTGAATCTCAGTTTTACTGCAAAAGGTAAGTTTGACAATATACTTTTACTTGACGCTACATCTGCAGTATAAAAGCTGTGGTCTCTAGTGTCGCTTTATTCCCCCCAAGGGAACATCTGTTACTGGTGAGTCTCAGTTGCACTGTGAGTAGTAAGCTACACTGAGACTTTTATCGCTTTATAAGCCCATAAAGAAAACTGATTTTCTCTGGGTTGGAGTTCAGGTTTTTCCACAAGAATCAAAGAAGAAAATCTTAAAAATGCTCATTTCTTCAACCGAGGTCCACTGGATCATTTTGAGTCAGAAAGTCTGAACAAAACTTCTCTTCAAATAAAAGGAAAATAAGAAACTCACCAATTATTTTGGAATATTTAGCCTGCCAAAAATGCATTTATTACAACTCGTTTTTTTTTGGAATAAAAACATTAAGTAAAAAAATATTCCAGTTTGTTTGCCACAGTTTTTATGTATTTATTACATTTTCTACAAAACTTTCATCATTTTCATCTCAAGTGGTCGAAAGTCTTCACATTATATCAGTGAAATAAAACAGCAGCTGTGTGCTCAACGTTCATTATTCATAACCTGTACAAACTCGGTCTCTGCCAGTGAGGGTCTCTTGTAAGATGACGCTCAGGGACATCAGCACAACTGATCACTTTCCTGCATCCATAGCAACCACGTTAACATGCAGGCGTGATGAAATCCACCCACATAACCTGCCTGGGCTGCATTCAAGTGGGAAATACAAAAATACTGAACAGAATAATTTAATAAAAACAACAAAATGAGGGTGATCCTTTCAATGTTTGGCTTTTCTGCAGGAGTTTCTGATCATATGATGAGTTAAACTGCAATAACTCTGCGGAGGACTTTCACCCCCGACAGACTTCAGCTGCTTTAATTTCTCCAGCAGTCACCAGTCACAGGTAAGTGATCATGTGACTCAGCAGGTAGAACCATGAGGTGCTTTTTATACCTCCAAATACCAACTGTCCGCTGGTTTTATCTCAGGACTGGATGCAGTTCTTCTTCTGATGTTTCCGCCGGCCTTTGGATCCTGTAGGAAATTTACAGAAATGACAAATTCTTAAAAAAAAAACACATGGAGTGTTTTATCAAATTGTACTTGTGTCAGGACACTGAAAAGACTGCACCAAGCTGAGACATGTGATCTCCAATGAAAACAGCATTATGCTGCTTATTGCTGACTGAAGTAACAGCTTTAGAGATGGTTTTACTAAAACTTTATTCTCCTGAGAAGCCAACTTGGAAAAAAATTGTTCACCTCAGAAACAAAATTCAAAATCTATAGAAATTGTTTTTCTTTAATGTGGCTCTAAAACTTTATTAGCTGTTATTTTAATAAAACAGAGGACCAAACTGACCACATCAGAGAAACAATATGTTGATAAATCACTCCTGAAGTTTCTATAAATCACAGCTTTATGGAAGACAGCAGCAGAATAATCACGAAATATAAGAGTCGTACCGTCTTCGTCTCCTGTGTTGATGGTCTGCAGGGACATACTTCTCTGGATCACCTTTGAAGGCTTTTTGATTTTGATTTTCGGTGGAGTTGGTCTCTCGATGACCTCAAACGTGTCCTCTAGCTCGTTGTCTGCGACATCATTAGTCTCTGACACTCTAGTAACAGGGCTGGGGTTTGGAGGAGTGACCACACCCTCCAGTATTGTGTCTGTGCTATGATTGGCTCCTCTGCCTTTCAGGAAATGCCTAAAGGAGCTGCGTTGTTTCTTGGAACCTGAGATCTTGTTCTTCTTCAGTCCGTCCTTACCGTCCTCGTCCTCCTCCTCTGAGGGAGAACCTGTACTCTGAGGGGAGACTGCCCTCGTGTTCTCCTTGACTCCATCTATCTTATCCCTACTGGTTTTGTGGTTCTGCAGACCATTCCTCTGGTTCAGCCCGTTGACCAGAGGGCCATTTGTGGTCGACAGGTCCTGCAGAGATCCCGTCAAGCCCACACTGTTCCCAAACACCAACGAGTACTTAGGATTGTGATACTTGTGCGCAGGCACCTTCAGGTCAATCTGACGGGACTCTCCTACGGATATCTGGAAACGAGACGCAGTGACGGGGAGAGGGCGGATCGTTTCCAACTTTGGCTTCCTGATGGGGGTGGGGAGTGGCGGCTTGGTGATATTGAACTCTTTATAGAGGTCAACGGGTTCAGAGATGGCGTACAGCTCCCTGAAGTCATTATCGAACGTGTCCACGATCTGTCCTGACATCACCGTGATCATGTTTCTGTCCATCCGGGATGAAGTCCATGTGAAGCTAAAGGAGCAGAAAAAAAGGAAGCTGAACTTTAATAATCCCCCAAAAATCTTGACCAGCCACCAATGGAAAGCACAAAAGTTTCTTGTCCCATAAAGACCTTCCTAAAATGTGAGACTGTACTTTACACCACTTCATTTTACATAATGTAGAAAACAAACAAACAAACAAACAAAACAGAAGTTGGGTCACAACTGCATCCTTCAAAGGACATGTTTGAAGGCGGTCCCGTTTTAAAAACTTAACAAATACATCCTACTTTTTCTCGCCCAAGACAGATTCATCAGGTGCATCCTTCATGTCCCAACATATCATGTGATTCTTTAAAAACAATTCAAACAAGGACACAGACTTATACATAGCCAAGTAACACACACTGTGAAGTTATTATTTGGATTGAACTTGATATAATAGACCGCAGTACAAATGCTAAAAGAAATAATCATCTTCAAACTAGAAGTTATCCGTCACTTTGTAAGCAGGTTAGGCAGCTAGCTTGGTGTTGCTAGCCCACGGGGCATTATGATGTAGGTGGAAGAGCTTGTGCAGTGAATGGGAAATCTTTTTCTCTGAACGTTTGAAAACTTTTCCAAGGTCTCTAAGTTCAGCTGAGCTTACTGACTGCTGGCAGCTTCACCACGTCTACTTTATAGAGCAGAGAGTGGTATGTTCAAGTATATGAAATCTTCACCGTAACTGTCTGATTTTCCTTACATCTGAATGCAGAGCTGCTAAATAAATTATCTTATACAATATTTTATAGAATTGTTCTTATTGGAGCCATAAAAAGTGTGGAGACTGTTTAGAGTTTTTTTGCAAAATCTTACAAGACTATATTTTATGTCCCATAACAAATAAGGCAATATGTGCTCATGTTGATCGGCACAACTTGTGTTAGTTTTGATTTTTCATATGTTCACAAAGATTGCTGAAGACTTCTTTACCTCTTAAACTGTTTCACCAGGTGACTCAGACTGAATGACAAAATCAAATGCAGGTAAGAAACAACATAGACGTGTGTGTCATCTGTATACAGGTGCGACCTCTGTTTACAGGAGATTAACTCTCTTATTTCTTATGTCCAAAATATTCTAATCTGATGATTTCTGGAGACAGTCTGGTTCAGAGATTTGTCTGGTTAAAATGATGGGTTGTCTGTCTGTCACTAAACCTTCTCTCAAACATAAAAGAGTGATCGTAACAATGAAAGATTAAACAATTCAAAGAAATGAAATGCAATTATGTGTACTAATTCACATCCTTTTTGGGATTTATGTTTTTCCTCTTTTTTTTAACCGTGAATTTGATAAAACACCATACGACAGAAATCTGGATTAAAAGAGTATGTTATTTGTTATTCTAAACTCTACAGTCTCCAGTGTTTCTGGTTCCAACATTTTAATTTCTTTTTAAAATCAGATCAATTTCAGCTCATGTAATATAGTATATAGTATTATCACAAATTGAAACAAAACTTAACCTGATACAATATAATATAAACCATGTGCTGCGGTTTGGTATCTTCATGTGCCAGCTCAACATATCCTACAATAACACACCATATCCAGTGTATCACAACACAACTTAATGGTAAGAACTGCAACACAACATGACACGATGCAATGTACCATAATTAACACAACTTGATGCCATGCAACTTCCCATAATGTAATGCAGTATGGACAAAACAACATAACCTAACATAACGTTACGTAACAGAACGTAACAGAACGTAACAGAACGTAACAGAACGTAACTTGACGATTCATAGAATGTTGTATTGCATCAATAATTAAATAACTAAAACTCATTTTGATTTATTGCATCAACTCTTTGGTGTTCCATCTTTATGGTATGAATTTTCCTGTATCGTAGTATAATGTCACATCAGGTTATTAAGAGTTGTAATGTTTCGCCTTTTCTCATCTTATTCCACAGTTTCACATATTTTTCTGAACTTCATTCACACATGCAGACAGTTGACTGACTGACTGACTGACATATTAAGGACATGTAATTATTTTACTGAGCCTTGTTGATGTTTTTATTGCTCTCTCAGGAGACGCCCAGAGAGTGTTTACTCACCTAACACAGGCCTCAGACTAACAATTAACATGTGGATCCGCCACAGCAGACATGTTTTCAGTTATTTCAGACAATACAAAGATTAAAAGCAGCTAAAAGCATTCCTGTCATTCTTTAAGTGTTATTATTATTAAGCTATTAATGCGCTGCTGTACAAACTTTTGTTGTCTTGTTGTCTGCTGTGTCTTAAAGTGAAATTAGGTCAACAGATCATATCCATCAGCTGATTAAAGTTCAGACCAATGATTGACCGGGTCAAAGAGTAAACTTTATAAAGGAAAACACTCCTGTGTACTTTTTAAATCTAGTTCACCATTATTATCACTCCTGGACACTTCAGGGATTATCCTGGAACTTTTTTCCTTCCTGGCTTTATCCAAGAAAATGTTTTAAAGTTGCATCTAAACTTCATTATCTGCACGCTCTTCACTGGAAAAACCAGCTTTAAATCATATACAATCTTGAGCAACACCACCTGTTCATGTGACAGTTACTGGAATTTATGACTGCAGATCTGAGGCTGCAGAGTCAGTCATGTCTCTCAAATAACATCTGCAAGCTTTCAAAGAAACAACAAGAAAAAACTCATTAAAAAATGTGGTTTGGAAATGCAACAGTGTCTTTACTTTTTTAATATACTTGTTGTGACTTGCACTTCAAGTTAAATACTTGATTCTGATTGATCAAAACCCCAGCTAAAGCTTCACCAGCGCCAAACTAAAGCCTAAAACCTGAAAAACAGCAGTAACAACAATTTACCTTTTACAAACACTGTAGAATATAATGAGACATTTTTAACAATTTTGGATATGTTAATTTGAGTGTGTCAAGTGTATGTCATCACATTTCTTAGTAAAATCTCTAAATTATTATTTTATAGATTTTTTTTTTTTTAAATGTATGAATTGTATGCAGCTATAAAAGGAAGTATGGTTTTGTTTTAGAGCTTCCTGCCCTTTCACATGCACGTTTATCATTTATGGGCTTGCTGTGGGGTAAGCACATCTCTCTTTGTCATGTTCATACATTAAAAGCCAAGACAGGCGGAGCAAAAGCAAAGACCCATGGGGACTAGAACAGAGCAGGCATCTGTAACAATCCACTGGAATCATGAGACTAAATCCTAAATAGAGAAACTATGGTGGCTGAGCAGTTTGCAAAGAAAGTATGAGATGGCAAGCATGACAGAATAAGCGTTGGTAATAATCAAGATGACATTGGTATTATGAGACACAGCTTCAAAAAGATGCTGTGGTGGAGGTGGGTTGCAGAGTGGTTTGCAAAGAAAGCAGGAGGTAGCAAGCAGGGAGAGCATTAGCAAAGACCCCTGGGTAACAGAATAGAGCAGGCATCATGTGAGACTGGTATAATGACTCACATTTTTAAAAAGAGGAGCTGGGTTAAAGATGGGTTATAAACTAGCTGTGGAAAAAAGCAGCAAGACACTGTGGGCTGGAGCAATTTAACTAATACGCCCAATTTGACATTTGCCAGTTGACGGACAGGAACTGGCTGATTTCTCAGCTGGAATGGGCTGATGTGAAGATCAGGTGGCCTATCTGTACTTAAACTTTGCTTAAAATAAAATGCCATTATACTGTATATGTCATTATGATCATTTTCTGTCCAGATTTGTTAAAACAGAGAGAGTAATGTGAAATAGATGTATAAAAGTAAAGTCATGCAGGACCTGGCTAACATAGTTGATGCACAGCTGTGGTTGAATATTGTTATTGTTGGTGGCTGTGGTAGTCGTGGTTGAGTTTATTGCTCACCTGTAGGAGCCGAACATGACTTTGTCTCCATCCACCAGCATGTACCTGGAGCACAAGGAGCCAGGCAGCTTTCCAAAGGACAGAGCGAGACCTGCTCCTTTCACTGTCCGCACACGCAGGTTCTACAGAGAGAGACACACATTCAGACCTGTTAGCATCACACAGGTGAGCCTGAGTCTGCTCATTCTGTTCAGAAGTGAATGATTTAAGAGAAAACAAACTGCCACACCTGACACATTCAATAAACCAACTGAAGAAACAAACCCCAAACCTTTTCGCCTCAGGTGTTTGCTCAGAGGGGGAGAAAGGAGAAGACAATGATACTTGAAGGAGCACCAGGGGAACTGGGGAGAGGCCCTGTATAATCTGGTATCCGGTTTCCCTGGATCAGTTCTCAGGAGTGTTTTTATTGTAAGCGGTCAGAGTAACATAGCCGACACTCTGAAAGGCTCTTTCATAGCTGGGTTACCTGACACCACAGGTAACAAGTAAACCAGAACAGACTGGAGATGCAAGCTGGTTCCAGATCAGATCAGACCGGTATCTGATGTGGGTGAGTTTGACACTGACTGACTCAGTGAGCTACTGACTGCCCTACAACTGATCAGCTCTCTGGTTTTAATATTTCCAGCAGATGTTTTTCTATGTACTGAAAATTCACCTTTTGCTTTTCAAGAAAATTTGCTTTTGTGTTTTACTCCAATTTCCCATAAACAGCTCAAAATGCACAAACACATAAGCACCACATGTGGTGTATGACAATGAAAAAACAATATAACAATATGAATAATAAAGTCTGAAAGGAGCAAATAACAGAGTTGAAAATAAGGCCAATGTGCTTGAGTGGTCTTCTGTTAGAAACCAAATTTCCCCTCTGGTGTAAAATCCAAAACAAACCAATTGAAACCAACACACTGTGCAAATGGACAAACAGGTTGTTAAAAGCCAAAACAACAGGACTGACAGCCAAGGCACAAAAACAAACCAAAGTAGAAAACAACTGCAAAAGTAAACCACTGCTAACCATTTTAGTTTTGTTTAGCTGCAGATCTCTGTTAGCTGTGCAACTAGAAGTGCTTTTATTGTCCCGTATGGCTGTAATACTGGTTTGTCTGTGCCGTGGTAACAACATGGCGTTGCAAGATGGCAGCCTTCTGTATTATACACTAACCTTCGCATACTTAAGAATATCATATTCCACTTCTACTAAGTCTGCTCTGTTGAATGTTGCTATATACTCCACACTCTAACTTAAACTATTCCATCCATTCACTTCCCTTGTTAAATACTTTACTTTAAACAGATAAATAACAGTTGAAGTGGTTTTATTTTCTGTTTTTGCATGAAGTTTAGGATCAGCTTTTCTCCAAATTGAATGTATTTCATGTAACTCTCCATGTTAGCCTTATTGAAACAAGACTTTATTTTGCAGTTTAATTCTTTTATTCTAATTTAATTAATTTAATTAATTAATTTAATTCTTTTATGGTCGATGACAGAAAATTCTTCCAATAGAAACTGTTACACTTATAGTCAATGAATAATCCTAATAGATTTCTTCACAAATCAGGATGGTGTTCAGTATGTAAACACCACAAAGGAACTTATATCAGTGTTTGTATTGTGAGGGTAGAGCTATCAGCAATGATCTAAAACTCTGAGAGCAAACCTTAAACTGTCTGCAGGATATTTGGAAAAGAAACTGGATTCCTTTACATGTCAGTGGTTTTCTGCGCTGAAGCATAAAGAGCGAATAAAGCAGCTATTATTCATCTCAGGAATATCGAGTATTTGATTAGTCACTGATTAACATGTTTTAACAGGACGCAGATTTATTACACAAAGCTCAAAGTCTTTTTTTGGAAGGATCTACAAAGAAGTGTAACATATGAAACATTAATGTTTAACTCTGGATAACTACTCGTGGTTGTTTAATTAAGTCAAGACCTTCATTCAGACTCTCAGCGCTCATTTTCCCTTTCCAACTTTGACTTGATTTCATCTTCTAATGCTGTCTTATGCTGATAGATGTTTTTACATGTTTCTTTCAGTCCACTCCTCACCCTCAAGTGCATGGCGTTGATCTGCAGTCTGGTGCACATGTCCAGAAAATAAGGCAGTCCTCTTGCCTCAAGCAGAGCATAGACGGCGACCGCCCGGCGAGACGTGGCGTCCAGCAGGTCCTGGAGGATCTGCAGGTCGGTTAACAGGTCCATGACTATGGCCACCACCTGAGGAACACATAATAAAGTCAAATCAAAGTGCAAGGATAAAGTTCTTTGTAAAAACACCATGTGTGAAGTTATCTGAGGATACTCGATGAAGAACAGGAGCAGAGTGTCATCTTTGTTATTTAGATAATCTCAACATCAATTCAACATGAGCAAGAAAACCTTCCTCTAACAATTAGAAACCTTGAACAGAAGCAGACTCAACGTCATCTGCTGAGCGTGGACAAAACAAGAAATACAAGAAAAGTTATCAAGGACCAGCAGGTAGCATCAGGTAGACAGCATTCTCAGCCAGCTTACAGTATGATATGGTATGGTCTTTATTGTCATTGCAACTGTGCACAACGAAATTGCATTTACAGATGGGGAAAGTACACACAAGAGGGAGGGAGAGGAGGAGGTAAAAAAAAAAAGTATTACCCACAATGGAACGACCTTCTATCAGGAGTGTCCCAAAGTGGCCAATTCTGTGACTGTTTTAACAGAAACTGAAATTCCAATCAACAGACTCGTCAAAACACTCAATGAACAGTAAAAACTGATCATGATTGACTCAACATGGCCAAGCGCATGATGACAGAGTAAGCAGGTCTTAGCAGAGCAAGCACCACCAGCCTGTGGTCCTCCTCACAGGTCAGAGCCCACGTGTGTGATAGTTACACATCAGAGAAGCATGTGCCAGTTTAACAAGACACAGACTATAGACATCTTTATCTCTATCAATATACTAACCAGCCATCACCTGAACCAGGATAGCAGCAGATGAGCTCGCTACACTGTTTAATCATGTAGCTGACGACACATGCACATCCTTAGCTAGCCTTTTGTCCACAGGCACCAGTTGATAAGCTAACTTTGGTATCTAGTCTGTGATTTAAAGTTACATATCAAAATTATTCCTTCAGGAGAATTTGTGAAAGCAAACATACTTATGAATCAAAGTTTAGCAGTGCGCTAGTAGAGCATCATAGTTTTTCGCTATAAATCTGAGCTACAACCTGACTACTGGTGGATGGTTGCTGTACAGCATAGTCACAACATATGACCAGTTAATAAAATATTAATGATTAATTTAACCAACTAGTAACTCTGGCGCAGTTTAGACAGATTTTTAGGCAAGTGTAACTATCTTTTAGTTGGCTGAATGCACACATCCCTACCTAGTGTTTTGTCTGTAGGCAAGAGAGCATTAAGCTAACACTGGCTTTTGGGATGTGAAGTAAAATCAAAATAAAAGTGAAAATGTAACACATACAGTCAGAACAGGGGCTGAGTGTATTTTTCCTTCAGGGGAATAACTTGCATTTGGAAAGAAACCAATGATTACTTCTGTATTTTGCAAGAATATTCAGCGACCTGTTGCAACATCTCGATTGAGAAGTTGTCTTCAGTGAGGGTTAAAAGTTATCACTGTAATCACATTAATCAAAACTTTTTATTAGTTTGTAACTTTGGCTGTTTTTTGTTTGGCTGCACCACAAAGTTGACTACCTAGGTTGAGACTTACTATTGCTCATTCAATGCTAATCAAACTGTGTTGTACAAGCTGTAATCTCTCTAATGTCAGCCAACATAGCTCCTAACTCCAGACCCAGTTTCTCAAGAACGTATGGTATTTATGTAAAACTGGATTCTCAGGGCTCTACCATTTGAAAACACGTCACATCTTGTGAATTCAAAGTTTTAAAACACTTTCGACTGAGACTGTTGTGAATATGACATGGTCTCCTCCCACAGTCATTTTAAACACAGCCCCATTTGCAGGCACCATTTTCTTATACTAACATTTAAACTTCCTCAGGCAGTTCATCCCCTAAAACTTTAGAAAAGAGTCAACTTCCTCCTCCTCCATCCCGAACTTAGTCCTAGCTGGTGAAATCTACTGTGGAATTATTCAAAATGTAAATAACAGGATGTGACTAAAACAGGTCGTATCCTCCGGTCTCTCTAGCAGCTGTGTGCTCTATTTTTGTTTTGACACATGAACAAATTTAGGGACTAAATTTTTCCTTTGTGTGTTTTAATCTCTTTAATCTCCTGACTATAGTTCAGAGGAAAACATGTAATCACTCAACAGATGACTCAGTGTTACTCACACTTCTTGTCTTTCGACCTAATTTGTTTTACCGTCATAAAAATGGGGGAAAAAACTGGAAAAACTGGAAAATTTCCAGGCAGACAGGTGTGTGAATAATAGTGAGCATGTTACTAATATCACACCTGGGGATATCTGGGAATTAGAGTCCAAATTTATCTCCAGCTGTCTGTAAAAGTAGCCATCAAAACCACCTGCAGCCTCAGAGACAACCCAAGTTTCCAACCCTCCCTCTGTCGCAGTTAACACTCTGCCTGAGTCTCACCTGTCATTGAGGCAAAGAGATCACTTAACAACAAGAGATGATTCAGTTAAACTTGTTGTTCCAGGTAATTTAAGATTAGCTGACAAAGTTTGGACTCAGTCCATTAACTTGAAGTAATTACTATTACAGAGTGTGACAAAAAGACCAGGATGTGCGCTGAAGATGAATCATCCTGTTAGACAGTAAGCAGGTCAGCATCAAGTAGACACTCAGGGGCTCTCTGCTTGATCTATTTATGTTCAAGGTCCGTACTCTATGATGTTCATGTCATCAAACACAGGAGATGGACATGTTTGTCTGAGTATTTTTCTGTGGTTGTGTTTTTCTGTCTCTGCGTTACCGCTCACATGTTTGGCTCTGATCCATGGCGCTCTGCTGACAGACAGCTTTACAAGTGACAAGCTCAAAGAATCTTAAATGGCATCAGCCATTTCAAATTAACATTAACCACAGATAAATCTGAATGAGGCACACGTTAACAGACGATCACATTTAATGTTTTTATACTCTGTAATCTCTGGACTACTTCTGACAACCTTTTGATGTAAAAAACAGACGTGAAAAGAAGAAGAGGAGTGACTGGACCCCAACAAGAAAACAGAGAAATAGCACTTAGCAGTTTTTGTGCTGGGCTGAACAGCTTGTAAAGATTTTTTGGTCAAGAATCACCTGGCTCTGAAACCCAATGTAGAGAAACACCTAATCAAGACCCAGCTCAATTCAACCTACATCAGCAGCTCAGTCCTCAGATAATAACCCCCTGCAGTCACACCGACAGATGATGTTTTTCTATAAGACTTACAGCTTGAACTTCAGGGTACAGACAGCTCAGTCTCAGGGGTTTGGCACAGGTTCAGCTGTAGATGATTTACTTCACCTCAAGGAGAGCAATCTCTGTATGTAATCAGATAATTAAGCCATCTGAAGCTACTGTAAAGAGACAGTAGAGGAGGATTGGCTCATGAGTCTATGTGTGGTCAGAAGCAGACCCACTTTCAAAGTCAGTCAGTCTGATCTGGATCAGCTTCTGTTTTGTGTTCTTTTGAACTAAGCAGAAACCTCCAGGAAAGAAACAGAAGCTGATACAGAAGTCCCAAAATGGAAGTTTTTCAAGTGTTCACTAGAGACTGTCTCTAAAAGTGAGTCAATCCCGACAGAGCCCCATATTAACATGTCCTGGTTTACAGCAAAAATAAACATATTTTTTACAGCCTGGTCTTTGAAGCTCATTTCTCTGTCAATGCAGCACTGACTATGCCAAGTCTCTCTTCAAATTCAGTGAAGACTTTTAAATGTTTGTGGTGCTGGAAGCCTTTTGAGATGAATGATGTGATGTTTTAGATAAATAGTCTTCCCTTGGTGTGTAGGAGCAGCCTGAGGAGCTACTAAACTCCAATGATCTCCACCAGGGGAAAGTGGAACTACATCTTGTCCTGCAATCCACGCAATGGTAGCAAAGCTAACGAGCTCATCTCTAATTTGCTGATTGCTAAAACACAACCTAAACTTGGCAGTATCTATGTAACTAGTAACCTTGGCAAATTCAGGTTTGCTTTACCACTTGCTTACTAAACATTATCCCCTACTTGTCAGAAGGCTATACCGACTGTATGTGGCTCATAAGGATGTTCATTTGGACTGTTGTTGTCTTTTCCTTCAGAGAACATGGAGTTCAGACTATCAATTATAGAAATGCTTCTTTAAAGTTAACTTATATGTGTTGTTAACTCTATCTCTCCCCAGAGATGCTACGTTCCACAGGCTTAACTTCTTGTCTCACCGTAAAATATAAAAAATAATACTACTAATAACTCCACCATCTACAACCACAGATAAATTCTCATCCTGTTGAAAACATGGCCCTGATTTCAGCTAATGAATAAGCTGTTGTTTAGCTTTAATAACTAATCTTTGCTAACCCCTCTCTTTCCATCCCCACCCTCTCGTCCAAGTATAACCACTCCTGGCACGAACATGGCAGCCAAATGCCAAACCCAAGACTTTGGATTCACAATGGAGAAGCCAATGGCTGACATAACAGTGAGGGCGATGTCCTTTTTATTATTTTAACGTCCTGTGGTTATAAAAAAAAGAACCCTAAGCCTGTAGCCTCAGTGTTCCACGTCAGACTGCTGATGAGCGCTTCCCTCTTCGTCTCATGTTTGCATACCTGTGAGGTCAACACCTGAGGCAGCAGTTTGAATCAGTGAGTGTGCCAGTGAAAAATACGAACCAATCCTCCCCAGTGTACAGGAAGAAGGTGGGGGGTGAACATGTCCTGATGTGAAGCTGACATTTAGCCTCTGTATGACTCAGCCTGTTTAAACCTGCTTGACTTTTCTATTGAAATAGGAATATTATTGATGCAGGTTAACCCTCACCTGTTTTTATGCCTGACTGGAAAAACCCACATGTGAAAACACGACTCTGTAAAGACATTTTGATGTTTTTATTCAACTTATCACCTCAACTACAATGTATGTTAATGATACATAATGATGCTAGAGAATCATCACGCAGGACAGACTGTGAGTGCCTGGGGATGTATCTGTACCTGTCTTCATTTCTTTGTATCTGAATGATTTGCATAAAAATAAAGAGTACATTATACTAAACAACCTGAGAGACACATCGCAATCACAATTTGGCTCTGAGTAAAGCACACTGTGTACATTTCGTGTTTAACCTGATCTATTTTTTCTTATATAAACACAAAGGTAAACAGAGAGGTTTCACGTGAACATGAACAACGTTTGCGTTGTGCATATGGATAACGTAATAGTATTTTGTAATGCAATGTACAGTTGTGAAAGATATAAAGTTATTTTCTAAATGTGTGTTTGAAGGTCTAATAAGTGTATTCACAGAGTTAAAAAAAAAAAGTGTCAGATTCAGTGACAAACATCAGCCTGCCCAGCTCGCTACCTCACGTTAGGTACTTTGGCGGTCAATTTCACCTTCAAATAATCTCCAAATGAAAAGTTGATGACGAGTTGATGATGACGATGAGTTAAACAATGAAAAGTTTGAAGCTCGCGTTACATCTGGCACATACCTTCAACAATCTTTGTTTTTCCATTTTCTGTGTTAAAGTTGTTTGCCAAGTAATCTTTTTAGCTAGCTTTGCCTTTGGCAAACAAAGTCGTTATCTGCTAATTCTTTTCTATTGTTGAAAACACGTCATTACATTTTCACTAAGCATTGAGAAAGCAGGTCAAACATGCTGTACACTCCAGTATGAGATAAGCTGTTCCTTTACCATCATGTTTATCATCACAGGTGAAGTTTACTTTCTGTTTGTTCGCCTCTGTCGAAAAACCTTTGTGTCGTTTATGTATACGCATAAGCATACGTATCTATAACACAGATTGAAGATATTCACAGACATTTACTTGTGAATTATCAGGATTGAATCTTCAAGAATCAGGTGGACAAGACAAACCTACAGAAACTTGTTTTAGCATGAACGGACTTAAGCAGGCAATAGCTGATGAAATCTGCCAATGAGAGCTTTGTGATCGTAATCCGGGATTTTCTAGAGTCACAAGACCGGCTTTGTCCAATTTTTGTGAGTTCAACTTTTTGTTTAGTGGTTTTAAAAGTGTTGAATGTGAATCCTGCCAACACTATCACTGTAAACAGTTTCTGTGTGAGTCAAATCAAACTTTTTTCTGCCATGAAACTCTTCCGTTTTAGGCTGTAGGGGATTAAAAACCAGATAATGCAGTTACTAAATGATTCATCCTAGAGTTTCTGTCATTATATACAGATTCTGTCACAGATGCCTGCAGATATAAGCAGATACTCCTCATGTTAGTCATGACAAATATTCAATGTATAAGCTGACGCATCAAGATGCTGTAGTTTGTGATCATTTAATATCTGAGTAATAACTCTTAACTGTCAGTTTTATTTTCCCTTCCACGTGAATTAAAGAAAAATGGGCTGAACTAAACAAGTTTGAACACGTTGGACGCTTTTACCCTGCAGCCTTCACATGAGCTTTGTAAGCACCTGCAGGAATCTGGTTTGAATAAAAACAGGAACAAGTAAAGTAACTGATACACCGAATCTAAGAGACTGAGTTCAGGAATATAAAAGCTTTAAAACCTCATGACTGCACTAGTGTTACAAGTTAAACCAGACATTTTAGTGGTAAACCAATCTTGTGAGCACTCTGAGGACCTGCCAAGTGTTTCCTCTTAAAATTAGCTCGTCGGTAAACTCCTCTTAGTCTGCTGACATGTGATGCTGTTTGTCTAAGTACCTGAATACACCTGTGACTGTTAGCTGTGTCCTGTTTGAAACTTATATAACCACTCCAAACCGGGTGGAAAGTTTACTCACATCAGTCATCTATTGCTGAGCACACATTCAAATGTTACTCTGACAGTATCGAGACTTACATTTTACCCAGAATTTAATATATCCAGCCAAAGAATCAGCTAATAAGTCTATCATTAAAGGAGATCATTTTTTAATTTGTTCATTTCAACTCTTCTTCTGAGAAATATCATTTGCATTGTAAGGAAAAGTTAGGGTTTGTTGTTGGTACTTTTCTTGTGAATTTTTGTCCTTGCTTTCAAATGTCAGCCTGCTTCAAACTCAAGAAAAAAAACCACATAATTAGGGGAAATTTGGATCTCTAAGTGAAATGTTATTTAATTTCTTTACCACGTAATGTTAACAATTATTTCCTCACTCTGGAAAGCAAGAAAATGAAGTGTAGCATTTCTGCTCCCATTCACTCCAGAAACAATGTACAATATATAAACTATGTGGTGTACAAGACGCACTTTTACTACCTTTTCTGTCATCTCAATTTGATTACATCCCATACCCTGGTGCAACAAATCCATAGGTATAAAATACAGTGAGAGTGATTCTACTGTGTAATAGTATTTGGAGGTGTGTAGAAACAGCTACACATGTCCCCAAAACAGGTCCTGTTTCCTATATTCTGTTTTTTATGGTATTTAAAGCTCCTGTAATGTTTTTTTCACGTTTACAAAATTCATATTGATTCCTTACAAAATTGACGATTTTTACGCTTTAATTTTCAAGTGTTGTCATTTTTTTATGACATTCACAAGCAAACAAGACTATCAGCATCAACACTAACAGTTTTAGTGATGTCAGGGGGTAGGTTTCAGCCAAGCAGCATAAAATATTCACAATAAATGACACTTTTGACTGTTGAATATTGAAAGGATAATTTTTTTTTTAAATCACTCAGTGGAGGAGAAGATAGGCAGAGACTGTTTTGTCCACAGGGGGCACCAAAACTGACAAAAACAGAAAATTACTCATGGGAGCTCCAAAAAAGCACTTTGTTATTTTCTGATCTCAACAAGCTCCTGAATCCTTGACATTTGAAATTTTATTTCTATTTAAGATATTTAAAATAAAAATTTTGGCAAGGCTTTATTTATGGTTTTGTTTATTATTATTATTATTATTTTTTTTTATAAAAGTAGCCTGTAGGAAAACTTTTTGGTAAGATGTAAGGAAATTGACAAAGTCTACATGACTCAAGAGTAGAATAGTGAATATTTTGTTGATTTTTAGAAAAACTTGCTGACTCAGAGCTATAACTTCACCTGTCATTTATCACACGTTGTCTAAAACAAGACATATGAGTAACTGCAATCTCTCTCAGCCTGGGGTCTCTGTCACATGATCACCCGCAGCCAATCATTTTAAACGTTCAGGTCTTTTATTGTGCTGGTAAACTGGGTCAGGGACATTAAGTGCAATCCACTGCTCTCAGCTTTTACTGCACTTCTCTTATTTTCATAATAAATGGCCATAAAATGTCAGTTTATCTTCCGTCAGTGGTCAACCTGATGACAGGGTCAATTTCCTCCTACAGCAGGCCATATAAGAGAAAATTTGAGAAGTTATCAATTAATGAAGGTGGACATGTTTTTATCTTTAGAGTACCTGCCAAATAAATGTAGTAAAGAACATGTTTAAGCAGAATTAAATGGAAAGGGTCAGTTACAGCTTCCTAAAAAGTGCCCCAAACTTGTGAAGTTATTCACAAGTTAGAATAATTCATCTGTTAATTGAGGCGATATTAAAAAAAAAACTGTTTTTGTGTGATTAGGCCACATCAATTTCAAATGATTATACTCAAAATACATTTTTGTAGGCATGTTTTGTGTTTTAGGTTGATCATTTGTCATCTAAACTGGGCCACAAAAGGCACTAACTGTCAACATCAAGAATTGGGCCTCCTCACCACCTTCCCTTCATGTAAGGACTCTTGAAAACTTTCATTTTTTAAAATGTATTTTGCTTTTTGTTACCCTGAGCGTAAATTGAGTTTCTATAAGCACTGAAATATAAAGCGTACCTTATGTGCATCTTGGATGAGCCTCCTCACCACCTCCTTGATATGTGGTCCTGGTTCTCTGGGCGGGTGTGTGTACACGCTGACCCGGGTCACCCCCTTGTAGAGGCCGCTGGTCCCGGGCCAGCCAATGTCAAGAGTGGGGACCTCTGTGTCTGACATCTGGGGCCAGTAGGTAGAGTGGACACCGGAGTCCGCGCTGGAGGACCCTTTGGACTTTCCAGGGTCTCCAGTCTCGGCCTCAGTGTCCGGGTCGTACTCGGTGAATGTCTTGCGGAGTAACCGGACCTCTCTGGCGGACAGGAAGTCCTTGATGTTGTCCTCCTTCAAGCGCATCTTGAAGGCGCCGTCGCCAGTCCGCAACAGCCGCTCGAGCGCCGCGCGCTGCTCCTCGCTGTAGTAGAACTCTGGTCTGGACTCTGGGATCTTCTCATTCACGTGCTCGTCGTCCAGACAGAGCAACTGAGACTCCGCCATGACGGACTGCCGGTCCTCCTGATCCGCTCACTCAGAACTGTGCGGACAGGTACTCAGGTGTACTCAGGTACGTCTCTCAGGTAGCGGCAGGGGGCGGGGCTAACTACAGTTTGAATGGGTCCATGGTACGTTAAGCTAACGGGAGTGATGCTCAACTTCCTGTTTGTACCTATCAAACTTAAACCTTCCCTAATGCCTCTAATGACATTTTGAAGTGGAGAGTTCCTGAAAAGTGCTAATGTTTTTTTGTAAATAAATGTGTAACCCCTTCACCCATGTGCTTCTAACCTTCACAGACTCCATGAATTGATGCCCATCTCCTAAATATTTGGTCACATGATCAATTTCTTTTACCATTTCCAAGCAACAGGGGGTGGCTCAACTTACCCCACTCTCTTTATGACTGACACACAAATTTACTTTCTCTTATGTCAATAAGTCAATTAATTTTTTCTAAATAAAAAGTGCTAATTCACATCAGTGTTATCTCTGACACTTAACAAAAAGAACAGGTCTAGCCTTTTTTATTTATTTATGAAAACCCAGCATCAAGTCAAAGAAATTGCTCATAAATACCTGTTGTGTGAAAACCTGCGTGATCCCACAAATAAGTCTGAGGAAGTATATGATCAGTGATGACAGTCATGTTGAAAAATAGGCTGAAGTAGCCTACACCGCATTTCTTTTTCTGCTCTTATAATGCTGATCTGTATATAAATACAAATATGTTTCAATACTGGATGTTCATACTTAACCTTAGCATGATGTCATCCATGGAAGGTGGTGAGACCTATAAGGAAATACTTGAGGACAAGCCGACCTGTAGGATGTTGAAAAGTTCTTTTCACTGCCTGGATTTTCCTCATCTCTGCACTTTTTTGATTTAGTGTGTCTGAAAAAGTCCCCAACAAGTCTTTTGTAAGTTTGAAAAGAAGGTTACTACAATTTTCTCTCGCTGAAGACATAGACACTAGAAAGCATTGAGAAGCTTTTATGTTCTCGGGGAAACAGCAGCCTCATTGTGCTCACCATTTCGCTGATGGCCTCTTCTTGAAAAAAGCCTGTATGAGCTGGATTTGCATCACAATTGTTGGGCTGCAGAAGCAGGGACTCTTTCATCTTTAAAAACCTACCATGAAGGCTGGAAACAAGAATGTACCTTATACACCATACGACATACATCAACTAATTTAAAGCTCCAGTGAGGAGTTTTTATTGACGTTACTGGAATGAGATTAAATTCATATAACCCCAAAACAAACCAGGCGATAAGTGACAAGTCTGTCATTTGCATGTTGTCTCTTTTGATGCCTGAAAGCACTGTCGAGGGTAGATGTCAGCTGACCAGCTGAAGGATCAGTCCTGATTTTACAATTTACAGACAAAATATTCACATCAAGTGATATATTTCACTGCAAAAAGTCAGCAGGATGAGATTTTTGCAAACCAACACTACTTGCTCATTTAAAAAATGAAATAAGCAAAAACTGCATTGTCCACAGGGGGTGGACATAAACCAAAAGCTTTAATAAATGCTGATGTATAACATGGAGCTAGTTTGGTAACATCAAGGCAACTTTGGGATCATTTTGTTGCTACAATACTGTGCGAAAAGTAACACCCACAAGCTCTGTCTAACTTTGTTTGCACTCTGTTGAAGGTTACCACAAACACTTGAGTAGGAAGTCATGCAAAGCTGCCTCAGACTAACATAATGAAATGTAAAATATAATTGGTGACTTTTTGGCCTTGTTGAATTTACATCTTTCAGTGATGAGCAGGCTTAATGAGAGCTTTGATTTTAAAGGTTCTTTTTCTTTATGTTGGTTTTCATCACATAGTTTAAACAGCCTTCTAAAATAACCACAGAGATCACTATATGAATTTGATGCAGGGTTCAAAAAGAAAAGATGTCACTGAAAAAATACCTCACAGAAAGAAAAATCAAAGAAAAATTTGGTTATTATGCAGGTTAAAGTTTATGACTGTAAAAACAGCTGGTATAAAATTATTTTATTTCCTTCCAAGTTACCTGTGAGGAAGTAACAGATTAATGTCAGGCACTTCAACTTGTTCAGAAAACTGCAGGACAGTCATATAAAAAGTATTCCATTTTCCCAGCAGAAATAGTTGGATGAAAGCCAAAGCGAAACAGAAAAACACTGTCTGCCAGAAAGAAGAAGGAAAAAAAAGGTAAATTATTGCTGTTTGCCACCTGCAGCAGGTCCTGTGTGTCAAACAAGCATGAAACATGTTAGAAAAAGTTTTTTTTTAGAGAGGCAGCTTTGGGTAAATGACGCACAAATCTGAACCAACCACAGTAATGAGAGATAATATTCAATAAGAGACAAACTGACTCTGAGTCCTTTAAATCCTGAGATCAGAACTGAGTTCCTGACTGCTCAGTTTTTGTCACACACATTCAGAGCTGATGTGTCTGAGTGAAGGTTCAACTTCGCAGTCACTGTCAGAGGTTTTTACTTGAGGGTTCAGTGTAGTTGGCGGGAAAAAGCCCGCTCTTCCCCCGCAGACGTCCTCTCCACCAGGAGGGGTCGGAGCGGTCCAGCACCTCAATGATGTCGCCGGCGCAGAACCCGAGCTCATCGTCTTCTTCTGCGGTGAAATCATAGAGCGCTCTGACCTGCAGAGAGGACGCCCTCTGTGGGACGGAGGAGAAAACAGCCAGCATTAACACCGCAAAGCTCAATGAATTATACTGTACAACAAGTTTTAAAGACATACGCAGTACTGACGTTTTATAATAATTTAATTTATCAAACCATGAACCTTCAAGAATTTTTGAAATCTTTCAACAAATATTCTAAATTTTCATCACTGGATAGTAGGAACTTCTACAACCTGTTGTAGATTGTGGCCCTGAAGGACGACTGCACAAACATTTTATGAGCACAAAAAAATGTCAGTGAACCCCAAAAACATTTCACCAAACTAAAATCACAGTGCAAACTGCAAACTAATTCTACCAAATGAATATTTTTTGGAAAACGCATGCGTTTCACAAAACTGCAAGAACATGTCAAAATTTAAAAACATGTCGTGTCTCTTGTGATTTTGTAAGAAATTGATTTTTGTGAAAAGTTTTTGTACTCAAAAATATTTTGGCCCATAAATCTTTGAGTCTCATTGAACATTTTTTTCTACCACGGAAGTTAATTATCTGGGATATATTTTTTCAGTTTGTAAAAACTTTTGATGAAATGTTTATTTTCATTCAGTAAAATTTTCACATACAGCAAAGATATTTGTACAGCTGACCTCCAGGGTCACAATCACTACTTGGTTTATCATTTTGTGGTATGTTTTTTTGCTTTATGTCTAAGAAAATATTCTGCTTTTCCTCATCTTCTTTAATTCTACAAATAAATTCTGTCATGTTTCAGAGGTCTATCATGCTGTAAATTGTTGTTTAAGGGGCAAATTGAAGGATCAAAAGTCCAAAATTGAGTGTAAAAACTACAAATTTTGAGGCAAATAAATCAAGCTTTAGATAGACTAACAGACGTTCATGACCCAGAATCTGAAAATGTGGATTGAAGGCATTTATTTTAAATTTTTAGATCTAAAATTATCCAAAATTTGGACTTCACTAAAAAGATAAAAAAGTTAATGCTTTAATAAACCTTTAATAACCGCCAATAATCAGTTAAGACTGTTGGATCAGTTTTTCTCTGTCAATTAAAGACTGAATATCTCAATTTGAACCAATTTGAACCTCTGCAGTGTATGAGTTCAGTATATATGATGGGTTTTTCCATTATTAGATCAGACTGGAGTTTGGTGTACTGACCTGTGGGAGGGGCATGGTGTCAGATTGGCGGCGTAGAGGCACACCAGTGTTAATGGGGCTGCTTCTTCCTGTGTGACCAATGGTGTGAGCTCGCTCCTCCAGACCTGCTCTCTTAGCCTGAAGACGATAAATACAGTGAGTCTTACTCACTTAAATATGAGACACCTTGGGTTTATATCGGTATAGGCTTTGGGTCAGAAGAAAAAAAAAAGTATTTTAACTCATAAGAGCAGATGAGAAAATAAAAACACATATATAAATGTATCAAGTTAGCAGTAACACCTGAGTTTTTTTGCTTCCTGGTTCAGAGTGTTTATGTATTAATCAGCATGAGAGCATATTACTGTTAACATTCTAAAATGGGTCATTGACTGCACTGCATGACTGTATAAATGACGAAAAAACTGGATGTCTGAAATTTCCTTCGGTGAAATGTTTCCAGTAAAACTTAAATTCTTGTTCTTGGGTCCCAGCAGATGGCTGGTTTTAGGATTGACTTTTAAGATCTTATTTATTACTTTTAAAGCTCTTATCAGTCTCCTCCCAAGTTAGATCACCAACCTTCTTATGGTACACTATGGTCCGCAGGGAAAGGCTTTCTTACCGTTTCAGACACTCGGCTAAAAACAAGGAGGAACAGAGTGTTTTAAGTCCAGGCACTGAAGCCCTGGAGTGATCTGCCCTAAGAAATTAGGTTGGTGCACTTATTTAAGAAGCTTCTGATTTTACTTAACCTGAAATATCTTTTTTAGTGACCTGATTTTGTTTTCCTTAAATATGGTGTTGGTCTTATGTTCCAAGTTGGCTTATCCCTCTAAATATGTTGTCAAATTTCCTGCCTTGCAAAGCACTTGGTAATGGATTTAAAAAGCGCTCTATAAATGAAGATTATTATTATTATAAACATTAAAAATTCATGAGTACTCGGGTAAAATGTTGGGAAAAACAGTGAAACTGTTTGAAATGCAAAATCAAAGTACCAGCTGGTTGTGAGGCTGATCTGATGCTCTGCGTTGTGAAGGTGCAGGAGCAGGTGTGCCACGGTGTTCAGGTAAACTCCCTCTCTTCACCTAAAGGGAGGAAACAAAGATTAACTTACTAGTTTCAATCTTATTGTTCTGGAGGCAATTTATTCAACTCAAAACCTCCAAATCCCAGCCATTTCCTGTCAACGGTGTACCCCAGGGCTCTGTGATGGGACCCCTTCTGTTTGCTATTTACCTCCCTGATGTCAACTAAATTAGGGGTGGAGCAATATTGGTTCCATAGGGCAAATTCTAACACTAATTACTAGGAGTTCAAGCACTGTTGTTAAAAAAGAAAAACTGTCATAATTCCGAATCTTGAGTGTTAATAATTCCATCACAATACTTGGCTTTAAAGTCTTTCACCAATAATTAAATAAGAAACATTTAACATCTTATTCTGGTGTTCACAGTTAACTGGTTACACTTAGTGCAGTCTGGTTCAACAATTGTGTGTCATTTAACCAATTAGATTGTGATGTGGGTGGGACATCAGGTAAGATGGAAATGGTTGGAAAGATGGTAATGTTCCCAAATAAACAAACAAAAAATAAAAAGCTTTTTTAAACACCTGAGAGACTTTCTGTGATGTGCCCTTTTTTCTCCTTGAGTTATACTAAAGAACAAATCTCAGATGATCTTCAGGATCAAACTAAACATCTCTCACCGACTGGGCCGGGGCCGGGCTCCTGCTGTCTAAGCTGCCGTCGTTCAGGTAGATCGCTCTGGTTTTTGAGATGGATACGGTTTTGTAATACTCCACCAGCTTGTTGAGGGAGGTGAACTTCTCCGACCACAGGAAGTACTGCCCTTTATTATCCTTCATCACTTTGAAGTGCTGAACGTCACTCTCATGTCTATGTAAGAGAAGGAAACAGACACAGAGTAAATTTTATACCAAGGTTTTAATTCACCTGATCATGTGAAGATGCTTCCTCAGTCCTAAGGATCAGCTGTTTGCTCTGCTGGATCGCCCTCTGCTGGTCAGAGAAGAGAACTACAAGACGAGGGTCAGACAGAGGAGTCGGTTCCATTTTAAGGACTGCAATGGAGGCTATGACAGCCTGGTTGTTCAAAATGTTTGATCAAGATCTGGTTCATTCAGATTCGGTTATCAACTTTTTTCAACCAGGTAATCTGGTCAACTTTCACTCGATTTTTTCAGGGATGAAATGAATTAAATCAGTCTGATTCAACAATCCAGAGCAGCTCAGAAAAGCATTTAAAAAATTGTTTTTGTTGAACAGTTTGAAAATTTCATTCTGGGATCAGAGTAATTCTGATTTTTACAAAAATCTAACTTACTCAAAAGTTTAAACAACACACGTCTGAACTAAACATAAGTTAGTAATGCTGCGGTAAAGCCAAAACTGGGTCACCTGATCTAATCCAATTGCCTTTCTTTTTCTTTTTAACAGCCTTTCTTCAAGACTCTATTCTCTTAGGCTGTGCAGATCAGTAACAACATGATAAAAACAGAGATCTTAGTGTTAAAGGCTGTTCACTACTCTGCACAGGCTGCAGATTTGATGTCTACAGCAACACCCTGATAAGCTGACTGCTCACTCTTCCTCTGCATCTGCAGCTGGTTCCTGTCTCTGATCTTGCAAAGAGTCTGCAGAGTTTGCAGCACTTTGCAGTAAAAATTAGGGTGACAACATGAGTGACGGTTTACTTGTGTCAATGAAGCATTCAGAGGGGGAAAACTGTTTTACTAGTCTTGATAATAAGGTTAACCCGATTTCAACCTCGTTTCTTATTAATTTTTTTTTTTTTACAAAACCACTAACTGACCCTGAATTAATAATTATATTGTGATAAAAAAAAGCAAAAACAGGAAAGAAAGCAGAACAGAACCAAATAAGGTTGACACAATGAGTAAAAAAACAAGAAATACATTAATAAACATACAAACAACATAAAATGAACTTATTTTTTCATTCATATAGCAAAATGAAAATATATATTTCATCATCATTCATTGTCATTTGAGTTTAACCCGTAGTATGTCTGTTTTAGACTGAGATGTAATATTTGTTGTGATACACTGCAGTGATTTGCAGGATCATTATAAAGTTAAAAGAAGATGTAGCTTTGCTGTTGCCCTGAATGCTCCATATTAGGTTTAATTTAAGCCTCATTTAATGGAAAAGCCCAGAAAATGTTGTATTTTAAGATGCTGCATAACAAGAATCTGCCCTGAATTGCTTGTAATATGTAAAATTCTCAAATTCTCATTTCAATTGACTCTATTTAGATATACTTTCTTATTTTTTTCTTCCATTACAAGCACTTCAATTTATATTTTTGGTGAGCAAGATCATGAGATAAGACTCTTTTCTGGATTTGATTTGTCTTAATGGGACACTTTTTTTATTAGCAACAAGACATTAAAAATGTACCAAGAATTAAGTTCTTGTCGTGTTTTCCTTTGGCAGTTAAAATTGTTACTCACTGTTTAAAAAAGCCTGTTTCTCTGAGTTCTGCTTTGACACCTCCCCCCTCAAAGTGGTCACAGGCATTAAAAGTGTAACAAAGAAAAGGTCATCCTTGTTGCTGTCGGTCTTGTTGGCTTTTCTAGCTCATAAAGAGGCGTTAATGTTTGTTTCATAAGCAGCTAAAAAACTCCCTACAGGAGTTTTAAGTTTCTTGGGCTGGATTTCTGTTGGATCTGAAGTTCCTCTAAGACTATTCTTCATGTACAAACAGACCGATCATGTTTCCTGATGCATTTCTGATCAACAGAATAGTTTCATATCAGTTCATATTTCAGACGCCCACTCGTCCTGACTCACTTTACGGAGATGGAGAAGTCTCCGGGCGAACTCTGACACCCTCTGATCACAAAGTCGCCAACGTCTTTGTATCTGAGGAGCTCCTCTGCTGCACCGCGACTTGCATCCTCCTGAAACCACCTACACACACACACATACACACAGAGGAGATATTACCCTTTTCTGATGTAAACACACGTCAAACCCACAGGAAGTGCCAGAGAATATGCTGGTATATATATAATTTAAACAATTAGATTCCCTCTTACAGTTTACACAAGTCGACCTTTTTTCTTTTTTAATTTGAGTTTTATCTGCAATCCTAGCAGCTGGATTTGTCCTAAAATGTTTTTTCTGCCCTTTAGCTTCCAAATACAAGAAAAATGCACATTTTAAGCATTAACTTATCTGGCTTTCATGACAAACAAAGCATCTCACTCCTTCTAATACTTTTAGTTTCAAGAAGTTGAAATGTTTCTAACCTTGGAGTTTTCATCTCGATGTAATTCTGAGGAACAAACCCTATTTGTCCATTTATCTCTGCTTTGTACCATTCATCCTGTGAGCTTAAAATCTGTATGAAAAAACAACAACATTAAATTAAACCTATTTTTGGAGGAACGATGACAAAATTAGAAGTGAAATTAGAAGTGAAATTATTAGAAGAAATTAGACAGTCACTGACCTTCAGTATATCTCCCTTCTTAAAGCTGAGCTCGTCGTCTGCTGTTGCGTTGAACTCGTATTTTCCTTTGGCCTCCATCAGGATCAGCTGAAGAGTCAGAGAGGAATGCAGAAAGAAGTGAAGAGACAATCAGAGTCCAGGACAAGAGATTCTGTGGGAAAAGTAAAACACGCAGAGTCTAAAATAAGACCTTTTTCAGTTTGTCAAAGTGACTCTTCTTCACAAAGAGTTGACATCCTGATGAAATGATTTTGAAGATATTTACAGCCTGTGGTTTCGAGACAGTATCTTCAGGAAGTCACGTGATGGTTTCAAAGCTGTCAAAAAGTCTTCTTTTTAGGCAAAAATGGTTTCTAAGCTTTATTGAAAACTGCAATGTGAAGCTTGTTTTTCTCAGAATGAAGTGATGAAATCGCAAGTTTAAGGAGCTTAAATACATTTACTCTCAAATTGCAGAAAACAGAAATGTATGATTTACACAAAGCTTTTATAGTTTTGATAAATAAAATTTAATCTTCATGTACATGCTTTGGCTTCAGTTATAAAGATAAAGTACAGCTTATAAAAGGAAAAGTTCAATATTTTAGAATCTTCTTTATGAGCTTTCTTAAGAAAAGTCAGAGGAGAAGCTGAAGATTATGAACATGTTGTAAAGCAAAATGAAGCAAGTAAAAGCAGCCAGTTAGTATAGCTACGCATAAAGATTGAAAACAAAGGCGAAAATTAGCCTGACTCTGTCCTAATCCCGCTCTCCAAATCTGCCAAGACAAAAACTGTTAACTCTTATGTCTTTTGTTTGACAAAAGTACATTAAAAATATACATGAGTGATAAATGATGAGCAAAGGATCTAAGAGGGGCTGAAATACTGAGACATTTTCAAATAAACTGAAAATATATATATTCAGTCAGGCTTTTTTTGTAAAATTATCTCCTTTTTATTTGTTATAATGCTTTGAATCCTTCTGTTTTTATCTATTGTTAACCTTTGATTTAGAATTTTTGTCCTTTTATTCATAATAATTTGTCTTAACGTTTCTTGTCATTATTTCAACTATTCATATGCCCATTATGATTCTGATGATTTAACTTGTTTGCAACTCTTTTGTGTACTTGCTTATAAGTGAATTAGTTTCTTCTAAATCTATTTGTTTTTTGTGTCCAATATTTTTAAATCACTGTAAAGCTCTTATGAAAAGTGCCGTGTGAGCCTGTTGACCGATGTCCCTAATGTTCTTAAAATTATTTCTACTAACTCTCTGCAAAAACTGAAAGCTGTGTTTTACACACATTAAACATTTCTCGTGTGGCATAGCACAATGCAAAAGGATGCCATCACAGGCTATAGATTCATTATCTCTTGCATTATCCATATCACTGCTTCCTTGATATAGTAAAAGAAAATCCAATGAGATATTAACATAAAAGTTTCCCTTTTTTGTTGTGAGGATGATGCATGACAATTATGTTCATCAAAAGTCAGACTAAAGGAAAAGTATTTATTCATCATGACAAACATAGTGGCCTCAAAGCTCTTGTCATGAGTTTTTAGGTAGTTATCAGACAAAGCAGGGTAGCATAATTAAACGTCAAGGCAATTTCAAGTGCTTCACACAAGACACTGAAAGAGTCATTAAAAGGTTCAGAGAAAATACATTATGAAACATTTTCAATTGATAAAAGATGTTGAAAATCAAAGCAAGAAACAAGAAAATAAACACAAATTAAAATGCAAGGTTAAAATACAGTAAAGTACAGTTGTAAAATGAAAGTATAAAGTTACAGAGCAAATTTGTCTAATAAAAATGAGGATGGGCATAAATATAATCTTAGCAAAGGCAGCTTTAAACACAGAGTCTTAACTGATTAAACAGAGGACTTTTACCTGACTAGATATTTTCTGGTTGTCTTTTCCAGGTATGAGAAGCATAAAAACTGAGATTAAAAGAAGTCAGGATTCTGACTTCTTTCTGTCAGAAACTGAGAAAAGTGTGAGAACTCTGATTTTAAACTCTGAATTTTTACATTTTTTTCTGAGAATTCTGATTTATTCTTTGTACTCTGAGTTTTAAGTTTGAATTCTGAGAAAAAAAAGTCACGAGTTAGAAAAAAACATTCTGACCTAAATCTTTCTTCCTGTGGCCCTCATTCACTTAAACACAACCACCCGAGAGACTGACTGAGGCAGAGAGACTGACTGTGGTATACCAGGTTATTGTGAGGTATAAAAAGTTCTGTTTGTTATGTTAAGTGAGTCTCAATTTACATGGACTTAAGCCACCAAACTCTGTTTAACACTGTTACATACCTGTACTCATGTTTGACATTTTCGGCGGTTGACGCCTCAAACACAAAAAGAGCTGAAATAATCTGTTAGATGTCAAATATTATCCAGAGTACATCTGCAGATATTTAACAGCCCATAACATCATAACATTGATTCAAATCTTAAATAATCTTTAATATTTAATCTAGCTCTAGCAATGGGGTTTAACATTTACACAGTTTACTCAATTCAATAAATCTCCATTCAGTTTTGGTGGGATGTTATTTTAGGGAACCAAAATGACGTCATGAAACCAAACATGCATAATTATATTTATAATTATGTCCTTTAGTTCCTTTACCTCCCAGCCTCTGGTGACGGAGGTTCATGTTATGAGCTCTCTTTATGAATGAAGGACAAAAAAACAATTCAGACATTTAAGGAAGTGTGAAAATTCTTTTGTTTTCTATTTCTAAAGAGGGAAGAGTCTCAATCTATCCTGTTTTTGTGTTGTTCATACATCCAGGGCGAATACGCAGAGGCCAACCCATTGTTATTGATCACTCAAAAGAAACAATCTTCTGAAACTTGGATTAAACTTTAACTAAAATGAGAATTTGAGCTCCGTAACAGCAGATAAAGCATGTCAGGTACTATGTTTGGTTCTTTCCCACAGACAGAAAGAAAACCTTCCTTCTCTGTGGTTTTGGAGTGAAGGATGTGGTGAGTTATCGAGAAAAGAAACAACTGTACAGTCAAATCACTCTTGCAGGTGTAGCCTTGCAAACTGAAATTAACGCCTTTGAACTTTTTTCAAGAGCATAACGTGCTGAAAAATGTGCTCCGAACTCTTTGAAGGCCCAACAATGATTCCCCATTCTTTACCACAGCTCTTAAAAATGAACTGAGGGATTTGAGGGATAGATGACCTTTTACACGCCCAAGCACAGTAGTTTTGTGTTTACATGGCAGGATGTTACCCTCATCACTGGAGGTGGCAGAAAATCCCTCCACTGATGTGTGCATTGTGTTACGCGCCCAGACTCGAAAGCTTGGTGAATTATGTAACTGCCCTTGGCATTTTTTTTTTTTTTATGTGTCTGATGTTGCGGTCAGACCTTCCTCCAGCTATGACAAGATTGGCTCTGTTTCTGTTCATGTGTTACCTGATGTGTCAGACTTAAGTTTACCTACAAAAAAGGCCGGCACATTAACGCCTAGCTAGCTGACATTACATTGGCTACCTGTTCGTCAATGGCCACAGTCATAATAAGGACAAAAACATTAAGACCGTAAAGTCAAATTTTGGTTAAACTTAAACAAAAGGAACCATTAATTACAGGGTACGAGAGAGAGTCCACAGCTTACTTAAAATATTATTATATCTAAATAACTATTTTAAGTCACAATACTAGGGTTGGGTATCGTTTGATTTTGAACGATTCCGATTCCGATTTCGATTCCTCATTTCGAATTCGATTCCTATCGATTCTTTATTTCGATTCTTTTAAAAGGCAGGATATCATTAAAAAAAAAGCATGGTTTGAATGAGGGCGCTAACCGGAGCTCTTCTTTTTGGATGTAATTTCTGAACTTCTCCATGAATTTTTAAATCATATTAACTTTTTAGGAACTTTACTATGAATTTCTCACAGGGCTATTTTCAATCAGTATATAAATATCATTTTTTGTTGTCAGGTCGTTTGTCTATGAAAAAGCACAAGGGCTAACGTTAGTTGGATATTTAAGTTGACCCACCGTACTCAGTGCAATTTGTTTACCGCTTCAAAGTTAGCAGAGGACAGAAGTAATTTATTGTTTCACTTATCTGATCCTGACTGGTTAGCGGAAGACAGGTGTTGTGCTGTAGAATGCACCCCTGCCGTAGAATGTCTCCCCTCCACTGATTAGCGTCTTAAAGTGGAAGACAATGATCTCATATTTAAAAAAAACACGAGTATTAGATCATGAAAACATGTCAGATGGAGCAGTAAACTTTCGTTTTGTTTTTCTGTGTCTCAGAAACGCACACATAGAGGTGTACTTGGGTATATAAACTGTACAGTAAGCTGTTAATGTAGAGAACATTATATTTTCCGGACAGTAAATATTCAGAGTCAGAGGGCTGTTGTTTTCGGCTTATCTGAATAGCCTGAATGAAATCATTAAAGGCACACGCTTTAGATTCCGTTCAACGGTAAGAAAAACTTGGATTGTTTCGCCTTGTTGTGTACTTTCAACCGCGCTCCCGTCAGGGGTGCATTCAACAGCAGGGGTGCATTCTATGGCATAACACCGGCGAAGCGCGTCAAAGACGAGCACTCGGGTATTTCTCCTCCATGAATCCTGAGGTGTTTAATCATGTTGGTCGTTTACCCTCCTTTGCATGATATAACTGTATTGCTAATGTTGCATTGAGATAAGAGCTCATTCTTCCTGCTAAAGTTAGCCAAACTTTTGACCAACGAAGAAGAAGCTGCCGAACACCAACGAGGACGGAGCGTATGAGACGAAGCCACACAGAAAGTGAAGAGAGACAAAGAGAGATTACATTGTAACCCACAGCGGCTGCATTGCTGTGGGTTGCAATGTAATTTCTCTCTCTGTCTCTCTTCACTTTCTGTGTGGCTTCGTCTCATACGCTCCGTCCTCGTTGGTGTTAAGCGGCTTCTTCTTCGTTGATTTTCGGCGGCTCTTTCTTCCGGTCGGCGGACTCCGGCATCGAAATTTGGAATCGAAATTTTAATATTTGAACGATACCAGAAGAATCGAAGTTTTAGTCTTGATTCCCATCGATTCTCGATTCTCGATACCCAACCCTACACAATACAGTTCAAGAGCACAAAACGAAGCCACGCAAAAAAATTCAGCCAGCAACTAATAAACCGAACAGTTGGCTAAAAGAAGACTGAAAGGCATAGCAAGCACGTAGCAGCAGTTAGCAAACAACAACATAGCATTTGACTAAGTATACAAAAGGTACCTATAGTATGCTAATAGTTATTGATGAAATGTAGCAGCAGTCAGCTAACAGAAAAAAGACAGCAGTTTATTTCAAGTCATTGACAGCATTAAGCTTCAATTGTGTATAAAAGTTGACAGAAGTTATCTAAATGAAATGAAAAGCAGAGGTCATCTAAAAGTCATAAAAGGTAGCATAAGTTAGCAAAAAGGCATGAAAAGTTGCAGAAGTTATCTAAAAGCAGCAGGAATAAGATAAAAGTAATGAAAAACGGCACAAGTAGGGCTGGACGATGAAACGATAACAATACATGTCGAAAATTAATTTCCCTCAATATCGATATAAAACATGGTCAACATGCTCTTCGATAGTCGGCATTCTGCCATGTTTTGGTAGACTATACGAATAGCCAATGAAAAGGGGAGTTGATCCAGGTCTGCTTCACGCTGAACCAATTATGTACTGAATTAGAACCAAGTAGCAAACAACTGTGTAATAGCAGGCTGCAGCTACACGCAACCATAGCACTTTAACACGTGAAGCCGACAGCACTGATGCAGTGCCACGCAGCAGAGCACGCGCAATGCAAAAGGTTACAAACCCCAAGCGGAGCAAGGAGCCTGTGCAGCCAACCATTCAGTCCGCTTTCTCTAGAAAGATTGATGCAGACAGCTAAAAGTCATTGATTAGGGTAACAGCAGGTAGCCGAAAGTCAGCTTTAAGAGGTAGAGAGATTGTCTCAAAGTCATAAACAAACAAAAGAGCTTAAAGTCATGGATACATTGCAGTTACCATGAGTTTGTTCAAACAATAAAAAACTCAAACAGTTGCAAGTTATCATAGACTTGAAAAAAAAAAAAGACTTATACGTGAGGAAAATGACTCAAATTGTTAGCTTAAAACCATGAATGGTAAAACAGTTAGCTTAATGTCAGTGAAACTGTTGAAACACTTGGATAACTAGTGCATCATCTTACATAAATCAAACCAGACAGTTTGAGGGGGGTTAGAAATGTCATACTTTCTGTTCTCTGAATAGTTTTATCATAAAAAGCCGTGATATTACATCAGTCTTATCTGCTGACTGTGTGTTAAAATACAGAAATAGATAAAGGGGAAATCAAGTACATTTGGAGCTTTTCCAGTAAGACTGTGGGGACTTTTCTCCACGTCATTTTTAACTGTAAAGTTTACAGCTGTAAAGTGAAAATTAAACAATTTAACAGTCTATAGTTACAGAAACACAAGGACTGTTGATTGGTTAAAAATCTAAGCAGAATGGGGATCCAATGACAGAACTGGAAAAAAAACTGCTCTGAAGGGAGTTATTGACATTAATGTTAAATCAAAAGTCGGTGTTTGGTTGCATTTTACAGACAGTTAAGACAGAGCTGGAATGTTATGATATTTTTAGTCGTTCAATTCTTATTTTTAATGTTTGAAGCAAAACAGGACTCAGGTACTAAAATTTTACACCCCCAGTTCTTATGACAGTTAGTACTTCAGTCTCCACAATGATGTGAGGCTCTGAAAGCATTACAGCAACAGATTTTTGCAACATTTGTCTGAGTGCAAGGGTTTGGCTTCAAATTAAAAGTGTAAGCTCTGCCGCACTTCTTGTACTTTCTAGAAGCTCTGGCAGGTGTTCCTGTAGTTATAATTACCCACCACAGAGCTGACAGCAAACTGGTCCACTGAATCAGCAGCACAACACTTGCATATGGTTTTTTTGATCTAACAGCATTGAAAGACCAAAGACCAAAACAGGAGGACTAGCTTTTTCAACATTATGGGTCAATACGCAAAAAACTTTAATCATGGTGTTTATTTTCTTTACATTAAAATTAAAAAAAATGTTTTTTTTTTTTAACAAGCATTACATTTTGTCCATCAAAAAAAAAAAAAGAATACATCTAATTTACTATCTTTCATGACAAATTAAAGAATTTCAGTTTAAAACTCTTTTTAAATTACTATTTTACAGATTTTATTATCAGGATTCACTGTTTTGTCGAATAACTATCTACTCTGCGTCAAAATTGACACATCAAAATGTCAGATTTTGTTTTCTCTGTCAATATAGAACATCAAAATACTGCGCTTGCCATAGTAGAAGATGTACATTTAAAGCAAAGATACCAACATGAGAGGCTTACTTCTATTTTTTTTGCATTATAAACACAAATCACACTGACATTTTTGAATATGCGTGCCTTGATTAGTCTGAGGAAAAGTAAGTTGGATGTTAGATGTGTATTTTATAGTTCAAAACACTTTTTTGGATGGCAAAACTTGAGATCAGGTTTGTTTGATACTAAGATGGACCCCCAAATTTACTCAGGTGACCAAATACCTATGTGATACTCAATTAAAATCTGTGTTCAGTGTTTTAGTAACTTTTATTGCAGGCCAGGAAACAGCCTGGTGACTGTATGGTAAAATAATGAGGCCCTGCATTCTGCACATGTTCTGCTTATAAGGAAGGACAGCATCTTTGCTACTACCCTACTGAAAATCCCTTACATGTATCAACAGTTTCAGTTGTGCACTGAAGTGTTGCTTGCACTGTTGCATTAATGTCAGTGTGTTCACTACAGTTGAACTTTTTTCCTCTTTATGCACCTGCTGTAAGTGTGTGTGTGTGTATGGGTGTGTGTGTGTTTATCCGTCATGAGTCAGTGCACAGAAAGGTTTTTTTTATCATACTGTTGTTCTCTAAGTTTAACCTTGACAGCATTAATCAGTACTTGAGGAAGTATCAGATTGTAGACGTAAAGAAAAAATGAATAATAATAACAAAGAACTCCTTTATATATCCATATAACCATATAACCCTCAGACTATTACAGCTAATGTGGGTTTTCCAGTGTAGTATACGTGGCTTTTACTGCAGTATCTGGAAGTTAAGCTAAGTTTTACTACTTCACTGTATATATTTATATAACTGAGGCACTTCAAAGAAAAAGACAGTTAAAGCTTCTGTATGTAGTTTTTCACTGGTTATGAAATAAACTTAAATAAAAAGTGAAAAGCAAACATGACCATCAGCACCATTTTGTTGACAAAGGTACCAAAATCAATACAAACTGAGACTTCCTCATTGGATCTTTAAAGGGGGTATTATTCAATTTTAGGCTCTGTACTTCCGCTCTGATATGTCTGATAGCCTCAAATTTCTCACTCTGGTGTATTAAAATATTTTTTTAATTCTAAGTCTAAAATGCTTTGTTATAGCTGCTGTCTCTCCAAAGCCTCTCTGAAGGCTTTCTGGAAGCCCCAAACATTGTAAGAGATAACAAACTATCGATCAGTCATGATGTATTAATTCGTCACTTTTTTGAAGCTGTGTTGATACGCCAAGTCATGCCCAGCGTGGTATCCCAGCTACTGAAACACTGATTTGAATGACTTTCTGAACAAATCACCTGGCTTAAAACATACCAAGTTTAAAAGAGTGTGTGTCCATCTCTTGAAAAATAAATAATCCAGCCTGTCACTGGGCCATGGAAAACAAACTGAGCTATCACCAAGTAGCCCTGTCATAAAGTCTTGAGCTATAAACCACAGTTTTAGTGCAGTAAACAGAGGAGCATTCATGTGTGTAGGCATCTGTGTGCAAGTTTGAGTGTGGGTTGCTGATATGCAGATAGATGAGGAGCAGTGACATTGGCTGAATGCAGGTCATAAACTCTGAAAGCCATTTTTATTTAGGTGATGATACTGATGCAAATATTTTCCCGCTATAAGATGAAAACCCTTGTAGAGTTACCAGGAAATGGAAGCTCCTGTGAGTAACTTTTCAGTTTGGGTCAATGTTATAAAAAGGCATTAATATGATTTAAGTCTCTCTTATATATGTTTGAAAAATCCCCACAGAACCTATAAGTTCCTAATATTGGACATAAAGGTTTTTAAGTATTAACCCTAACTTGTGCAACCAAAATAATACATTCAATACTTTATTCCATATACAAAGATCTGCGTTCTCCAAGTGTTACTGAGAAAAACGATAAAAGTATTAGAGCACTATACTGCCCAAACACTCTTTGGTAAAATTATGAAAATAAATTAAATTTGTTAGTGCATGTAACATTGTACGTTCCTAATATTTTCAGGGACATAACTGCAACTGCCCACCAATAATACCCCACTATATCACAAATTAATGCATCGTAATTCTTGGTATATGGACATATATCATATGCCCAGATTCTTGCCAACACATGGCCTCACTAATTAATGACACATGTACTTTTTCAGTCTCCCCAAAAAAAGCCCACCTCTGAACAACCCACTTGTTACACATATGGTAATATTATCCAAATGGAGTGAAAGATGGAGACTGTAGCTTTGATACCAGTGGCATCTGCTCCACTAGATAGCCAGCCATAAACTTAACCATGTCTTTCTGAGTGGCAGTTTTGGTTGAAGTATAAAATGTCCATTGCCATTTCTATTGCCAGAGTTGCAGCAGCAATGATAGCTTTCTCCTCCTTGATGGGCCTCAACACCAGCATTGCAGAGCTATGACTGGCTTGTGCTTTGGGCCTCATAACTTAGCTTATATTCCACGATAATGTTGTTTCTGTCCTTTGTACACAAAAACTCAAAATAATATTAATATTTTAACAAAAATAACACTATATATTCACTCAACCAATTGCTAAATTAGCCGATAATTGTTGGCACTGTAGATTTACCCTCTGCTAGTTGGCACCTACCTGTTAGGCAGGTAGGTGCCATGAGGGAAACAATAATGGTGCAAAATCTTAAACCTTTCATGCTGATTAAAAGAAATATGTGGATTTTAAAGAACAGATCATTCTTGAGAAAAAACTAACAATATAAAAAAATTACTTAAATAGCAGAATGTGTGCATTTTTGTTACAGCAAAAAATAGTCCCGATAACTTTGTCACAAGTTACCCTAAATACTGATGAGGAGTAGCATTCATCTGGTTTGGCTCATAGTTTTTGGTCAGCTAGAAGCTGTGATTTAATTTGACCTTTTGCTTACTTGCTTTATTGTAGTTAAATTATATAAAACATAGAGCATGGCCGATCAATTTTCTCATGTATACCACATCTCAGTGGCGCATCGGTGTCTATATTTGATTTAGGCTTGATTCTTATTTTATGGACAAAAGGAAAATAAACAAGCAAATACTATTTATAAAGTTCCTGAAGACTTGAAATTGTGGAAGACAGTTTTAACCTGTTATAACCTTCCCCTGTAACACCAACAACACTCTTGAAAACCACTTCCTCTTGGAGAAGAGAGTAAAAACATCAAGCCCAGGAACAAATGAGCACATAAGACAGCACTAAAATGCAGGTATGTCGCATTAAAATGTCAGAATTAATCAGTGCTTGTTACAGATCTATGTGAGCAGCCTGCACAGTAGGTTAAAACGGTTTAAAGAGGATACAAGTCATAATTATGTTTGCTTTTAGACATGTGCACTATTTTAAAAAGGCACTTTTTGATCACAAACTTAAAAAGTTTAACTTGACGACCCATGAAGATGATCAGAAAGGAGGAAATAAAGACAGGGAAAAAGAGGAAGAGAAGTGGGCAGTCATATAAGTGAATATCTTGCCCTCGGAGGACTGCTGTCAATAAAGTTGCTTTGAAACGTATTTTAAAAGTTGTATCATACCTTTCCTTCTCTCTCAATGAACTTCTTCAGCTGGTGCAGACTTTATTCTAAGGCAGGTCTCTCCCCCGTTCACACAGTGAACACAGCAACATGTTAATGTGTCTGGTTAAACAAATAAAAGTCCTTCTCCAGCTGAAAAATGATACTCCCGCTCTGTCTGCTTAAACTCGAGTAAAGACGGAAGATAACTGAGCTTACTGTGAGCCTCCTCTCTGCGGTTTCTCGCAACACAGCTCTGATGCTGAGACATGAAGACACTCCGCTTCACCTCCACTGCTCTCGCGTACCAGCCACGGGCAGTAGTTTATGTCACTTCCGTCTACGGTTTCAAAATAAGAGTCCAATTGTAGCAACTTTTTAGCTAAACAAGAAGCATAAATAAATAATTGCCTTCAAAAGCCAAGAGACTTTTTTACAAGTTTATTGCCAAACTGAAATTAGATTTTTGTTTGTTTGTTTGTTTTGTGTTTTTGTTATGAAGCTATTAATGACATTGGTATGGGGTTGAACCTCTAGTAATTCATAAACAGAGATGTGGTCTCTTTTGGTGGCTAGCCGCCTGCGAAGTGTTGTCTCAGCTAAGCAAATTTAGTTCCTGGACGCAGTCTTTTGGCTGTGTTTGGTGTAGGAACCTTTCAGAGTCTTTTTACAGAAATATTAGAAACATTATGTGGCGCCAAGAGACCGACTGAAATGTCTGTATTTACACCCTGGGATAATCTCATTTTAATTGTGATAATGCTAATTAGCATTAGCATCTGTACTCATTGTACCTAGCTTGTTAGCTTGTTCAGTTTTTTCTTCAACTTACATTTAATACACCTTTTCAAATGAAAGAAACTGTGGGAAAAATGTGTCAAATGCAGAATATTTTGCAAATGTTTTCGCAGTCATATTGAATATAAATGATAAGTGTTAAAAATTCTAGTGGACAGCATCAGAAGACAAAATTTTACCAAAATTTTTTTTTGAATATATTTGTGTCTAGTAATGTGTTCCAAAAATGAGACTTATTTCCGACCTGGGCCTTTTTAAATCTCGATTGAAAACACATTTATTTATGCTGGCTTTCAATACCCAGTAGCGTGGTGACATTTTATTTTATTGCATTGTATCTTATTCTGTTTTTTTTTTTTAATTGCTTTTATGGCTTTTATTGTTTTTATTGCTTTTTATTGTTTTTATTTATTCATTATTACTATGTATTGTAAAGCACTTTGGTTCACCAAAAGGGTTGTTGTAAAGGGCTGTATAAATAAGAACATTTAAATTTACATTTACAAACATAAGATAGATAAATATTAGTTGCTTATGGATATTGAAAATGTATGTTTGTCTTTGTTACAAACCTGTCTGCATTAAATTGACAGAGTGAAGTTTAATTTATTTTTCTTTTAAAAGTCATCAGTGAGAAAGTTTTCAACAAGCTGCTACAAAAGAAAGGGACTGCTTTGATGGATCCATTAAAGTGTAATCTTATGGCTGTATTGTCAGTTGTTACTTGCAGTTATAATGATTATAATGAATTTCTTAAAATGCAGCAGTGCCATTTAATATTGTGTGATTTCACCGTTTACTGTCAACGATCTGTACCTAAAATAAGTGTCACAGTATGTGAAAGGAAATCTCATTGTATGGTCCCCATAGGCCACTATCACTTCACTTATGGGAGGGGTGAGTAATGGAGCATTTCAACCTAGAATCTGACCACTGGATATCCTGAAATACTCCCATTTACACACACTGCAACCTAAGCTATAACCCAACAGTGAATAATATGCTCAACAATATTCATGAATGATCTTTTTATAGCGTGCAAGCACCTTCTTCTTTCATTTTCAGTCAGGTTTTTTCTTCTTCTTTCTTCTCATTGCCTTACAAGGAAAACAAACACCATCTCCTCTGACACATAGATGTTCACAGGTTCAGTGAAATGACTTTAGATGATTTTCTCAGTGTAGAGTCAGATAGCACATGAAGGCAGTTTACAGAAAAGTGTGTGCAAGGATGACCTGAATTTTCATGTCTCCAAACCACTTGCTGTGCACAGCAGCTGCAGGCAGGGCTCAAACACATCCGCCTGTCAGCGCATTACACAATACCCACAAAGAAAACTACACACGCAGAGTGTACGTGTGTGAGGGAGAGAGTATATTTTTGAAGCAATACTGTGTGTTGTGAAAGTGCTCAACAGTTTAAATATAGAAACAAAATGACCATATGATCATTATTTTTCAGGAATGTGCTCTGTAATACAGCACCGGAATCTGATGTGACAGTACACCAATACACGACTCATACACCATGTGGCCACAATATCTCAAAATAGACAAACCTATTACTTAATCTAGGGTGGGTCTTCCTTTTTTCTATGATCGGAGGGAATTGTGAGTTTTCTAATGCACTTTGGAAGAGGAAGTGAAGGGGGCAATAGTTGTACACCTCACCACTAGATGCTGCTAAATCCCACACAGTGCTTCTCTGAGTGCAATTTTAAGAGACTGGCGGAGATGTCAATATACTTCACCAGAGTGTTATCAGTATGACTCAACACATTCAATTTTAAAAATTACACTCTTTACTACATGAAGTCACACTAACAACTTTGGGTCTCATGCAGATTCAGTTAGTTGTAGGTCAAAAGTGCAGTATGCCCATTTCAGAGTCATGTTTCTGAACTTGTCTCGCTATTGTGGAAATAGAAACAAGCTTTAATTTGTTATCTGTATTTTGTACTTTGTTTTCATGTTTGTTTTCTTTAAAAAAAAAAAAGTGCATTTCAAAAACGATCCCTTCACTTGTAAAACAGTTCACCCTGAAATATTTGTGCTTTTACTGATCTTCTTCACATATACGCAATCATAACCACTGTGGGTCAGATCATGCACCTGATGCTGCCTAAACTAGCTTGCCAATCCCTCAAACAAAGTTTTTAGATCAACAATATCTGAAACATAATCAGGACAACTGGTAAAGGGTGCTCCATAGAGGGAAGGACTAACTTTAATTTTTTTAATGATTTATGGTAATATTTTGCTTCCTAACATTTCTCTTTGACCGTGGAATAATGATAACTCACATTAATCTTTACACATAGTTATCATCATGAACATCAGTACATGATGTATATTAACAGCAAGAAAGTTTAAAGTTTATCTCTTTATGTGCTTTCACACAGGTGTCAGTGGTGTTCATCATACAAGATACTTGAAAATGACAAGCTGTGTTTTTGAGTTATGATAATTTACATTTACTGCCACTAGATGGAGCGCTTTATAAATATATAAATCACACAGACATAAGCTCCAGAGGAGACTGACTGAGCTTGGGTAGCACAACACCTTTACAGAAGAGAAACATGCATTTTTAACCTCACATGAATTTTCTATCATTTTGATGTTCCTACCATCATTTTTTTATTTAGGTTTGTTGGATGTAGGAATACATTAAGGGGAGAAAGTAGCTTGTAATTTTCCCATACGTCAAACAAATGTATAACAGTAAGTAGCAGGCACCTATTTACATATTTCTACCCTCACTTTTTGAATCTTTGGTTTCCAGCAGATTTTTTCAAGCAGGTAAACACAGATTTGGCCATTTATATGCTTATTTTATTCTATTTTTGTTTCTAAATGGGACACTTAAATAGAAAGAAACAGGATAGGTGGAGACCAAAGCACATCAATAGCAGTAAAATATGTGTCATTTAAGAATAGGTTAAAACATCCAAAATATATGATGTAAAATGGTAGAAAAAAAAGATAAGTAGTTAAATATACAAGTAAAAAAAATAAGCTAGTAAAAATGAGTAGTTGAATAATAAAATAACAATAGTTTAAAATAAACCTAAAAAATAACATTAAATGTATATAAAACACCAAATAACAAAACTAATAAAATCTCTACATGAAAGCCAGAATAAACTGATAGGTCTTAATTCATGTTAAAAATCTCCATGTTTGTAGTTCCTCTCAGATTTTCACCCTGGTTTTATCTCAAAAGTTCGACACGTATTTTTTATGCGTTCTTGGAATGGCCCCCGCAAAACCGTTGAGGAAGTATGAATCTGCAGTTTGCGGGTGTGGTCGTGCGTGTGATTTATCCCGCCTCCTCGGGGACCATGCGCGTGATGTCGTAGTGACGTCACTGTTGTAGTGGCTCGTGTGTGTGTCCTCAGCAGTAGCAGCGGCAGGTTCTCAGCCTTCATTCAGTCGTCTCCAAACTCTCAAAGCACCTGGACGAAGCGGATCTTCACGGATATATGGACCGGAGTTCTGAAGCCCTGAGGAAGCGAACTTTGTGTGGGAATGTGTTTAATTATTTCCCTTCGGTTCGGGTCGGATTTTAAAGTCCTAAAAACTAATCTGGGGGGTTGATTTAGAGGGGCTCTGTTGGTTACTTTGGAAAATCTCGTTGGATCATCTCACCCGACTAACTTTGTGAATGTTTTCAGAACTCTCATGGAGATCCTGCTGGACAGCTTTCATTGATTTATGAGGATTTATTTCTCGAGCTGGAGGGCTGACTTTCTTACCTGGACTAGTTTTCGTCCTTTTAATCTCGGATAATGTGATTTCCAGCTCATATAAACGGTTTTATGGTGTTCATATCAGACTAGGTTCAATGATGATTTCGGAGGAGAGAAACAACCCTGTTAGTAAACAGACTCTGAACTTCCCTGTGGGTTTACTGATCCGCTCTCCAAAGAAGAGACTGGCCAAACTGGGGAGGAAACCCAGCAATGGATCACTACAGTAAGTCTCTCAACTGTTCACCACACTCATGATTTAAAACTCTTTGAAAACATAATGAAATGGTTTGTGTCAGTCTGTAAAGCACTTTTTCAGAAAAGGCTTCTTTTTGAAGTGACATAACCCCACTTAATATAGTTACAACAGTGTCTAACTTTACTTTACTGAGTCTGGGCCCAAAAGTCTTATTACATGTGTTAAATTATACTAATAACTGCACAGAGTATAACACTTTAATCAATTTGATAAGTGCTCACAAAAACTGCAAAACACCAGGGGTGGAAATAATAGTCTGACTGTTTCAAAGTTTTCACTTAAAGCTCCTGTGAGGATTTTTTTTAGCTAGTCATGAAAAAGCCTGAAATTAATATTGTTGCCTCTTTATTACTAACAAAAACTAAACAAGACTTTTGGTATAAAGGTTGATTCATTTTAGGGGTATTTCTGACAACTGAAAATGCTACCGAGGGTAGGTGTCAAACAATGTGATTGAGTCCATGCTGCCAAAACATACACCTGTTTTTCATTTTCCACTGCAAAGGTCCTTTAAAAGTGATCAATCTAATCTTGAATGGGATTTTATGAAAGTTTTTGTACCAGGTCCTGGGTATGACCTTCAAACCTACAGTGAGGAGGGTCAAGAGAGGAAGGTTTGCCCCCAGATGATGAAAAAGCTAAAAAAAATTTATCACAATGTAGAACAATGATAGCCCTATACCTGTTGAGGGTGTAGTACCATATTTTTCGCACTATAAGGCGCACCTGATTATAAGGCGCACCATCAATGAACGCGTCTATTCGCGTCTATTTTCATACATAAGGCGCACTGGATTATAAAGCGCATTAAGCCAAACAAAACAGTCAATAACTCCGCAAGGCTCCGGTAGCTGCAGTGCTCCGACAAGCCAAAAGGATTTTAAGTGCGCCTCATAGAGAGATGCTTGAACCAAAGTAACCTGGTCGACGTGCCGCACAACTGAGTTCTACTGTGAGTTGTGATGTTCACTGAAAGTCCAGACACTGTTCCTCAGATTCAGCAAACAAAAAATTTATTGCAATGAACCTAACCAAATCCATTTTGCATTTGATATCCAACACTGAACAAACAAGGAAAACGCCGGTAGTTACGCCACAATGGCCAGAAACTTTTTGCCCTTCCGGGTCAAACACCTGCCCACAACAGTGACATGGCTACCTTTATTCCTGAGCCCCTAGATTACAAGACAGCGACACCCATCGCACATAAAGTGAACTGCAACTCATTATACATCAACATATTTGGCTCCTACAGATAACTTATTTAGAGGTTGAAGTTCTTAAAACAAGTCCACATGCATGACTGCAGCAGCATATATGTTTAAGACTTGTCTGTCATAATGTTTCCTCTTCAGGTCCAGTAACTCCGACAGCATCGTCCGCTCCTCAGACAGTGCCGTAGTCCGCCAGCCAGCCAAAAGTAAAATCCGCCGCCACAACAACAGGCTCTCAAATGTTTTTAACCACAGTCCAAACCTGCGGGACAACGGACGCCATGGCCCAGCGTCAGGTGCCGGAGGTGTGGCTGGTGATTTGCAGGCTGCAGATGACCCAGCAGAGCTGTCTAGTCAGATGTCCGTCCCCGGCATCTTGAAGATCTTTGGCAGCGACATCTGTCAGGGGACCAACTACAAAAGTGTGCTGGCCACCACGCAGTCCAGTGCCAAGGAGCTGGTGAAGGAGGCCTTAGAGAGGTAAGAGGGGAGGGGTTTCAAACCATCTGAGAGCAGGTTTTATATTACAGATCTGCCAGCTAGACTACACCTGACAGCCTCAGATTAAGCTTTGAGATTTAAGCCTGAAACCTGAAACATATACTGAGTATGTCAAGAAACACAGGCTGTGAAACAAGAACTACAACCCAAACTGTTAAATCTTCAGAAACAGGCTTAGGAACTTTACACTTTGAAGTAATCAGTCATAAAAAGCACAATATGCAATGAAGAGAAATGCTACATCTGTGCCTCAAATATATTTGAAACCGGACTTCTGTAAAGAGCTGTTTTAGTTGGATGAAAGTGGCAGCAGTAGTGAAATGTTTGCCATTGTTCAAGCTCTTAATCAATCAATAAATACCCCCTGTCAATCCCAGCTTTTCAAACAGGGATTCTTTGTTTGTATTCTTGATTTTATAACAACCTGAAAGTATTTAGGGTTGGTCTGTTTGCTAATTTAAGACTTTGCCCATGTCCCTGGCATTGTTATTCAGAGCTTCTTGTAATTTTCTTTAATCTCAAACTTAAATAAAAGTCAGCAATTGTGCTAGCATCTCTTAACAAGGTGCTTTGAAGCTGGTAAAAGTTCTACAAGCTTTGCTGCGTTTAAATAGCTTGTCACCTTGCCAACTTTTGTCCAAATAAAAGCATCTAAGGACAAGTTTTATGCCATGATTGCACTCGCTTCAAATTGAAGCCTTAAGTAATTACAGTAATCTCAAGAAGACAACAGTTGTGTGCATGGAATTCAAGGCAATAGAGTTATTTTAGTCAGCACTTAAGTAGCAGCCCAATACGAATTCATGCATTTTTGACATTATGGCACCATAATGGAAAAAAACAGACAAAAAGTATTTCTCTTTTTGTATTTCAGTAATGGTCAGATAAGAAGAAGAACAGCTATCTCAGTTTTGGATGGTCTGAAGCCACCATCCTCATCCCATCCCCCTCCCCATGTCTAACTTTAGTCAACTTCTTCTCTAACTGTCCCCCTTGTATCTCAGGTATTGTCTGGAAAAAGAAGACCCCAGCGACTATGTGCTGTGTGACGTGATTGGACAGACAGGGACAGATAACCAGTGGAGAAGGGAGTGTTTCAGAGTTGTGGGGGACCATGAGAAGCCTCTCAAGCTTCAGTCTCTGTGGAAACCAAAAGAAGGATTCTCCAGACGCTTTGAGATCCAGCTGAGAGCAAGCGTGGAGGAGCAGAGCCTAAAGGACCGAGACACAGTCACAGCAGGTAAACATCCACACCCTGCACACTCTCACACTTTCCCCTGTCCTCCCAAGGGACCACAGATTGAGCCTCCCATCAAACCGTCCTCAGTGATAAACCTCTGTGATCTTGACGTTCCCCTCATTATAAATCACTGAGTCTGTTTTCATGTGGAGCTTCTCCCTGCTCTGTGGCTACAGGCTCACAGCCTCATTGTGCAGCTTATCAGTGGGCCAAGCATAGAGGGAGAGAGAGTGGGAGGTCAGAAGGAACAAAAGCAGCATGGGGGGGCACAGGAGGTCACTGTGGCCCCTCTCTTATCTCTGTTTTATTGCAGGGCCCATTAGGGCCCCATGAAACGTAGAGGCAGCTCTGAATGTGTCGGCTTACGTTGTTATTCTTTCACTCAGAGGTCACTTCCTGCTCTCTGAGCAGCCATGTTGACTCTGGCACAGCTCTGTTGGTACAGTGTTTTTTTTCTTATCTTTGGTACTGATGTGTTGGAAATTCCTCCTGATTGCAGATTTGCACAAACAAGATTAAGGCTTGAAATTTGATTTCTGTTGCTTTTATTTTTCCTGTTTTAGATAATACTCTGTGGGAAAAGTGTGAAGTGTTGAGTTTTTGTCATTAAAGCAAGAGCCTTTTTGCTAGAATCAGTTTTAGTGATTCACCTTTAAACTCCCCAGTGAAAGCTCAACTTAGTCTGATGCAGATGAAACAAAACTTTAAGAAGTCCAAAACAAATAAATATGGAGAGGGTTGAAATTTTGGAATAATATAGGCAAGGTCCCCAGAAGACAGAGGTCAACACCTGTCCTCTATCGGCCTCTGAGTGTGCACAGGTGTGTGATTTCTCATGACATCTTGGAGGCTATTAATATATCATTGCAGTGTCCTCATGCTGGAACCTTGACGTTAAGGTCGGCATACAAATAAATTGTGTCTTTTCTGTTTCTATGACATACTTTATAAGTCTAATTAAGTGTTTTCATATACAAGCTGCTCTTTACAAATTGCACCTAGAGGTATTAAGAAAGTTGCACAACATGGAAACTGGTCACCTATCCAGTTTATGGCCACACAGTTGTTAACAATATGGAAAACATCAGTGTAGTATCTATGTACTCCTTATGGTCTTCTTTATTGGATGTTTTGGGAAGAAAGTTTGGCCAATATTAACAAAAGCTAACAGCTATGTTTTGATTGTAGTTTGAATAAAACATGATTTAGTCTCATTGACATCCCCCTTTGGTTTCTGAGGAGGTGTCATGAAGCTTAAATGGCGACTGCCCCGTTGGAAACGTTGACTAACTTCCAGCTAATTTGTACTTTGGAAACCAACAGAAAAGGTTTAGTTGAGGCATTAGCCAGCTGGCTAACAACTACAACATACACACCTGTCAACCAATTCAACTGCCAACCAAAGGACAAGCAAAAAAGGAATGTAGCGCTTTGAACAAGTGTGTCAAGAAGGGCTTTACAACGTTAAAAATAAGTGGCAAGAAAGTCACAAGTGCCAAAAATAACTTCATTTTAACAGGTGAGGTGAAATAAACTTTGCCATTCAGTGTTCATGAAGAGAGAAATGAGCTGGAAAGACCAAAACTGTTTTAAGTACCAAACTGTAAACATGTTTTTCTCTTAATGGCTCTAACAGTGTGTCCTTAACCTTTAAAGACAGCCTCACCCATAAAGCTGCATTTTTCAACCCTGGAAGTTGCTGTGTGGTTGTGTTGGTGCTTTAAAAGCCTCATACTTCATATCGGACTGCTTTACCAAAAGGGCAATCACTGCCAAAACCAAACTTGAACAAGTGCTCCTTCAGTAAAGTGATGGTTTGACTGAGATTTAGCATTCGAGTCTCCAGCCACTGAGGAACAATATTTAGACTGATATTTGACACTCAAACTCAAACATGAAAATCAAAGAAGCATTTACATACCTCTAAAGGAAGGATGCAGCCTGAGCTAGCAGCTAATTAGCTTAACTTGGCATTAAGACCTGAAAAAGCAAAAACAGCCATCCTGGCTCTATTTTACTCTTCCTCCAGCACCTTTTAGGCTCACTGATAAGGACCTCATTATTGCTCTTTAGTCTGTGCAGAAACTAAAGCGTGACAAAAACAACACTCTTTTATGATCCAGACTAATTCTTGGCTCTGAGCAGGCCAGGAAATAGTCTGGAACATTGCCTCTATAAAACGGCAATGTTTTTTTTTTTTTGCCCAGATTGAACAAACAAGATTTAGTTTGTTGATTATTGAAATTGAAGGTGCTGGAAAGACCGTTTTGTTACATTTGGAAAGAGCTAGCAAAGCTGTTTCCGTCTGTTTCCAGACAGCTACAAAATCCCAGTGCAGATGAATAGGTGATATCAGTCCTCGAACAGAAAATGGACACGTTTCCTGAACCAAACTGTTGCTTGCATTGATGTCTTTAGTCATGTGAGCATAAGCATCAAAATTCTTCACCTCTAGATTTTAACAGACTTCAGACTGAAATGTCCTGTCTTACTCAAACTCAGGTTCTTGTAGTTCTCTCTGATCCACCTCCCTTTCCTCCCACACATCAAGCTCACAGGCTTTCCCTGCACACTGTGAGTGTTTGTGCCACCCTCCTGCTGAACATTGTAGAGAACAGCCGTTTCCACAGCTGATAAAGGAGCAGAGATTAACGGCTCCAAACCAGCTGAATGGTGTTTGTGTTACGTCAGGCGGGCCGAGCGCATGTTTCCTCTGCTTCCTCTGCTTCAGGTTTTATCTGAACTCAGGCCAAAAAAAGTCCTGTACCAGAGAGACTTCAACAAGAACTTTAGTCAGGGTTCAGTTTTTGGGTGGCTGAATTTTTACTTAAAGCACAGCAGGATCATTTAGAAGACACATTTTATGCATAAAACAGAGTAAAACAGATGATTGAGAACGTGAAGAACATAAGGGACATCATGTAGTTCGGCCAACTTGTGTTATTTCCCTTTTATTTCAGTTGTGTGAAGTTGAATCATTATCAAGTTTCATAAAGTAAATAATGAAATGTTTAGATTTGTCGTAACCTTCGCTAACATATTTTTGTTGTCGTCATCATCGTCAGGGATCAATGCTCAGGCCCGTAAACTGCAGAAGACCCGCAGCAGGGTGGCGTCCCTGTTTGTAGACAGCAGCTTGGACGACGTGGACGGACTCGGTGTATGGAGGAGTTTGAGCGAGATGGACCTGTCCGCCATGGGGAAGGAGGCGGAGCGAGCGAGGCAGAGCTCCACCCTCAGAGAAGACCCCGAGCCAGAAGCCGATAAGGAGGAGCTGAGACTGGGTCAGGAGAAGGAGGAGACGGAGAGCAGCGACGATAACACCACCCAGTACTCCATCCACCCGCCATTTGACTTCCCATACTTCCTGCTACTACAGGGCTACAACCACAGACAGGTGAGGGGCTGATTATGATACATGTCAGTCAATAATCATGAAATATTGATTGATATTTGATGATCCATTTACAACAGGTAAAGCTTGCTGTAAAGTGTAACATTAGCTAGGCTAGCATATCAAGCAGTGAATGTTTAAGAAGATTTCACTGTAAAATCACCCAAGGTACTTTAACACAGCAGAGTATTAGGGCCACATTAAGAAAAAAAAATGTAAGAGATTAAAGCCGTTAACTTGTGAGAATAAAGTAATTTCTTACAAGAATAAAGACATAATCCAGTAATTATTTATGAGAATGAAGTCGTAATAAGAGAGTAAAGTCAGAATAAAGTCCTTATATTCTAACCTGTTGTTTAAGATGGCAGTTGTTAAAATTAGAGCCATGGAGCATTTTGTGAAAATGTACTTCAGTACAGGTTTCTAAACAAGGAGATACTTTATCTTTTGGCACATCAGCACCACATTATTGTAAGTATCATAATGATTTTATTACGACTTTATTCTCGGAAGTAATTACTTTATTACGACTTTATTCTCATAAGTCATGATTTTATTACGACTTTATTCTAGTAAGTTATTACTTTATTTTTGTAAATTAACAACTTTAATCTCCAAGTCTCAATTTTTTTTCCTCTTAATGTGGCCCTGTTACTCCATTGTACTTTAAAATGGACATGCACAGATAAAGGACTGTATCACTGTATTTTAGATGAGACCACTTTCTTTTGTTGAAAGAATCGACTGGTTGCATGAAATAGTTGTATTTGACAGTATGGCTCTGTTCTGAGGGCCTTCTGCTTTTGAAGGCCAAAGCCTGCAGCAAAGAGAGCACACCTCCTGTCTGTTTCATATGCACACATAGAGAGCCATGGTAGGGAGAGCAGCAGCAAAGACCGCCAGCATCAGTAACAATACATATGACACTGTTAAAATCAGACACAACATAAAAAGGAGATGAGTCGGTTGGAGGCAGGTTTCAATGTCATTATGACGGAGGGGGTGAGAGAAGTCAGGCTGAAGCAGTTTTAATAGAAGAGTCACTTTGACCTTTACCAGTTGGATTCATAGGTTATTGACTGGGATGCCAGCTGATATGGGCTGGTGTTGTTATCTGCAGACATACTGTGGGCTGAGCTTGACTGTCATGGCCTGCCTGAACTAGCACTATGCATAATTAAACAAACTACCGTGCACACTCTGTTACACCAGGTTACAAAAGTCATTGTTAACTAGGAATTCTTTAGTAATACAGCAATAGTAATTACACTCAGTTAATGTTTTTTTCTGATCTGTCTGTAGTTTAATCTGTTTTTGAAAAAATCATCTTGGAAGAAACACACCACAACATTTGATAAGATTTAACAATATAACCCGGTTTGCCCCATTGAGAGAATCAGCAGCACAACCTCAACCTAAACAACAGACTCTTACAGGAAGATAAAATATAATCTTAAAATGACCAGTCAAAACATTTACACATGGACAGTCTGCACACTAAAGGGCGCTGAGTTCACTTAAAGTCTGAAGGTGTGTTGGCAGGTGGAGAAAGCAGGAGCTTAGCAGAGACACTCAGGCGTTAAAACCTTCAATCCATCACTTACCTGTCCTTAAAGACCTGAAGGAGAATGTGTCACAGAGCTCAGATTATCTGCAACAGTCAGGAAGCCTTCATCTCTCAGAGAGACTCTGGCCCAGACTGAACCTGTCCTTTAGAGACACTTAGGGGACAAGCTGTTTGTGTCTGCATCCCTCAGATAGGACACATTGATAGACATACTGACTCAGACCAGCCGAGGACGTTCAAACCACAACAAAAACCTGATTATAGACACACAGCAGCTATTCCCAGAGCTTAACAACAAACACACACTTTAACTACAGTCATCTACAGCACACCTCAACTATCATAAATCTTCCCTGAGACACATGTGAGCTGAAATGGTGCTGTTTGAATCTCTTAGTTCATGTTTGATGGTAAACCACAGCGTCAGGCTGAGGTTTAGTTCCTTTCTAAGAGCACTGAGCTGATCTCTCTCTCTGTGTTTATCCCTGCTGACAGTGAGCTGACTGAGCAGAAACATGGAGACCAGCAGATCAGAGTCAGTGACAGTTAACACGGGGCAAAAACAGAGAGACAACACCACAAAAAAAGAGTAAATATAACTAGAATAATATACAGATATGAACGCTCTCACTTAAAACTGTCATACTTTATAAGGTTAAACGAAAATGCATGTGGGTAATTAGACTAAGTTTCCATGACTAAGTTTACTGCTAAATAAAATAAAAAGACATTGAAAATCCTTCTTCTTTTTAAATCTTTAACTTAGATATCAGAGGGCGTATGTTTTTTTTTAAGCAATTGTTCAATATATTAATATTAATAATATTGATATTAACTATTTGTGGCCTCATTTGTAAACCAATAACTGTCACCAACTATTGAGAAAATAACTCTATTTTTAGGTCATGTGAGCATACAAAGAATTACTCCAATCATCACACATTACTGCAAATGACGTTTCATATTTTAAGTAATTTTGTGTTTTTCAATCAAGCAGGTATCATGATGTTTTCTTATTAAAGTCCTTAAAATGATACCTTATCAGAGAGCCAGTGTATGATGTATATTATCCTTATCATGGGCCACGTCATTACATATCATAACAAATTGTATTGATTTGTATCACACCATAATATTCTATCATTATTGAGGCATATTTTGTCATATATCATACCAAATTGTATCATATTTCATAATATCATAGTTTCTTTTGCTATATTGTGTTGTATTTTTTCCACTGAATTGCACCATATTGTAACTTTTGTTGTTTTGTGTCCTACCATATACTTTCATGTTTCATCATATACCATCCAAGTCTATCCTATACTATTGAACTGTTTAAATGGCTGGCATTGTATTGAGGTGTGTGGTATTGTATTGTTTTATACCATGTTATGTTGTATTATATAGTCCTACATAGATTTGCATTGCACTGTATTGCATTGTGACATACCGTACAGTATCTTATAACATCCTATCCTGTTATTTCTAAAGTTGCACAGATACTTCAGCCCCTATATTTAACATATATTTTCATGGTCAATTATTTGTTGATGAATCTATTCATTGGTAGGTATATAAAATATCAAACTAAGAGAGAAATGTGGACCAATGTTTCCCAAAGGTCAAGATGATGTCCTCAAATGTCCACAACCCCAAGATTTACAGTTTACAGTCACAGAGGAGAGAAAACAGATTCCTAAAAATATTCATATAAAATAAAAAGGAAACAAAGCTGAACGGACAGAGCTGCACTGCAATGATTAAGTATCATGTCCTAACTAATGCTCTTAATGTGCTGACCTGAGGTCAATGACATTACAGCGTCTCTCTCATTAGCGTTTCCTTTCTCGTGTGTCCTCGCACTGCCTCCTCAGGTTGTCTTGATACCGTCTGATCTTGCTGCAGTTCACACGCACACGACTGGATTGCTACCAATATGTTACACAACAAACACCAAATCCATCTTATACACCAAACAACGACAACAGGAAGCTTCCTTACTTGTGGGATTTTACCAGGATGCAGTTTTGGACTTTTTATCATGTTTCAATAGTAAACTTTTAAACTGACAATCTTAGAGACCATGAATGACTTTAAGTCGTACATTGGTTGAATTGGTTTCATTCTGTGGTTGTTTAAAACTTTTACTGCGAGTAGCTGACAATTCTGGAGGTAAAAAAAAAAAAAAAAAAACAGACCGAATGAAGCCCAACTTCTGTGATGAGGCTGAAGACGAGATCTTGGAGTTTATGGATCGACAAATTTCTTTGCAGAGTGTGGCTAACAGTAGCAGAGCTAGCACCACCAACCTGGAGCAGGTCACATCTGAAGCACTTGATTTCAGTTTGTTCTATTGATCACATCAGCTTCAACTTATGATGCTTTAGGATTCAGGCGGATTGAGAAGAACATTTTATTGACTGAAAAGTTTTAAAAGCATATTTAATTGTAGGTAAAAAACAATATTCATGAATGCCCAAAATGATTAACACCTGTTGTCTTCTTCTTGTTCAGGATTTTGTGATCTATCTGATGAGCGGGAGCAGCACCATCTTTGGCTGCTGCAGGGAGCACAGTACAGGTGAGGATGAGGAGAGGCTAAAAGTGGACATCCTCCTCTTTGCCCCTGATGTCTTACCTCAGCACTGCTGTGTCAGACGCCTGGACTCTTCCACCCCCACCTCCACAGGAGGGCCCAAAAAAACCCTTACCCTGCTTAAGCCCCTTCATGGGGCCCCTGTCACCAGAAACGGATTCCTGCTCAAAGAAGAGGAGGAGTTGAACCCTGGGGACCTGGTGGGTTTGGGAAAACACTACCTATTCCTGTTCAAGGACCCTACCTGCACCTCAGGACCCCATCAGACCCCTCCATGGATGAGCAGACTCTGTCCAAACTCTGACTCTAAGACTTCTTGTTCCTCATGTGGCTCTTCTGTGGGAATCAGACGGTTCCATAAGAAGTCCTTACCTCCTCCATGGAGAGACCTGGAGGGGACCGAGGCTGTGCTTGTGTACGAGCTGGATCAGGAGGAGCAGGTCCTACAGGAGGTTCTGGCTATGTTGGACCCTAGAGGAGAAGGACCAAAGCTCACACCAGCTTTCCTGCTGAGTCTGTGCATCCAACACTCAACTACTACTTTCCCTCTGACTCACCTGAGACAGCTGCTGCTCTGCATTGCCAACCAAATCCAGCTGCTAACCTGGGTGAGAACCACACTCTGTTCTCTATTCATAGATCCCTTTATCAGTGTCTTATATTCAGTCTGTAAGAGTAAGAGTATATTTTCCGCCCAGCATGCCATCATGGTTTAACACAAGGTAAATGAGAGAGTTGGTCTTAAATGAAAACATGTGCATGAAACATGTTTTTTTTTCCTTTCAGGAGAAAACAAAAGAACTTGCAGCAATGCAGCCTGAAACGAAGTGAGTATACGAAGCATTTATCATTTTCAGAATGTTCCAGAAATACCCTGTAACGACACTGAGACACAAAAAGCAGAGCAGCTGTCTGCGATGATATACAACACCACGGACACACTGCGATACCTTAAATTTAAACAAATGTAGCTTGTGTAGCTCACGAGTCAAAGTACCTCATTATACCTGAGCTGAGATATATTGACCTGCCAAGTCTAGATGTAAAACTTAATTGAAGATTTCATAGAGCCAAGGCTTTAATTAACTTTGATTATTTTGAGTTATTTTTAAAGCCAAGTAGGGAAGTTGCAGTTGTGTAAATTTTGACCTAACCCTGTGGACAAAGTAGTCTTTGCTTATCTTGTCCGCTACATGCTAAAGTCGAGTCATCAGACAAAAAATCTCATTCTGTTGACTTTTGATTGTGAAAAACATCACTGAGGCTGATCACTACATGTTAAAATTGTAAAACCATGGCTGGTTTTTCAGCAGCTTGCCTGACACCTACCCCCTTGCATCATTTCCAGCATTAAAAATTTAGACATAAAAATTTACAATCTTGTCAAGAACGGTCTTTTTTTTGTTTTTGGGGATCATGAAGAGACCTCAGTATTTATATCAGTCTATTTCATAAGTGTCAAAAATCCTTTGCTGGAGCTTTAACAAATAAGTTGGGGTGTTTCTGTAAACTTATGGACTCATCAGGTAATGACTTATGTTGTTTTTGCATCAAAGCTAACCTGAGAGTAACTCTTTTTCACAGCAGACATTTTGGGCATATAAAAAATAACAATTAATAATTGAAGATTGTGCATAATTAATGGTAACATGATTGCGTGATCGGTCTTTTTTGAGATTTTCCTCCCAGATTTCTGGCTTTAGGTCTGATGTTTGTGGACAAGGTAGCAAAGCTGCTCTCTGTAAAATAAGTGTAATTTTGTTGCGTTAAGTGTGTCATTTGAGATTTTAAGAAAGTCAGTTGAAGACAGTGTTGAACTATCAAACAGTCGATGACACTGGGACAGTCTCAGACCACAGCTGTGCTTCCAGAGAAAGAAAGTAATATCTTCAGATAATCACGTAATGCGTGGAACACTTGAGTCTGCACCTTAAATGGAAATGGAAATTTTTAAGGGGAAGTAAAATCAAGAGTTTAACTGTAGTTCATTACTGACAGAGCTTTTCATTAAAACTGAGAAAACCTTTTTGAGTCAGTGTGAAGTCAGACTGAAATCTGTTGTCATAGCAAACATGATGGAAGGAAACATATTGCGTGTTTATATTAAAACTGTTGTTGGAGACAGAGGGTTTATGCATGTGTAAGCTTCTCTCATCAAACACCTGCCTATTTCATGAAACACAAGACAAATGTTTCATGGAGGCACAAAGCTCTTTACAAAACAAAATCTAATACTATTGTGTAACAAAATTTGTCATCAAACACATATATGAACACAATTTTAAAACATTAAAGGAAACGAAAAAATATATAAACAATATTTCTTGATCAAAAATTCAGAAGTGAGCAACCTCCAAAAAAAAAAAAAAAAAAAAATCTCAAAATGCAAAAGTAAGAAGAAATATTTTACTGGTGAAAAAAGTTGTCTTGGAGCAAAAAGAATTTCCGCAAAACAAAAAAGAATTTCGTTTTGTATCATATTAAATATTTATAGTAATATGATTTTTTTTGCTCCGTAAATGTTTTAGTGTTTTGGAGAATATTTTGTGTTTTATGAAATATTTTTTTTCTTCTTAAATTATTTTACTGAGTATTTTTTCATTTGGTGATTTTTTGGTGTTCAGTGAAATATTTTTGCATATGATGAAATTTGTCACTGTTTATTGAAATATTTTTATTTTGTTGAAATGCATTTGTACTCAATGAAATTTGTTATTTTGTGGTCATGAAATGTTGATGTGATTAACCCTCTGAGCCACCGTACTGTCAGTTTAAATGTAAAACTATCTCTAGAAAGGATGCAAACTAAAACCAGACTTTGACAGTCAAATTCATATACAACCAACAGACTGATGACTTAGTGAACAGCCGGCTTTGGGCTGAGCTTTTGAACCTCCAGAAAACCAGCCTCCTGAATTAGTCTGTGTCAAGTTTTAGAGGAAGAAGCTGTTTGGCTGAGGCACACCACTCTCTCAGATTGCTTTAGCAAAGATTCTGTTCTTGTCCATCAGGATTTCCTCCGACGTTCAGTCTGATCTTCAGCGTCTCAGCATGTCAGAGCTGATCTCAGGTCTGCAGCCGCTCATGCTCTGGATGTCAAACTCCATTGAACTGCTGCACTTCATCCAGCACAGTGTGCCCCAGCTGATCCAAAAGGAAGGGGAAGAAGGTACAAAAAAAATGACACACTTTGATGTTTACCCCAAACATGCCTGTCAGAGCTGCACTGTATGTGTGTGTTTAATTTTATCTAAATGTATGTGTGTGTGTGTGCTGCAGTTGTGCCAGATTCTGAGATGTCCTCCATTCGGATAGCCTGTGAGGAAGCCATGACAGTCCTGGAGGAAGTCATCATGTTCACCTTCCAGCAGTCTGTCTACTATCTCACAAAGGTCAGCTCACACACACAATAAAACACCACACACTTTAAGGTCAGCTCACACACTTCCATGGAATATGCCACACAAACTGAGGTAAGCATCCACACGTTCATACATTACACTTCTCCAGTGAAGTCCCGCACACTCCCACGATGACATCACTGTTTCACTCCCTGCCGAGCTGTAGAATTAGAGCGACGGGTCACAGGAAATCTGACTGTATAAACACCATGTTCTGTTTTCATTCAGACAGAAACACAATCACAGACTGGAAACTCTGATTTGTCTGTCAGGCTCAGGCAGGAAGCCGCCTGTGAGACAGTGAGCAGGGTGAATTTTCCACCAATGGGAACGTAAACAAAAGTGCAATTCTATCTCTCTGGTTCGTTTGATAAGACAACGAGAATGCCTGATAAAGTGAGAATTCCTGAAGTTACATTTACACGTAAAGAACCAGGAACTTTTGGTACCAAGAACTGTTTGCTAAAGGAACTCAAAGGTTCTTGGTTGGTCTGTTGTTCTCCAGTTCCACAGCAGTCCACAGACCCTTATGATAAGTCAGCAGACATGTATAAAGTGCTTTCAGGTGTGTTTGTGCTCTACCAGTCTGGGCTGTTTCTGAAATTTGTTGCATGTATAATCTTGGGATCAGGCAACTGAAGACGTTGTCATAAGAAACAGGAATTCAAAATACTAAAGAAGGCGAGGGAAGTGAACAGATCTACATCATCTAACGTCCTCATGAAAAGGTCAAAGGTCATGTTTTTCTTTGGCTTAGAAGAGAAGTTTAGCTGTGAGTAATTGGCTTGGTAAAGGATCTTGAAAGACTTGATTCAAAGCCTTTATAAGGACATCAGCAAGGGTCCTAAGATGGAGCCTTGTGGAACACCAGACAGAAACAAAAATAAGGAAACCAGATCATTCTGAACCCACTTTTAGATCTTTAAACCAACACTAAAATGTGAACCAACACTTTAAAAAAATTGAAGAGCATTTTAGTAGCACTCAGTGTGATTTGCTTGATAAGGGGTGTTGAAAATCTTGACCCAAAGCCTTTGTGAGGACGTCAGTAAGGGTCCCATAACAGAGTCCTGGAGAACACCAGACAGAAACCGGAAAGAAGGAAAATGGATCATTTTAAAACAATTAGGTCGTAAAACCTCATCTCGAATCTGGAAAAACTGTTATATAAAAATATTTAAAGTCTGTGAAAGCAGAAAGTTTGTGTCTGAGTTTGTACACCAGACTGCTGCCAGACTTCCCGTTCAGGAGCCTGACAGGACCCTCCCAGGCTGATTTATGAGACTGTCACAAGTTAAAGCTGCTTATTAAAGTCTAACTGTAGAAAACACACACCGCCCTGCGCACACTCACTGCTCCTGCTTCCCTTTTCCATTCAGTGCTGCTGTTTTCAGGAACACTGCTGCCTCCTCATTTATGGTAAACACCCCTTTTACCGTCCAGCTTAGGCTCAACCAAAAAAAAACTCACTTTAGTGTCATCCTCCATGTCTCTTGATAGACAGAGCTTTTGCGTTACCTCTGCCTGTTGAGCTCTGTTTAAATCTTTATTATGCACTCCAATCCCTGTTATAATCAGAGTGTTTTATTTTGATGTCTTTGGTGGCATTTATCCTTTTTGCAGTGAGTGGGAGGTGTGTGAGCTTCAGTGTGTTTCCTGCAGAGGAAGATGAAATGTCAGTGGAGAGGAACACTCAATAGGAGAAACACCGGAAGTGGGGAGGGGAAAATCGTGTCTTTCTGTTAATTTCCTGCAAAGTGGAACTGAACGTTGAAAAATATCATTTCTTTACTTCTTCTTTCTCTTTTCGCTGAGTCAACAGAAAATAAATAGGTCAGAGGGTTCACGCAGGAGTTAGCGAGCTGGTCAAAATTAAAGAAGGAAAACACAGAGGATAAACTGTGTTTTGTGATTTGAGTGTGCAGTAAGATATGTGAAAAATGTAGTACACAGTGTTTCTGAGTCAGAACCCTATGTGGTCTCTTTAGCTGGTCTCCATGGTAAGCATTCATCGCCTTCAGATATCTCCTGTCCTCACTGCTGATTCAGCCGGCAGGTTATTGTAGTGTTTATGGCCTCCTTCAGTCTGAGCTCATAATCTTAATCATCGCGTTTTATGTCTGTGTGTGTGTGTGTAGCCAACAGATGATGTCATGTTTTTAAAACAATGGTCGAACTGTGTCAGAGGTGGTGGAGATAAGAGGTGTTATTGGAGTGAAGACAGATGAAGAGCTGCTGGTTCAATAAAACAGACTCTTGATGATTCTGCTGCGTCGTTTAGAACTAAACATGTAATAAAAGAGAAATGAACACATAAACAATCATGCCAATAGAAATAAAAGTAACTTTAACACTATTGAAAAGGATAAAAGTAAGGAAACTGTCTCAGATGTAGTGTTTTGGGAAGAAGTCTAAACTTTGACCTTTCCCTCTACAGAGCATGTACCCGTCGCTCCCTGGCCTGCTGGAGGGGAACCCGTTCTCAGAGAGCGGTCAGCTCAGGGTTCCTGATGGACTCAGCAGCATCCTGGAGGTTTTGAAGGAGGCCTTGAATCTCTTGACAGCTTTCCAGGTCCATCCAGACATCTCCTTACAGCTGTGTGCGTACCTGTTCTTCTTCATCAACGCCTCGCTGTTCAACACACTCATGGAGAGAGGTAACAGATACTGATATGTGATATGCTGAACCTGGTAAAAATAAAACTACTTCTGTTTTCAGACATCTTCAAGAATATCAGATTCCTAACTGTAAGATCAAGCTGAAATATCTTTAAAAATTAAACTTTATTTCAGCATCACTATGATCTTTTTGTGTCTGAATGTAAGAATTCCTTCTGTTGGTTATTAAAGCTCCTGTGAGGAAGCTTCAGTATGTGTCAGTTTTGGCGCCCCCTGTTGAAAAAGCAATGTTGTTTGTCTAGTGCTGACTTTTTACAGTCAAAAAATTCTCTATTTTTCATAATTAATGTCAAAATTAAAAAACATGGCTTTTTTCAGTGGCTGCAGTGACACCTACCCCCTCACGCTGGTTTTAGGAATTAGATTTTACGGTTTAAACCTCAACAGTCTTGTTGCTGATGGTCGTGTTTGACTCTTGTGAACATAAAACGGCATTATTAGAAATTTCAGTCCTCTTCATGAGTGTCTGAAAATTCCTCACAGGAGCTTTAAACCATGTAACAAGCTTCTCTAACACATGTCACATTTTATCTCCAGGTTCTGTGTCCGACTTCTACCAGTGGTCCCGGGGGGTTCAGATCCGGGCCAACCTGGACCTGCTGATGGACTGGATCCAGAGCGTTGGCTTGGGAGAGCTGGCATCAGAGTTTTTCCAGAAGCTTTCAGCTGCTGTCAACCTGCTGGCCACGCCCAGGGAGACCCTCCTACAGGTCAGAGGTCATCTGCTTCTCCTTCCTGTTTGTGCCTCAGCAGTGCAGGCGTGACCGTCGATTGTGGTCACGTCTGCGTCAGCCGGAGCGTTTTCATTGTTTTAAAGGTTTCAGAATGACATTAATAATTTGTGTTTATGTGAAAGGTTCAAAACGTGGGAAATCTGAGCTTCACTGAAACCTCTGAATGCAGAAGGTGACTCAGTGTCATACAGCTTCCTCTTATCAATTTTAAACACTGTGGTGAGTTATAACGCAATAATTCTCACCGGTTTATGGTTAAGGAAGCGCTATGAACCCACGAAACATTTACAGGAAAAGAGTAAATAGATGACCTCATGGTGTTGGTAAACCAAATCATAAAAACATAAGTACCTTTTAACCTGAATGAAAGCCTATTTCCAGGAACTAATTTGTTCAGGGACAAACACGTTACACCAAAGGAGGTTTAAAGCCTCTAACACCCTCTGCACACCTCCTACACAACTCTTTTCTATTTGTTTTTTTTCTGTTGAGCAGTAGTTTCTAACCAACCAAACATTTAATCCCTTCAAGCTTAGCGCTCTCTGAGTTACCTGATCAGATCCTGTTTACAGTCTGAACCGCAGAGCTCTCACTCTGCTGCTTATTAAACACCCAGACACACTCAAAGAGAGCTGACATTCAGCCTTACACACACGCAGGTATAATTGTACACAGGTATGACAGGTTCACAGGTGTGAGAGGTACATGGGTCACACTTGAGTTCAGATGGATAAAGTTACACATCTTTTCCTGATTCACCGGTTGTTCTCTAAGATGATGCTGTCTGTGTATAAGTGCTGTGAGAACAGAGTGTACAGAATGAAACCTTTACTGCTTTAAATAGACAGAGTTTTCATCAGAAAGACGCTCTTGTACCAAAAGAGGCTAAAAACATTCAGATGTATCCAAACAGACAAATGAAGCCACCTGAGACCAGCTCCAAAAGTCAAGAACACCCGAGCTGAAATGACCCTCTTTAAACATGATTACAGCTGTTTTTTCCCTTAAAACGCACATTTGTTTATAGAGGAAGTTTTTTTTTTTGTGGAGCTCATCCATTTTAAAGATGACAAGTCTAGATGTAGTGCATATATTTGCATAATCAGAGGCTGAAAGGTGAGTGAAACTATTTGTTTGCACCAACTTCAACACTTTACCTCTTTCTTTGTTGACCAAATGTTAGGTTGTATCAGCATTTCCAATATGGTGAATGTTCATCATTTCGCTTGAAAACGCATCTTATAGGGATCCAAAATTAATTTTGGGTCAAATGCACAGTGACACAGACAAAGTTGGTATAACTAGAGAAGCAAGCGGTCGGCAACATTCATCCCTCGAGGGGGTGTGTCTAACTCGGTGTTACGGTGTGTTTACCTGAAATTAATTTTACGCCAGAATATCCCTTTAAGAAACCATCAATGGCCAACCAACCAAGATTAATGTATCCATGTGTCCTTGATCAACTATTTAGTTTGATGATTTTCGTGATTTTTAAACATTAACATTACTTTTTACTTATATGCTTTAGTGTTCACCCAAACCTTCATCTTATTTTATGTTTAAACTGTTTTTTTTTTAATCTATAAGAAGATAACTTTATCAATAGGGATTCAGGATATTGGATTTTGGCTGATATCTGACTATTGTTTTTAAACTAATTTTGGTTGGTCATAAAGCTGATATAACATACAGCTGTATTTGTTTTGAATGAAAAGAACACAAAGTATATCATTTAGCATCAGGAACATCATTGTGTTTTTTTTATATCGCTCCTTGATCACCAACCTATCAGAATTAAGGAGGGGCGGGACTTCATCAACAATAGCAGCAAAGATCGATGTCAAGGAGGAAGTCACCACATTTGTTTTTTTCGTCTAGAGCTGCTGCTAACGCTATGACACTTGATGACTTTTGTTTTCACATTTTCTCGTTAAAATACGGTTATATGAAAGAAAATTTAAAGTGTACAAATTATTTAAAACAGAGCTAACAGTCAACACTGAAGGAATCAGAAGAGAAACGGGTCAACTGTCGTAATCCAGCATCAGTGAGAGCTGGTGAGAGGTGCTCTGAAATTGAGGTCCTGGTGGGCTCTGCTACATGTGGATGTGTATTTGGTTTTAAAATCAAATCACTGTTTATTTTTCTAAACTGATTATGATGATTAAATTTACCATTAAATAGACGTCTATGGCTAGCACTGACATGACGCTGGAAGGTGAAATAATGTACATTAGCTGGTTAGCTGGATTGCTGCTCTCTGGATATTTACACCCTGGAATAGTGAGCCCCTGATTAGGCCGTGTTTTTACTGTCAATGATAAGAGGAAATTTAGATATTCAAGCTGCCCACAGAGTTGTCTTAAACTGTGTGTAACCCTGCTCTGTATCGAGGGATTCAACCTCCATATTTTTAGAATCTGGATCATATTTGACTCTAATTTTCACCCTGTGAGTTGACACCTGCTTTCAGTTGTGAGTCCTGTCATGGTTCCAGTCTGAAACATCTCATCTGTCCTCACAGCTGTTCCAGGCAGCAAGCGTCTGGTCTGTTTGTGGGTTTGGCTGGTTGGTAGGAGGCTGCTGGTTTTAAGAGCCCCCCGCCCTGCATGAGCTCACGGTGCGGCTGCTCACAGAGAACACACCCTGCATAGCATTCAGTTTAACATCTGCAGATTCGGGCTTTACAGAACCGAGGAGGCTCTGCGGCTCGGGCTGAAACCACAGCAGAGGGATGTGGTGGAGTTTGTTTGGCCAGCAGGAGATATTTTAGGAGAGGAAAAGTGCTGAACATGAACTCTCAGACATAACAAACAGATAGTTCTTATATTTGGTTGTTTATAGGCAGCATTTAAACTCCCTCTGCTGATCTCAGCCTGTCTGTGAGCAGAGAAACACAACTGCATTAAAACTCAGGGTTTCAGTTTCAGCACCAACATGTCCGGGCAAAATCCACGTCCAACAATCCAGCTGCAGAGAGACTGAAAACGCGATGTAAGATTTTTAATGTCTGTCTTTAATTGGTACATGGAGGTTAGCTGGATGTGACTCACCTGTATTTATCCTCCAGCTGCTTTCTGTCATCAGCATGTCAAATCTCCTCTTTCCAAAGTCTCACAGGAGAGACAGAGCGCAATGTTCTCACAACAAAGACGATCTTTTAATTACAACAATTTCAACTTTCTTTTGAAAAGTAACTCCGGTATGGAGCTGTGTGAAATGAGAAAACTCTACACTAATGTTTCGTCTAGACTGAGACACTTTCCCAGGAGGCTTTTCTTCATGTCTGGCCCTGCGGTGACAGAAACAAACCCTCCTCACCAGATCATAAAACTGGGTTAAATTACTTCACATTTAAATGAGAGAGTAGCGATGTCTTTGTTTGGAAAGAGGCATGACGGGAAAATGCCGACAATGAAGGGTTTTATAATCCTGTATTTTTAGTTTTTTTTAACAGTGACTTTGCTCAACGTGCCTTTATTGTCTGTTTCCTTTTCGTTTGTTTGTCCTTAAAGGCGTCCTGGTCGTCCCTCAGGTCTGAGTTTTCCGCTCTGAATGCGGCTCAGCTGCACCACATGCTGAGAGAGTACAGCTCGAGTAAATCCTGCCCTCCCGGCTGGACGCCTTCACCAGAAGACGTGAAGGACGCTGTCAGGACAGGTAAGAGATTAATAGGGATTCGTTCACAGAAACATACAAAATATCTCTCCCTCTCACCTGAGTTCCCCTGGCAGAGTGACAATAACACTGTGACAACTGATCCAGAGTCAGTCCAGGTTTTAATTTACTGAATTTAATTGGCTGCTCCCCTAATCTGAGCATAATGAACTTAATGTAATGGAGCCGTTCCTTTAGTTAGCTCTCAACCCAAATACAGAAATAGAGTCAGCGACACGAAGCTGTGACTATGCTCTTGTTGTTATTTGAAATTATGTTTATTACGTCTGTATTGAATATTGTCCCTCCTCTCTTCCTATAGCTGACATCCTGCAGAGCTTTGATTGCCACCCGCCCCTCGTCCTGCCCGCCTCCGCCTTCCACCTGGAGCTTGGGAAACCCCTCGCAGACCCCGCTCTCTTCACACAACTCACACACCTGCGGGAGTTCATCTGCCATCTCTCCCGGCCTGAGACCAGACCGGAGTCCGTACCCGAGTCCGTACCCGAGTCCGTACCTGAGCCCGTACCTGAGGCTGTACCTGAGCACAGCGAAGCAGACCAGGTACTGACTCTCAGAGAGAATGCGGGACTGTTTCTGTTTCTGTTTCTGCGTCTGGTTCTAATTGACTTTCTCTCCTCAGACTCTCAGCAAGACCTCAGACAGCCCGTCTACAACCTCAGCCCCTCTCACGGTCCTCCAGGATCCGACTCATCAGGAGGGCTCTGACCCGCTGACCTGCTCCTCTCCGGATCTGAAACTGGCCCCCCCTTCAGAGCCAGCCCAAACTCGAGGATCTCATGGGGACCTGAGCAGCTGTGAGGAGGTTCTGACTCAGAAACTGAAGAGTTTAGAGCTGCAGAACTCACTGCCTGGACAAGCGGACCTGGTCTACCATAAAAGCCTGGCCCTGGACCCTTCCTGCCTGCTGACACCTCCCAACACCCCCCAGGGCCTTGAGCTGTCTGAGCTGGAGGCCAACCTGCAGGAGGGAGCACGGCAGCTGAGGGAAGGTAAATCAACATCAAGATCTGCAGAGTTATTCAATAAAAAACACCCGAAATAAAAAAAATATATATAATCTGATGGATCCAAACTGAAGAGGGGCGGCAAGGAATGTACCTAAAAGAGGCACAAAGTGATATCAGGATCGTAAGAAGAAACTAATACATTTTATTGAGCAGAAATCTACAAACTATTAGAGTCTGGCAGTTAATCAAAAATTTAACTTTGTTAACCGTTTTAACATAAACTATCCAAATCAACGTTTATGGGTCATTTTTGGTATTAAAGCTGCTAAAAGTTTTACTTTTTTTAATCTCTTAAACAAAGTTCCTATGCAGCAAGATGCTCAGTGGCAATCAGAGGCCCCCTCTTTCGGGTCCTCCAGTTCACATAGATTTAATTGGCAGTGTACATGATTGAAACTGCTGCATGTACACACTTTGCACACACATCACCAAGGCTGTTGTTAACACTGAGACCTCAAACTGACAGTACAACTCAGAAACAAATGCACAGTTGCAGCAGAAATTCTTCTCAGAACATTCGCCTTTACCTCCCATGAAAACACTGTGGCTGACTATCTTATCCTGGAGTCTCCTCACATCAATCAAGACTAGAAATAATTAAAAAAAAAGAATAATAACTAATTTTAATAATGTAGTAACCCTAGCTCTGTAAACTTTAATATTTATTTATATTTAAAGAATCATAATTCTTTAAAGCTGCATTGACAAACCCAGTTGATAACTTTCAATATATTAGTTTGGTTATATATTGTTATATTAGTAGCGTCCCTGGCGCCGACATATACATGTTTGTGAAGCCGTCAAGTACACTGATACTGCCTGTGTGCCGTTAAAACCAAACAGATAAAAATAACAGAGTTCATTTGGCAGAATAAGAACTGAAACCTGGACACAGAGGATCAAATATGTTCAAACTACACAGTGACACACACTGCATCACAAAGGCTTATTCATAACTCCTCACACACACACACACATACACACATACCTCCCTCTCTCTTTCTTTGACGTCTTTTCAGGAAACTTTAAGTGACTTGACCTTTGGCTTTTTGGACCTGTTGTGTATATTAGTCGGCGGTGGTTCCTGGTCCATCCTAAAAGTTTCTCCCAACATGAAAGAGTTATTTTATTGATTGTGAGCTCAGGAATGCAGAGAGGAAAGAGTGCAGAGGGAGGCTTGGGGTGCAGGAAGGAGAGTTTCCTCTCCACCCTCAGTGTTCCTGAACGCCACCGACATGAAGTCATCTTTGCTCTGAGAGGGTCTGACACTCTAGATTTTAAATAGAAATCTCTTTTCCTGTTAGAATCATAAACTCTGAATACGCAGCTGTGCTCAACCTTGTTACAGTACAGTATGTGAAATGTGAACTTTTCTTTCCTCCTGTGGATATGATGTTTTTTTCACAGTGTTCAAAAATAAGAGCAGAACTTTTTATTGAAGTCTATTAGAGTTTAAAAAGTTGAATAAGGATGTCGCCAAAATGAGAAAAAAATGTTGAGTGATTGTATGTTAATCAATAATAATAAGTCAATAATAATACTGGGATAATACTGTGAAAGTTGAGTTTTAATTAAGAGATTAAAAATAGATCAAACTGTGAGATGGTGATGCATTATAATGAAATGTGAGGGTGGTGAAAAAATAAGATTTAAATATGGCAAACAGAGGGTTAAATTTAAGATAAAATAGGATAAGATGATGAAATGATGAAATGATAGAAAAGTTTTAATTACAGGATTAAATAAAATATTGTAATAAAAAATGTTGTGAAAGTCATAACTATGAGATTAAATGTCAAAATGATGTGACAAAGTTTGAGTCGTGCGAGTCAAAAAAATGAAACAAAAGTAATGATTATGAAAAAACGTCAGAGGTGAGATAAAATGATTTATTGATGAGATATTATTAGATAATGAGATAAAAGGTTACAAAATTAGATCTAGTGTTAAAATTATGAGATAAAACATCAAATGGATGAGATAGACAGTTTTAATAATGAGGAAAAAAAGAATTTAATGAGAAAAGTAAAAAAAAAAAAACAGACAGAAATAAACTTCCAAACACCTGCTCACAGCAAACCAGGAGTAGTTTTCATTTTATTTTAACCCCAACCACAACTCTTTTAGAGTTACAACCTTCATTTCAACAAGTGTTTTAAGTTTGATGGACAAAGACAGAGAAAAGTGAAATACTAAAATATGCGTTTTAATGTATATGTTTTTATCAAGCTTGTGACATCCATATCTGACTGAATATTTTCATCGTAAAGATCGAACAACATTAGCTCTGCAGTTAGTTCAGGATCTTAAGATCTGCTTGGTCCCGTCCCTCATCCCCCTCTCTGATCAGCTTCTGAAAACACTTTCTGTCACATGTGATTGTGTTTGACTGTAAGAGGTTCAACCTGTTAATGCTCCTTACAGACCCCTCACCGCGTGAATGTGTGTGTGTGTGTTTGAGTGTGCGTATGTGCGGCACAGAAGGCTGAGGGATTTAGCTGATGTTAATCAGGGGTCTTTACTCTCATTGGTCTCTTGTTTCTTTCTGTTTTCTCTGAATGAAATCAGTAATTTGTCTTGACAATAGCTAACAGGCTTTAAAAACACTGCGAGAGCTTTGAGTCTTTACAAAGTGGACTTAAATAAATGACGAGTCAGTTTATTAATCTGCAACAACTTTTGAAACAAAGGCTCAAGGAGGTGAACTTAAGAGACATTTTTTTACAAAAGACAAAACTATGAAATATTAAAATGCATGTCTTTTTCTACACTGTGGTAAAGACTTTTGATTTGGTAAGGAGTAAACATTCAACTTTTTTCAAACCAATCAATCAATAAGTCATGAAAAAAGTCACATTTCAATATTTCACATATCAATATTTCAGACACTATTATCAGCTGTAACTAGTTAACTTTCACCAGATGACAGGAGACAGTAGTGTTGCTTGATAACAATATCAAATTATTTGTTTGTTTACATCCAGCACTTTCCACCAAAATATCTGATTATGACCCAATATTATCTTTTTAATAACTTGTGAGTGCTAATACTATTCATCTGATCATTTTGCCCACATTGGATCAGATACATATAAATGTATAATGTGAATATGATGAATTTACGCCCTGCCTGGGTGTAGCTCCAGTAGCTGCTCTCTGTGTTTTTTGGCTAGCAGCTAATGGTCAATATTATTCTGAAAAGTGGTTGATCCCATAATCTGACCCAAGAATCACAGCGAGGCAGTGATGTCAGAGCGAACACAGACAGGCATCATGGGAGTTTACAGTCCGGTTGGTGCGTGGAATCTTAATCTGGGGGGGCGGCATTGTTCAGGGCCGGTGCTGTGTGTGTGGGTGGGTGTCGTGGAAATGGTGGGGAGGGGGTCTGCAGTGTGGGAACTGGTTGTATTTTGAAGCTACAGCCACTGTTACGACTGTGTTGTAGTAACAGGACAAACAAAATGAGAGGACCTACCTGTTTCATGTTAAAGGGATATTCAGGCGTAAAATTAAGTTAGGGTCAAACACACCGTAACACCGGGTTAGACACCTCGTCAAGAGATAAATGTTGCTGACCGCTTGCTTCTCTAGTTATACCAACTTTAGTAACGACCGCACGATAGCAATACACAGAGCCACACCCTCAACTAAAAAGCCACTCTATAGCTACAAATAATGCTCAGAACAGCACCTAACTTCATCAACAGTACATATAGGATCCTAGCCACAGCATTAGCCACCAAACATCTTTTTAACTTTGCCTAATTTCTTTAGCAAAGAAGGTCTCGCTACAAACAAGCGACTGCTGGAGGAGAGTAGGTGAGTTGTGTTTAGTCTCTTTGTGAAAGAAATTAAGCAAAGTTAAAAAGATGTTTGATGGCTAGTGCTATGACTGGGACCCTATATGTACTGTTGATGAAGTTAGGTGCTGTTCTGAGCATTATTTGTGACTAAAGAGTGGCTTTTTGGTTGAGGTCTGTTTATGGCTCCTCAGACCGCTGTGTATAGCTATCGTGCGGTCGTTACTAAAGTTGGTATAACTAGAGAAGCAAGCGGTCGGCAACATTCATCTCTTGACAGGGTGTCTAACACAGTGTTACGGTGTGTTTGACCCTAAATTAATTTTACGCCAGAATATCCCTTTTACAGGGGGCTAACTAGTCAGCTTTAAATGGCTAATTATTATGCTAACGAGCATGTTACTCTCACACCTGTAATTACTGAAAATGTTTAATCAGCTTGTGCAGATGGCTGTTTACATGCAGCTAATTGCGGTAATCTTCATGCTGTCTTTTGTATTTTTATGCCCCGATACATGTTTGTTAAAATAGACTCAATTAACATGATTAACATGCTTTACTTTTCAACAAGCTAACTTTTTATGATATACAGATACAGATGATGCGAATACTAATGTGGTGAGCTAACACGCTCTCTATGACACTCCTATTGGGCTAGCATGCAGCAGTGGGATGTATACCATGTTGCCTTCTCTTTATGGTGGTTGGCATGCTAATACTTTTGGTTTGCAGGTGTTTGCTTAAACCTTTTATCAAACAAGGTAAATAGAAGGATTACTGCAGTTATTGTGATATTTTTACTTCAAATACAGGAACTGTAAATATTGAAACTTTCAGATGGAGGTGAAAAAGTTACTTAGAGGGATCAAGAGTTTCACAAAGAACTGGGTCCCTGAATCAATGAAGCAGTTTTTACATCAAATTAAATCTGGACCAGCATTAATCCGGCCCTGACCCAGCAGGTTCAGTTTGGGTCCTGGTTTATGTTTGACCTAATTTGTTGACCTGAACATGTTTTTTTTCTTTTTGTCTGTTTTCAGCGAGTGGATGTGCAGAGAGACAGACAGAAGACAAAGAAGGTGAAGGTAAAGTTGAGGAAGAGGAAGAGGAGGAGAATGAGGAAGTGTTCATGGTGGAGATACACAGAGGACCTCACGGCCTCGGACTCGCCCTGGTAGATGGAATGGTACGATGATGACCTCTCTCCTTCATCACCCAGCAAACATCCTCTTCGCCTACTTTTTTACTCCTTCTCTTTGTTATACTTTTATTAAAGCATCAACTGAACTGTAACAGTGACACTGGTGTAAAAAGACTCGAAAACCAGCTTTCATGTTTTCTCAGTTTAATCCACACAGAATAAAAAGCTTTTGTAGCCGCTTAATTCTGCTGTAACTAATCAGATTAGACTTTTAGATTTTAGTTGGATAGCTCAAAGAACAAATTGAATCACACTAAAAGTTCCTGCTGATGGACTCAAAAGATATCATGGTAAGATGACATAAACAGTGTTACATGCTGGTGTAAGCAGGTAAAGGGTGCAGCAAAAAATGAGAAACACAAACAATCTACACACAGCTTAGACAAAGAAAAGTAATTTAAGAAAAAATGTAACAAAATGTGTGACATTATCGTCTAGATTTTTTTTTTTTTTTTTCCCCCCTCACATAGGCTGTTCAATTTCTGACTTCTAGTTCCCAAAACACAAGCTTGCATACAATCCAATGAGGAAACTAGACAAATGTAAATGAAGCACTCAGGCCATTTAATCTGTTAGGCTGGCTGTTACAAAATCATTGTTGTTCATGCAACTTCAACAAAAAAGACTTAAAGTTGCATAATACTCACCAGATACCCACCTCCCCATTTGTTACAACCTGTCACCCTTTGTAATAGGATTAAGTAGTGATTGTGGGACAAGTTTAGGGAGTACAAATACTGTAAATCCTCAAATACAAGCTTCGTCCTTTCTTTGCTTTTAGTGCTAAATTTACCAGAGCTTTAATTGAACCAGGCTTGATCAGAGACAGGCCTGTATATCAAATTTTCTCTGTCTGAGAAGAGTAATTGTTCATATTTTATGGGCAAGTTTGCAAACTTTTGTGCCTAAGCAAGCCAAAAAGACATTTTCTAACTTACACAACACAAGCAAAGAGTTGAAGCTCCACAAACAACACTGCTGGGCAAATATCATCTCTGGAGGCTGGTGTTATTTGCAAATATTTAAACAAGCCATTTTGCATTCTTCTGGAGCAAAACACGATTATTTTTGTGCAAACAAACCTTATTGCAAAAAAAAAATGCAAATTAAACTAACACTCGTACTAAAAGCCATGCACATTGACATTTCACCAGCTGCACTAGAGTATGTATAAGCATCATCACGCTAAAGACATCAACACAACTGCTAGATGACCTACAAATATTTATACTTAAAGTCTATTATTAGTTTGAAATCATTTCAAGATGGATATAGACTGTGAAACCTTTCACATTGGTCATGAAGTGACTCCACAATCGAACACTAAGGATCCCTACAAACTATTTTATCATATACTGTGTCAGGATTAGAGCTCACAGTGCAGCTTGAAGCAGCAGAGAGACAGAGATCTTGACAGTCTCAACAAATAATTGGAGCAAACTACACAGTGATGTCCTTAAATTACACTTAAAATCTGACGTTTTTATATTATTGTACAGAACCTACAGAATAGTTAATTTACTGCTAAGTTCTCCTTGACAGAACTGCCCACTCTTATCATAAAGAGCTGACCTTTATTCACAAGGAAAAGCTCATAGTTTACTTATGCTACAGTGTTTTTTCAATTGAGGCTCAGTACATAAAAACAAACCTTATTTTCTTCATATCTCTTAAACCTGTTCACTCTCTGTTGTAGAAAACTCCTCTGAAGATGAGCGGTATCTATGTGAAGTCTGTTGTTCCCGACTCTCCGGCCGCTCAGTGTCACAAACTGAGAACAGGAGACAGAGTGCTCGCCGTCAACGGCATCAGTCTGGTCGGCATGGAGTACAACATGTGAGTACAAACTGAAACACAGTGCTTGAATCTGATATTCCCGCTCTTGAGCCTGTGTGTTTACAGCTTTGAGAATTTTTGTGTGTTTTTCTTTCAGAGGTAGAGAGCTGATCCGGTCCTCTGGAGACTCTCTGCGGCTACTTGTGGCAAAAATCGACTCCAAGTCCAACAACAAGAACTCGGTTACGACTAAATGCTGAAACACAAGCTGCTGCTGAGGACCGCACAGCTCATCAGATCCAGGATCTCTCAGCCACACCAAAGAAGCTTTTCTCCAGTTCCTAACTTCAGACTTATTGTGAAAAGATTTTGTTTTCAGCTTTGAGACAATCCGCTACTTCAGGACCGACTCGCTGTGTTTACAGTCACAGTCAGAGTGTAAAAAGAGAGTTTCTTTCGGCTGTCCAGCTCCTGTCAGCCTGTAAACACACTGCACAGAAACCACAAGGGAAGGAGAGCCGGGAGGAAAATATCCGTCTGTGGCGTTAACTGAAACGTCTATTTAAACGTCTAAATCCACATTTTTTCATCTGAAAAAATCATCAGGCTGCTCCAGGATCAACACCTGGTTCATTTCTGGCATAAACTGGAATTATCTCGAAATGACTTTAAAACATTTTGGCTTTACTGCTGTTTCAAAAAACTGTGAAACTGCATCTGCACATTGCTGTAAACCCTCATCTGACAGAGTCTTTCACCAGGATGGCATTAAATTTACGTGGCATTTGTTTTTTTTTCCCGACACTACTTCATCGTACAAACCTATGAGTCAATATTGTGTCTTTTTCATCAAACTTGTAGAACCTGGAAAACTCTGAAAACAGAGTTAAGCTTTATTTTTCTTTTAGTGAGGCTGCATGTAAGGAGATGTTTTATTATTTCATCACTTATCAAACACACACTTTCTGTTGTAAACACTCCACTTCACACCTGTATACAGTCAATATTAAAGTTATCATTTAAATCCTGTCTCTTCCTCTCTGGGCTGAAATCCTGAGAGCAGCTGATGGTTTAAAAACACAAATGGATGAAATATCTCTAATACTCTATGAGAGCATTCAGCTGCAGCCTGTTTGTGTGTTTACAGCACACACCTTCACAGTGTTAGAATAAAAACACAGTATTAATTTTTGTAATATTTATATTCACAGTATTTTTGGAAATATGGAATAAATATTTTTGTCTTCAAACACTTGCTGGTATGTCTTTTTTTTCTGTTTCTTGTGCATGGTGTGTGTCTGTGTGGATGTGTCAGGGCGTAGTTGCAGCTGGGTGTGTGTCTGTAGCTGTTTATAGCCTCTCTGCGGTTGATTTCTGCTGACTCTAAACAGCTCAGTCTCTTTATTTTCTATCAGTCTGAGCGTTTAAACACGTTAAACACTGTCAGCCCAATAAAATAGGCCTGAAAACCCATCAGAGAGTGTGATTAACCTATAAAAAGTCTAAGGCTGCTGAGTGTGAAGCTTCCTGCTGCTTTCTGACAGAAATCCTCTTTAACACTCCTGATTAAAACGCCTGATTGTTCAGCTCTTGCATGTAGAAAACACTGCAGGTTTACATGCTAACAGAGCAAGCCTCAAGCCTCAATGACACCCTAAGCAAAATTTGATTTTGGGGCCCTCTATTTCTGCCAATAATATTGTTTGTTGAGCATTTACACACCTTCATTAATCTCTTTAACATTACATGAAATGCAAACATACCTTTATCTTGGTGTTTTTTCTCTTCTTGCTCTCTCTTTTCTCTGCTCCTGAAGGATATGTCCTTTTTTGCGACATTATTTTGCCCCACAACTACCTGCGCCTTTGATGCACAGCAGAAGGCACATCACGGTAGCGTAGCTTTGAAATATCGGCAGTAAGAATCATAGGCCTACATCAGCAGCAGCACTAAAATGTTTTTACTTTTTACCTGTTTAAAAAAATAAAAAACATTGAATGCTTTTGGGAGCCCTCTATTGGCCACAGGGCCCTAAGCAGGCACTTCGTTCGCTTATGCTTTGGGGCTAACTCTTTCTGCATGCTAACTCTTTCTGCATGCTAACTCTTTCTGCATGCTAATTCTTTCTGCATGCTAATTCTTTGGAAAATACAGTTACTGAAATACTTTCATTTAGCCTAAGCGAGGTGTTTCATATGTTACTTTAGACCTTTAGACCTTTACTCTGTTTTTCTGACAGTATCAGTGCAAACCTGTGGTGCTTGCCCAGTTCAGGTTCATATTTTAGCCTGATAGCATGCTAACATTGACGTTTTGACTGTTTGGGTTTAATTAAAACTAACTAAATTACTAACTTCTGTCCTTTGAATTCATTAAAAAGTATTGTTGCTATTCAGCCTGGATCAGTGTTTGAATGCTCCACACTGTCGTCTTAATCCTTTCAGTGTTGTGTTTGGGGTCAGGAGTTTAAGGTTAACTTGTGGAGGTCAAGGGTTAATGACGACTGGACTCCAGCTCCCCCTGCTGGTTGCAGTCTCTGCTCCTAACCTGAAGTAATAGTCACAGTTGAGTATGGGACAGTCAGTTAACGGCAGGTTGTAGTCGTAGTACACTGTGTACTCTGGTGGGGCTTCCTCTACACCTCCACTGAAGCCACACTCCTGCAGGGAGCTGTGCGGAGGCAGCCGGGCCTCCTCTGAGGGGACTCTGCTCCTGAAAACCTCCAGGAGAAAAGTCTGGACACCAACCCGGTCCTGGATCATCCTGATCAGACTGGAGACTCTGCAGCTGGTCAGTAACACCAGCTCAAAGTTACCTGGGTGATCTGCAGTGAGGTCGAAGGGAATCAGTCTCACACTCAGTCGGGCAAACCTGTTGGACAAAAACAGCAAAGTGACAATGTTTAATGTTCAACTTTTACTTTTAAATTAAAATCATTTGAAGTTCTGTGAAAGTCGACCTACAAGTATGGTTGATTGTGATCTTTGAAGACTGTTAGTATTGTTTTACAGTCGTTAAAACGTGTTTCACTGCTGCAGGCTGAAGAAATGTGGTATATTTATTGACTAAATTTACCTTTCAGTCATTCAGGGCCCAAAATATGTGAGAATAAATTCACAAACAAGGACCGGAGAAAAGAACAGCTCTGCTTTATTTCACTGTGCTGTCAGTACAGTGATTTTTAACTTGTATTATGCTTGTGTCTTCATATCTGGGACTTGTAGCATGTTGTACTATGTCAGACCTGAGTCAATCCCATTCTCAGTCGATTTAGATATAATTCCTCTGTATTAATGATAATAATAATAATAATACCACAGTGCAAACAGACAGAAATAAAGACTGACTGTATCTGCTGTGATCCAAGCAGAAATGGTCTATATCCAGCTAACTGCGTTGTAGCGTCCCTGATAATTAGCTGTTCTGCAAAGAGGAAAAAAACATGTCATCAGCTAACTATTATGTTTCATATTTTGAGGTATTCATTGCGCTCCCCTCAATTGAAACATACTCTTTGTTTGTCTTCGGACGTGTGTGTAAAAAAAATAATCATGGCAGTGGGTCAAAAGAGGTAACAACACCTGTCTTAAGGTCATGTGAGGTCATGTAAGGTCACAGGAGGTCGTGTTTATGTAGCTGTTTGTGTTGCTAAAGTTTCAGACTGATTTACTGCCCAGAGGATCAGAATAACTCAGCGAGTTTAACCTCAGACTGACGGTTTAAACTGGAGTTCGATCCAGTTCAGCCACATGCTGTTTGGTATTTTATGGCTTTAAGACTCTGCAGAAGGGCTTTTCTACATAATAAGTACTTCTATAAAAAAGATACTCAAAGTTAGACACTTTTATACTGGAGCTCAACAAGTTTTACTTGGGTTGCAAATCAGAATATTTCCACTTGCATAAATTCAGTTAACATTTAGAGAGATCATTCACATACCCCCAAAATTGTACTTGAGTTGAGTGCTTTGGTTTTTATTCAAACTTACTTGAGGTCTCCTCCTGGGTTCAACACCTGATGGTCATTATAATCGTTTATCCTGGACTCCTCTGAGTGTTTGTTGGTGAGTTTCTCCTTCAGTCTGTGAGGATGAACAGACACATTTCACACACAGAAGCAGCCCTCACACAAACCCATAAGTTAACAGTTTCTTACCTCAGATTGTCCACTCGTCTGCTCAGGTCTTTATAACTAACGAAGTCATTGTCGTTCTTCAGATGCTGAGTCAGCATATGGAGCTCAGAATGCTGACAGGGTACGTTCAGGTTCACCAGAGCTGCGGAAACAGATGCACAAGTTGATAAAAATAAAAGTTATTGTTAATGTCAAGATGGGCAAAAAAATGTTGCTTCAAGTTTGATAAAGAAATCTTAAAAAGAACCAGTCATGAAATTTATTATTTAAGATATTTTTTTCACAGTTAGAACTTTTAACATTTTTACTTCACCAAAATTTAAAGCATCCTCCATCATCATATCTCTGTTAATTAACTGAACAGGATTCATGATATACCTAACATGTAAGACCACATTTCCACCAAAAGTACCCGGAACTTTCAGTCATTTTTTAATGTATTACAAAGATCATTCAGTCCTCTATCGTCTGTATTTCCACCAAAGTTTAAAGATCTATTAGAAGTTGTGTAAATTATTGAAAGAGTCTTCTGATGCTGCAATAATTTTCAGAAAGCCCTTGTACTTTTGGTGGGTACCAGTCGGGATCTTTTAGGGATCTAATTTAAACTCCTTATAGTCGGGCGAACATACCTGGATGATGCGATTGGTGATGGATTCTCTCTGTTATGTATTTAGCTCAGTCAGACTGAAATTAGTCCAATCTTGACTCGCTTGTTTTGCATCAGTGTGACTGCTGTAATCGTATTTGTCCGAATAACCAGGCAAAGGAGGGAAACCTCTTACTATCCAACCCTTCCAGACTAAGCACCCTTTAGTCCCAGACTCAGAGGATATTCCTACAGGAACCTTTTTTTGTTCTTCTTAAAAGATAATATTTTCCATCTGTGGTCATTTCTGTGAGATTCTTCTTGAATATCTTTCAGGGTTCTGGTGCAGTTTGGCAAAACTAAATGGACAAATCCAAGGATTTTATGCAACATTCAGCATCCAAAAACCACACCGCCTGTTTCCTGTGTCTTTGAAGGAAGTGTTTCTCCCTGAATCACAGTTTCCTTTTTATCCTGCAGCTCTTAAATCTCTCCTCAGAACAAAGTGAACTCAGAGTTTCTGAAGTTTGATGAACAAAAGCTTCTTTGTAACGTTTGTTTCCAGCTGCTCTTATCTGTGAGGGGGTGATGAGAGGAGGTGAGCCCCTGCTCCATAATCACAGTCTGAGTCACAGTACCTCCATGGAGACTTCACTACAAACACATTATACCGTCACAGTCTTACATATCTTTGTGTAAACAGTGTTTTCTTTAAGATGATCTCAATCGGACATTTAAAGCAGTTGAAAACGGTGAACTTTGTCATGTTTCAGTCTGGACCTGCACTGATCTGATCCTGTTAAACTGTAATGAAGATCCCCCCCTCAAACTGACGAAGACTCTAGTGATGAAGGTGCAGAGAAAAGATGATCACCATAATGAAATTCCTGCAGAGACACTGTTCCTCTTCTGTGTGGATCACAGAGTCTGAAATGCTCCTCCAGCAGTGTCATGTGATCTGAAAACCAGCGACACATCTGAGACAGGAAGCTGTTAGAGTCATCTGTGCTGGATCTGGAGGTCTGAGAGGTTTTACCTGCAGAAACCTGAAAAATATATGTTTATATTTAGACACATCTAATGATACATCGAGTTGTAAACACTTGTATGAGCACAGGTGTGTGTTTACGTATTTTTAACCAAAAGCACTGTAGAATAGAATAGAATAGAATATTCCTTTATTGATCCCCCATGGGGGAAATTTTTTTGTCACAGCAGCATCACAGACAAGACAGAAAGTGCAAAATGCAGTTATAACAATAAGGGTCCTAATATTAAGAACTTAATAAATGTAATAATTAAGAAAAAAAAAAAAAAAAAAAAAAAAAAAAAAATTGAAAAGAGAAAAGGGAGAAGAAAAAATAAAGCTTTCTGCAATATACACAATTTAAATGCCATAAAAAAAAAGTGGTGGTGTAAATCCAGTTTTGTTACTGTTCATTGTAAAGTCTTATTGCAGAGGGGAGGAATGATCTGCGGTAGCGCTCCGTCCTGCAGGGTGGGAGTCTCAGTCTGCTGCTGAAGGAGCTGCCTAAAGCCCCCACAGTCTGGTGCAGTGGGTGAGAGGGATTGTCCATGATGGATATAAGCTTTGTTAACATCCTCCTCTCACCCACCTCCTCCAGGGAGTCCAAAGAGCAGTCCAGGACAGAACCGGCCCTCCTGACCAGTCTATTCAGTCTCTTCCTGTAGCACTGCATGGTTACAACTTTGACTTCAATCTAACTTCACAAACCAAAAAATGCAAAAGAGATGATTTTATTTCGAGTGAGAAAAAGATGTCATGACTATTCCTCGCAGAAAAACAAACATGTCATTCAAACTAAACTCCTCAGTGCAAATAGAGTCTGAATAATCTATACATAAAAACCCAAATAACTCTAAAACAACCACCATTTACATTTCAACAATGATATGGATTCATTTAAATTAATATTGTCACCATAATAACGTTAGTACAGAAGGGGATAAGGGGCGCCAAATAGATAAAATAACATAAAATATAGTTATAATTCAATAAAGTTTTTCCCAACTCCAGATACACAGGCCAAGAACTTTATTTGAACCCAGAACTCTGACTGGAAGGCAGCGACCTTAACCACTACATCACCGAGATACCTGCCAGGTTTCACTTTTTGAAGGTTTCTCTTCTTTCTTGATAAATACAGTGATTAAAAAAAAAAAACTTTTCTCCAGTTTGAGGGAAAAAAAAAATCTATTTGATTGGCTGAAAGGAGTTACTGGACGGGATTTGACCAATGAGAAAAGGCGTTTTGGTGGATGAAATAAAAAAGGCCATCTGATAAACCAAAAGAGAGGAGCCACGCTAAATTTGGGTATCAAACCCTTACGTAACTTGAGTTCAGCGTGTCACTACATCTTGCTAGCTCAAAGGAAATTAAGCTCTCTGACGTGGCCTTCTAACAGACTGATGTTTCTTTCTTTGTTGTAGTGATCGCTGAAGCTATTAAAACAGAAGTGGCTGTGAGCGACTTTATAGTTACTGTTACGATAGAATAAACAGTTGATACCAAGAGCGATTTTAATCGTTTGTTTCATAAGAAATAAATTCACTGATCTAACAAACTAAACTAGCCAAGCACCAAGCACAGCTTATTGTAATGCTAACACCAATATACTCTGGGAAAATGTTGTGTTTCGTTGAACGGTTTTGTTTTAAAGTGTTATAATATTTTAATAAAAACAAGATTTTTCATATATATTCATATTTTTCATATTTACAATAACCCTCTTACTACAGTTTCAGCAGAGAAAGAGTCAACAGATAAGCCATCCTTCAACCCGAAAACATTAATCTAATTGTTTATACTGTTGTTTTATTCCTTACTCACCTTTTTCTGCTTTCTTTTTTTTATTTTTCGTCCTTTTTGTGTTTTCTTCTTCATGTTTCTCTCACATTAGACATCTGAAGGAGCAGGAACAAAGACGCTTTCAGCTCTGTGTTTACAGCAGGTATGATGACCTGCTATCATCACTGTGGAGGAACAGATAAACAAAGCTGTGTTCAGACTGACGTGGAGTTAAAAAGTCTGAGTTTCTAGTTTGTTAAACTGCTCGCATTTTGTTACACCAACTGCAGAAGTTTGACAAGAATGCACGGTCCCTGGATTGTGTCACTAAGCTTGGTCAGGAGTCTAAAATTAGAGGATCTAACGTCACTATTAAACAGTAGGGAGTAAACCTACAGTGAATAATAAGCAGTGATGATTCTGTGAGCTTCATCCTTCCTGTTCATCCAACACAAAGAGAGCAGGAAACAAAGAGAAGTCTAATACCATGAGTCTGACTCTGCTCCCTCAGTCCTCATTCACATTTACCAGAACAGACCCCCAGTGTAGCTGCTGGGAGCTGTGGGGGAACCTTAGAGCAGGCCCCTCCCTCAGACACAGACAGGAAATCCTGTCTGCAGACAACGGTGTGAGAGGAAGACTAAATCTAAAGTTTAGTTCAGCAGCAGCAGAGAATAATGAACTCTAATTATTTACAGAAAAAGAAATGTTCTCATTTATTTTGAGATCCTCATTTTTCTTGTTGAGTTCAAACTGAAGTGTTACACGTCAAAAAAGCCATCATGCCAGACTTCATCTCAAAATGTTGAGGTAAACATCAAATTTAAATGAAAAGAGAATAAAAAGTGCTGGTAATCTCCCTTATTCACTTGTCAGCAGGGGTGTGTCCGGGGAGATGACCAGGGGTGGCACTGACCCACTCCCCTGATTGGCCACCCGAGGAACCACTCCAAAATCCTAAAATATGATTGGTAGAGTCATAGAGCCCCATGTCAAAATATCCAACATGATAGAAAAAATTTAAATGTGTACAGCTGTGTCCAGGATGTAGAAAGTATTTAGAAATGTATACTAGGTAGATTTACAAGGTTACACAAATTAACCTAAAAACTCATTTTCATGTAATCAACATTTCCTTGTGTAAATTTGCTTTGCAACATTGATTTAGCATACCTCTATGTACAGATTTGTATCTCTGAATGCTTAAAACTTGTTCTTGACTTTATCACCTTGCTTTTACTTAAATTTTGTACAAAGGTGAGTCAGTCCATTCATTCCTATGAGAATCTCTGTGGCATCCAATGCCAATGCCATAACATTTCTTTTGAGTATGTACTAAAGAGTTTAATTTTTGTAATGAATTTTGAAGAAATCTTAAGGCTGTGTGTAAGGTGAGCTAACAGGTAGCTAACTTGTTGTCTCGGCTTTCCATTGAATATGTTGCATATGTTGATTTTGACTTGAGTTTGAGTAACCTCTTTATAATCTAGTTTTGGTTGCCAATATAAATTATGTTATTAAGCTAAAATATGGCTACATATTACATAAAGTGAGACAGTTTTTATCATGGTTAGAGGAAGTTTTCTACTGTGTATTTATTGCACTGGACACAAGAGACAACACCTGTTCATGTTCAGATCTTTGGACAACAACCACATGTTAAAACTAGGAGTGATCATAGTATTTTACTAACTGAGTTAATGTCAGCTGATCTCCAAAATCAAACTCTTGAATGTAAATAGTAACTGAACTTTTTAAGAGTCCTGTCTGACTGAAAAACATGCTCTCTGTAAGATAAAAAGTAACTCGGACCTTCTCATCTTTAATCTATAATCTCGTCCAACTCCTTTCTTGAATATTTATGTCTCCTACAACAAGCAGCTCACTTCAAAGAGCCTCTCAGCTTTTCTCTGAACACAGACACACAGGTGTGCTGCAGGTGTGTGCTGGGGGGAGAGGAGGGTGAGGAGAGGGTCAAGGCTTTTTTTGTTCAGCACCTTAAGATCAGTATCTGTCTGAAATGCAGGACTCCAGATTTTTTTTAGGCTTTCACAGACCACCAGAGAGCTCCTTTTAGACTAGATAAAAGAAGTATTTCTTCCTCGTATTTCAACCTTCTCTAGAGTAAGTAGAATTATTTTTGGATTTTCATGACTAGTTTTCATACCACTTTACAGATGCTAGTTTTTGTCCCCTTTCAGAGTGGTATCATTTCATTGAACCTGCGTAACAGTCCAGCATATAATGTTTGGTTACAGCGCTCTCTGCTGGAACACAAATAAAGAGTTCTTTTATTCAAGGTTTTCCCCATTTTATTCACACAACCATGAAAACCTGAGGCTCATGCATCAACATCATGACTCTAAAACTGCTAAACCACTCAAATTTGATCCTGAATCACAGCTTTGTAAATCTGGTGTAGCCAGACTCTACATCAGTGTTGACATGATGCTCTGGAAGACCGGAAGTTAAAGCTGTGGTAATTATGTGAGACGAGGGAATATGATTGTTGCTGTTTTAATCACGCAGGGATTTGTGGAGTTTTAACTATGTAGTTAACTTTTTGTTTTATGTAAAGACTTTTAAGCATTTCAGCCTCAAAATATGTTTAAATATTTGGGAAAAATTGCAAGAATATCTGTAGTTTCACCTCAAGAGTCAAGAGTCACAGTATAAGACTGCCTATAAATGTCTGTAATATGGCAACAGAAAGCATCAAAATTAGTCCTGTCCCTGTTTTTGCAGTTTAGATAAAATAACAATTGATGTGAAGTCAAATATTTAACACAGCCATGTGATTAATAAGAAAACACATTATAATTGTAAATGATGGATCAGCAGTGTTTGATACTGTTCACAGGATTAAAGTATCAGTAAGTAGATCAAGACTTACATGTTCTTGAAGTTCAGTCAGCTTCCATTTGTTCTTCAAAAATATCAGGTTCATTTTGACTTTTACACAATCATGAAAGGATCAGCTATGAGTCAGATATGAGTAAAAATCAGATTTGGGTCACTTTTGACTGCAGTGTGAACGTAGATCTGTGTTGAATCACTGTGTTGACCAGTTGCCATGACAACTGGGTCTTCACATACATGCAGTTAATTGTGGAAAATAACTGACCCACTCCCAAAGGAAACACATATCTAAACGTGTTTATATAATGGTTATTACTTACAAATGATCATGACTGGGAACAAGTTTAGTTTGAATCTATAAAAAACGTTTTCAGAAATCAAAAGTGGGTTTAAAACACTACAGTTTTCTCTTCTGTCCACCAGGTGGCAGTAATGAAACACTGGTTGAAACTTTGGCTCTACAGTGGTGGAGAAAAACTTTCAGATCCCCGAAAGTATGAACACCACACTATCATTATTCCTTGTGGGTTAAAGCTCACCAATATGAATGTTACATAAGATGGTAAATATAACATGAAAACAAACATTGACATTCACCATTCACCATGCTTTGTAAAGGACAGTGACTAATATTTTTTCTCAGAGGCGTTCAGTTTGTCAAAAATTTTCTCCAGGACTTTGGAAAAAAAATGATGCTGACACCCTGAATTGCACAGTAAAACCCTAACAGTGGCTATTTTATCTCACACTGTCCCGTCGTTGTTTTAAAAAAGAGCTGTAATGTCATGAAAGGTACAGTGTGTAATAAAGGGAATAAGTAGCATTCAGAGTCTAGATTCCAGTGCTCTCTCGCTCACCCCTCCCACCAGTGAAGTGACCTCTGAGGATGAGAAGCTCCTGTGATGCATCAGAGGTGTGATCCTTCACTTATCAAAATTTGACCCTCAAAAACATCTAGAAATAATTCCTTTTTATCTCAGAATGACAGCCACTCTCTTTTTTTGTCTCCCTACGCCTTTACATCCTGCACAGCCAATCTGCTATAGTATAGGTCATAAGTCCCGCCTCCACCAAGCAAAGCTAATGGGACTGTGGACAAACTTAAGAAACTTATTACACAGAACATACATTTTTCTCCCCCCTGCTTGTGATGTTGACATGTAGTCACTGTAAGACTGGTTTGTGCTCAAGTCCTCTTTTTTCTGTGAAGCTCCGTTTTTAAAAGTTGTTAGGGGGTTCATGTTTTCTATGATTGACACATGATACAGCCTATGGGCGTTCAGGGATTGCGTAGCTCACCGGGAGGATATGCTGTTTGAGCCTAGCGTCATCACAGTGACTCTCGGCGACTGTGCGGCCGAATGCGGGCATCGCTCCAGCGCCGCGCTGGTTTCAGAAAATGAAGAAAAACCCCAGAAATACAGAGAGCTTTTCAGCTTCAAATGCGTATACAGGCGGGAGGCGGAACCAAGTTATCCATAGTATATTCAGTCTATGGGAAACATGTGGCCATTAGTAGTTTATCTGGGCTGAGCCATGGTAGAAACGTGGTGATGCAAGATATTGTCCTGGACTCACTGTCAGGTAACAAAAAACCAAAAGTCCTTTTTATATTGAGATGATTTTACATGAATTTAAACAAACGCAATAAGAGTGTATTTTATTAAAAGTCTATTCCGCTCAACACTGCAAAATATCACACAGTGTACCTTTAATTTTGCCAAAAGTGTTACATTTATGATTCAAAATGCTAATAAGATTATGTATATTTGTCACTCATGTAATCGTGATTTGCGAGTATATTTATTCCTGAATCATTTCCCAAACACAACCTTTTTTCTGGTATCCACTGGAAATATTCTCCATCTGCTCTATGATAGGATGTATGTTATCTAACAGGAAGTGACACGGGCTGAGGTGACAGACTCTGATGAGACATCTGAGACATGAAGACCTGCGTGGATCTGTTTTTCTGCAGTGACACTTGGTTTCTCACAGCTAACCTGGGGCGAGTATAAAGCTACAGTAACACTTACGGTTGAGTCAAACGTTTGAGGGAATTTTTTTTTATTTAAAAATTTGACAAGAATAAAATAAAGAAATGTTTTGCTTGAATTTGAGGGACAACTATGATCTTTTTCACGTAAAATTCAAGTTCACGTCTTTCTCTTAAAGTTGTGCTGATGCAGCATTAATGCTCAACATGGACGGATCATATATCATTTATTTACTCTTTATGACATTTCAGAGCCTGTCCTTTCATTTTAGAAATTAAAAGCCTTGAAAAAACATCATCCTTATGCAAGTCGAACCTTCTTAAAATGACAGATCTATTGTAGGTATTTGAAATGGGTCTTTTTGTACATTTCAGTGAAGTTTCTTGACAGTTTTAGTCCTGTTTTTTACTCTTTGGTGGTTTTCTATTTATGTATTTTTGTTGGGCAAAGATAAATATAAAAACAGATTACAGTGTGTATCTAAAAATGTTTAAAAATTCTGCGCTTAACCCAGAGTCTGGTCTGACAGGTTCTCTCTACTTTATTGCTTTGGAATATAGACTATAACATTTTTTAACTTCACTTGAGAAACGTTGACATTTTTGAAATAATTTATATGGAAAATAACATTTCACCAAAAGATGTTTATCTAATTTGAATGTACATCACCTTACATTAACACGTTTACCAGATGGTGTTGCGTAACACACATCTACATATCTGAGTGAGTCTCCTTGTGTCTTTATATTCACACATAACTGTTTGAAATGAAATCAGGTCATCCAAGATGTATGTGTGTCTCTCTCTCCTCCTACATACATGTTTTAATGATATGTCATGTTACTATCATGTTTATTCATATTCTGATATAGTCAGAAATCTTGTTCTTTTACGCTGTTTGATATTGCTTTAATCTATTAACCTACTTTTCTTGATGAATGAATATTTCAGATTTAAAAGGATATGTACATGTTGAATTCTTTTCATTTTTAATGTGTCGAGCCTCTGAAACGGTTCAGACTTCGCACCAACATGTGGTTTGTAGTAGTTGGGACACAAATGAGCAGTTTTAAACACGAGCATCTGAGCCTTGCATGAACCATGCGTCTCCAGTGATCAGATCTTATTCACCCTCTTCAGATGCAAATGAACACCATTGAAGAGCTCTGTCTGTTAGCATAAAGAAGTGGGCGGTCCTTACGGCGGCCCATGCAATTCACATGTTCATACACACGACCAGACCAATGTGGGCATGTGCCTCACAGACCACCTCTGTATGCAGACGGAGTGATCAGCTCTCAGCATTTATTGATCAGTGTTCACGCCTGGAGTTCAGGATTATCAATAAAGATCATATAACTATAATGGGGCAGGATATAAACAGGGTCTCCTCTCTCTTCAATCGGTGCCGTTAATATGTTAGAAAACTCGGTTATAGTTCACATGAGTATGTTTCCTTGTGTTCCTCTTTCTTGTGTGCATTGTTGTTTTATTTTTGATCATTTCTGTGCCGTGTTATAGTTCCAAGTGTTTCCTGTTTTATTTTGTAATCCTATTCTCTTGAGTGTAAAGTCTTGATTTCCTCCTTTCCCTCTTTTTGATTGGTCAACTTGTGTCTTGTCTTTCCCACCTGTTGCTTGTTTTTGCCCTAATCTCTGTCTTTCTCTCCTTCAGTGTCGGTTCATGGTCTGTGTCTGTGGGTCATCTTTCCAGTGTGCCAGTGTTTCTCCTTGGCATCTCATTTTTCTAGTTCAGAATCAGATTTTTTTTGTTTGTTTTGTAAATACTTGACCTTTTTGTTCACTAAACTAAATAGATTTTTTTCTGGGCATGCTCCAGAGTTTGGAGGCCAAGTTTTGGACAGGAAGTTAAATGGCATCACTGCAGTTGTGTTCATCCCCAACCCCAAAATTCTACTTACTTATTTAAGATTAGAGTTCATAACAGGTTAATGATTTCTGAGTTTGGTCCACTGATCATTTTTAATTAATTTGCATCAAACAAACAAATTATCCGTCCATGAGTGTTATCTGACATCTCACAAAACCAATGAATTTCACCTAAATAATAAAAACTTGTCAGAGCTGAAGTCAGAGAATCAGGAAACTTCTTAGGATCATGTAAATGTCCACATTTATATACATTATATACTGTTTCAAAGCTGTGGGTATAATTCTGTTTTTACCTGCAGCTGTGTGGCTTTAAACTGAGCCCCCAGCTCTCAGAATGGCAAAAACAACCTCTGTTAAAACTGTACATGAGGCTGCAGGAAGATGAAAGCTCGGTTTATTTCCAGTTATTCATTCACTGGTTGAGATTTAATTTTCAGACATTGCATGCTGGATAAATCAGATTAACTTTCAGTAAAAGAATAATCAGATAATCCTGTCAGGATCTCTGATGTAAATGGATGTAAATGTCTCTCTCTGTAGTCTAGCTGCTCCGGCTCATTCTGTGTGTTTCTTTCTGTTTCTGCATAAATTAAATCCTGCAGCTGCGGAGCACAGAGACTGAAGGCTGAATTCATCCCCGCACACAGAGTAATCTCTGCGTTTTTACTGGATAATAAATCTGATCAAAACTTGAATCGCTGTTAGCTGTTTGTTCACCAGAGAACGGAGTCGCGGTAAATTAATAAACTCTGATATTTCTATTGTATCCACTGGAGAAAGAGCTGATTTTTACAGGCTGTGACCTTTGACATGTTCATGCACAGAGCTTGGTGTGTGAAGAGATTCTTGGTTAATGCTCAGAAGTCTTTTCTTTCAGGCAACAAAGCCAATCTCAGCGTGAATGTTCAACTAAAGAGAGGAGAGAGGCTGCAGATTAAAAAAAGAAAATCAGTTTAACTATCAGAGTGGAGAGGATCTGACATCTCTGCAAGCGGAGTGTGTTCATGCATTCATTAATTACACTCTGCAACCCAAAGACACAGTTAATTATACTCATCACTGACAGCAGGAACATAGTGTTTATCGGCTGTGTGCTGCACAGTATCGAACGTTGACAAGCAGAGAAACTTTGTTCAATATTTCAGTCCATCTTTTCTGAATTCAAAGACATATATAAAACATCTTGTCCCACTTTGATATGACAAAGACAAATAACTCAAGACTTTAAGATGAAGCATTGAACAGATTTTTCATTTAAAGCTTTAAACATTTATGACTTTGACTGAAATTCATGCTATGGTGTAAAAAGGCAAGCAAGACCACTAGCTACAAAACTTTTTTTGTGTAAAATTTAATGCCTAAAACTGGTGTGAGGGGGTGTCAGCCAAATGGGTGCAGAGACAGACAAGTTTGTACATTAAGTAAAATATTTAACTTTCAGAAGCCAGCGTGATGAGAATTTTTAATTATGTATTGTCAGATACACACTGAGTTTTTTTTTAAGACATTCACAAAAGAGATAGAAATTCATACTGATGTCTTTTTCTGATGTGCAAAAGAAAACAAGACCATTAGTATCAAGATTTATAATTATCATAACATTAATTCTTAACACTGGAAATTGATGTGGCAGGTAGGTGTCAGACAGGCAGCTGAAGAAACAGTCTAGTGTTTTTGAACGATTCGTTCAAAAGAACCAAATCTTTTAAGTGAACATATTGAACCGAATCACTTCCTCAAGTGATTCGTTCGTTTCTCACTTCAGTTAAGCTGTCAGCAGGGCAGAGGCTATTGCCTGCAGCATTGCCAGGCGAGCAGCCGGTGAACGAGGGACCACATGCACCGACGCCTGAATCATTTGGTAAACGAATCACGCATTGAATTACAATCTCTGGGATCATTTTTGTCGGACAAAACTACCTTTTTTTTCACTGCTAAATTGCCACCACAACGACATGCATACAAGAGGACACAGCATGTAACAAGTAGTGCATAAAACTGGCAGCATCCTATCATTGCAGCGGTTTGTGAGGGAACGGTACATGTTCAGTTTGAATTCTTCTAAATGTTCAGTGAACGAATCACTCAGTGAGCCCAATTTACCGAGCAGACCTGATAAATAGCATACCATAGGACAGAACACTGTAAAAATTAACTTGTATATAAGTCATGATGTTTTCAAAGTTGTTTGCCAAAGTAACATAGCCAAACACTCTTGTCTCCCAGAAGCTTTAAATTGAACTGAATCCTGAACCGTTCAGCTGTGTATCAGTTTAATAGGGTCAGAGTCACAGGCTCCTCCCACCAAGCACTGAATGATTCAGTGTTTCGATGAACGAATCTTTTGAACGAATCTTTTTAGTGAACTGAGTCCAGTGATTCAGTACATGTAAAAGAACTGCTGTGCCCATCACTAAAACAGTCCTGTTTTCATAATCTTCACATAAATGATGAAAATAAAGATTTTTTGACTGATAGAAGTCAGCAGGATTAATCTGTTGTCGGAAAACACTACTTTAGCTGGTTAAGGACAACATAAGTAAAGACTGCTTTGTCCACAGGGGGGCGTCAAACTTGACTCAGACTAAGAGTCCTTCACAGGAGCTTTAAAGCCACTGTGAGGAATTTTCAGTTTGTATTGACTGTTGTCGCCCCCTGTGGACAAAGAAGACCCTCATATCATTGTTAACTTTGTCCCGTACATGTTTAAGTAAAAATACCTGTTTTTTAAAGAATATTTTTACACACATAAAGTTGTGCACCAGTGTTAACAACTCTTCATCTGTAGTCCAAACATTAAAGCTCATATTGGAAATGTGTCAGACTATCTTCCTACCTGTGTTTTTGTGTCTTTTCTCCTGCTCTGACTCTTCTGCATATATCAGTAAGTATTGCACAAAGTAATTTCGTGTCCTCTTGTTGACGCTGGTCTGAAAAAAAAACTTATTGTTATCCAACTTCAATTTGACTAATACTAAAGGGAAATAAAAGTCCTGTGAACAGATGCTCACATGTTTCACTATGAAGTTTATTGATGAAGCGATTCTCAGTTTTTGCCTTTCTGGTCTATAAATTTCTGCATCCTCATATTTTTGGCTGGAATCGATTTAGAGTTATTGGCATTGCTATCGATTGCCTATGCTTCCTTGATGAAGTTCATTTTCTTCGCAGGTTTTCTTCTATTGATGGATCACTCCCCTCCACAGCTCCACGTGTGAGTGTGACTCAGTGTTTACAGCGGAGGATTGTGGGTAATCTGTCCTTGTGATTCAGCTGCAGGAGGAGACATTCATCATTTTAATCGTCTTCATCCTAAAACTGTCAGCAGAACAGGCTGTAATGTGTGTACTGTTTACTCTAATGAGGATGGAACACACACCTATTACAGGACACACACACACACACACACACACACACACTCACAGAGGGAGGGTGTGATGAATAAATTAATATATTCTCTGAGCAGAGCTGGTGTCTGGAAGAAAAAAGAGCGATGTCAGGGAGCAGTTTATTTCCTAAGAGCACGTGTGCTGGGAGCACTCGGCGAGTCCACACGTGGAGCTCTTTCTCTCGCTCTTTTCCTCGTTCTCTGTGTGGGTGGGTGATCAGACACATGTTCAAAGAGCAGGTGCTCACCGCCACACCTTCACCTGCCGCTATGTCTGTCCTCTGAAAGCAGCACCATGCAGCAGAAAGAGGATTTGTTCAGGGAGGCGGACAGTAAGAAAAGCCTTCATTAGATTCACAATCCCTCTAACATTATTCACTCAAAACTGGCACATGACTTTTTATAGCTCACAGAAGTGGGACTGAAATTAACTTCGATGGAGACATTTACTTTTTGCCTTCCTGCTAAGGGTAAGATAAAGATTACTTCTTAATTAAAGCTCCCGTGTGGAGTTTTTTACCTTGATAAAATAGACTGAATTTCATCTCTTTCGATGATGTACATAACAAACAAGAACATCAGGATTTATTTTGTAATTTTTAACATTTACTTCTGATGTGAGGGGCTAGGTGTCAGCCAATCAGCTGCAGAAACAGGCCTGTTATTACAATTACCACCTTAAATATTTAAAATAAATGATGAAACATCAGGAGGATGAGATGAGAAGATAAAATTTGAAATGATATAATGAGCTGATGTGAGATAAATGAAGATGAAATTGAAATCACATAATAGAATGACATTGTATGTGTCAAGATAATGTATGCTTAACTTAGATAAGACAAAATGAGATGAAACGAGGTAAAATAAACTAAACTAAAATGAGATGAGATAAGATGAAGGAATATAAAATGAAAAGTGATGCATGAGCTAAAATGTGATAAAATAATCTGCAATATAGTAAAATAAAATGACAAAAGATGATACTTAGAATATGAGTTGACATGAATATAGATACCATGAGATAAAATGAGTTATATAAGCTGAGAGGTGATGAGATAAAATAAGAGAAATACTAACGCTAAAATCAACACAATGGTAGCATGAAATAGAAAGAAGCCACTCTTCAAGCTACTCCTGCAGATTATAAACACTCTGGATGTCCCTCTAGGGTAGGTTGGGGGGCATCCATGTTGCTACTTGGCATTCTGGGATATTACCACCATAACCTTGTTATTAGGAAACCCAGCTGTTCACTGTTTCTGTTTTGTTTGTGTGAAACGCAGTGCAACTGAGGACAAATGCGACACTGTGCACAAACTACACAATCCACCAACGTGTGTGTGTGCTTGTCAATAATGCATTGAGCACTAACTTCAAGAGTTATCCCCCTGAGGAAAATGAATCAGTAATGCAGTCAAACAGTCAGATATGCTAATGAGCTAATGAGCTAACATGGTCTGATCACAGATTACTTACTCTGACTGACAAAAGGGGTTCTGTTTGTGTGACTTTGTTAAAACCTCTGGAAACTCAGGTCAAAAACACTTTTTAAATTTATGATCACATGAACAATGTCAAATATGTGAACTGAATTTTGATTCATTTTGAAATATAATAGGTTAAATATATGGAAATGGCCTGATACTGTGTTACAAGTACATTGTATTAAGCAGCAGTTTCCCCAAAGAAATAGAGTGTTTTATGCAAAAGTATGTCTAAATTAGTTTATATGGATTTATTTCTGATGTTTTAGAAAATGTCTTTTAATGTTACAAAGCAGTGAGTCCTGACTGTGGAGGCTGTGATTTTGTTCTGCTATGTCCTCTACAGTGGCTCAGAACGGACAAACAAACAGAAACCAAACACATTTCGTTGATAAGTGGGTGGCTGAGTGAGACGCTTCGGTTGGATAAAGGAGAGGACAGAGTGAGATCAGTCATTGTGTGCAAATAAAAGTGTATTGATGAAGTCAATAAAACATTTCGTGACAGAGAAGTCCAACAAGTCCTTGTCTAATCCACCAAGATCACGTTTACATCAAGCAGCACACCTTTAACCAAATGCGCCTACCTCCAAGTTTTTCCCACAATGTCTTTAAGTTTCCCAGTAAAACCAGTTTGTAGATATTCTTTGAAGACTTGGCTTTTGCATTTGAAAACAGCATAACTTAAATTTTGTCTGCATTCAAAATAAATTTTAAATCATAAAAAAATGTTGTTGAATATCATTAAAAGCGCGCTGTAATGTCATTTACGTTAAAAAAAAGCAGTGGTTTTAACACTGACCTTTGGGACCTCCTTTAGTCAGGGCAAGAGAGCTAGAGGTGCAACCTTCCCCCTTTACACACATTACGTTTACAAGCACAGTTAAATCGAGATACGGTCATGGCCTGATATTTTGATGTATGAAGAGGATCTCAGGTTATCTGAAACGAACCCTTCAAATACGTGGAACATTTTGAGACTGAAAGGTATAAGTGAGGACACTGAGTAATTAAACTGATACTGCTCTCTCCTCTGCTGTCTGTTCCCCTCTCTATTATCTCCTAGATTGACTCTTAATCTCTAATCTGCTGAATAGCTGCGGAGAGGACAATGCAATGTCTCTGTGTCCTCTCAGGTGATAACACTCTTACATGTGAACACTGATAAACTGGACACTGTCAGGTAAAGATGCTCTGAGGTGAGGACTCTGAGGTAAACATGAAGCCAGCTAGGGACAGGCTCAAATGAGGACACAGAGTAGAGACTGAAAGATGAGTGAACTAGCAGGTGAGGACATTATGTTGAGGATGTGTTCAGGTGAAGATGTTATTAAATAAGGATGCCTCAAGTAAGGACGCTCACATCTCAGACCTCTACTTCAGCTCATTGAAAGCTTCTCTGGTCGACATCCAGCTGTTATTGTGACCTTTATCCCCGGCCACATCTCACTGTCGCCATCTGTATCTAAGGAATAAAGTTGATTTCAATTAATAAAAAATGATTTATTTGTTTCTGCCTTGTTCTTAAAAACTGCTTCAAACTCTCACCCTGTAATGTCGATCATTTTGCCCAAAAACTCCAGATGTCTGTTGATTCATTTTGTTGCTGTGTTGTTGTGTTTTGTTCAGAGAAGCTGCTGCAGACACAAACACACGTTCATTGTTACTCTCTGATTAAAATGTGTAACAGTGTCTCACATAGGGACATGTTGTGCTCTGCCTTCATCCTCATGATGTGTTCACTGGAAGTGGGAATTTTTTTTGAAAAGGAGACAGCTTTTTGAAAAGAGGCTACAACACCTTTTTTTGGTAACTTTTTGTGTTTTCTGTGTGAAAATCTTGATGTGATGATAGATTCTGATTTTTCAAGTAGATCCAAAAGTGGACTCCACTATTTGAAATGTTTAAAATGAAAATAAAGGGGAAAAAGGAGAAAAAGTTTTGGCTTATTGGAAGTATTTCACAATAAAGCTCCAATAAGGAGTTTTTTTTGACATGAACAAAATAGACCGAGATTCAGACGGTGTCTTTTTATAACATCCAAATGCAAAATAAGACCATCAGCAAGAATATTTATGAGAGTTACGTAGATCCTATTTTTATGCTTTAAACAGTTTATCTTTGTTGTTGTTTGTTTACAGTCTCTACTTGAGCATTTAGACAACAAGATAAGCAAAGACTGTTTTATCCCCAGGGGGAGCCAAAAATGACATAGACTAAGAGTTCCTTATTCCAGGATCTTTATTTAGATTTAACATTTACAAAAAAAAATACTGTAGCAGTAGTCCTTCATATATGGAAAAAAATAGGATAAAGGGTGAGGAAGAAATAAGGATTACTTGAAGATGGGACCTCAGCTTTTATACTCCATTTAAACAAAAAAGATATAGAATAAAGTAGAAATTTTAAAAATAATTTAAAAGACAAACAAATATTTTGAGAATATACAATTTAAAAAAAAATTCAGACATACCAGAAAGGAAGAAAGACCATTTTGAAATGTATTTACTCCAGGGTCAAACATCAATTTGAATAACAATTAAGTCAACAACAAAGAGGCGACATCACATGTCTGCAAAACACAGTTTCAAATCAGAACACTTAATCTCTTCCTTTGTGCTAACTTCAGGTGATTGTAGAAGAGTTTCCTTTCAGTCCTTTAAATATGTTACTAAACTGATTAAGTTCATATATTCAGTTGTGTTGTTTCTGATGTTCTTTCGCTCAGCAACAGCACACTTTTCTTAGATATTTTATTTTATCTTTTTTTTGCAACACTTTAACTTCATTAAAAAAAATCCTCCTTATTCTCTTCAATTGGGTTCATGAGGGACAAAAATTTATTCTTTTTCATTACATTTTTCATATTTTTAATAACTCTGCTTTAATCTGCTTTAATCTGCTTTAGCAAATGTTAATGTGCCAGCATGTTGGTAATAAGTAGTTTTACCATACTATATAAAAATATTTAAATGTATATACTTATAAGATTTTACTTTAATGGATTGCAAAGATGTGTCTGCTATCAGTTAGAACAAATAAAACCCCAAAACTTTGATTTATTAAAGCTTATTCATAATTTTATTCCAAGCACAAATCTTCTTTGACTCAGTTCGATAATAAAACTTCTTTTATGCTATGGTTTCGTATGGCTACTTTATACCATTTTTTTTCTTTTATTTGTCTTTTGTGGACCTATAACAATTTCATTCTCGTTTTTCAGTGTCGAATATTTTTGTAACAGTGAAATAACTGTCTGAATTATTGATCATTTGTGTTTTAATTATTAATGTTTTTTAAAATTTAGTGTGTAAAATATTATCTGTTTAAAGTAAACGTGTATATAGTATATAGGAAATGTGTTTATTTTTAAGCCTGTTGAATAAATAAAGCATGGCCATTACTGTCAGTACAGTCTGACAGCCGATATTATGAATTCCCACTCTGCTTGAAGGTAGCATCCCCGCTTTGGTTGGCTGACAGCAGCGGTGGGCGGGGCCTCCTGCGGTGTGTGCAGACAATAGACCGAGCAGGGAGAGAGAAAGTGACAGACAGACAGAGGAGGAGGAGGAGGAGGAGGAAGAGAAGACCTTCATCTTCAGCGTGGAGAGGAAGGAAAAGGCGAACAGTTCAAAGATCTCCGACGTTTCCTCTGTTAGTCACGGGGTCACATGGTGTCTGCATGGACTGACAGGATCTACATTTGCACAGGTAAGAGCTGATAAGGTGATTAATCAATTAACTGATTAATTATGCTCGTTTGTCTGTATTAGGGTGCTTTGTTTTGATAGGACGAGCTGAAGTCTCTTCATTGTGTCTGAATGTGTGTGTGTGTCTGTGTGTGGCTCAGATACACACCATCACAGCAGGACTGATGTTGTGCTCAGAGGCAGCAGTATTAATCTCTTTTTTAGGATACAGTATTGAAAGAAAATCAATAATCAATCATGTTTTTAACTGTTACACACAAAGTTAAAAACGTGACACACACACATTTACACACATACACACACACACTGACTGAGTGGAACAATAGATCATCTCTCCAGCTGCATGTGCACACCTCTATGTATTTTCCACGGTGCATTTATTGATCAGCACATTTTTTAAGGATTCTTCCCACGCACACACGCTCACGTGCACGCCCTCAGCTGTACCTGTGTGCACATGTGAAGCACGCTGTGGTGTTAGTGGTGATGGTGAAGCTTTGTGTCTGCTGAGTCTTTGTGCTGTGAAGGCTGCTCTGTGCGGTCTGTACACACTCACTGAAGCTGGCAGTAGATCCTGCAAGCTGTGGTTTCACTATCAATCTCGGTATCATCAAGATATTCAGTTTAAAAACAGGATTTTTTTTTTAATAGAGCTGCAGGTTATCCTTAGTTTTTGCACATTGTACAGAGATGACGCCTTCAGGATTTGTTAATTACATTGTCAGTTAAATAGCAATCATGATCAGTTTGCTGCTTTTCTCTGTCACAACTGACTGAAAACTAATGTGTCAGATTAAAAGGATGTTTAAAAAATAGGGAAACTTTTGGTAATTTATTGTTTTTCCTCTATTTTTCCCCTTATATTAATGCACGCTTTGTCTAACATCAGAGGAGTAACATGAAAAAGGTTTTGAAGTGTGGGAGGAGGAGTCTGCAGAGGACACTGATAATTTAATATGCAAGAGTTTCTGCAATATTTTGTTCTGTTTTTGGTTGCTTTTTTTCGCTGTTCAAAGAAATAATGTCAACATAATAACAATGAGAATGGCGACACACCAATGCTAGCCAGGTATATGTAAACCAGGAGTGTGTGCTTTTACCCAAATGAACAATTATTTATTAATGTTGGCTAAAAGATGCTGCTTTTAAGTTGTCCAAGCTGAAGTGGAGCCAAAGCCACTAACCAAAGCTGTAGCTCCAGTCAGCTACAGCAGTAATGCCACAGTTCTCTACTACCAGTCCATAGACAACTAAAGATAACAGACGGCATTTCGTAGTGTGATGTGGTTTGGTGGTGTTTGATCTATAAGTGTTGATAAGGTTGTATGCAGGCTGTGGTTGTAGTTTAAAGCCACCACAGGTATGATTTTTTCCTGCAAGGGTTACCAAAGGCTGGTGGTGCTAGCTCTGTTGGTGCTAGACGCACTCAAGAAATTGACAAAACAAACCAAGCCCAACTTGGTCAGCCAGAGTTGAAATTACACATGATGTAATAGTTTGCACACAAAATTAGCATGTCTACTTGTCCACAGATAGAAAACTTGCACAACACTATGATTAAGATTGATTTTACACAGGGAATCTCTATGCTGGTTGACTACTGCAGTAAAAGTTATTTACTTGAGTTCAGATTTTTCATCCCTCACAAGGCGAGTAGCCTGTTGAAGGCATCACGAATATGCACGTATAATCTGCTCAATTCATGCTGTTCACTTCACGATGAGACTTCATGAATTCGCTCACACTAATGACTTTATTCGTATTTGGTGTGAACACAACTTGAGTGGGATGTCTAAGTTCAAAGGACATTCTGGATGGAGGTTATCTCTGAATTTCGGACCATCCCTTATCCCTTAAAATTATCCCTTATGCATCATACTGTGATGAACATACACTGTGTTTATCATGTTTGCATGCTAATGTGTGCTAAAAACCATCAATTACAAATAGTAGTTAGAAGGCTGTTTGAACTGATGATATCTGCCTTGTGTTGTCGCTCATTCAGCATCATAAAAAATCCCTCAACATTAAGCTCTATTCTTTTACTCCTGAGATAAAACCCAGTTAACCTGAATGAAAGCGTATTTTTCTCTACTGTAGACCTCAGTAAAGGTTTTATATCCGCTCAAATGTTACTCAACGTGTTAATATGTGTTCATTCAGTGTTTTTTCTCACTTGGTTGTTGTATTGATTTCACATAACTGATGATTAATTAGGTGCTAATGTTTTACAGGTCCGTTTTAGCCTCAGCGCTGATGAGGGGCAGTTTTTCTAGAGGGTCATTACTCAGCATGTTAGTCAGCTCTGTCACCTTTATGTTTCGTGTGGGAACGATTTGTGGCGTTAATGGTGAGGACTTTATTGATCCTCGGTTCGGAGCTAAAGCATGCTGAAGATGAACAGTCTGTGGCTGAGATTTGTGTTTCAGGGAGCAGCAGATTGATTTTGGTTCAGTAACAAAACATGGTAGCATATCAGAGATCATCTGGGACCATGAATAGATTTATAAGCAGGTCTAAAATTTTAAAAGTGACTGTACATCAGTGCAGAGTCTGTGGTACAGGAGTAGTGTGATCTCTTTTTTATTCTGAGTTAAACTCTGCCAGCATCTCTCCGTTCAAGCTGTGATTGATTTCCTGACTGTCTCTGAGAGACTGCAGAGAATAACTTTGCAGGAGTCAGAGTCTGCTTGATGTAAAAGTTTGCACAAACTTTGCTGTCAAGGAAAGAAGAAACTGTTCTGACCTTAAGTAATCTTTCATTTTCTGTGAGGGTAAAAGAAAGCCAGACTTCGGACAGTCTCTTTACGCCAGAGATGGAGCTTGAGGGTTTCTTTCGCTTTGTTAGTTGTTGGGCTGGGAAATCAATCAAAAATGAATCAAAAATAACAGACTTTCTCATTAACTAACAAAATAGCAAACACATTGGCTTAAAAAATTGTATTTAAAATTTTCTTACTTTGCTTTCAGTCCAGACTACAACAACTGTCTGTTACCATAGTCCCTGTGTCAGATCAGGAGGGTGCTGTTCTTGGAGTGGCTTCACCCAGTGAGGAGGCAGACGCTGTCCATTCTATATACAGTCTATGGTTGTGACTTTACTAACAAACATGACAGATGAAAGGAGAGTACCCGACCAATCATCACTACCAATGTGATAATGTTAAAGGGAAAAGGCACTGAGCTAGAGGACACCCAGGCAGACGTACGGCAGTTACTCAGTCGGTTGCCAAAGCATGTCTGCTTTATTTCTCTGCAACATTTCTCTTTTCTCTGTCTTTTCTGGCACATCACAAAGGCAGGGATGTTGTTGCCAGTTCTCTGTCTCATAATTATACACCACAAGCATTATTCTTCTTTGACTTGGCCACTTTGATTATGCTCATGAGTGTTTCTCATGTAGAGCACCCTGCTTTTATTCACTGGTGTCACTAACGTTCCTGAAAAAAAGACGACACACAACTCAAGATATGAAGATTTATATTGAAACCAAGGGGTGCCAATACCCTAGGACTGCAGCATCAGGTTATACAAAAACTTGATACCACTTGCATAGTCACGTGATCCTCTTCCAGCCTGGGACATGAAAAACAACATGTGGGAGAACTCGAACTCTAAGCCAACTGAGTAACTCAAGCAGATTGCACCAAAGAAAAAAGATGCCACATTTTGGCTTCAGTGAAGATGACAGAACAAAAAGAAGTCATGTATACGCAACAGAAGGTAACACCACCATCTGTGTCAACACTTGGAGCACAACTAGTTTGAGTTTGTACTGTGCATGGCTTCACAAAGCAGCTGTCAATAACACATGCTTTACATAAAGCTACTATTTCAGTCTACTTCTGCCTATAAATCAAATCCCCCACCTACTTTTCTCATGTATCCTGCTTGAATGGACAACACTTTGTGTTACATTCTGTGTATGAAAAGTGTTTTATAAATAAAGCTTGATTGGTTGATTGATTGATTGATTGATTTAGTCTACAGTTCTGACACCTGCGTAGAGATAAAAGGAGAGAGTCCAGGTGAGATGACATGAAACTTCATAAACTGCAGGCTACAAGTGAATGCCGTTTACTTATCTAGAAGTCATCATTGATCCCTGTTGATGTATTTCATCATGTTAAACTTGGGTCTGAAGCCATATGATAGTAATCTAAAAAATCACCTTCTCCTGCATGTGGTCTCCCATCACATCATAGACTCTACATGCACTGAGTGTAGATGCTTAAAGTACTCAGTGGTTAGTTTTAGCAGTCGACACATGAGCTCACAGTGTTGAAGGGTACTGGAACAAGCAAAGACAACACAGTCTTAAAATCAAGCTGCAAACTCTGATCTTGAGAAATAAAGCCAATGCGAAAGTGCTTAAAAAGTGTTGCTTCCTGAGTGTCTGCTTGAAGCACCAGAAAACACGCAATCACACTAAAAATGGACTTCTTTGGCTTAGTGTGATTTCTAAGCAAAAAACAGCCCATTTTAGAGCAAAAATTAACACGTTCAAAAAACAGTCTTTGTCCAAATGGTTTAGGGCTCTTATGGCACCCAGTGAACTGTAAGTGATTTTTTCAAAACACATTCATCACAAAAATATTGAGGTTATAAGATTGCCGAAGTATAAGGCACGGCTGACCTGACTGACAAGCGAGCACACCGTAGCTATTAAGAAGATGGCTAAAGGCCCTTACTTACTTATGTGGCAACCACTGTCAGTAGACTTTAAATGGGATTTGTCGCCTAGACTACGGCCCTGTATTATACAGTCTATGGTTTGGCCCAGGCGGCACATGTGCTTACAACTTTAATGAGCACTGGAACAAGCGGGAAAACACTGTCTCAAAATACATCCTGTTTAATCGAGTGTTCGCGTTGGTATGTGTGACGGCGGCAGCGATGGTCTTCTTTATTTTGATACAGCGAAAGAAAACTGCATTACTTCATAACCGCCGAGGCAGTATTAGACATATATGTGGTAGAACAGCATAATGTGTTTCAGGTCATATGACTGACACCTCACAGTGGATAAGGCTCTCCCCTAGCCACAGCAAAACCTTATCAAGCAAAAAATAAAAGAGGTGTACATTAATTGTTATTTTGGTAAAATGCTCACAACTAATTGTGATATTGATTTGAGACCATTTGGTGCAGCACTTTTTAGTTGTTGAAGATTTATTCAGTAAAATAGATTTAAATTAATGGAAAGACTGACTGCTTTTTAATGGATAATTTAATCAAAACACTGGTACCAAAATGAAGTATATAGGAAAAACGCTGTCACTGATAATCTCATTTCACTAAGTAGGTCATGAGAAGGCACGCGTTTCAGAGCGACATTTTACACAAAAAAGGATAAATCTCATAGTAGCTTTGATAATAACTAGAACAGTGTTTTTAAGATTCATTCAAAGGAAAAAAGGCTGAAAAGAAAAAACTCATGACATAAAGCAGATGACCCAACAAACATCACAGATTGCCGCAGTAGGTAGAGAATAAAGAAAGAGAAAAATAAAAGCAACATGAATAATTATTGTCTTTCACCCCCTGTGCTCTCCCTGCAGTCCCTCCTCCTCACAGGTGCACTCACCTGCTCCTGTCTGGTGCAGGACGAGGTAATATTACTTGTAGGCGGCAGTCTGAGCTCCAGCTGTGCTTTGATTACAGTCGCGCATTTTTCTGACAGTCACAGCAAAGACAACACGGCTGTACCCCCATCATCAGAAGTCAAACAGACCCTGATGCTCCTGCAGCTCCTCTGGGGAGCAGCATTGGCTCGTTCACCCTAAGGAGAAGGAGCAGGGGCTGCTGGGAGCCGAACAGAGAGCGTGTTAATGAGAGCTGGTTGTGATGGTTTGATCTGCAGACTGTTTGATGTGGTGACAGAATGAGAGAACAGACGAGTGTTAGATGTGATGATGAGTGGAGGGTTTAGAGGGAGCATGAAACGGTTCATCCTGCACACAAACACGTCAGGAGTATCATGCTGAAAATAAAAAGAGAGCAGGAAACATGGCACTCTTTTACCATGCAAGCTCGAGAGTGGAAATGAACATCGATTTTATAGATACCAAATAAAATTAGGAGTAAAGAACTTGTTATAGTAAATTTTAAAAAATGTCAGTATTTGTATCTCCTGGTGTGAAGCAATTTCCAGGATCAACAACTGATTTGTAATGTTGTATACACATAATTCCTTTAAAAGCAGAGTCATCTGCATAGCTATGAAACCTGATAAATTGCAATCCTTAGTGATTAGAAAAAATAAGCATCTTAACAGTTTTATTTAGCACCTTCATGTAAAAAATTCAGCCAAGTTTAAGATGTACAATTAAATAAAATGTGCAATAATTAAACAGTGATTATGACAGTAAAAACAATTAAAAATAAAGAAGTGCCAAAAATGGGAATTTAAAAAAAGACAACACATAAATCAGCAAAATCTGTTTGAAATAAAAACACACAATGATATCATCAGTAACAAACCAGGGGTAAACTCCAATCAAAATATGTACTCTGAAAAGTAGAGGACCTAAAATCGAGCCTTGTGGAACTGTTTTAAGAAGCTGTAATTGGATAGATCCATCTGAGGTGATAACCTTTTTCATTATCAGTACGATGTGTGTGCACAGTTCTTTGGTTAAATGTGTGATGTCCTTTTTTTCAATCCAGATTGAGCTGGACCTCCTGTGAAGAGTTTTTTGCTGTTCTTAAACAAACTAGGATTAACAGTGATGCCTCTTTGTGACAAAAGCAAACAAGTCCATCAGCAGTAGTACTGACAATCTAAACTGCATTTTTTGATGTTAGAAACCACTGTGAGGGGGTTAGTGGCAGACCGGGTGATTGACAGCCAACTGAGAAAAAAACATTTGAGATGTTTTCTTTTTCCAAAGCAAATATTCACAGTGAGTAATATATTTATCTGTTACAAGATCACTGGGTGAATTTTATTTATTTATTATTTTTGGTGTGATGAAACTACTGACACACTTACAGGACAGTATCAGCAAGATGAGGTATCAGTTTGTTAACAGAGGCTCCAAAACACAACTAAATGTTTCTAAAGGGACTTTTATGTGAAGCAGTTTTAGCTCGACAGTAAATCCTCAAAAGGATGTAGTTTATCAGCATGATTGTGAAAGAAAATGATGGAATAATGAAAGAATCTAGACACCTTCACATTTAAGCACCACTGACCTGCACACCTTGTATGCAGAGGCTACACATCTGTGTATCACTCCTTTTCCGCGTGTCACTCCTTGCTATCTTTCCCTGCTTCCTTCTCTGTCCCCTTGTCCTATTCTCTCCAAATAGAGTCAAAAAAAAAAAAAAAAAAAAACCCCGGAAAAAAGTCTCCAAATATTTCAATGTATACAAATTTTTAGGAGATTGCAGTTGGAGTTGCAGTTCCCCAAGTGTCCTCTTGGGGGTGTCTCCAAAAGTGAGTCATCTTCATAGAGCCTTATGTTAAAATTTCAGACTTCAAAGCAGAAAAAGACATGTTTACAGCCTGGTACAAAATCAGTTCTTATCACTGTAACTCATTACACTGTGGGGAAAATGTCTACCTAACTCACCTTTTTTAACTATATTAATAGCAGGAGTTACATACCATTATGCACGATAAAGGTCATGGCTGATTTGATTGACAAGTTGGTGTGTTGTGACGGTGTGCCAGGTAGTAAGGGATTTGGCCGTAGCCCCACGGCCCAGATGGACTTTTTTGACTGTTTTTAGATGATTGAGATGTTAGTTGGAGTCATTGGAGTTGGGCATGTTCAATCATTTTTACAAGAACAGTCATTCCTCATTAAGTTTTATATCACTGTTTTAGTTGTTTGTATAACCAGTACAGGTCTTTTTAATCAAGCCGTCGGTGTGTCTTCAATGAATCAAGCCTGAATAGTATTAAAGTGAAGGTCTCATTATATAAAAGTTGAGAATTAAATGGAAAATAAAGGGGACAGTTTTTCTGTCGCTCCTCTTCTTCTCACATAAACAGACTGAATAATCTGTGTTTGGTTTAATTGTTTTCACACACCAAACTCTAGTTCTGTGCAAACACACACGCATACACACACACACACTCACACTCAGACAGCAGCCCAGATGGACTTCCTGTCTGATTCAACAGTGTCTCAGCCCTGTTAATGAGAGAGGGTGAAATTCTGCAGCACCATCAGAGCTGTGAAGTCTGTCCATCATTCAGAGAGCTGGAGAGGAGAAGAGAGGAAGGCATGTGTGAGGAGATCAGCTGAGGAGGAAGAGGAAAGGGGAGGGAGGGTGAGACAAATCTGCTGAGATGGAAACATCACAGGATCATCAATGCAGCAGGATCATTAATCAGCATTTCATAACCCGCTCTGTAAACAGAAGTTAGTCAACTTAATCTGACTGTTCACACTCTTTGTAGTTGGCCAGCCGTCTTTACCCGCTCCACTCTTGCTACATATTTTGTCACAATAGAGGTTGTTGTCTTTGACTTTTCCATTTTCACACCTTCTGTTCAGACTATTTGACTTGTCGTATTCAAGATAAGAAAAAAAAAACAACTCACAGATTCCAGGTTGTTGCTGTGAGGTGAAAATGAGAACAAGATCTACTTATAGGAAGAAGTCAGAGATGTTATAAATAATTGTTGTTGTAAGGGTTAACAAAAAGAGCAAGGGTGATTGATTTTTAAGAAACAAAGTTGAAAGATCCCCAAAAGACTCCAGCATCATGAATGTGGTCAGTTTTGGAGACTGAATTGGCTGAGGTAACATCTAGCACATCTTACCTGCCATTTAAGGAGGCTGGACCCTTAAAAAGATTTAATTTATGCCGGCATGTAAATTAAAGAGGTTAATTAAATGATAAGTCAGCCCCTAACAGAAACAAAAAAACAACAACAAAAAAACTGTTTTTGTACCAGGCTGTAAACCTGTTTGTTTCTAAACATTTTATAATGGGGTTTATTGAGGGTTACCTCGCTTTTGAAACCAGCCTCTAGTGGACAGCTACAGAACTGCAGTTTCTTACCATCTACTTCTAGCATTGACAACCAAAGTGACCTAATGTTATGACTTTTTTTGGCAAGAATTTACCTTTTTAGTTAAGTTTTACGGTAGCTTTAGAAATTTTTTAATATCTTTGCTTAACTTGATTTTAAGCCAAAGGTAATAAATAAGGATAAAGTGTAAAAGCCGATACCTGTCTTACTTCACTTTTTGTGTTTTTTTTTTTTTTGGTACAGGACAGTTTATATTTGTTTAAACACTAAAAAATAACATTCACTTAATTTTTTGCTGTTGGTTGTAGAGCAACACATTGCTGACCAAACTTTATTAATAAACAGTTGTATGATATGTGGCCACCAGCAAAAAGGACATTTTTTTTTAACATGGTATCCGTTTTTAATTTTCTGTTATTATCAATCCCACTGAATCGCAGCAGTCCTGGTTTAAACTAAAGTAAATGTAATCCAAACCTCGTTCTTTGTTTGTGCTCTGTCTGTTGAGGCTGACTGCTGGGAAAACAGAGAGAGAAATACGTTTCACACCTTTTCTTCATGTTTTCCCTCCTCCGTGGAGCTTTTTGCTTTGAAAAATGTTTTTCGCATAAACAGAAAGTGATGTTATGATTCAGAGTCTTTTTTTTTTAACAGCTCATTGGTCTGATGATAACACCAAACAGAACAGGAGGGGTCTGCAGTAGGACAGGGTGTGGGGGTCTCTGTGGGATATATTATGGAAGGATACAAGGTACATTCTGAACATTTTATTTCCTTCCTCCAGGCCAGGAACCTCCACCTAAGACCGACCCCTCTCCTCAGCCCCATCCTGTTACTCCAAGTCCCCTTCAGTCCACCTTGCCTCTCCTCCAACCTCCTCAACAATGACGTCCTCTCCTCACGGCTCTCGAGTGTCCATGGACATCCTGGAGGAGCTGCAGCTAATCGCGGCTCAGAACCTGGAAAAACTGGACCTGAACAAATACTACGAGGTGGTCTGTGAGCTGGGCAAGGGCACCTATGGGAAAGTGGACCTGGTGGTACACAAGATTCGAGGTAAACCCTGTCAGATGGTACTTGTACTTGAGTAAGAAAACTCATACTAGTCTGTGCTCAGGTGAAATTTTCTCATTTCTCTGTGTATTTTCTAAATAAAGGCTTCCTCTCTCTGCAGTGATTTAGCACACATACAGACAGCTTAAATGCAGCACTTAACTAATGCAAAATCTGCTCGACCTTTTCACTTTAAAAGCCCAAATGTCGACCATCTGCTGCAGTTTTTTTTTTTTTATGGGGCACAGAGCTGCAGCTGCACCAACGTTCAGAGATTAAATCTGACCTTTTTCAGGCCGTGAAATGTGCAGCTGAAGGATGTGGATAGACCAAATTGTTTCTGTGGTTTTATTATGTGTGAAAATCATCTTTACACAGTGAAGCTTTAATCGTGGGCAGTTGCTTTGTCTAAACTTAATAAATGCTTGAAAAATAAATTGGCCAAAGGTCAGTTAATATCTGACTTTGTGCAAATGGAGTTTTGAGAAGACGACAGTTTAGACGTTGGATTGATTCACAGTAGCTGTGCGTGTGACACAAATATGAGACTCTTACTGACAGTAATGCCTTTATAGTGAGAATTTGACCGATAAATTAGATCCAATCCTCTTTTCTCGGTTATTTAAATTGATTTTTTGTTTTTTTACATTAAACCAACAAAGCATTTACCTTTATATTATACAAAATGTGTGGCAGGTATGAGAAGAAGCTGTGAACAGAGGTGAGACAACAGAGCTACAGAAGATATTCAGATCTTTCCATGTACTACCCACTGTGATCCTCTTTAGTTTTAAAACTAGAGTGAAGCAGCCGTACACACCCACTGAGCATTTTTTTTGGTCTAAAAGAGGTCTAATAGACGTCTAAATGTAGCCGAGACCAGTGGTTCTCAAGTCCACACCTGATTCAAATGATCAGCTCGTTATCAAGCTCTGTAATGGTTTAATAACGAGCTGATCATTTGAATCGGGTGTGTTGGAGCAGGGAAACATCCAAAACATGCAGAGGACTGGACTTGAGAACCACTGGCCGAGACGACTGGTCTAAAATCAGGCTACCACAGATCTAAAAATGAAAGTCTTTAAGGCCCGAACTACACGAATGCGGATATATTTCAAACCGCACATATTTATGTCCGATTAGGCCTCCCTACCACACCAAAACAGGAGTTTGGAGCACTCAAACCGGATAAATCTGAATCCGGAAAAACAAGTGGAGAAATAAAAAAATATCCGTATCCCGTATCCACAGTGGATTCGTGTGGTTGGACTTTTACGGATCGATGACGTCAAACCGCAGCTCGCGCATGCGAATTAAAAAGAAAAACAACAACGATGACGGACAGACAGGGTATTCTTTACGTTTGTTTTGCCCTTTTGGGGCTAATTTCAGCCTTGCAAGTGAACCTTGTTTTATACAATTACATTCACCAGTCAGCCAGCTCACAGACGCGTCTGCTGCGGCCAATACTTTTATTGGTCTTTTAGTGTAGCTTCCGCAAACAATGCATGACGCATCACGCTGTTACGATTCATCGGCCAATCGGTTAGCTTTGTTCCTGAATTTTTTTTAAGCGGCACCAGATAGGATTGAGTTTTAAGGCTACGTGTGGACGCAGATATTTTTGAGAACTAACACGTGTGGACAGATACATTTATTTAGACGGGAGTACAAAAATATCCTGATAAATAAATATCCATATACGTGTAGTTCGGGCCTAAGATGTCTAAATTGAGACCAAGTCTAAATCTGGGCTATATCTATACTACACTGTATATTGCTCAACGGCTATCATAATTATTTTGTTTAAGTACTTGGAGGTCAGTTATGCAACTCACAGTTACTTTTTGAAATAAACAGTTATCAAATAATGGGTTAAAGTGCAACATCTAACTTCTAATTCTAAAAATATACAGAATCTAGGTGGTTGAAATTAGGTCTAAAAAAAAACTAGACCTCTAATAGCCATCTGTTGCTCAGTGGACATGATGCAACTCTTCACATTTCCTCTGGCTGCAAATTGTTCATGTGAAGTTGTTTGACTCTTGTTAAAGAAAACGTACTTGTGTTTTGGTCCATGAGGCAGACTTTCCAAGTTTAAAACACCTGTGAGAAATTCTCACTTTGTATTGAGTCTGGCACCCCCTGTGGACAGAGTGGTATCTATTGTGTTGGTATTGATCATTTGATCATTTTAATGGATTTTGATACACTTGATACCATATCAACACAACATGGGGCACATTCCTCACACCTGCAGGGGCTCCAGTAGAGGGCGCTCATGTTAGTCACAAAACACCACTACCAGTACAAACCCAGTCAGTTTTGATGCCAACAATATTAATTCAATTAAAATAAAAAGATGAAAAATAATGGCAGCAGGGATAATTCATACTGTCGCATTTTCACAAAAGGGCTGAGTTGACAGTTTTTAGGGCAAGAGCATTATTTTGTTTGTACACAGTCATTACTTAATAAACATTATCATCCTCTTGGTGGGATTTTGGGGTCTAAAGCAGCTAATAATTCTGCAGACTGATAATGTTGTTGAGCTCATCCTGACTCTGGTAAACTCTTCCTCCTCCTGATGTTTCATCAGATGAAGAACAAAAAGTCAGCTCTCTGTTAACCTTCTCCACAGAGCAAAAACACACAGAGCACTTTTCAGAGCTGATCTGGTGCTATTGGAGAGGACTCTCCTCTTTGCTGACACGGTAACAGTCAGACAGACGGAGGACACTGTGGCAGATCTCCAGGTTATAGTCTGGATTATTTTAGATTAACCCTTTCACATCTCACTTTCTCTAATGCTGCAGGATGAGTCTGCTGAGCTCAAAAGCTACCTCTACAGATAGAGAGCCACATTTCTATAAGTCCTTTTACAGTTTAATATCAGGAGAAAATATTTACAGAAAATAAGAGGCTCTTTTTCTTCCTCCTCTTTATTTTCTGTCATCTTATTTAATCTCTCTATATGGACTACTAGCTTCACTTTGACCCCCCAAAAAAAACCCTGAAACAGAAACAGCTGAGCGGTAACCTGGTCTTTTTGTGAGCAGATCCAGTCTGTGAGAGATTACGCAAGTTTGAAACATCCACTCCATTAATTCAGGGACATTTAATTATTCAATCAAAATTTTCAGATGCTTTTAATTGAGTTTTCTGAATGCAATTATGTGAACGTTTAATGAATCCCTGAATGTTTTGATTTACTGAAGAAAGGAAGAAAAAGAGGAGAGAAATGAAATGATGAATCCAGGGTTATGTAACCTCCGTTTTTGTTCTTTGTTTAATTTTCAGGCACTAAAATGGCGCTGAAGTTTCTGAGGAAGAAGACCACAAAGCTGAAGAGTTTTCTGAGAGAGTACAGCGTGTCGCTCTACCTGTCGCCCTGCCCCTTTATCATCAACATGTTCGGCATCGCCTTCGAAACCGACGACTACTATATCTTCGCTCAGGAGTACGCCCTCGCCGGGGACCTGTTTGACATCATCCCGCCACAGGTGACTTAACTATGTTCAGAAGTAGAGATGAGGATCATTGAGTTTTGTTGATATGGATACCATTCCTGAAACTGATAACTCAATCCGGCAGGGGAAGGTCCCGCCCTCCTTCGCCTCTGATTGGCTAGAAGTGCTGAAGTGCTGTGAAACGTCATTGTCGGTCGGGTTAGGGTCAGGATTAGGATTAGGGTTAGGATTAGGGTTAAGGTTTGGATTAGGATTAGGGTTAGGGTTAGGGTAAGGAGATTCAGAAGTGTGATAATGTTCTGTAATGTTCTGTTCAATGTATAGAGCCAACAGCCCGCTTTTGGCTTGAGCGTGCGATAACGTTTCCAGCTTTTCTAGCCAATCAGAGGCGAAGGAGGCGGGACTTTCCCCTACCATCCTACAAAAAAAAAAAACACGTCCGGCAGCACACTGTTTGTTAAACTGAAAGAGTTGTGCTAAAGTTTGATGTCCTTGTTCTCCTTCTCTGTGTTCAGGTGGGACTCCCAGAGACTGTGGCGAAGCGTTGTGTCCACCAAGTGGCGATCGCCCTGGACTACCTCCATAGTAAGAAGCTGGTCCACCGAGACATCAAACCCGAGAACGTCCTCATTTTTGACAAAGAATGCAGGAAAGTGAAGCTGTCTGACTTCGGGATGACACGGCGTGCTGGGTCCCCGGTGAAGCGCGTCAGCGGTACGATCCCGTACACGGCGCCTGAATTATGCGACATGTCACGACACGAGGGATTCTTCGTGGACTTCAGCACAGATGTGTGGGCTTTTGGCGTGCTGCTGTTCTGCATGCTGACAGGAAACTTCCCCTGGGAGAAGGCCATGCCTGGCGATGCCTTTTTCGAGGAGTTTGTTCGCTGGCAACGTCGCCGGACTCCCACGGTGCCATCGCAGTGGCGTCGTTTCACTGATGACGCTCTTCGAATGTTCCGGCGGCTCCTCTCCGTGGAGGAGGAGCGCCGCTGCTCGGTTAAAGACGTCTTCAGCTTTTTGAACCACTGCTGGATGGTGGACGTGGAGAACGGGAACAGTGGTGGTGGCATTTTAGCAACAAGTGCCCCTCCTCTGGATATCAGCTCGTCTTCGTCTGAGGAGGATGTACTGGTGGACAGACTGAAGCACCAGAGTCTTTCTTCTGCATGTGTGACATCAAAGACCAGTATCATGATGGACACCCACTACTCTTCCATGTCCACCAACAGCTCGCCATCTTCATCTGGCAGCTACGAGCGTGTCAACAGAGAAAACAACGAACGAGGGCGCATCCTGGTGACCACGCCCATCGAGATCTGTGTGTAGAGAAGCTGAGTAGACCTGAGGAACCTCTATATCTTAGCAAGCTTAACAGGAAGTCTGCTCCACACGAGAGACTGAAGAAGACTCCTCCAATTTAAGGGGAGATGCAGAGGAGCAGAGTGTAGCGTCTGGTGTTCGGGGCCTGCCGTCCGACGTCACAGCTCCACCTTGGATCAACTCGTCTCTGATGAAGATACGGTCTGAGGAGACGAGCAGAGAGACGATCAGGAGGTGGTCTGTCTAGATTTAGAAACTGCAGCACTTCAATTATTCTCAAGTTACATTTTTGGTATTTAAGTTGGACTTCAGCTCCAGAAAACCTGAACTCTGAGGAAAAATCTGAAAACATTAAAAGCAAAAACCTTCATAATCAGAAGCAATATGTAGAAATGTTTAATCCAGTTTCTGTAAAAAGAAAAAAAAAACTGGGAAGAAGAAACTTGTTTTCGTGGAAGTGGATTTCAGTGACTGATGGTTCTGTTTGTTACATGTCGTGAAACATTTTCATGTTTGTACATTAGTGTCTGTAAAGTGTTTTTTTTTACACTTTATTAAAACTGATCTTAAATTATTTAATTATCAAATATGAATATTCATGATCTTTGTCTGTAAAGTTGAAATTTATTATTTTTTGTCATGATTTCAGTTTCTGTACAAATAGGTGACTTTTCATTGACTTATATTTTGTTGTTGTAAATCTTCATAACAGATGTTGTTAGCTATTTTATTTCTCTTAAATGTGTTTTCCATGTTGCTCAATGATGCTTGAAGAGGCTGTAAAGTAGCAAACAAGCTGGTGAACCCTCCTCATGTTCAGCAGTGTTTCATGGGAGACTATGAGGGAAACTGAAGCATAAACTAAGAATGACTGTAAGACATTGACTTTGAGACTTTATGATGTGACGAAAAGAAAAGATACAATATTGTAATGGATAACACTTAATTCAATTTGCATGGTTGATGGCTTAAAATGAAGTGTACCCTATATTTAACTGTTCAGATGAATAACAGGGATACATTAAGACTTTCTCCCAAAAAACATGAAATATATGCTCAACACAACGCTCATTTTAATATATTTTAAGTGTCCTGGTTGATATAACCTGCTCTCCCAATTTTCCATTTATTGTCCTTTTATTTAAAAAAAATGAATAGACATTAAAGTGAAACCCTGAATTGTGAGACTTGATGAAGGAATGTAAAAAATTCCAAAAAGTTTTTATGATTTGTGGGAAAAAAGTTCAAAGTGAGTGGCTCTGTTTTGTGTTTTTCTGAAGCATGCCTGAAATAAAGTCTCTGTTGTGAAAATTTGCTAATAAAGAAGTCAAGAGGATTATAAATGTCTCTGTTTTCCTTTTTAAAATAAAGATGTGGTTATTTTAGGTTTAATGTATCAACTTAGGAACTGTAGCTGTTCTGATGAGTAGCTTAATGTTAAGGGCAGTTCATGACTGATAGTTCATAGGAAGGTAAAGTTATAGATGTTTTAAACTGCATGTGCTATGTAGATTAATTTAGTATATGACACTCTGCTGTGTCTTACCAATGTTAGACTGTTGGTATCACGATCTCCTCTGTTTATTATTATTCACATCACTGCAAAGATCTACTTAGACAAATTTTAAATGTTTAAGAAAGGACTGAAAATGTTTTTGTTTTTTTTTCATGTGAGAGGTGCAGTCTTGATTTCAAGCATCAGATCAGACAGATAGGTACGACGGAGTATTGGGGCCACATTAAGAAAAGAAAAATGTAGACTTCGAGATTAAAGTCGTTAATGTATGAGAATAAAGTCATTACTAATGAGAAAAATTGTAATAAAGTAATTACTTATTCTCATAAGTAATGATTCAATTACAACTTTATTCTCATGGGTAATTACTTTATTATGACTTTATTCTTGCAAGTTAACAACTTTAATCTCAAAGTCTTAATTTTTTTTTTTTTTTTTCGTAATGTGGCCCTAATACTCCGTTGTACATAGGCACATATTCTTACTGTTCAATACTGAACACACATCCCTTGTGTTACATTTGCAAGTGAGAGCTGCTTGCATGTGGCAGCACCTTTCGGTGTTATTCTCCTGACAGACTTGAAAGATGCAGACAATGATGTTAGCATCACAGTTTTAAATCACAAAACTCTGAAGAAAAGCACACAGTGAGGAAATCCTCTTAAAAATTAGAATGTCCCAGAGACACTCAAGAGACCACAACAGATTACATACTATAGCTCCTCCACATAGCCAGTAGTATTTGTTTCATCAAAGAGGATGTCTGAAGTGCTTTTATTTTCATACAGTTCCCTAAAGATAAAAAATAAATAAATTACAAATGGACTCTGAGTGTCCTGTTTTTGACTCAATTGCAGATTTAAAGCATGAAGATCACCCTTTACTTACATTTAGTATTCTGTTTTAATGTATTCTTACAAACAGTGAAACCAGCTGAGATCTGCGTGCCAAATGTTGGTCACATGATTCTGCTCCAATAAACTCAAACTGACCCTGAAGCTGAGAAACCTCAGAGCGCAGAGTCTGCAGGCTGAGTGATAAAAATATCATAAAGCACAAGCAGAAGGACAAACTGTTTACTAGGGCTACTGTTTCTACAGGAAAAAAAACACATTTTTGAGGCTGTAAGTTCTCATTTATTCAAAACAGGAATTAAAAATATCCTCTCTTAGATTGGAAATTAGAGGGTCAATCAGTCTTTATCAATTCTTCCCCATAAAATTAGTCCATAAAAATGTGAACAAAAAGATAAAAAGTTAATGTTCTTATCTTTTTCTTTTTTTTTTCTTTTATTGTGTTAGTCTCAGCAGAGCAGCTAAAGCTAATCCCCCACCGTGTTAACACAGACCCTGTCTTTGATGCTGACATTAGCTGGAAGCCCTGCTGCATGCAGCTTACTGACAGTATAATGAAATGGACATAATGAGTCCTCCCTGACAGTGAAGACAGAAGATCAAGAGCTCCCCCTACTGACTGGCTGCAGTAAAAGTCAGAATTTCAGGCCTCCTCCATTTTCAAATTAAAACACACTACACTACAGTAATTTGTCTATAATGCATTACCTACAATACTCATCACTGTACTGATCAATCATTATGTCACCATAATTTTATTCCACACTGTAGTACACACACACGTACCTGCTGTGTGGGCTGCTGTTGCCATGGTAACAGCATCATTAGCTCTCAGTCCACGATCAGCATGTGAGAGCAGAGAGGTGAGAAACAGCTTCATCACGCTGTCATGGGTCAACATGGCCGACTGTTAATGATGATGAAAATATTGTGTAACCATGGCGACTGATTCAGAGAGACTGTAAGTCCAAATCAGGCTCCCCTTGAAAGTACTGACTTTAAAGGGATAGTTCAGAGTTTTCAGTTGGGGCTCTATGAGTGTATTTACCCAGTTTGGTCTCTTTGTAAAGAAAGCTGTCAGACCAGAACTGGGCTGAGACAAGCTTGGCTTTAACTGCTGCAAGCTCAGAAACTTGCTGCTCAAAAAAAACATTATCAGAAAAATTTGTAACCTAATTCATCCAGGTGAAAAATGAGGACAGCAAGAAAAAAACACAGAGTACATTTTATTTTTTTCTGTTTTAATAGAAAACATTTATCAACTCCGTATTCCCTCATCAAATCAGAATCTGATTATTTAAACATTTAAATAAAAGATGAACAGCTCCCTCTTTAAATGTCTGTTCAGTCAGATTAAAAACAAAATTAGAGTTTTAATGGTAGATCCACACAGAACATGAGAAAACATAAATATATTAAACATACTGTATATGTATGTTATTAAAGGGTAATTCCACATAAATACCAAAAACAGACTTTACACCCTCTCTCTGTCTTCTTAAAGTCCCACCCTGATGAAAATCATGTTTTTTCTTGTTGTCTACATGTTCATATGGCATTTCTCTGATGCTAGAGGACATATCATGAGAAAACTAAAAGAAAATTTGCATTTCTGAGTATTTCTTCATTCAAATCACTGTGAACTTCTTACAGACCCAAACGGGAGGTTCAGACACAGTGGGTTTTTCTGCGACACAAATCCAATCTCTGAGAAGTAGAGAAGATGATGGCAGAACAAATGTGTGCGGTAGCAGATTGCAATACTCATAAGAAGGCTAATTATGATTTTAGCTTACATCTTCCCCCCAAAGACATTAGTGTCTCAGCGCTGAGTAGCTCCTACATGACCTGCCAGATCTACTACAATGTTAGGCTACTTGCTAGTGTGAAGAGAAGTGTGCACACGACTCAGAGACGAATTGCTAAAGAGCTATTGAAAAGCACTTAAAAATGACACAGGTAATGTGATTTGGGCTAAAAACTCACAATTTAAAGACCACTGAGAACACTGAATCGTAACAAGAAAAACAATCGGAGTGGGACTTCAATGACACATTCCAGTTCTTCGCATCAGATTACTATAATTGTAGTCACACACCTGAAGGGGTTATTTTATGGTTTAGTTGGATTGACCCTTTAAATTTACACGAACAAACATTTTCCAGCTGATTAGGACAGGTTTGCATATTTTATTTGTCAGACAGGTTAATGTGTTTGTGGATGTTTTTTACTTTATGTGACAATAAAATAATCTTAGCTGTCATAAATAAATAAATGTTAAGAGTGGATATTCACTATAAGAAGATGGTCTCTTTCATAGATCTAAAATGTGGTTCTAACAGGAATTAAACACAATTATATATTTATATTTCATTTGCTTAATGTAGCTTAACAATAAATTTAAATACATTTAGTAAAAAAGGTCAGAAAAAGTCTATAAATGGACATAAATAGGCATCAAATTATATCATAAAGTGCAAACAAGCAGCTTGCTGAAAATAAATGTGTGTATTGTGTGGGTGTGTATGTGATGACTGCAGTTCTAACAGTGATAGAAAAGTACAAAAACTGTAGAAATAAAATCATTAGCTTATATAAGACATTTTTTTAAAAACAACAAAAACTTAAATTCTAATATTATTATGATCAATATAATAACGACAACGACGATAAGGGAAATAACACACACACACACACCCATACATACATACACACAAATGCACTAGTCAGTGTAACAAACAGCAGAGGTGAAGTCAGGCAGAACTAGTCGAACCCTGAGCAGATCTGTCGATCATTCTGGGGAGGAAAAAATATTTATTTAAAGAAGAGGAAGTAAACAGGGATTCAGAACATACATTTGATTTATTACAGTCTGGTGTTAAGTTTTTTTTCTAGTTCAACTAACTTTTACCTTTACTAAAAGTTATATTTATACTTTATTTCAATTTCTGATGGTTCATTTCTTTCATTAAAATGACATATTAAAGCTGATAAGCTCCAATCAACGGTTATCCACACCTTTATTTATCAGCATCTCAAGTCATTTCTACTACTTATCTGTTATTTTCATATTTCTGTTGATGGTTGATTTATTGAAGGTTACAGTGTATATGTAAAGTAATGGACAAAGGTACAGGCACCCCTGAAAATTTTCCAGGAATTTTTTTCCCAGAAATTGTTGCAATTACAAATGTTTTTGTTAAACACACATGTATTTCCTCTACGTACATTGGAATAACACAAAAATTGACTTAAGAAAAAAAGCAAAAATTGGCATGGTTTCACACAAAACTCAAAAAACTGGCCAAAATATTTTCTGGAAAAATTTCAGAGGTGCCAATACTTTAGTCCATTAATGTAGTCATTGATGCAGTTATGTGCAAGCCCCACACATGAAGCAGAGGGGTCTTGTTCAACCTGAGGGGCTTTTGTTCCATATAACCACTGTCTAACCTTACAGTACTCCAATGATTATCAGGATAAAATACAAATATATGATACAATATACAACCAAAAAAAGCATACCTTGTTCCCGTGTCCAATCTGTGTCATCTCCTGTGTCGTTTGTCCGCTCGGGTGAACGATTTATTCTGTTAAAAATAAACACAGAGAAAGCAATTTAAATAAAATCTAGATGACTGTTTTGATTTGCAGAAAGGAAAATGTATACGGTTATCAGTAGACCCTAATAAAAGTATAATATTCTTGAAGTAAGTAGAATTTTTTTAAACAGCAAAAAAGGAATAACATGTGATTAATACAACATTGTTTGACTGTTATAATAACTTGATTATTACATTGACTTAATATTATTTTTCCATTGAACACATTTTATTTTAAAATTTTTTTTAATTATTTAGTCATAAGCTATATTATCATTTATCCTATTGTATCATCTTTTATCATATATTATCATGTTTTATTGAAGTAACATAAAACTTTCAGAAAATAAAAACTTTTCTACTGCTTTTTTCAGGGAGAGGATTGTCATTCCTGTTATTTGTCTGTGTTTCCTCACACAAATTGCAGTGTCGCAGAATGATGTATCAGAGGGTACAGCAGCGCCCCCTGCTGGCTGCTGAGTGCCTCACAGTTCACATTAGTTCATACCTTATGCTCTGGACAGAGGATGGAGAAGTTTTCTTCGTTTAACACACAACCTGAATGCACACAGACACAGAGAAATAAAAGTTTTAAAATCTGTTGAGGAGGAGCAGTTTGTTTGAAAACTAAGTCAAGATTATCTTGGATTAAGATTAAAACTGTAGGGTCATCTCTTAAATAACATCTATAGACAGAATAAAACACTAGACTATGTAATAACAGGCTCATAATTAACTGAGTTTGAAAGCTGTACCTGACTGGATGGCACATCTGTAGTGATAGTTTGATGGACAGCTCTTCTGAAAACATCCCATAATTGCGCCTGCCTGTCTGCAGGCTGAACACACCTGAACACAGAAATAAACATGGAGTCAGGGGCCGGTGTTTTCCTCAGAATGACCCTGTACCCGTGGTGGGGAAGGTGCCATGAAGGGGTCTGTTAGAACCCACACCATAACACCGATCTGGACACCCTGTCAAGAGATGAATGTTGCCGACTGCTTGCTCCTCTAGTTATACCAACTTTAGTAATGACCAAAAAGCCATTCTATAGCCACAAATAATGCTCAGAACAGCACCTAACTTCATCAACAGTACATATAGGGTCCCAGCCATAGCACTAGCCACGTTCTTTTTAGCTTTGCCTGATTTCTTTAGCAAAGAGACTAAATACAACTCACCCACTCTCTCCAGCAGCCGCTTGTTTGTAGCGAGACCTCAGGTCAATCCATTACGGACTGCTGCGGGGTTACGCAACTCAAGGAAGAACATTTATGATCATTTCTTCATGGAAATTCAAGCAAACCGAGACACTTAGGCAGAAGAACTACCGTGTCTGCAGTGCAAAATGATTAATATGGTGATTATTACTTCAAGGAAATGTTAAAGTCAAAATCATAAACATTCTTCCTCGAGCTGCGTCACCCCTCTGCAGTCGATGGACTCGCCCAAAGGTCTCCATAGAAACAAGTGGCTGCTGGAGGAGAGTGGGTGAGTTGTGTTTAACCTCTTTGCTAAAGAAATTAGTCAAAGTTAAAAAGATGTTTGGTAGCTAGTGTTGTGGCTGGGACCCTATATGAACTGTTGATGAAGTTAGGTGCTGTTCTGAGTACTATTGGTGGCTATACAGTGGCGTTTTGGTTGAGCGTGTGGCTCTGTGCATTGCTATCGTGCGGTTGTTACTAAGGTTGGTATAACTAGAGAAGCAAGCGGTCGTCAACATTCATCTCTTGACGGGGTGTTACAGTGTTTTTGACCCTAACTTAACTTTACGCCGGAATATCCCTTTAAAAGCAGCACTTTTTTATGAAGGAAGAACTGTTTTGAACTGTGGTATGAGAAGGCTCCTATGTAACATATTTGTTACACTTCAGCTAATAATTGAACAGGTGGGACATGCTAAAAGGCCTCACTCTCATAACTTGCAGTGCATGTGTCAAACTAAAATAGACAAGAGGCAGAGAGCAACAAGATCAAATAAATCACTGATTCCAATTTGATCTTTTCTATGTAACTCACAGTTCTCTGAGCGAGCTCAGCTGCCTCCCACAGACCATACAGCTTCCCCTTAACCAGGTAGATCCCAGCAGACCAGATCCCGCAGTCCTCATGAATCCAGCACTCGTCCAGGTGAGGAAACACCTGAGAGGATCGGACAGCAGAACAGGAAAGACCATCAGAGGACTTTACTGAACCACTGTCAGTCGGTTCATGTAGATCCTGCATTTGCGCAGTCCTCAAGTCCTGGTCCTGGTCTTGATAGTCCACAGATGGGGCAGCAGAGAGATACGGCCCATGGAGGTCTCCGAGGCTTATGGCATTGGCAGTCTCTCCACACAGGCAGCACCTGAGTGTGGTCTGAGCCTGGCTCTCCAATCCAGACCGACCAAGCTGGAAACACGACGAGTTTGGGATGAACCCAGGCGAAGACCTGGTTCCGGTCTGTCCCTGTCCTTCCCTACTGCTCCTTATGGTGTCCACTTCCTCCTGGTAGTTGATGACAGAGCACCTACCCAGTTCTACTCGGACGAAGGGATAGAAAGACCCAGACTTCTTCTCCTTCTTCTTCTCCTCTTTGACACTGATACACCTGAGTTTGATTTCAGGCTCAGCGGGAGGAAACCGGGTCGATGCTGTCGTCTTCTTCGAGCGACATTTCCGCCTCCGTCTCCTCAGAGGTGGCTTTTTATTTGCTGCTTGGCTGTTTGGGGGTTCGGGTTTAATTTTGCTTTTCTGTTTCTGCTTCTTTCTTCTTAACTCTTGAGTGGTGACTGCAGTTTGTGGTTTCTTTCGTTTACGACTGACACTGTTAGTCACTCTCTGAGGAGAAGGCGGGGTCTCTCTCTGTACTGATGTCCTCTTTGTTTTCGTGTCTGTCTCGGACTCGCCAGAGTTCAAGCTCTGTGTCTGCGACTCGTTCTGCTGTGAAAGTGACTCGTCTGCTTCAGAGCTGGACAATCTCTCAGCGAATCCCATCAGGTCATACGAGTCTCCACTTTCGTTGTAGATTCCAACGGCGTCGTTCTTAGCTCGTCTCCTTAGGACACTCCTCCCGGTGCTGCCTGGAGATGCAGACAGGTCAGAGATGGACTTCCTAGTCCTGGAGCTGCGTCTCACCTTTCTGTGTGAAGTGTCCCCAGTCTCTTTCTCCTTACAAACAGACTTCTTCTTCTTCTTTTCATTGGTGATTGAAACCTCGATCACGTCGCTGTCCTCACTGGAGATGTCCCCTGTAGACTCTGGTGGGTTCCTGAACACAGTACTGAGATCTGACAGGAGGACGACAGGCCGTGCGTGATGGACGGGGATATCCACCGAGCTGTCCGAGGACTCATCAGAGTATGAGCTGTCAGGACTCGGGGAGCTGAGAGGCTGGGGGAGGTGGCAGCAGCCTCGCCCCTCATCCAGTGAGGACACGGCAGGGGACAGTGGCTCCACAATGTGTCTTACGCCGTCCTGAATAAAAGGACTACAGAGCAGAGGCTCTTTGGACGAAGACACCAGGAAGATCACATCTGAGCCACTGTCGCTCTCCTCACCCCCGCTGCTCTCAGGACCTGGACCCCCAGTCTGGTCTGGTCTGTAGAAACCTGGATGCCACAGGCCACTGTGGACTCCGTCTCTGTACAGATCAAGTCTAGGGGGAAGCGATGAGTTCATGTAGTCCCCCAGAGACTCAGGGCTCTGATCCATATCCCCACAGAGGACAGGTGGACTCGGATCCAGGGAGCTGTAAGAGGACGAGGGTCTTGATCTGTAAGAGGGGCCGATCTCAGAGGAGGGGCGGCGGTGGTACCACTCAGGTTTCTTGGCTTCAGCTTGTCTGGGAGTGAGGCTGGGGACAGAGAAACCCTTAGATAGGTCCATGACCAGGAGAGATGAGTCCTGAGGGGACACGTCCATCACTGCAGGACACACAACAGATGACATTACTGACAGCTGTTCATCATTCCTGTTTAATTACTGCAAATAAGAGACAATTACACACAAACAAGCCTGACACAATGAAAATTCAACTTTTACATGAATTCACAAGTGAAGTCTAAACTACCATGTTCTTAAATGAAGTCTAAAGCTGAAGTTCAAAAATACTTTCATCTTGATACTGTGGAATAACATCATTTTTTCTCAGGTCAGTCAACTGACTATATGAAGAATGGTGATATCAGTTTTTAAGCAGCCAATGGCCTAAACATAAAACAGATGTCAGGATTTTTTTTTTTAATTTGTAAAAAATAATAATTAATTCATTATAACAGTAATTTTTGCATGAACATTAAAATTTTATACACATCAGGGGTTGAATGATACTGGTTTTAAAGGGTTGATAGTGATACCAATAATCTGTGGTCAATGAGACCAATAATCAATCATCCAAACAGATAAGTAGTGACTAAAAAAAAGGAACAACTTTCTGTCCACAGGGCTTGACACTAACTTTTTTCACAAGGAGCACATGTGCTCCTAAGTTGAAAAAGTAAGGAGCACACAAGGAACTTTAGGGGCGCAATGAAAATTTATCAAATAATGTTTGTCTTATTGGTTGACATAAGAACTATTATTTGAAATAATTTTTATCTCTTTTGGTCACATGACATGGGAGCTATTGAAAAAAAAAGCTCAAAATTTGCCTTTAAATCTAAAAAAAAATTTAGAGGACAAATCAGGGAAATAAAGAGGTGTGTCTTACTGTTGGAACTTATTATTTGAAATCAATTTTAGGTCAATTGGTCACATAACATGGAAGCTATTGAAGAAAAACAGCCTTTTTCCAAGAACATCAACCGGTAATTTATTGATGGTCCCTTATTCAACACCTGATGTTGACAGCAAGGGTTCCGAGTAGATTTAACTGCGCTGCTGTTGCTATTCCTGGTTATGGAGAGTGAGAAGACACCTGTAGCTCTGCATTGACTGTCTACTGAATATCCAACCTAAAGCTCACTTCACCATGAAAAAACATTTGTTGCCCTGGCTGATATTTTTTTTATGTGCACATGTGCCCCTATACACTTAACAATTCGCACACATCTATTTTTAGTCTCAAATGTGAGTGAAATGGCCACACTGTCCAAACAGATAAGCATTGACTCAAAAGTCTGACTTTAAATTAGTCCACTCTCTGACAAAGAAATTAACCAACTGTGGTTTGGGATTACAAGGCAGCACCGGAGGTGGCCAGTTTACAGAGGGGTCCATACCACCCCTGGATCTATCTCTATACACACCCCTGTTCAGAATACATCGGGATGTGGATAAATCTTTAAGACTGTGAACAGTTTTCATTAACAAAATGTATTTTAAATATATTCTTATTAAAATCTATGTAATCTTGACAATAAAAGTAACAATCAATCATAAAATAATCAAGAAATCTGACACCGACAGTGTGTGTATTACTGTTAATGTAACCTGAGGTCAGGACGGCAGGCAGGAGTTTCCAACACCGAAATTGAACAGGTAGGCCCGTAATCAGGTAATCTAACCTGCCTGACACACTGATGCCAACTCCCATTTGGAGTCAGAGCGGTTGAACCCGGGTTTAGGGTCTACAGTTAGCAGGTAGGTAGCGTTAGCTCACCCTGAGTCTGCTCCGGGTCTGATGGTCCTCACAGAGCGTGTGAGACGATGACTCTGCCCCTGTCACAGGTCTGTAGCTGGGTTAGCTAACACACCTCTCCATCTTCATCATCATCATCATCATTTTCATCATTACTGCATGTAAACAGCAGCAGCGCGAGCTCATGCCAGCTGACTGGCGAACGTTGGCTCGCTACGCTCGGTCCATCCGACAGGAACAAAGTGAACAAAACTTGAAGAGAAAATCATGTCAGAAAAAGAGGAGATCACTGCTGCTTTATTAAAGTTAACATCATGGACACCTTCCTCTTCTTCAGCGTCAAAACACACCGTAACACCTGCATGACACCGGAAGAGAACGGCTGCCTTCAAAATAAGAGCTGCAAAATGGCTGCTTAACAATTTCTACACTTTATGAAAAAATATTGAAAATTGTGTACATCGCTTTATTTATGGTATAATATTTTTTAATCATACTATAGTACCAATGTATGGCACTGAATTTGGCATCTATCGTGATATTAAGTCATTAAATCACATCAAACAGCAGCAACAGCAGCTAAATCCATAAAATTAAAAGTTTGTACAAAAATGTTTAAACTAAAACGCGTTTAGATGACCACAAACTTACCCGACCTTTAATACAAATCTTAAGAAACGTAGGAAAACGTTTTGCAGACTGAATTCCGTTTATTCCTGTCTCTGTGTTTCAGCCTTGTTGTTGGTACCTGTATGACGCTCAGAGTTTCAATAGAGATGAAATATAACGTAAACAACATGGCGTCCATGCTATTAGCTCAACACTGAGCATGCTCACCAAAGAAAAACTAAGGTCTAAAAATAAGAAAAGTAGCAAAAGTAAAGAGCGACCGTCTCTGTTTTAACAACGATATCGTGAAATATAAAGAAAACAATATAAGAAAACTAACTGGTGCTCTTTTCATGGTCTTGAGGAAACAGAAATGGTTAAACTTTATTTCTAAATTTTGATTCGTAGAATTGTCCAAGCTTTCTGAAGAAGTGCTGAGAAAACAGTCCTGTGTGAAAACTTAAGGGACACAGTTCCGATTTTCTCTATAATTAAATTAGTTATTAATATAATAGAATTTACGAAAAAGGAAATTCAACCATGGATGAGAGCCAAGCTTGACTACAATGTAAAATAATTACATTTCTAAAAGGTATCAATTATATTTTATGGTTGAATGCAGTTCAGGAAAGCGGGGACAGCTAATAAATGCAATTTTTGGTGTTTCAAGTTGTTTTTCTTGATGTTCAGCATTTACTTTATAACATTTACAATTAAATCAATGTACAGTACTCTCTTTTTAACCATAAAATATCTATAACAATCCATTTTCATGCATTTAAATATAAAGAATGTCCTTGACCGAAAAGAACAACAATTTCATAGGACCTATGTAAGTGTCATCATAAATACAATAAAATCAAGCAAGATTATATACACTTGGTGACCCAGAGCATCACAAAATAGGACAGGGGAGATTTCAAATGCATTTTAATTCCAGTTTACATTATTTATTTGAATAAAAATGAGGTTGAAATAAATGTACAGTTTTTTTTTCTAAAAAACTATACTAGTAGTAATACACTGATTTTACTAATTCATAAAAACAGTTCTGCAGGATGAAATGATGATGATACACACACATATATATAATTATTACAGTTACTAAATGGTTGTGTATATAAAACACTTTTATTATAAGAGTTTATAAATAAAATAAAAATGTACATGAGTGTTTTGGAAATATCTAACAGATAAATGATAGCAGACAAACATAAATATCTAAAGTGTGGTTGTTTTATGAACATTTCTGTATTTCCAAACAAAGGAGGTGATATTCTTCAAATATTTTTTTAAAAGGTGAAATCATTTAAGTACAATTATATGTTATTTTTCAGGACTGGTCCAGAGCTCGGTGAGCCAGCCTGAGGTTCTCTCTCAGTTCATCCGTCTCTTGCTCAGCTCTGGCTCTCAGGACATTGAGCTCCGTGAACATCTCTTTGTATTTCTTTGTGGCATTCCTCTTTTCCTGTAAGGTAATAATTATAAGTATTTAACAAGAAAATTAAAGGAGTTGTTGGTCTACCTCTGACTCAAGTTGTTTTATTGCTCTTGGAATTCCAAGGTTTGACATCATGTATCTCACCCTCTGTGCAGTCTGCAGTTCATCCTTCAGAGATGTGGTCTCCTGTTTCAGACTCTGAACTTCAGACTCCTTCACTCTCAGAGTGATCTAAATTAATACAAATAATCAGCTTCTTATTTTAAGATAAGTTAAATAAAGGAACAATGAAAGAAAACAGGAGAAAATTTGGGACAGTGGACAGGATACTCAACTTAAAGCACTGACTGAAAACTAAATATTTCTGTTGTATTTTTCCTCCACCCAGGCAGGAAACTTTACCTCCATCTCATATACATCCATCCTTTGACAGACCAGCAGGTCGTCCTGCTTCGCCTGAGAGCACAGCCTGGTGATTTCTGCAGCCAGGTGAGCACTTAACTCCTAAACAAGTCAAAAGAACACCATGAGTCTACACACAAACTAATCGGAGTTATAAACCTAAAATATCCCGTAATCATAAAAATATGTGTTTCTGTGTATGTGTCTCACCTGGTTCCTAGTCCTCAGGTGCTGGTTCTCCTGCTGACACACACTTAGAGCCTTCCTCTCTGCCTCCAAGGCCTGAACAAGATGGCCAACCTCCAAACACCTGAGGGAGAACTGCTGAGAGAGCACCTGAAGCTCCCTCTGAGAGGAGGCCAGCTCCTCTCTGCACATGCACAAACACACAGAGTTAAGACTTTTCTACACCAACAATACGACAGTGTTATATCTCCGGTCAGTGATGAATGATGTTCACCTGTGTCGTCTGTAAACAGCTTCCAGGTGAGTGTTTCCTGAGCTGCACTCACATTTACTCCTCCTCTGCTCCTCCTGCAGTTCCACACGGTGAGCGTTTTTTATCGCCTCGATGGCTGACAGAAAAACACAGGTGAAATAAACGCACACAGTAGAAAAGTAATAAAATTCATGACAAAGAGCAAACAAGCTCACGAGCTGAATGTGTCAAGCATACACACATATACCTGCTTAACATTTAAATACTACTAGAATTTGCCAGAGTGTGAAATTATGTTGGGTTTTATAGAATAATTTCATAAAGTACAATGTTTAACACAAGCTCCTCATTACCGATCGCAGTCGCAGCACTCTCCTCCTCCAGTAGTCTGTCTCTCTCCAGCAGGAGGCGCTCCACCTCATGTTGGTGTCGACGCTGCAGCTCCTCGACTACCTTCAGATGAGACTCCTCCATAGAGGCCAAGCCCCGTCCACAGGTGGTCTGAGGGAGCAAAAGAAACCCTCTCTGTAACATATCGAACCTCAAAGAGCTTGTGAGTAAATATCATGGCACTATTGTAATAAAACTGAAAGGCTTGAATGTGAACCAAACCTAAGTTTCTTTGTAATTGTAGGGATAAAGAGACATTAATTCAGAAAAACTGGGCAGAATTTCTTATTTACAAAAACGATCTTGTAATTCTGAAATTTGTTTTATTTAAAACAAACAGATCAAGTCTTTTCTCTTTGGTGTCTGTCATACGCTCCTGTAAAATCTCTTTGCCGCTCTCACCTTTAGTTTCTCCATCTCTCTGTCATGTTGCCTCTGAACTGAACTCAGTTTCCCATCAAACCCCTCTCTCATAACAAACAGCTGCTCCTCCAGCTCCTTCACCCGTCCCCTCAGCAGCAACAGCTCCTCTGCGGTTGTTTTAGTGGACTGTTCTTTTTTCCTTGAGTCTGTGTCCTCCTCCATCCTCTCCTCTTCTTCTTCATCCTCCTTCTCCTCTCCTGTCTGATCATCATTTCCCTCCGTAAAGTGATTATATGCAACCTCAGTGTCCTCCTCTGTCTGACAGCTCGAGTCCATCTGCTCCCTCACCGGTGATGATGGCTCTTCTTCTTCTGTGTTGAACAGTTTGTCTCTCAGCTCCTGGTTTTCTTTAGTCAATTCAAAACAGTTTGAACACAGAGAAGAAGAAGTGGGCGGAGTCTGCTCGTTTTCTTTGAATTTCCTCTCAAACTTCCACTGAAGACGATTGAAACAAACACAGGTTAGAGCTTCAGAGGCTGCAGAGACAATCAGACTTAACCAGAGAGAATCTGAAAGCTGAGAGCCTGAGAGTCTGGAGACCAGCTGATCCAGTCTGTCCAGGGTGGAGGAGCTGACAGAAGAGCTGATGGAGGAGGCAACAAGGTTCAACAAAAACAGTTTCATCTGTGTGACGTCTCTGAAATGTTTGATGTCAAAACTACAGCTGCCTTTTCCCTTACAGATGAAATTCATGTCCATCAGACCATCTTTGCTTTCATGTATTTCAGGAATTAGACTGAGCCCTAAAAGCAGCACCTGTTTCTCCACCATCATCTGCTCCGTCACCTCCCTGAGAAGCTCTTCCTCCTCCTGGTGTTTGGAGTGATTTGACTCCAGTTTGTTGAGCACAGATCTCCAAAACTCCTCCTCCATTTTCAGCAGACTCTTCCCTGTCGCCTCCACCTCCTCCTCCTCCTCATCATCAGCCGCACTGAGCCCAACATCCACCTCCTCCATCACCTCCAGGAGTTTCTCCACAGCCTTCATCCTCTTTGTCATATCCTCAATCATCTTAGAGACCTTTTCCTCAACAGGGACTACAACTCTGCTGCTCTCTCCATCTCTGTCGCTCCGCCCCCTGACATCAGACTCCGCCTCTGCAGGTGATTGACTGTGAAGTTCCTCCTCCTCCTGCTCACCATTCTCCATCGGTTGCAGTGTATCCAGCTCCAACAGCTTCACCTCGGATCCCTCCGAACATTCAGGGTGGTGTTCCTCCTCTTCTTTTTCTGCAGCATCGCTCACCTCCAGCAGCTCCTCCGTCTCCCTCAGACTCTCCACGAGGGAGGAGATCAGACTCTGAGCCTCCAACAGCTCCTGGTTCCTCTGAATTAGTCCAGCCTGCAAGTCCCCCACCCTGACATCTTCATCCTCCTCCTCCTCTTTAAGGTTGTGTCCGGGTACTTCATCATGGAGTTGTCCAGATACTTCATCATGGCGGTGTCGGGGCTCTTCAACATGGAGGTGTTGGATTTCAGTGGGCCTCCTGCATCGCTCCGCTCTCAGTTGCTCAATCTCATAGTTGGCCTCTGTCAGCTGATGAAGCAGCTCCTGGTTCCTCTGGTTTAGTGCCTCCTTCTGGCTGACGAGCAGCTGCACCTCCTGCGTAAGCCTCCTTAACACCTCCTGGTCTGGAGGGAGGTGCTGCTCCACACAGGCGCTCAGAGAAGAGTCATCGGTTGCTGCAGACTGATCAGTGATCAACAAAATAGACTCTGTGTGATCCATTATTATGTCTGAGCTGAGGACCTCATCGTGGCTTGTGTGAGTCTCTGAAGTCCACCCCTCTGTGCGTGGTGATGAAGATGATGAGGGTAAGGTGCCTGTGTGAAGCAGGTCCCTCAGGTTTCCATCTGAGTCAAGCAGTAAGATGCTCGGCGTCAAGAGAGGGGGTTTCTGCTGAGGTGAGCTCTCTCTAGTCTCTTTTAGAGTCTCTGTTTGGAAACTTGATGGTTGTTCTTGTGGATCTGAGCTCAGAAAAACGTCCAGCTGAGGATGGAGGAAAAAAGTTAAATCGTCTCCAAAAGGTTAAACAGAGTCTGACTCAAATATCAGAGCTGAAACGTGTCAGACCTGCTGATTGGTTTCTGCTCTTAGACGATCCTCAAGCTTCAGTCTGAGATGCTCTGACTCCTTGAGGCGCGCTGTCAGATCCTCCACCTGAAGAATTTGATTAAAAGATTAAAAAAGTTGACCTGGCAGAGTTTTTCCTTCAGGGGGAACTCAGAGCTTCTTGCAGGAAAAGCTGCTGTTTGTGTCTCTCACCTTGGTCCGGTACTGGTCCAGCTGCTCCTCAGAATCTCTGCTCTCAGTAAAAACAGGAACACTGTTCTCCGGTCTGAAGAAACTCGTCTCCACCTTCCTCCACCACTCCTCCACCTCCTCTGTCTTCTGCTGGGAGTCTGGACTCATGGACAGGCCCAGCACGCTCTCATACCTCTTCCTCCTTTCCTCCTTCCTCCTCCTCCTTCTCTCCTCAGAGCTCAAGTTTCCAGGTTCAGTCTGAGACCTGAACCCAGCCCAGTCTAAGGTCCTGTATCGTCCTTCTCTTCGTCTCTGCGCCACACTGACGTGTTTAATCTGAGTGTCTCCCTCTGAAGAGGAGTCCAGAGTCAGGTCTGGTTCATGGAGGAGCTCGGGTGACATCAGGGGTCCAAATGAACTGTTCAGCATGAGAGAGGTGAGTTTATCAACAATAAATCATAAAAGCACCAAAAATAAAATTACTGGATATTTTATTTTCATTCAAGTTTTGCTTCTTTATCCTGATATTCTTCCACAAATACTCAAATTTCACCTTACCTGGTGATATCAGGTATGTTTGCTTGATGTACATGTCTCATCAGAGCCTGAATCCAGCTCTTGCGGCTCCCTTCTGTCATGGCTGACAGCGTGAAGACGCCCTGAAGAGTCTGTGAGTTAAAAACAGTTTCACTTTCTGTTTAAATAAAGTATTTTTTAACGTTTTAAAACAGAAAACAACACAAAATTATTTCATGTTTGTTGTTAAAGATTTTCCCTTACGTGGATCTTGAAGCTGTATTTTCTTTGAGCGTCAGATTCAGACACTTTGAAACACTTTGTCAGCTCAATTTCTCCTTCAAGATCTGAGAACTGATAATGAGAAAAGGCTTCAACATTTTGAATTAAACTCAAACGTGTTCAGTTTTATTTATTTATTTTTAAATCCCCCGTACGCACCTCCTCAGCTGATGAGTCTCTGTAAAACCTCAGCGTGTTTGTTGACAGAACGAACCAAAACTTCCTCCACTGCAGGAAACAGAATAAATCAAAGAGATGTCATCTCAGAAACAATGATGATAAAAAAACATGGATTAATGTAAAAGATATTTAGCTGTGTACCTGCTCCCCTTCATCCAGTTTGACCATCCAACCTTTTTTAAAGTTTAATAAATCCGGCTGCCAAAAAGCAAAACAAAACAACAGTAACTACAAGAATCATCAAATTCATAAAAAAAAAAGAGATTTGTCTTTGCAGCTGAGTTAATTCTTCTGCTTGACTTCATTTGACATTTTTATTGTATTTCATGCCTCTGAATTTTAACTTGGCCCTAAAAAGGAGTAAAAATGATAAAGAAAGTGCTATTTGTTTAAAGAGATAAAGGGTTTTGAGAATTCAAGCAGGTGTTGAGTTTTTTTTTTTTACATGTCTAGTAAACTTGAATAAAAGTAAAAGAAAGGTGTTGCTCCTTCTCACATATTTAAGGGTACACTTTCTCTTTAAGGCCTCTAGAGGTCACTGTTAGAGCTGCCATCATTGTAATTTCCACCAATGGTTCCCTCTCTCACATCCACAGCAGCAGAGAGTCATGTGACCTGCTGCAGCTTTCATTAACACACTAATCTTAGATTATCTTTATAAACTCAATCGATGTTAAGTGTGTCAGATAACATTTTAATCTAAATACTTAGTAAAGTACGGCTTATTATCACTTTTATTAGTAGTTGACAGTCAGTGCGTGTCTCACAGTTATGAAAGTGTCGTTTGTCCTGTCGTCCAGAGACCTGGTCCTCCTCTGAGGGGGTGACACGCACAACTGGGTCAGATCTCCACAAGATGGAAGCTTCTGTAACAAAAATCAATTACAGCATTACTACATATATATTTTTGAACAAAGTAATTTACATGTAAATATCTTATCTTTGAGACATTGTCGTTTATATCTAAAAATATGATTAACACAAGTCTCAATGACATAATTTAAATCTGACTTACATTATGACAGACTGTATGTGTGACTGACATTCACATCTTGCTTATATGATCAACTAAACAGCTGACATTTTTATATACTTAGCTTGATGAATTATATTATCGTACATTTAAATGACACTACCATTTCTATCTGAAAATATTTGATCACATTATAGTTATCAGACCAAAGACATCTTTTACTATTTTTGTGACTGATTTTAGTTACAGCTCACTAACATGATCATTTCAATCTGAAAAAATGAAAACACGATACAGTACTTCATATACGATTCACATTATCATTCACATCTAACCAATGTCACAATTATTATTGTCTGGAACCTTCTTACAATTTCGCTCATTTAACATTATCATCCACATTATCTGTCATATTTAAAATAATTGATAGTGTCGTCTGATTTTCATGATATCTTGATAAAATTGGTAGGAAAGTCGTGTCTAAGTGGATTAGTTTGATAAGGTTTAGAAATGTCCAGGATGTATGTCAGACGTCAGATGGGGGATCAGGGCTGCACAGTAGGGGGCTGGAGGAGGGGTTAATACTGACTGTAAAACTCACACACACACTAACACACATTGTCTAGTATCCTCTGCTCATGAACTCGTTGTGTTTTGAGATAATTCAAGGACCTTTTAGATCCTGATGTTTCCGGAAAGAGGTCTCTTACATGCACCTCACAGCAGGAGATTATCTGTCTGACACACTCTCAAAACTCAATATTCTCCATTTGGTTTGGATGGGGGATGAGGGGGCAGGGCTTGTGAAGAGCATGCAGGAAGAGGAGTGTCAAGTCAGTGCTTCTCACTCAAACATGTATGTATCACCTCAAAAAATAATCCAGACAGCCAAGGTTAATGCGCTTGAATATTACTTGATGCTACGTAAAGACTGCCCCCAACTCTACACAGATATCTAACCAGAGCCTGGGGGAAAAGCCACCTTATCATCAGGGGGGACTGGTTCAGGACTTCAACTCCACATGCAGCTCACCTGGATAAAGTCAGGAAATTCTCAGGGGTTTTAAGCAGATTTGCAAAAGGCTGCAGGCTGAGGATGTGACTCACGACTGAAACAAAGAGAGAGGCTGCAGAGTCTTTGATGCTCTCACGTTTAGCTGCTACTGACGGTTGATCAGGTAAATGTGTGTGGGTTGTGGAGACTCAAGTTAAGTGTCGTAATGTTATGTTGTGTCTTGTTTCTGGTCTGAGGAATCCTGGAAAAAATCTGTCACAGGAATGTCTCTGAGATTACAACACACACATCCACATTTACACCTCCCCCTACAAACACACACACACACACACACATACACACACATAGAGACAGTCAGGATAAAGTTGTCCTCTTGTTTCTTTTTGACTTTCAGCTTGGCGACATTTTAGTGAGTAAACACCTGAGTAAACCTGAACCAGGTGTAGTCTAAGTCTGTCTGATTTAAACAAGTTCACACAGTGACACAGTGTGATGAAGTTATATTCTGTGTTTACCTGTTTTCTCTCCTCCTGCAACACCTGGACGCCTGAGTCACAGATATGTGTGATGTTAAATTATGTGAGTCACTCCTTGGCTGTTTTATGGATGAACTGTGCAGAGACTTGCAGATGTTGCATAACGCACTGCTGCTGAATGATGTGTGAGTGCATGTTGTTAGAAAACACGCCTACAGGATGACTTGTGGAGATCCTCACCCCCAGCTCCACCTCTGTCCCATCACAGAGCAGCAACATGTCAGAGGGAAAACATGACGACACTGCCCACTGCCTATGTGTATTCTCATTATGTGTTTGAATTAATGTGTTGTTGTTGTAACTGTTGTGTACTTGTTGTTTCTGATGTTACCTCTCGTGTGTTGGAGCGCCCCTCTCTCACTCTCTTCCTGGAAACAGCTGACCTGTCTTCCTGCTCGTCCACACCCAGCATGCTCTCTGCCGAGCCGCCATGTCTGTAAACACAAACAGATGTTTAGCTATTTTATATCCAACTCAACATTGTTAATATCCTGAGACACATCGCTCGGATATGTGATACCGATACCGCTTGGGAGTTTCTGCAGTTATTCAGAGTTTAAATTTAACTTGTTGTCTTTTCCCTGATATAATTACATGTGATGAATCAGTTTAGAGTCAGGACTTTAACTGTGTTCAAATAAAAAGTCAGCAGTCTGATGAGTGATGGGGGTTCAGTCTGTGATCTGCTGTTTACCATGTGTAATGGCTCTAAAAGGGGGGGGGGGGGGTCCTCTGTGCTAATTGTTTGCACATTAACCCCCCCTCTCTCAAGCTCTTTAAATGTCTGTGTCCATTAACACAGTTTTTTAGACAGGCAGCGTCTGTGTTTCACACTTACTAATACAGTTCAGTGTTCCTGTTCCTGTTCGTGTGCTCGAAGCAGTCTGAGCTGATAATTCAGGCTGGAACAATCCATCAATACGGAAAAATACTGCCGTCCTGATTTATACGATTAAACTGTCATCAATACTCTGATCAAAAATGTTCTTGACAGATTAGACTCACTAAACCGATACGTCCACAGCAATGTACTGGCCCATTTAAAAACAAATAGAACAGAGAGAAAGACTAAAGGAAGAAAGAAAGACAAAAGGAAGATAGAAAGGGGGAGAAAAAATTATATAAAAAAAGATAAATAACTTAAAAACAAAAAAAGTTAAGAAGGAAAGGAAGAAAGAAAAAGAATAAAGGAAAGGAATACAAGAAAGAAAGAGAGAAAGAAAGAAAAAAAAACTGAAAAAAAAAGAAAGAAAGAAAAACAGAAAGGAAAAGGAAGAAAAAGATAGAAAGAAAGAAAGAAAAGAAGGAAAGAAAAAGAAAGAAAAAAGAAAGAAAGAAAGAAAAAGACAGAATAAAAAGAAAGAAAGAAAAACAGAAAGGAAAAGGAAGAAAAAGAAAGAAAGAAAAGAAGGAAAGAAAAAAAGAGAAAAAAGAAAGAGAGAAAGAAAGAAAGAAAAAGACAGAAAAAAAGAAAGAAAGAAAGAAAAACAGAAAGGAAAAGGAAGAAAAAGATAGAAAGAAAGAAAAGAAGGAAAGAATAAGAAAGAAAGAAAGAAAGAAAGAAAGAAAAAGAAAGGAAAAAGAAAGAAAGAAAGAAAGAAAATGTATAAGCTTCTTGTGATGAGATGAGAGGAGGGGTGGAGGATGTGCTCCAGACTTTCTCTCACAGTTGCTCTGAGCTCTGCAACATATCATTTAATGTCAGATGATATCGAGTTGTGGATCACTGTTCTCATCCCTGCTGAAAATAGTTCAACTTTTAGAAAACCTCCACCCTCACTAATGTCACCTCTCTATCACTTACCACTCAAAATCAAGTCAGGGTGGGATTTGTAATGTCACCTTTGTCAAAAACAACAGCAGCTGGTCCTTTTAAGGTGAAACTTCTCTTTTTCCAAGGGTATCAGACTAGGTCTGGGACTACTAACTCGACTATATCATTTCTATTAACTGTTATTACATTTCCTTTGAAAAAAGCTATTTAGTGAAGATGAATATTAAGCAAACAGAGCATTTAAAAAATACTTAAAGTAAATACTAAGGTAAGCTAAAATGCTGCAGGACAACCTTCAGCTGAGCAGTGTGGACTGATATTGAGAGCAAAAAACTGAATGTCAATGTCCAAAACTACAAAACTTCAACAACAAGTCGAAAGAACACGACATGTTTACATATTCTAGCATCTGAATCAGTCAGTGAAAATCACCCATTCCTGCCCTGGTCCTGGTTCTTGTTTGGATCCTGGTTCAGGTCTCTGTCCTGTTCCTGGGTGTCTGTGCTGATGTTGTTCCTCTCAGCTTCATAGTTTTTGCTCAGCAGGTCCAGCACACAGACTGGGTCAGGCGAACGTCCTTCATCCCTGAAGACTGGACTCAGACTGGGAGACGTGTCGCCTGGATGTAAAGAGAGACAGAAAAGGTTTTGGTAACAATGTGAGATTTAATTTGCGTTTGTAGACTTGTTTAAGAGACAAGGTGTCATCTTTTTGTTCAGCTCTGTGCACCAGACCTGACTGAGATCTGTGTCCTCAGATGAGGAGAGACTAAGAAGTACTGAGAGGATAAAGGTTGGGCACAAGGCTGGAGTGGAATAAATCTCAGACTGGATTTTGTTTGTTGACAGCAGACTGAATTATTCTCTGGTTGGAGTTGGTGCCTTAAAAATTGATCCAAATCTGCCAAAGGAGATAAGAGATTGAGCTCAAAATATGTGAGAATGTCAGACCTGATCTGGACTCTGAAGGACTCTCTGAGGATGAGAAACTTTGATCAGTGGCGGCCATCTTTGCTGGACTGGGCTCCTGAAAACAGAACAACATATTTTTCATATTCCCTCTCCAAAAAAAGAGCAGATCTGTCAACCTTCGACTACAGTCAGTGAAAAAAACCACACAGTTCAACTGATCGTTCTCTTCTTCTGTCGTACCTGGGAGGTCACAGGCTCTACTTTCCGTTTCTTCTTCTGGTTCTGTTTATTGGTTTGCAGAAAAACAGAGAGCTGATCACTCCACCTGCAAAGGTAAGAGGGGTGATCAATAACACTTTCTTGTTAATGATCTACTGATTAATAAACTGATTGATCAATGTTCTGACCCGTTGATGATTTCTTTGCTGTCTCCTCTGATGTAGACTTCCTGCTGTGGCGTGGAGATGCACAGGGAGTTCCTCTGACCCGTCTTGGCTTCTGCATCGCTGACGTCTGAGCTCACAGTTAGATTCATGGTCCCCTGAGGAAGAGTGCTCGGCTACAGAAAAGACAGATGGTACATGAGAGTCAATAACTGAATTATGTTGGAAAAACAGGGAATAATCAGCTGATGAGTGACAAAAATACACAACAAGAAAGATTCATGATCCTCTGAGGAAGTACTTGAAGGGGGTACAAGCTAAAGTCAACTAGCAAGTCTTTGTTGGAAAAAAGAGCTAACTTATTAGCTCATGAAAATAGACCAAATTCATGATCCCATGAGGAAGAGAGTTGTGTCAAGATAGATCCAGGTTCTTATCATTGAGAGCCAATTACTGAATTATTATGCAATGGAGAGTCGACTTATAAGCCTTTAAGAAACACATAAACACACGCTAACACACACCAAGAGTCAGATTCATGGTCCCCTGAGGAAGAGTCCTCGGTTAATGGGTAAAGACAGACATTAGGTCATACTGGTCAGCTGATGTGTGACAGGTATTAAAATTAAAAGGGTGAGTTTGGTTAAATTAGACTATAAACAGATTTTAGGGATCACACGGTGGGGGAGGGAGCATTAAATGAGGGGATAAACCCAAATTATGCCTTGTGGTCTGCTCACGACATCTGGACTCAACATGCTGATCTTAACACACAGTTTACTCGGTTCATGCAGAAGTACATTCAGAGTAGTGTCACCGCATGCAGCTGTTTCATGACTGTAGGTTGGTTTTCAAATTTCATCAGATTTTTTGTGATTCTGTTTGAGTTTCTTACCTGTTCATCAAGCGCAAAGCTCAAACAGCCGTCCTCATACAGGATGAAGAAACGTCGCTGCCATTTCTGAAAAATAAAGGGACAAAAACACCTTTAAGAAGAGACAAGAATGTAGTGCGAGTTGAAAAAGTCAAATAAAAATCAGTCACATGTAAAATCTATATTTGCTTCAGTCATTCTTAATATTGTCGTACCCTGGACCTCTGCGCAGGGTTTTCGAAGTCTGTCCCTTCAGGAGCCAAACACAGCCAGCCTCCATATATCGGCCTCACCTGAGGGGAAACACGTAAACAAGCATGGTCACATGATGATTTTAGTACAGAGCTGAAAGGATTTATGGGCAACAGATAGTTTGTGTCAACAAAAAAATGTTAAAGCCGACATTAAAACCTCAATGGGAGTTGAGTCTTTCAGCTGTGAAGGCATATTTTGGGTTGAACCACTGATTAACTTATTAACTCATAAAAACACAGGGTTGGATAAATTAATCATTTTAAAAGGTTAACAGATAATAAAACTAGCTGACCTAACCTAGATTTACCTAAAAAAAGAAATAAAAAGATAAGAATATAACCCTCTCCCCTGACTTACAGCATGACAATACAGCCCTCATTTGAACCTAAAATATTTAGGCCTGTAGTGTTGGCAGAAAGCTTTAACTAAACCTTAATTTCAACATACCACCTTCTTTCAGAGTATGTTTTAAAGGCTGAAGTCTGTAATTAGGTTTATTTATAAATCAAACATTTAATTTTTTTTTACTTATCTGTCCCAGAAGTTTAAGATTCTTAAAAATAATTAAAAATAATATCTAAGACAACACACTATGTAAACTTGAAATGTACATGGTGATAAAATGCCTTTTTGTGGCGTGAAGCCAGAACAACGTTGTTTTAAGTTACCTGCTCCTTGTTTTTGTCGTTCAGCAGGTGAAGTTCTCGTGGTTTAAAACAATTCTGACATTTACTTTTGTTAAAAATATTTTCCTGAAATTTGTTGCACGGGCTCGTCGTCCTGTCGGTCGACATGTTTCCGCAGTAGAAGTCGCTCCTCAGCCGTTTAGAGGTCCACAAACTCACCACGGTCCTCCTCTTCCACCTCTCTGTCGCTTCAACCGCAGCGAACATCTGTCAAACGCAGCGCGAGCTTCTCATTGCTGGTGACGAAATGGACATGACATCAGCGTGACAACATCCGGTTACGTCCTCCAAATTAAAACCGTCTACGAATCTTTTTTTTTTTTTTGTACATGTAAAAGATAGTTTCACCAACCAAATAAGGACAGAAGCTGCATTAAAGAAGTAAATACTATACTCGTATTATCCGTATTTAGGTTTGAATACAGGAAAAATTGTTACATTTCAGCGAGTATCGTTAGCTATGCAAAGGAAACTGAAACTCATAGTTTATGTCTGTCTCAAGTGAAATGATGGGGTAGGCTATATGGTTGAGAATTCCACTGTAAGAAACAATAATGTTCACTTAAGTAAGCAGAAATTATTGGGTTGTAATGTTCTAACACTCAAAATTAAATAAACAAATAAAGCAAATGCTATATTTCTAGATTCATGTATTATTTTCAATAAACCCAAATATAATCTTGTTAGTGAACATTGATTGTAATAGTGCCTTCTTTCATAACTGTTGGGTTGATATGAGGTTAAATAAGGGGTGGTGGTTTCAAACTGTGACCACATGAGGGCAGTGTACACTTCATACACAAGGTAAAGGTATTTAAACAGAACGTTTTAACCCTTCTGTTACTTGGGGTCAAGTTGACCCCATCCAATGTTTATCATTTAAAAAATTATAGTTGACTTTTGTTTTTTTGCTACACATTTCATGACTTTTCTTAATTTGATGGGGACAAATGATTTGGCATAAAATTATCATGATGATATTTTTTTAATGTGCTGTACACATATCGCACGCATCAGTGTTTCTCTGGGGTCAATTTGACCCGAAGCTGTTTTGGCTGTGTAAAACTGGCCTGTCTGTGTGTGTGACCAAACATCCCCATATCTACAGGTGCAGAGTTAATACTTTTGAGTTGATACATAACAGGGAGGTGGAAAAACAACTATTCCCTCCAGGAAAGGTCATATCATCACCAAAACCAGTAGGGTTCATCCTCTTGTGGTCATAAAGGTTGTCAGTAAATTTGAGAAGATTTGTATGAAAACTTTTTAAGATACATTAATTGTACTTAAAAAGTTTGGCCTTTTGGTGGCGCTAGAGAACAGGTCAAATCATTGATAGGTTTCATTCTTAAGGAGTTATTTATGTACTCAACAAATAAACAAAGCACCTGACAAAAAATCGTGGTCAACAATTGCATGTAAACAATTTTCTTAATGCAAATATACCTGGGGTCAGATTAACCCCAAGGGTAAAATGTGTCAGTAATATTTGAGGATATTGGATTTTCAATTGCACTCCTCCCATTGCACAGTTGTTCTGTATTGTGTAGTTGTAAATAGCCTTTTATACTTTATATTTTTCTTGCATGCTCTTATTAGTTTTTTATTCAAGTATTTCATATTACTTTCCGTTTAATGTTGCACCATCATGCCGAAACAAATTCCTAGTCTGTGAATCCTGTTCATTGATAATGGCAATAAAACCCCTTCTGAGTTTTGAGTAATCGGAGGGTTAAATGTATAATTTCCTTTTTAATCACTTAAGAGCATTAAAAAATAACGTAAACACAAGCACAGAAAAATACGTGTCAAAAATAATCTCACACAGCAATAGTGGATGAAAACTTTTATTAAAGGCGATGGCAGTGGCAGGATTCAAATAAACTGAAAAGTATTTTTTGTTGTTGTTTTGTGCCATCAAAAGAATCATATAAAATACAGTGACCAATCTTTATTATCTGATATATTCTACATTAAAAATACAACTTGTTTTATTTTCAATCAGAGCTGAATGTTAACTGCATGTGCTGATAGATGGGGTCAAAACATTCTCACACTTTTGTAACAGTTATTATATTCTATTTAAAGAAATACATTAACAATTGACTCATCATTCCCTTTTAAAATGTATTTTTAACAGACAAAAAAAATCACACAAAGTATTAATTAAGCCCTAAATATTACTCTGTTACCTATAAAGCTTAAAGGTGCTTTGTCTCATGTGAATATCTGCTTCCTTGTCTTTGATGGAGACATCAGGATAAATTTGCTTTTTATCCTGATAATAAATATAATACAGATTATAGATATGACAGTTAAGTCCTTCCCCTCTTATCACTATGTTAAGACATGAAAATTAAACGTTTTGTGAACTCAGAGAAACAGGTGAGCCTCATGTTTCAGCTGCTGTCTAAAAGCAAAAAAACTAAAAGCTACATTTATGATTTTAATGCAAAAACATTAGGCTATAGCTTTGAATGAAAGAGTTAGCATCCAAGTAAAAGACATGAAGGAAAAGAGACCATGTTTAATTTTTGCTTTTGTTTCTCATAATCAGATAATTTCATTCGGTAAATTTGTGTTAGCTGATGTTAATTGTTGTAGTTTCCCCAAATAGCTGAAAAATACTTTATGAAGCTGATGAAGTATTAAATACAATCTTTTCCTCTGCTTTGGGCTTAAAAGTTAGTAAGGTGGTTTTTGAATAAAAACTTTTTTTAAAGTTCTGCTTGGCTACCACGGTCAGTATATCTTTGACTTGAGGATCGTTAGCTAAATAAGCTTTAATTGTGAAATCACACTGTCTGGTCAAAAAGGAATAAAGAGCTAACAGGAGCCACACGGCATCCAGAACCAACCTAAAACCTTTCAAGCTAGCTGACTGACTAGCATTAACATACTTGACCCTTAAAGTAGGGCTTGCTAGCTACTGCAGGAAGTACGTGTAGACAGTATTTAAATGGGCAACATCATGGTGATGCCATTTGGTATCCCCATCTTGGGCTTTGTGTCCAAGATAACCTTTTGTCTACAGGTTTTGTAAAGTGTGGTGATCCCTACAGTGCTAGTTTTGGTTGCTAAGCTAATATTGACAATTGCTGTTCAGGGAGAGGGGTCAGAAACAGCCAACATTCAGAAATATAGAGATCTTTTTCAGCTAAAATACTTAAATTTACCAGTGTAAGCATTAGTGATTATAGCATCATACAAGATTATAGAACATCTATAATTGAGGCATTGAGAGGGATATATTTTTTTAAGAATAAATAAATAAATAAAACTCATTTTTCCTCTCAGATAAATTAAAATTGTGCTCAGGAGAGAATCTAAACATTTGACTGTTTTTTTTTTTTTACAGTGCTTTCTGAACAAACAGATACTGTGAGTTATTATCAGGCAGTATAACTTCAGGTTTCAGATACATATCACATTCATCCTACTACAAATATTCTTAATACTACTGTAGTTTTATTTCAGTACAGTTTTACTGTGGGAGTATAAGGCTGAAGCTTGGAGCTTTTCAGAACTGAAACACTTTGCAGTCCAGTTTGTAGGGAGGAGGATGAGGTCTGAGTCTTTTCTAGTCCCTAAGGACTCAATCACAACGCTCAAAGGAACAAACAAACCGAAGCTGAAAAAAAGGAGGCAGAGACTGCTCTGTCCTTTAAAACTCGTGTCTGTGGTACATGTCCGGGTCATAGTATTTGGTGACCACCACTCTGTTGGCAAACTTACGGCCGGTTAGGGCCTGCATGGCTTTCTGACAGTCTGAAGCCGAAACATACTCCACAAATATCTAAAGAAAAAAAAGCAAGACAGTCAGACTCTCGAATTTACAAAGATGAAAAGTTCCAGATCTTAGCATATTTAAGACACCTAAATTTCTTTCAACAACCATCATGCTTTTGCAGTTTGAGAGTTGACACACACCTCAGTCTTTTAACATCGGCATAAGACAGGTAGACCCTCTCACCTTTCCGCAGCCAGGGACTTCCACACCATCTACAGGTCGAGGAATCTCGATGGAGCGGACATTGCCATACTTGCAGCACTCCTCTTTGATGTCCTCCAGGATCTCCTCATAGTCTTCATCGTCCACCAGCTCCTCAGGCATCACCATGTTGAGGAGGCACAGCACCTCTGTAGGCATGCCTGTGTTCTGCAGCCTCTGCAGCCCAGGGACCTGTAGCGTTACTGGTGTCTCTATAATGGAGGTCTGCAGATACACATACATCAGTTTAGATTTCCATCTATGCAGTTATTGCAAAGAGATAAGATCCCATTTCAGACTCCCAGCAGTATCCTTATTCCAAATGCATCATCATTACCTATGCAAGCCTCTGTGTTTGCAGTTCAGTTCAGTTGTCTGCATTTGGGTTTGCTGTTTATAAAAGGGTTACTTTAGGTTTGTTATAAATAACTGGTTGGCTGTGTTGTTTCTCAATTTTGACTTTGTTGTCTATGTTAAAGTTTGTAGTCTATATTGAGTATGTAATTTGTATTTTTTTCTGGGTTCTCTTGTCTGAATTTGGGTTTGTAACTTGTATTTGGATGTTTTGTATTAACTGTGTTTAGGTCTGTTGTTTGTGAGAATCGTTCTTGGTTTGCTATAAATAACCACTCTGTTGTGTGTATTTGGCTGTGCTGTTTTCATGTCTGTCTTCTGAATTTTGTTTTTGTCTGGTGAAAGAGTTTGTTACTGTATTTAATTTTACACACTGATTTTTTTTATGTGATTTGTTTTGTTATTTGCATTTGGGATTGTTATTTGTATGTTTTTGTGTTGTCTGAAAGTGGATTGTGTTTTCTGTATTTGGGTTTGTGATTGTAATTTTAATGTCTTTTGATAAGAATTGCTTGAAGTGCCCCTCACAACATACTTTCCAATCAACATATCGGTTAATCAGCATGTCTAGACATCAACAGACAACATCCTGCAGGATGCTTCAGGTGTGAAACATCCCCACCACAGTGGAGTGACAGTCCCCACAGAAAACAACACAAAAGCCCCATTCCTTGCCCTCTGAGAGGCGGTCCTTAAGCAAGCATAAATGTTCAGGTTTTAGCTAGATTCGGGGTCTTTTCTGATCTACCCGCTCGGATCCAGATCGACCTTTTCTTTGCAAAGAAAATAAAACCTTGTCGGCCGGCAGAAGTCTCTATTTCATTATTCACCAGCAGCGACGGAAGGAGAAAGAAAAACTTCCACGACAGGTTTGCTACATTTGGTTGTATCATCTGCATTTGGGTTGGGTAATATTTGTACTTGGTTGGTCAGAAAGTGGACTGCTTGTACTCCATTTGTTGTCTGTATTTGTTTTTTTTATACTTCAGCTGTGATGTATGTATTTAGTAAATCGTCTGATATTTTATTGTGTTGCTATAACCATGTGTTTGATTATGTCCTGTGTATGTGGGTTTGCTGTATCTGAGATGTAACAGCTGCATTCAGGTTTCCTGTGTGAATTTGAGTTTGGTTTGTAGTCTCTGTACTCCTATTTTAATGTTTAATTGGATGTTTTTCTGCATTTGGTTGAATTGTCTACATTTGGTTTTGGTGTCTGCATTCTTATTTATTGCCTGTATTTGGGTTTATTAGCTGTTTTGTGTATTTTCATACATGTCTGGCAAGCTTACTTGATTAATATTTCAATTAACTGTATTATCCACTTTTGAGTGATTACTAAAGTTCCTTTATTTTCTGAGGACATTAAAGTCAATTGTACTTACAGGATTAGCGTTTTTAGCTCCCACGCTCGCTCTTTGGACAATCAGCTTCTTGTCTCCAAGTTGCATCCCATTGAGTCCAGCAACAGCCTGAGAGAGGAAACACACAAACTCACAGAGACTCTAACTACAAAACTAACGTCTTTTTGCTTATAAACTGACATGACATGACAGAAACCTGATCTGTAGCACTGATGTCTACATATTCACAGAAGGCGTAACCTTTGGACAGAGACGTAGCACTGTCCTTCACCAGATTAAATGCTTTAAGAGGACCGAAGGACGTCAAGAGCTCCTTCACCTGCGGAGAGAGTCACACAATCATATCTGAGAGGGAAAACTACAGTGTCAATATATATAACCATAACTAAGAGTATAATTTTTGTTGATTTAATATCAAGGAAAGATGTTGACTCAGCGTTTCATTTCTTTCTGATTAAGAGGAAAAAGAGAAATCAGAGATTTTAAAAAAAGGATAGAGGTTCAGGAAGACGTGTAGAAGTAAATTCTGATGAGGTGGACCTGAGACGTAAACTGTATTCTTTATCATCATTTGGGCACAACTTAAAAAACAGGGTAAAAGTTATCTTTTCAATCAAAGTTAGGATTTCTACCCCCCAAAATGAACAGTTATATAAAAGGAAATGATCTTTCTGGGATAACTTTAATTTACTTCGTTTTTATTCTGCCAGCTACAGGTAAAAACAGCTAATGAACATGGGTCTCAACTTTACATTTAAGCTTAAAAAACCCATTTAACCACCACCAACAACACAACTACAACACAACAACCACATCCTGTTTTTAATGATCAGATCTAAGCCAATAGATCCCAGAGAGTCTGAACGCGCTCCAAAGCATGATGGGAAAGAAGCAGCCGTAGGAGGCGGGGCTGTAGGAGTGTGTCCCTGTGAGGACAGGGGTCTTACTTGCCTTGTGTTAATGTTGCATGGCAGCAGTAGATGATACTACTGAACAAATTATGAGCGCAGATTAACGATCTTACGGCCCCTAGCTGGGGACAGAGTGGGGGAACAAAAATGAAAGAGCTGTGAGAATCAACGCAGGAAATTTATGATAATATATATTTTAAAAATATACTGAATATACCAACGCAGCACCACAGACTGCAAGAATTTAAAATAATCAAATCAGTGAAGAATTATATAGGTATGATATGCAATAAACATTTAGACTACAGGTGCCCTGAGAGATCAAAAGTGTGACAGGCCAACAGTTTGAGGATTAAACTGAATGACCAAATTGATTATTAGATTTATTTAATAATTGATCAGACTCATGTTGATGCAATCAGTATTCATTCTGACTTCTTTTATATTCCTAAAGAAAAACATTCATTTATTATTATAATTCTTAGTTATTTCTGAAGTTATATGTACTCCTGGTGATTCTGTGACTTTTTCAAGTGGTCCACTTTTCTCTAATATCACATCCATTAATGCATTTCTACAACTAGGGAAACCAAATCAAATTCAGGAACAGGGTAAGAACCGTCTAAGTATTTACTTAATGATCTGCTGTGAGAATATTCTGTACTTTTCTTACCTTTCTTTACTCAGAATGCTGAACATGAGAAAGGTATCAAGAGTTTACTTCAAAGAGGCACAGACTTTTCTTGAAGTTTATGTTAACTTATATAAAACATGTAAGAGAAGATGTAAAAGATGTAATATTTTTACATTCATAACCCCAATTCCAAAGGTCATTGATAAATATATACAGACAGATATTTCATTGACTTGCAGACCATCAAGTTCTTTTTTTACTCACATTTTACACAGCATCCCAACTATTTTGGAATTGGGGTTATATATTATAAGTTTCTTCAATGGTTAGAATATTTTTTGAAAACGTTTTGTTTCTTTATTTAGAAAAATATTAAAGATGGTTAGAAATAAAAGATGGGCACTTCTAATTAACATTATTTATTTATTTGTCATGGTTTTATTTTGTAGTTTTAAGGACACTTCCTGTCTGTGTTATTTTTTTTTAAAGATTTTTTTCCTTCTTCCTTCACCATTCTTTCATCAATTTTAATGTCATGATAAAGAAATGTAAAACATATTTTGTGCATGTTAAAAAATGTGACAAACACCTGAGCAGGTGAGAAAAAAAGAGGTAACAGAGATCACCTGTGGAGTTAGAGTTCAGGTAAATACCTGGTCATCGTTCAGGTAATTTGGCAGACCTCCGATGAACAGTTTGTGAGGAGAGTCAGGAACCACAGTGGAGACCACTCCTGAACACAATATTTATATATTGGTATATTTTTGTTTAAATATGATCTAGTTTGTTCATACAGGTGTCAGAAACTCACCCGGGACATGGAAGGCAGGCTGCTCAGAGATTCCAGGTAAGGGTCTGTAGTCATGAGGTCGTCTGATCTTCAAGGATTGACCCTGAAAAATGATTCCATCGAACGCCATGGCTTGCGTCGTCTCGTCCACAGAACGAAACTGAAAAAATAAAGTTAACCTGATGTGGACTGTTACTTTGTACTTTGTAAACACGATGCAAAATAACATTAATATTCTCAACAGTTACTGACGTTAGATTAGTAAGAATCTGCGGGTGCTTTCTTTTATTTCTGGCCACAGCTAGGCCATCAGTTTCTATCTGTTTTCGTTTTTTATGCCAGGCAAAGCTAACTAGCCTGAACTTTCCAACCAAAGCAACAGTCATATGAATGTTCTTGACTTTTTGTTTTAAAAGGAAATGTTAAAGAGGTGGTATTACACTTCATTTTCATACTTTGAGTGAAAATGTTGGCCGTCACATGAGCAAACGTTCCAATTGTAAGTCTTATGTGTGTTGATGTAATCCCCATATTTGACTACAGGGGGCTCTGAGTTGCTTGATCAAAAAGTCACTTGAGAATTCAGCAAGATCAATATGACATTGCTAAAGAAAAAAGTGACACCACCAGACAGCGAATCTCTGAAAAGGGCAAATTTGTCATTTTATCAAAGAAATGCAATTTTGTTGCATGGCAACAGTGAAGGAGGCTTCCAGAATGCTGGGTTCTAGAATGCCGGGGGAGCCTTAAAGAGACAGAGGCTTCCATGAAGCGTCTCAGACAGAGGCTGAAATGCTAAGAAGATATCAGAGGGACAATATAAAGCCAAAACATAAGCATAATACCCCCAATTTAAAGTAACCAAGTCCCTGTACTCCTTCAAGGACCATCTTCTTGAAGCTAATAGCAGAAATGTTCTGATTAAATGTTTGATCCCAAACCTCAAGGAAAGCAAAATTCTTGTCCTGGTTGATCTGCACAGCGAGCACAGGGTTACTGGGAGCCTGAGAGAGTCCGGCCAGTCTCATCTGAGCATTGAAGAACTCTGCCATCGACTCCTGACAGGAGAAAAACAGAGAGAGCTGTAACTCTGCAGAATCAACACATAAACATGAAGCAGGAATTAAATCAAAACAGTACCTCCGTCACTCCAAAGGGAATATTTCCCACATACAGACGTCTGGCCTGTCTGGTCATTTGACTGCCAACAATGGGAACCTGCGTGGGCGCTGCAGCGATGCCGGTGGTGGTAGACGAGGCCAGTAGAGCGATAGTTGGAATCTGACCAGCAGCTGAAAAAAGAGAGATAAAGAGAAAGTAGGAAGTAAATCATCAGATCCTTTAAAACCTCTGCTTTTTCAGTAATCCTAAACAGAACACTGATAACTCTACTGTTGATTAAAGGTAAACTCCAGAGACATCCATATGCTCGTACCTTGCATAGCTTTGTATTGCATGGGTGTGATGTGTTCAAATCCTGGAGGAGGAACGTCCCAGTATTTACACGTTCTTTTCTTCCTTGTCCTCCTTGGAGAGTGGCTGAAAGATGACCAAATAAAAGCAATTTATCCTGTACGGGGAGCATAATTTCACAGTTTAATCCCATTCTAATACACACCTGTGCTTCTTGTGTTCCCGTGACGACCTGGACGAGCTACGGCGGTCTCGGCTCTTCCGTTCTCGACTGCGGCTGCGTTTCTCTCGGCTGCGGCTGCCTCGTTCTTTGCTCCAACTACGATGTTTGTCTCCTCGAGCTGCAGATCCGCTGCGACTCCTCCTCTTATGTCGCTCTCTTTCTCTCTCTGCGACCACAGGAACAATATGGTAAATGGGCTTTGGAATTGGACACAACTGACTCTATCTCTGAGCTCCAGCAGGAAAATGTATGGGCAGGGTCCCTATTAATGTGGCTTCAATTTGAAAATTAAATATGACTTATTACAGTTTTTCTTGCGATTATGTGACTTTAATCTAAGAGTTGGAATATTTTTTTTCATCAGATTTTTGACTTCAATTTAAGAGAATGTTACCATCAATCCTAGAAAGGCATCAAATGAAAACAACCCTAAAATGCAGCACTTGGACAGAAAATTAAGATTACTAATGTAATGAGATGTAACAATACAGTATTATTTATTATTAGAGGTGGCATAATGATTGATCATGGTATTAGTTCAGGCAGGCCACAGAACAAAGCTCAGCCTACAGTGCATCTGCATATTCTATCCCCTGCCCTTATCAACTGACAGTTCAGCCAAGTCTTTGTATCCGATTCACAGATATTACATTCTGCACTGTATTTTACCCTCTTCTGCCCTCTCCTGCTTCAAGGTCCTCCTTTTTAAGCTCTGTCTGATTCTGCTAGTCACATATACTGTCACCAATCTGTTCTGTACGACAGGGTCTTTGCTGCTGCTCTCCCTGCCTTGGCTTTATATGCATGTACATGAAACAGAGGGGTGGTCTGCTCTCTCAGCTGTAGGTTTTAGCCCTTCCATATATGCAGAACATAGCCAAACCGACAAATACCATTAAATTCTTTACCTCGAAATGAAAGTTAGTTTTTGTTAACACCAAACTGGTTAACATTAAATTGTACTTTTTAACCGTACTGTGAATTTAAATGTCATTTGACCGAGAAGTGTAACCAAGACTGGAAATTTGACACATTAATTTCTAACTGCTCGGATAAATCAGTTGAAATTATATTCCAATCAACATTTTGCCAATTTGTAAATCGTAGTAAATGTATAGTAAGTAGTTGCAAATAGTGAGGGATAGGAGTACAGTAGTAGGAAATATGTATAGTTGGTAGGAAATATTCTTTAAAGCCAGACAGGGTGAGCAGGACCCAGACTAAAGGCCAAAATGACCTTGAAATTAAACCCACTATAAACACTGATGATTATTTTTTTTTATTTTACTGGAAATTAAGTCAGATAAAATCATTTTCTAAATCACAGCATCTCAAAAAAGCCTCAGTTATGAATCCTACTTTTTTCTTTTATGGTTGATTTGTCCTTTCCTCCACAGAAAAACAATGTTCATACACAACAAATGTGATGAATTATATCAAATTATTTTAAAGAAATTTTAGTTTTGATTAACATATGAATATTTCACGCCGAATTTAAGAATTCATTACAAATAATCTACAAAGTGTAAAATAATTCATCTTAACCTCACGCATCCCTACAGAAGCACACATAAACAAAAAAAATGTAGAATATTGAATGGAGTTTGGCCGGATGCCGTCTCACGTTGGAGACAGACAGGTGAGCTAAGCGTTAGGTCTTACAGGTAACCAGACCTTGTTCATTTTATAAAGAATAATTATAATAATCAACTGTATGGGGGTTTTAATGTAATGAGCTCAGACCAGCATGAAGCCAAAAGCTGATATGCTAACCTGATTACCCAGCTGAGTCACTGAGCGTAAACTTCAGTCAGCTCCTTTAATTCATTCATAAATCCTGAGGAGAGACAACGTTAGCACTGAATGCTAGCAGAGGGAGCAAACCGGGACAGACACGGAGCCTCTGTACTCACCCTGACGATTCTCACTAAGCTGTTTCTCAAACTCCTCAAAATCCGACATTTTTACCGTTTTGGCAAAAAATTATATCAGCTCTGTCAAATCGATTAACCGATCAGTGCGCTGTCAGTGCAGCAAACACGTCTGAAATCTGACCGGTGTCAAAGTAGACTGAAACAGCCCGCACTAAGTCCTGTTTAAACCCTTCAAAATAAAACTACATGTAACTTAATGTGCATACTGCCCGGGTTGACCTCTCAAACATTTCTGTCTGGATATCCCATATGAAACTTAAAAGAATATAATATCAGGTTGAAACCTTTGGCAGTGTATGGAAGAAACAGGAGGTGCAGGTGGTAAGGATGAAAAAAGATCAAATAAAAAACAATAATAAAGGGCTATAAGGAAGGGGGGAAAGTAAGCAACAAAGGAAGACAAAGAACATGAAGAAAATGACACATACAAGAAAGCGATAAAGACAGAAAGAAACAAAGGCAAAAAAAATAGAAAAAGTAGTCATACAAGCAAAGGAACAAATAGAGATAAGGACTAGAATAAAGAACAAAAAATGACACAAAAATGTAGAAAAAAGGACACACAATGAAAAGTTAAAATGGTACATATAGGAGAGATACACAAGAAAAGGAATGAGAACAAGGAGATACTAAAGGAAAGGTTTGAGAAACAGGAGACACATAAGAAAAATGAAAAGAAAAAAAAGAGACCCAAAGTGGAAAAAGGGGACAAAAAAGGAGAGGAACAAGAAGGAGACACAGGGAAAGTAATATGAAACAGGAGACCCAAGGAAACAGGAATATAGAAAAGGAGACATACAAGGAAAAGAACACAGAAAAGCGGATACAAGAAAGAAACAAGAAAAGGAGACACACAAGGAAAAAGTGACAAAAGGGGATGAGGAGAGAAAGAAATAGAAGCTAAGGTTGAAGATGATTTTTTTTCTTGTCTCTATTTTGTCACACGACACTATAACGTAATTATTCTCACCATCAATAAGAAATCTCCCCCTCATCCCCTTAGCCCACTCCTCTGCCGGCATGCAGACATGTGAACAACATACATGGAGAGAAACCGAGTCAGCTGTGCAGCTAAAAACAGAGCTCAGATCACTGTGTCTCTCTGCAGGAGGGGAATCTATTAGACTGGAGGAGCTGTGAGCAAGAGCTGCTGAGGCTGCAGAACCTCAGAGGACAGAAACCAGGACACTGGGACACCTGCACACACCTGAGACAACTCATACATCTTACACACCGAAGACCCAGTAAGTGTTTCTGCTTTTTTGATTTCCTGGAGCATAAATGTGAGTTAGTAATGATTAGTTGTCTACAGTAAATGAGGTGAAACTGTCCAACAACTTCAAAGTGATTCTTTATTTGAAACAGCCGCAGCTCTAAATATCAAACTTTCACTGTCCCGTTCAGAGTTATATTGAGTTTCTGGAGTCCTGGCTCTGTGGTCGAGTTCTTTGGCTGATTTTCACCGTGACTCTTTGTGACAGACACTCAATCTATTTGTGGGACGGTTTATATTTAGAAAGTCTTCCTGAACAGCCGGAGCTGCTGTGCCAGACTTCAAACCTCCAAACAGCCTGTGGGAAAAAAACTACAGAGAGAGAGAGAGAGAGAGAGAGAGAGAGAGAGAGAGAGAGAGAGAGAGAGAGAGAGAGAGAGAGAGAGAGAGAGAGAGAGAGAGAGAGAGAGAGAGACCTGTCTTTATGATGTGATGATAAACTGAAGTATGATTGATGGTAAATAAAAACTGTAGAGCCAAGCTTAAAATCAGATGACCACAAACTACGATTTCTTAGCACTTTCTCTTTATTTCTGTTTGACAGTCTTTGAAGTTTTATTTTTTATTTATGTTCGTTTAAAATATATATATATCTGTGTAGTTTGGTTTCTTTGTGTGCTACTTTGTGTCTCTTTGCTGTTTTTTTTAGGTTGTGCTATGAGTGGTGATTATTTTACATCTCGTGGTTTTTTTTATTTTTCGTTTAACTGAAGTTATTTTGAATCCTGTTTTTGTCTTTTTTTGTTGTTTGTTTTTGTATTTCCGTGTTTTTTTTTTGATAATGGGTCTCTTGTGTCTCTGAATCTTTGTTGTTGTTGTGATTGATGTTTAATTTTTTTTTTCTTTCTGTGTAGTTTTGAATATTTTTATGGTTCTCTTGTGTCTCTAAGTTTTTGTCGTTTTCTGTTGGTTTTTTTCTTTCTGTGTAGTTTTAAATTTTTTTTTGTAGTTTTGAAATTTTTTTTGTGTGTCTTTCTTCTCTTAACAGACTATTTTTAATTGTTTTGTGTATAGGAGTTGAGATCAGACAGGCTTCTGAAAATGTCTTTACATCATGATGTGATGGTTTTCCCACAGGAAAAATGAGTTTAGAAAATAATGTTTGCTCTAAACTAAAACTTCAGTGTAAAAGTTCTGAATTGAGGTGCTTTTACTCTCAAGATATTTTTCAGATCGGAGGACTTAATTTCATCTCACAAAGCTCCATCTATGTGGTTTACTGCTGTGTATCAAGATCCATGCTATATTCTTTCATTTGGACACATGACTGATTATATCCCTTGATGTCAGTTTGAGGTCATGGTTAAAATGTCCTGTCTGTTTTTATTTCAGAGAAAAGTTTGATTAAAATGGTTTTAGAGAATGAGATGGAGTCCAATGTTACAGAGCCGGAGAGCTTCTGGGTATGAAATCCCCCTTTTTTAGAAAAACAAAATCATAAGACATCTCATCCCATCCCACCTGCATCTTCTGAAGAATAATATTCATCTCAAAAGTATGTTTTGATATTGAAACATGCTTTGAGAATAAGAGCATTCCGGCTAACATGACCTCCATGATGAAAACTCAAACATGGCTAACTCTTCCAACAGAGTTTGAAACTTTTCTCCTTTTTTATTCCTTCTTGATTAACTGTGTTTATATTAGTAGGTTGGTGTTGTAACCTTACTCGAACTCTAAATAAAGGTGGAGCCAGGAACTTATTAGCACAACTTAGCATGAAGACAGTGAACAGCTGACCAAAATCTCTCCAAAGATGATAAAAATTTGGATAAAAACACTTCACAGGGCCTTAATGTTATTTGTGAAATCAAAATAAAAAATATAAGCTTGATGGAGAATTTTGTACTGTACATACTGTCCTGTACTGTCATAGTTTTTAGTTCCTTAAAAAAAACACACACAAAATCTACTTATTTGGAGCTTAGCTAGCCGCTACCCACCTTTTCGTGAAACTAAGATAATGTATGCTTGATTTAAAGCTCCTGTGAGGAACTTCACATCTGAGCCAATTTTGGCATCCTCTGTGGACAACGTGATCTCCCTTATGCCTTTTAATTTTGGAAAAAGCAGAGGGTCTGGTTTTCAAGAATACTTTCACCCATCTAGTGTGACACCTACCCCTCACAACGCTTACAGATACTGAATACTTCCATGCAGAAATCGTTATTCTAGTCCCTGATGGTGTTGTGTTTTTCCTTTTTAGGTCACACAGAGGTATCACAGTTAACTTCAGTCTGTTTCAAAATCAGCTATAAATTCCTCGTAGGAGCTTTAATATCTGTCTAAGATTCTGCAATAGCATATGATAATTTATTAAATTAAAGAAATATCAATAGTAAAGATTAGGGATTAAATCATAGGAGGCTCGTCTGATAGAATTCAGTTGCAGCTGAAAAAATGAGTGTATACTAATTTATATTTTGGATCTGTGTGAACTTCACGTCACTCATATTAGTGTGAATTTGCTCAACACCAGTGTTCCACATTTTGAGCATAAAAATCCAACATTTTCCAGGACTTCTTGATGGATATGGACCCGGTTTGGACCACCACGGTTGTGTTGGTTCCGTTTGTCGTTGTGTTGACGGCTGGAGTCTTTTACCTGTATGGTGTGGTGATCGGTCTGCTGTCCAAAACATCTGTACGTAACAAGGTGGTGGTCATCACTGATTCTTTATCTGGGCTGGGAAAAGGTAAGAAAAACAATCCATTTTGAGATATTATAAACTCCTCCATGCTACCTACATGAAAGAATCTGAAATAGGTGTTTGTCTCGTTTTCAGAGTGTGCAGGTGTGTTTCACAGAGGGGGGGCCCGGCTGATTCTCTGTGGCAAAAGTTGGGAGAAACTTGAAGAGTTTGCAGATGATTTGGCAAACGCCTCAGATCCAACAGTGGTAAGTCCAAAAAAGGCAAGGGTAAAAACCGGTTGATGACTGGATGTCACATTATTAAGTATTTCGATGAAAGTACCTCAAACAGTTTGTCCTCCTCAGACGTTTCCACCTAAACTGGTTCTGTTGGATTTTGGGGACATGGAGAGCCTTCCTGATGTCATTGAAGAGATCCTGGAGTGTTATGGCTGCCTGGATGTCCTCATCCTCAACAGTAGCATGAAGCTCAAAGCCCCTGCTCAGACTGTGTCTCTGCAGACCGACAAACTGCTGATGGATAACAATTACTTTGGACCAGCAACACTCGTCAAAGGTAGACCAGAAATGTCGAAAACACACCAAAGTGCAAAACAGGATGAAGGCGCTGTCATTTAATGTTTTAATACGACATGTTTACCTGGTTTGTTTCAGGTCTTTTGACTTTTTATGTTTCAGGTGTGTTGCCATCAATGATCTCCAGGAGAACAGGCCACTTGTTGCTGGTCAACAGCATTCAGGGGAAACTAGCCATACCTTTTCGAACTGCATGTAAGTTGAGAGTTTTTGTTAATGTTCTCTGTAAATGTTGACAATGCACTATAGCCTCTACACATTCTACCAGGTGGTAATGTAATCAAAGCTGCAATTTTTTCAGCCCACAATGATGTTTTCATAAGACATACGTCATTTACCCAATGGATGGTCAAAACTTTGTACAAACAATCTTTATCCCCAGAGGATTAACTCTAGTCTGATGGGGAATTTTCATTTAAGGACCAAAACACATAGAAATTAGTTTAATCCAATTGGGTGGAATGTCTTAGCATCTACCCTGTGGATTGGTACAAAAACTGGTACATCCATTCATGTTCCCCTGAGGATGGATCACTCTGAGTTTGAAGATCCACTGACATTTCTTCAAACATTAACCAGATCTTATATTTCTGGCGTGAAGTTCATCCATTGGCTGGATTGTCACTAAATTTGGGAGAGAAAACTATGTTCCCATGTTCATGAACCCCTAAATAATGGGATGTTATTTGTCGCAGAATAAACACTAAACAATAAAAAATGATGTTCTCATGTATCCGCTTAAAGCTTTTCCCAGACAGGTTGGCAGACAACTTGCTACAAATATTTATGACCCAAGAGGATAAATCTAAGAAGTTTGCTTGAGCACTGTCTTTATCTAAAGCATCATCACGGCATCAACATTTTACGTTGGTTTGATTTCCATGTAATCTATTATTAACATTTACTCTTGGTTCTCCAGAGGATGAACCCTACGGTAAATGATAAATTTACTCTAAGGCAGAAATGGGTTAAAGTTACTGAAGGTAATTATTGAAATAGCTCAAAATCTATCCAGTAGATTGGTGCTGAATCCATCCAGTTTATTTATCACTTGACTTTTTTTCTGGAGTCATCAGATCGTCAAATTATGTCATACAGACGGAAACTATTAGGCTTTGCCCTGAAACATAACATTTTAAGTATTTTTGCAGACGCAGCCTCCAAACATGCTGTTCAGGCTTTCTTTGACTGTCTGAGAGCAGAGGTGGAGGAGTACGGCCTTTCTGTGAGCACCATCAACCACACCTTCATCAGTAACTCATCACCTGGTGACACTGAATCCACCCCTTCCAGCTCTATCTTCTCCTGTGAGTCAAATCAGAGCAAACGGTCAACATCCTGGTATTGTTTCACTGCAACCTTTACACTGGCATAATCAAACAGTTTAAAACACATGAACATTAAACTAGATCCGATCAGAATGAATATTTTCTTTATAAAAAAAAAAAGTCACATACTCAGTGTGTGCTGCTGCTGTAGCTTCTGGTGGAGTTAAATCCTAAGTAACATGGCGGCAGACCCAGCACAAGTTGATAGTGTGATGTACAGGTTAAACTAGCCGGGGAACCATTCACACATTGTTCAACCAGTGTGTGACTATCAACATCATATATAAGTTGTACAGATGTGTACCTGTAATGTCTATCCTCTCTTATCTGCACAAATAAGATATCAGAGAAAATTTTAAAGCTTGATTGTTGAGGAAACTAAAATAAATGAATTACCTTTGATTTGCTTTTTCTCTTCAGTTTTATACTCGCAGAAACCTCCAGGTGTTTCTCCAGATGAAGCAGTGACAGAGATTGTGAAGACTTTGAGTAACAAGAGAAAAGAGGTGCTGATGGCTCCCTCCCTCCCAAAGGCGGCAGTCTACGCCAGGTCCTTCTTCCCCAACGTCTTCTTCTCTGTGATGGCTGCAGGAGTGAACCATGCCGCTGCCTCTGAGAACATGTAGAGCTGCAGATATGTTCTGTGTGTATGACAGAATCATATCACAGAGTCGGGTTGAAACATGTCAGAAGAAATATTAATGCAAGTCTGGGATAATAGAGATATCAAATGATGATGGATTTTATGAGTAGCTTTTTGACATAAAATGTTTTGTGCATTGTAAAATCTTAGATTTATCAGAAAATGATTAGGAATAGATATACAGAGGTTTTGACCTGAAAGGCTGCAGTGAAGGCCTCTAATGTTTATTTACTGTCTGTAGTTTCTTCATCTGAAATGATCTTTTTTACATAATTTACAGTTCAGCATTCATGAAGTGATCGTCCAAGTGAGAAAATAAACTAAAAAATGCAGAAAAATGTTGTGACTTTTTTTTCTATATGCACTTGGCATTTGAAATACATCTAATTGAAAGTATAAAAGTATAAAAGTTATTTTTTTATACAGATAATTTGCAAAGCTTTATTTCTTGTTTTTTTTTTTTTTTATCTATTAATATTTACAGTGGCAATTACATTTCACAACTGTTGTTGTCCTGAACATATTGATCCCCAGATCCACAGTGAAGAGGTTATTTCATTTCTGAAGACAATTTCAGAAAGTTGGGTACAAACTATGTTTATGTATTATTTGGTTGTTTGATTCAAATGTCACATTAACCCTGGTGAATAATGATCCATAGCCTGTCTACCTTTTTAAGTATTCTTGTTTTCATTACCAAAAATACACTTTTTTCCCCTTCAAGTTTTATGGTCACAATCTTGGTAAGAAAAACCATCTGGATTGAAAATCGTACTGGCCTTTTCACTTACATCAGGATAGGCCTTATAAGTCTCCCTGGGACATTTCTCAGAAATAACAGGATTGTAAAATTAGACATTTATTTGATATCAGATTTTAAATGGATAGTGTGAGAGTACACCTAAATGTTATCTTCCTACCATTACAGTATTTTTCCTTTTTTTATTTGCATTTAGTATCATACTTCTTACTTATTTACTTACTGACTTATTTACTGAGATAGCGGGCATCTCTAAAAACTCCAGAGGTCTGGTCGTGTCATGGTCATCGTTAAAGTTAATCATTGTCCCGTGAGGAGGTGGTGCCCTCTAGTGGACCGTCTGTATAAAAACCTTGCTCAACTGTAAGAGTTACGTGTCTTTTCGTGTAAAAATGACCTCAAAAATCTGTTTCAGGCTTTCTCCTTCAGTTTTTAAATTGAGGTCCTGCCGGTCCTTCAGTTCGGTGACCTCCAGTCACAGTCTAATGGTGGATCATGACCGAACCAACCGGCGCTTCACCGTCAATCCGGGCAGCGGGAGCGGTGAGCACTCAAAGCCGGGGCTAACGCACCATTGCGGGCGAAGATGTTAAAGAAAACCCGGCGTCCAGGCGCGGCCTGCTAGGAAAAATAATTTCTGCTTGGAATTGATTTTGTATTTTAAAGCAAATCACTGCTTTACAAATCATTGTTATACATTTTTCTAAGGTTCATATTTCTTTGTTTAAGAGATGGTGTCTAACGAAACACCTTTTACACATTGGTGAATAGAATTTCTGTACTCAAAAGAGAAAACGTTTCATAGACAGTAAGTTTATTTTACATGATAGTACATTTTGGTTTTTACACCCTGAAAGTTAAGCATACATGTTTTACGCTTAAGCCTCACATTGAACACATTTTTAATTAGTTTGGCACAGTGCAGGGCTGAAGGAGCCAACGAAATGAAGATATTTCATATGAGGTCTGATATTTTGTGTCTGTCAATCTCCAGCCTTCTCTGTCAACATACCGTATACAGTCTATGCAACATACATGCACTAAATACTGTGTGTTCATTCATAACCTCTTAAAGTAAACAAAACTAAATCTTGAATATCTATATTTGAGATGATTCAGAAATATTTTAGATTATTTTACATAGATATTAGATTTTTTTTAACTTATTTTTTATTTGTTTTTAAGTCTTAACAGTTACAGTGACAGGGCACAACAATTCATCACAATCATAAATTTATAAGTTAATACTTATAAATTTATACTTGAATTAATTTGTCATTTGCCTATTTTGTGATTGCTAAGTTGTTTTTGGATTCTGAAATTGTAGCTTATGATAAAGGCCCCCCTGTCCCCTGTGTTGTATATTCTCAGTGGCCCCCGAGGACCAAGCCCTGCTGAACTACAGGTACACCGGGGACAGAGAAGTGGATCTAATGTCAACTTACGTACCTGAGACATTCAGGGGTCAAGGTGTCGCTGCTCTATTGTCCAAGGTGAATTTTCAGAGAACCAGCTGTACTATGAATTAACATTTTACTGTTATTGTATTGTTACCTGTTTAATGTTTTTACAGGCTGCTTTGGACTTTGTGGTTGAAGAAAACCTGAAGGCGCATGTCTCCTGTTGGTACATAAAGAAATACATCGAGGAGAACCCAGAATATCCTTATAAAGAGCGTATCATCACCTGACCAATCTGTCTAGTTTGATGTGGTTTAACTACCTCAAAAGAACCAAAGCCTCATGGAGGTCGCTGCACAGAAACAGAACTGAACTTGGTTCATCTGAACTCTGTGCATCATTGTGATTGTGAAAATAATTACGGTATGGTTTGACATAAAAAAAATTGTCCTAATAGAGAGAGATTGCTGAGATTGTTGCCTGACTGTATAAAATAATTTATATTAATTGGTCAAAATGTTAGTAATGGTTATCAATACTCATCAGCAAAAGCGACATGAGGGACAACCTGGTCACGCCGTCATTTCAAATCATGTGGTGGAGAAGGGTCCAACACATTTTACCTCTGCCTGTTGACAATGTGCCAAAAACATCTGATTCTGTTAGCATTATGAATCAGTACGCAAGAAAATAAGGAGAATGTTATGTGTTGTAACAATAGCAGACATATGCTAGTCCCATATTGGGGAACTAAGTGGGCATTAACAGCTGACCTTTGATGTTATCTGTGAAGAGATACCTTTCAGAGTTGTGCCATAATTATAAAGCTGTGTGAAAAGAAACACCAATTAGCTGTATCCAACTTTATATCACGAGAAATGCAGCTAAATTAAGTGTTTTTGGCAAAGGCTGAACATCATCAAATGGGGGTTCTTTTGTTACCAATACCAGCATAAGATAAAGTAGGAGATTTTGGAGCAGAAACTCATTCCGAGCTACTCTATGAATTTCCTGGTCTGACGTAATGAAAGGTAAAAATGTGTGTATTTGGTCTGCTTTAATGTGAACTTACTTCACATGGAGGCTGATAAGAATCTATTGTAATGGTAGTATTGTTTATCTTGGAAATGAAGGGACTATTTTTTAATATGTTTTTGATCAATAAAATTCTCTTTAAATCGTAATTTCAGACTTGGTTCTTTTGTTGATAATCAGGCAATAAGAAGGACAATGTATAGTGAATGGGCGACAAGGCAAATTTGAACCCTTAAGAAGCTAACAGAACCCATCTATTGTAAATCAGGGTCCTGCTCACCGTGTTGTGACCAGCCATTCACTGTGCATCATCTTCTTAATTCACTGATGTATATTCAGGTAAATATAAGTAAACATGATCAGTTCTTATTAATCTGAAACCAACGGTTAATTTATTATGGGCAAGTTTTATTTTTTCAGATCTTGTTGAATCATTGATCTACAGGAGAAAATTGGGACCCCTAAAAATATTTTTTAAAAGGGTGAATTTTTTTTACTGTACATTTTTTTTCCTCCTGAATTCTGATTTAAAAGTCACAATTCTGAGAGAAGAAAGTCAGGATACCAAGATCAAATCAGAAATCTTGCCTTTTTTCTTTGAATTTTGACTTTTTATTCAGAGTTTCTAGTTTAAAAGTAGAATTCTGATGAAGAAGTTAGAGTTGCAAAAAAAAAATCTGTCCCTTTTTTGTGGCTTCTATCCTCTTTTATATTGACCTGTTTGTAAAATTCTGTAACCATTTATGTACATTATTAATATTAAATAGACATTGTTATTCAGTATTGGAATGAAAACAGCTAAAATAAAGGTCTTAAGTAAGTATAATAATACATCTGCATAAACATCAAATAAAGAAATAAATAAAGTAATAAAGTGCAGACAGAAGACAAATCCCAGAATAATTAATTCTGTATTGTTCAACATTATTAGTCTGGTATGGAGTAAACCAGCCCTTCAGCTCAAACATGATTAATTTCAGATCTTTAGTGAAAAATTCTACATTTCAATAGAGCTAACAGAAAACAGTCACTCTCAAAATGTGTTTCTTTTGGGGTTAGTCGGTCAGACTTTGTCAGACGTAAAAGCTCCTGTGAGGAACTTACTGTTTGTGTCAGTTTTGGAGCCCCACTGTGGACAAAGGAGTCTTTGCTTGTCTTGTCTTGTCCACATACTAAAACAATGTTCTCTGATCAAAATAAATCTCATCTTGACAGTCAAATATATAATTAGTTGTGAATACCTTATGTAATAACTCTAAAAAGAGGCTGTTTCTTCAGCTGCTTGGCTGAAACCTACTCCCACACACCACTTTCCAGCATTAAAATTAGGCTATAAAAATCATCAATTATGTTGCTGATGGTCTTTTTTTCCTTAAGATATGATAAAAAGGCATTAATGTGAATTTCAGTTTGTTTCATAAACGTAAAAAAATCTTAGAAGCTTTAACTGAACTCAAATTAAGTCAGTTTTTGGTTTAAAATGACAAATTTAAAACTAAAAGGGACAAATCAGAGAGTGGCAGTTATGAACTAAAAACATTTTCAGATTTGAAATCGAACACAAAGATTTATTTTATTCAATCTCAGTGACAGATTGAAAATGATTTTGCAAGGAGCCCAAACAGCTGTTGAATTTCATCTAACTTTAACCCATACATCACACCCATAGAGTGAAAAATAATCTATTTCTATTTCTCTGAACATACATGTGTTTATGTTCACGGTCTGAAAATCTGCCAGCAGAGACGCTGATCTGCTCATGAACTGACTCAGAATCAGCTCAGATAAATCTGCCCATCTGTTCCTGAGAGACATGATTATAACATACAAGCACACACACACACACACACACACACACACACACACACACACACACACACACACACACACACACACACACACACACACACACACACACACACACGCACACACACAAAGGAATGCGCCTTTTGTTACAGTAATCTCTCCACATGTTTGATGAGGGTAGATATAATACAGACCAATACACCACCACAAATTGACCAATCACATGATCACATCTGTACTTTCCCGTGAGGTCATCTTGTATGTTGGTGGTTGTCTCTCTTGTGTCTCTGTGTAATCAGTTTGTGCGTCTTTGCAGTTGTTTTTTGACTCTCTGTTGTAATTTTAAGTAGCTGTGGTCATGTGACTGATAGCCCTTTCCCCCTTTAAGGGTTTGAAGATTCTTTCTCTCTGATAGTTTCTGGATTTTTCCGTCGTTGTCCAGCCAAGTCTCAATCTCAGCTCAGAGAGAACCATATGAATCATATTAAAATAAACTCCATATATAAAAACACCTCAAAAATGGTATCAGGCAGGATCAAACGTTATTGTTCGTGCTGCTCTCTCTCTCTCCTCACTGAGATCAAATCTCACAGTCAGATTAAATGACTCATGTAGTGTCAAACCGTGTCACATTATTCCACGAAAAACACTCAAAAACCCGTCCCGGTGACACACATCTGATCCATAATCCTCCAAACAAACATGCCCAGTCCTGTCAGAGTCCAGAGTGCACCCTGATCCAGAACCTGATCCAGTAGGACAGAGTCCATGTTCAGCAGTAAGCCTCTCCCTGCGTCTCTGCTCCGTCCTCCAGCTCCACCTCATACGTGGTTCCAGTGGACGGTTTAAGTCCATTGGCAGGAGGGTCAGGTGGGGGAGCCTCGGGGTCTGCAGGGTCAGAGGTCAAGTACATGTCCCATACTTGGTCAGGCAGATCGAGCTCCATCATCTTCTGTTTGATCATCAAACTCTTCTCAATGTTTCTTCGTTTGTATTTGAACTCCATGATGGTTTTTGTGTACCTGTTGAGCGCTGTCACCGCAGAGCCCATACAGGTACCAAACGAGCCCCACGCCAACCTGAGGACAATAAAGGAGTGCAAGTAGTTAAAGAAATGGTTGACAACTGGAGATATCTGTAATTATTATGAACCTTGTTTATATGGCGATCATGGTCCTTTAGTGCGATCTCCACAAAGTAAAGAAAAAAAAGAATGGAAAAAAAACGTTCACCCTAGCAGGTGCAGGACTGCAAAAACATTGACCAATAGGAGCCATCTGTCCCGTACAGCTCCTATTGGTCAATCTCCTGCTCCACCTCTCCATCCAATCACCTTGCTGTATTCGACACACCCCTCTCCCATGTTTCTGACTCGTCCCCTCCCACTCTCCCGGCCCTCCTCAGAGCTCTGAGCAGCTAAAAGTAGCGTAGCAGCTTAGCCACAGGAGCTGTGATGGAGAAGGACGCAAAAAAAAAAAACACCTCTGCTTGCCCCATCGCCAAAAGTGGGAAGAAAACACAAGCCGACAAAAGAAGAGGAAATGTGACCAAGCAAGGAATCTGACTCGAATAAACATCGAGTCATCCTTCGAGTGGTGGAGAAAGCTCTGCCAGGATTTGGGCCTGAAAACAGACGCCGAGACAGCAGAGTTTTTGTTGAACAGGTAATTTTTGCCTTTTATTGTGGCACATGTTACATAAATAACTCTGATTAGTCTCTGCAATGTCAACACGGTAGCTGTCCAGGCAGCTGCAAATGGTGCTCACTAGGAGAGCTGGTGTTTACTGACGCTAGTCACTAGCGATCTGACATTGTGAATCCTATTTGAAGCTAGCATAGGATCTTCTGCCAGCCGACTTCTTGCTCTGCCAGAGGGGCTGTGTCGTAGGGAGGGTGATACAGGTTCCGGGGCATAGAGGGGAGAGGTTTGTGTGTGGGGGTTGGGACGCTTTTTTCAAATCTGCCTCAAAAGCTCAGATTTTTTCAACTGCTTCTCAAACCGTCAACCATGCCGTCAAAGGTACAGATTGCATATATGCAGGGTCAACATCTGTAAAGTTGACGATGCTTTAGCCATTGAACATTCAACCTGGTTTGCTTCTTATGTGTTTGTTGATCATTTTGGTATGTTACTTATTGGTCAGCTGGGATCTAGCCCTCATTGCAATGGAGGATTTAGGGGGCACCTACCATAAAGGAGGTGGACATACTCTTGACAATAATTCAATGGATACCTGGTTCAAGCTCAACAGCTTGACTTAACTGTCCATCTAAATAACCTAAAGTGATCAAACAACCTGTGAGAACAAGTCAGACATTCTGGTCAACTCTAGCTGTGTCTGAAACCATATACCAATATGTTACCTTCTTTACACCCACAACGATCTACATACTGCTTATTATCTGACTGTTGGTTCGATGTTTGCAACCATTAACAACATTCCTCTACCACCAACCATTGTGAGATGTGAAGCTAAAATGCTGTCTTGATGGGTGCTGACATAATTCACGAGTGAGGCCAAGGCATGAGCAGTGGCAGGTGGAGTCATGGGATGGACATCGCAGCCCTTTTGCTAACAAAAAACATACATTTGAGACACCAAAAAAAAAAAAAACTGGGTGCAGTTGGCTGGAATTGGACACTAATGGTAATACAAAGTTCAATGACTGTTTAGTCTCTGTTTGTTATGTTTTCAAAAGCCATTTCTCATCTCCTCTACTTATCTGTTGAAAATGCAGCTGGAGCCCATATTTTTAAACCAAGCTGTCAATCAGCCATCTTTTTGACATCAAAACAACACAAATGAGACTTGAAATCATTGATTGACCATAAAAGGAGTTATAATACATGTTTATGTACAGATTTCAAACCATTTTGATTTGAGTTATTGTTACTCACGCATAAGACCAGCTGTAGTCCCAGGTCTTTGGTCTCCAGTCTTCTGGTCCCATTGCTACAGCCAGCTGGAAGATGGTGGTGAACATCATGTGGGCCACCATCCCACAAAGACCTGAGGACACCAAACGAGGTTTAACATCTTCGATAAATCCACTTTAAAACCAAAAAGCATGTCTTTTTATTCACATTGAATAAACGATTATTTATTACATAGTTTACTTGTGAAAGACTTTAATGGACTGATGTGGAGCTTTCCAAGGAGCTGATTCTCAGTAGGGAGCTGTCTGTGATGCAGATTCTCTTATTTTGCTTTGTATCTGCTATCCATAAACAATCAAAACATGAAACAACTTTTATCCCCTCTTAAAAAAATTGAATAAATTTATTTAAGAGGTACATTAAGTAAATTAAATAAATAAATAAAAATAAATAATATTTTTTAAATATCCAGACAAGTTTTCTCCCACCTGTCAGCACACAGACACACCTGTTGTTTAATCCAAAACCTTCCCTATCAGGTAAAGAAAATCTCATCATCCCAGCTGCAAATGACTTTTTTTCATCAGACGTGGAAAACTCTGCTCAGGTTGTTAAGTGTTCTTTCCTCAATATACTTAATATCTGATGTTGCCTCACGGTGAACTGTTAACTGTCTCTTTATCTGCTTTACTTCCCTTCCTGTTTATCTTGTGGCCTCTGAATCTTTCTGCCGGATGTTAAATGTATGAAAGTAGGTAAAGCTCTGAACACTGAAATCTAACCAATCAAGCTTCTACGATAAACCAAAAGTGAGGTTAACTCTGTGTTTTCTCCATCATGCAGCAGTCTCCTTCTCCACAGCTGCTTTCCTCGGGATTAACACATAACAACAGGAGTGGGGGTGCTCAGAAGGGAGCTCCTCTGGGCAGGTCTTGGCTCAGCCCAAACTACTGCATGAGCTCCAATCCGATTAGTCCAGAAAGCAGTAAATCCCCCCTTTGAACGCAGCACAGTCAGTAAATGCAGCACAGTCAGTCAATACAGGATGGTCAGTGAATGCAGCATGGTCAGTTGCTGTGCGTAACTGAGCCTGTTTGCCCCTTCTTCCTTAAGGTCCCATCTTTGTTACAGGAATTGCCAGCTCCATCCTCCAACATGCTAAACAGGCTTTATCTAAACACCATTATCAATACTAAGCAGTTAATACAGTGCACAGCAGAGGACCTAGCTGTGGAAATCAGTGCTTCAACACAACTGTATGTGAATTTTAAAGAGTGATTTAGCTCACCCTTACTGAAGTGCAAACATATTTTCACAAGAGACAGTGGAGTTTAAATCCCTGCTAATAAAGTTGTTGTGGTTTTGGATCCCTCACTGGCTGAAAAGTACAAATTATTATAAGACATCCTGAAACCTAAGTGAAATGCTTCCCCTGATGATACTTATTTAACTTTTATGAAAAAAATTACTTGACAAGGAAATTTGTGAAAAAACAAAGTAACACCAAACGTGCATTTAAAAAGTTTTCTCATAGGTTTCATTATTACTTCTGTTATCTGGACCATTAACATGTAACCAGGAAGAAATTATCTGTAAGTGACAGTTTCCTCTGATCCCCCACTGTCTGCATACATTTGTTGTGCTAATACAGACAGTTAACACATGTAGTTAGCACGGCTAACAGAGTTTACTGACACCGACACTGTAGCTGGCACAGATATTGCTCATAACTAACATGGTAGCTAGCTAACGTAGGTAGATAATAAAGATAATTAGCATTTCTGATGCAGTTAGCTTACACAGGGAATTTACACTGGAAACTGACACAAGAAGGGAGCTTACACAGATGACCCACACAGGTAGTTAAAGGTACAGTGTGTAGAAATAGGAATATTTAGCACTACCTAGCAGAAAGACTACAGATTTGAATTGTTTACTTCCCTCATTGGTGGAGCAGACATTGTATAGTGCTCAGTTAAGTCCCCTCACATACAGTAGAGATTAGTTCAGAACAGAGATTTTGTGATTGTGTAACTACTGTCAATCACACTAACAGACACCTGCTGCAGCCTGTCTACAGGTAATAAAACAGTCGAGTGTGTGTGTTACATAAAAAATTTAACAGACAAATGTATCTCAAATAAACAAAAGTAAGTGGCTATTTAACAGAGACACCCATGTAAGTGTGTGCTTTCTGTGTCTAACCTGAGAGGGCTGTGCAAAGGGCAGCGAAGGCACTGAGCTTCAGTTTGTTCATGATGCTGAAACAGGGACACTGCTCCATTGCCATCAGAGCGCCCCCTGCAAACAGGAGGGTGAGGTACAGGCTTTCTGCCACAATACACAACCACAGCACACCTACACAAGTAACACAGGTGGCACAGATAGTACAGGGTTCAGAGGCAACATAGTTTGCACGAGTAACACGGAAATCAGATGTGGAATAGGTCGCAAGGGCAACACAAATTACACAGATATAAAAACGAACACAGGTAATACAGGAAACCCAGGCAACATAATGCACACAGGTTACAATGGAAAAAAAGAACCGTGGGTAACACAGGTCACAGGTGGCAAAGACAACATAGACAACATGGGTAACACAGGTTACCAATAAAACACAGGCAACATAGGTAACACAGGAAATGCAGGAAACCATGATTACACAGGCAACACAGACAACATGGATAACCCATATAATATATAGACAACATAGGTGATATAGGTAACACAGGCAGCACAGTTAATCAGTGTGAGAAATGTAACACAGTCAACACAGGTGGCAAAGGTTACACAGACAGTTCAGGTGGCACATGTGAAAGATTACGCAACCAAAACCAGGTAACACAGGCAACAGAAGTAACAAAAATTACACAGGTTGGCAAAAACACAGGTACCACAGGTGATATGTCAACCCACGCAAAACAAGTGCCAAGGGAAACACAGGCAACAGAGAGGAAATAAGTCATACAGGTATCGGAGGTAACACAACGGAAAACAGGTTACACACACACAGATAGTAACACAGGTGGCACAAGTAACCACGATAATATGGGTAACACATATAGCACAGGTTATACATGTGGCGCAAGTAACACAGGTTACAGAATGTGACACAGACAGCACAGGTAACAAAAAACAAGTACCATGGGCAACACAGTTAATGCAGATAATGGTGAAATAGTAACACCGGTAAAACAGGGGCCCGAGTTAAACAGGTGACAAAGGTTACACAGATAACACAGGTATTACAAGTGGCACATGTAGGTCAGGTGAAAAAAAGGAGTTCAGGGTAACACAGGTGACAGGTAACAATAAATTAGTTTTTATTAAAATAGATGACAAAAATAACATCTGTTAACATCTATAACAAATGGTTGAAATTATTTCAACTTCAGTCCTGACAGTCACTACAGATACTTTTTTCTTAGACAGTCACATTTTGAAATGTCTTACTCAGGAGTTCCTAAAGTTATTAGCCTGTAACCCCAAAAACAACAGTGCCAGAGACTTGGACAATGAGGGGCTGTTAAAATTAATTATCTTTGTTTGCATTATCTTATATGAAATGTAACAACTATTATTGTATGTATATTAAAATTTGTGTATAAAAGATTTTTTTTTTTTTTTTAAGTAATAAAGAAACATTTTTTGGAATGCGCCTCCATCAGTGGGATGTGACTTCACCCCAGGGGTTCTCCAACCTCACCGGGGGAGCCACTCTTTTGACAGATTTATTGCAACAAATAAATATAAGCAGCCATATTTAGAGCTGATACTTAAAGGACCAAAGTCTTTTGTCTGATTTTTTTTTTTTTTTTTTTATATATATATATTTCAAATTTTTAAAGAAAAACAGTCAAACTTTTATTCTTTACCTCGCTCATGTTCAGGCGCGATCTCTGAGAAGTCTCGACAGTCGAAGCCTGAGATAAAAAAAAAGCATGGGAACACAAACTTTTGACAAAATATTCTTTTTCCACATCTGTCAATTTCTTATATTATTCATTGACATTATTCAAATCAATTTAATATACATTTCTTCAAAAACCCTACCTGTACTAATTACTTTAACATTTTAATGTCAAATTTATGAAAGCTAGTGTTCCAGTTATAGTCTATATCTTATAATGATAAGGTAGAGTTTCACTCAGAATAATCCAGAGGAACAGTCGAAACAAAGCTTTAAAACAAGGACTAATAACACAAATACAGACATTATTTTGAGTAAAAATAGTCTGTCTTTTCTAAAATCAACCTCTTTGTCTCCAAGCAGTCTCTGTGTTGGTCCTAAAGAGTGCACATTTTTATTCTCAAACGTTGAAGTATGATTTCAAATAAGTCCACACAAAGAGGACAGGTAGAAAAGAGGATTTATGAACTACACAAAGCTTTATGGAGTTTTATGATTTTATTTCTGGGAAGCTGCTGCTCATATTGATGGAGGTCAACAGATTAAATGACTCTTCTGATAGGAATACAAACCATCACTCTGAAAATGTTTATTCTTGCATAAGTCTCCAAATCATATATGGTGGTTCAACAACCTCCTTGACAACCTGAACTGAAAAATCTGAATTTGATTCTGATTAGCATTAGCTGTGTTAGCAATGCTTAACACTACAGAATGACAATAGAAATTAAGTGGTCTTGTTCTGAGAAAGCGAAACTGTTCATATTCTATGTGTGTTTCTTAGCTTCAAAGTTTATTCCTTTTGATTTGTGATTTTATTTTAAGAAAGAGCTCATTCCAAACCTTAGGGCACTGAGAGCTAACCACTCCCAATGAGCTACTTTAAATTAGCATCAATTCTTCACAGTTCTTCCTAATTGTAGTTTGACTTTCTTCTCTTTGGTATAAAAAAAGGCAGAGCCTCAGCCAAGTTCAGGTAATGTTTCTTACCATTCATATCTGCTGCCTGCTCGCAGGAGAAGAAGATCCCTGTGTGAAACTTCCGCATGAGGAACTTCTCTTCGCCGGTCTCAAAAATATACTGCACCAGCCGGCTGTCATTGATGTTGGAGCTGTTGAAGCGGATGCAGAACCACTGCTTCACCTTAACTGGTGGCCCAGTGCAGAATGGTTTGGGCACTTTTCGGGTCCCCTCGCACCAGTAGCTGGTGGTCACTGCCGACAGGGCAAATGCAAACGCCAAAAAATTGAGGGTGAGTGCCAGAGAAGCCCGCCGGCCGCGCTCCAGCCTCATGGTCGAGGCCCGGCCGAGAGGAGGAAATGAAAAGGCAACTAATCCTGGATTTCAATATGTAGCTGCCGTGTTTCCCAGCAGAAATATCAAATCTTCATAATCTTGTTGGTGTAGGGCTCCAGGAGCAGGAATCATGCCGGCTCTCATGAAGCACTTCCACCTCTTTATTGGAAGATTCATCCTGTCCACAGGAACCAGAGAAAAACCATGACAGTCCATCGATGCCTCATCTGAACTCTACCTCTCTGTGCTGCTTATCCAACTCATCGCCCCTCCCTCTCTATGATATCATCCATTACAAATGGCAAATTATTCTTCAGACTTCCTTTGAGCATATAAACATTAAAAAAAGATTACTATGGGTTCAGATTATAATCCAGGACGTGGTTCTCCCTGCTGATTTTTTTCCATGTCATGTCTGACATAAGATCAGAGGTTTACAGTCGTTGTGACATAATGTGAACTGTCTCATCTTAGAATCCATCATCATCAAATCTCTATTGGTCTGATATCCTGTTTTGACTCTTTGAATCACTCTGTATGATCCATGCTTCATGAACTCGGCACACAGAGTCAAAACACTTAAAAAGAACTACAAAAAACTGCAGACTTATTTGTCTTTTCTTAAACCACTTGAACTTAAAGCCATTCATGATCCCCAGAGGACAAGTCATCACTTTCAATTCTCATCACATGCTACATTAAATTGATTGGTTGTATGTCTGCACAGTTGCTTCTGAAGGCACTTTGTTTAAAACTGTTTTCTCCTAAAGAAATGTCATGGATTGAGTGGTTCCAGATTTGGTTCCAGACCCATTCATCGAGGGTCTGGCTGGGCTCGTCATCAACCCAACTTGCCAATGGCAATCGTTTGTGTTGTTGCACTGAGATTGCTGGCAACTGGTTTCTATCTAGTTGGCACTGTTAATTGTTTGTCTACCTCTAAATCTAGCTGTACTTCATTGTGATATCGAAGGACTAGGGTGACCATATGTCGTCTTTTACCTGGACATGTCCTCTTTTTTAGAGGCTGTCCGGGTTTGTCCGGCTTTGTCTGGGGAAGTTTATAAAATCCCTCAAATCTCTGCAGTTTTGGTAGTAAGTTTGGATTTTGTGTGCTGTAGACTGGCTGAGATAGAAGCGCGTAAAAGACACTTGATCCGACCCGAGAAACTATCAAAATTAATGTGCGACTCTGTGACTCTGTGACTCCGCCCGCAGAGCAGAGTCAGAACATGGTCACCCTACGCAGTACAAGAGTAAATAAGTATAACATGCTCAGTATTTCTGTATCACGCTTAGTATATCTGTGATACAGATCATTTCTGTATCTGTATCACAGACTACTTTTTAACATGTTGCTTGCTCACAGACACCCCATACGCATGAGCACAATTAGCTTCAAGGGTGACTGATGTGACAAAATGACTATACAATATTGTCATCTGCTGGTCTGGCAAAAGTGTAAACCAACAAATGAGGACATTCAAGCCAGCGTGTAGACTAAAAAAGGAAATGTTACATGAAAATGGGCAAACCCTGGTAAACATTACAGCTCCCCGGTGCTAGCCTATGAGCTTGTCACTCTTAGCCTCATCATTCCGTATTAGCAAGCTATTGTTAGTGTGCTGCCATTATGACCATAAATAACTGGTTTTTATTATCTACTTTTTTGTCTTCTGAGCCACATCTATAATACACTAAAAAGTTAAGGAGTCACACAAGGCCAAAGACTAAAGAGACAAAGTACCGCAGGGTTTCTTCAAATTATTCCTCTGAGTAAGAAAAACAAAATATAACGTCAATACATCTATTTTTTAAAGACATGCTCTAGTTCAACTCTAGTTGGAAATTTCAAGTAACAGAAAAAAATGTTGCATATTTTTATTTTGGATTTGTATGTGTCCAAAGGTGCCACTACAAAACATATCTAAAAGTCTGATTTTAGTAATTGTAGAGCAAAGGTTTTAGAGTCCTGTCAGTCTCTGTATCAAAGATTTCTTTCATCTATATTGTGGGTTTATTGTGCTGTCAATTCCTTTGTAAAGTCAGGAGCGGTAGTTTGAGTGGAGCCAGCATTTCAGCGAGTAATTTTCAGAATCCAAAGACAAAGAGATTACGCTGAACATTAGCCTCTGAGTAATAGGAATGTCAGCGCTGTAGCTGATGAAGGAGTAAGCTTGTTTGCAGTGAAAATTCCCCCCTCTCATCATCTTTTACATAATGAATACCTGCTGGGGGAGGAGGAGAGTACTTTTCTGTAGAACCAGATGAGAGATCTGAATGTCTGCCTTTCTCACGGGATATCCTGAGAATTACGTGACAAAGACAGAACATGTTATGTGAACTGTTATGTGACGATATTTCATAAAGGAAGAATTGTGGTTCCCGCAGGGGTGGGATTGACCCTCTCAGCCCATGTACAGTGGATGAAAATCCCCTTAAATTTGTGTTTATCATATGTATGATGATGAACAGTATGCTGTAGGATCAGAGGGTGTGTGTCACTTTATTCATGAGATGACTGCAGATTAATGATGATAATACAGGATATCTGAGAGACTTTTAAGGTTACACAAATACATAATGATCGCTGATATCTCGGCTTTTAGGCTGGCATTGCCATTTATTTACAATAACATAATCACACATGCATACAATAACAACATTTGAGACCGAGCTGCAAATATCCACATAAACATGCTCAACTTGCATAGGTGTCAGACTAAGCAAAAACAAATCCCTTATTATTTAATTACATCTTATTCAGATGAGTTTTTTTTTTTATTTCCTCATTTGTTTTTTCTTAGAAATCTAATCCAACAAAATGATGACTGTCCCTGCGGTATAACTTTCGCAAACAATCATTATTTGTTCTTTCAAGAAAACTTTGTTCCCAAAAAATGAAAACTAATCCCATCAATATCATAAATTGTTCCCACAATGTTACTTATGTAAAGATAACTTATTCTCATAAGATGATAACTTGCCCCCTGGAGATCATAAAATGTTCCCTGATTTAGTGACTTTACTTCACTTAGTGACAATTTAGGCCATCACTTGTTTCTCCAAACCCCCAAACAAAAGTTGTTCCCACAAACTGAAAACTGTCACTTAAAAATGTAACTTGATCCTTTTGGACTATAACTCTTCTCCTAAAGATGACAAGCAGTTCCCTCAAAGTCATTTCTAGTTCCCTTAGGATCACATCTCTTTTTCCCCAGACCTGTTTCCAAATAATCATTTTGCCTCTTGTTCCCTCAAGATCATAACTTGTTTACTTCAGACAATGTGTTCTCATAACTTGTTTTTTCAGGATGAATACTTGTTCCTCCAGGATTGTAACATGTACTCTGCAATAAATGTACGCTCCCTGACAATGGTAACTTGTTCTTCATAAGATAATTATCTGTTCTCTAGAAATGGTAACTCTTTTTAAAAGATTATACCTTGATCCCTAAAGATGGTACCTTGTTCCTCATTGGATTATACCTTGTTCCCTGAAGACTGAAGATAGTACCTGCTTCCAAACAAGATTACACTTTGTTCAGTGAAGATGATACCTTGTTTCCTAAAGATGGTACCTTGATTTTAACAAGATTATTCCTTGTTCCCTTTAAATTCTACTTTGCTCCAAGTTACAATTCTTTCCCCAAGATCATAACTTATTCCTTCAAATTTTAACTTTGTTTTTATCATGATTTTGGCTACGTTCACACTGCGGGTTCTGATGCAAAATTAAGATTTTTTGTTATATCCGATCTTTTTGTGTGGTTGTTCACATTACAACAACGAATGCGGCATCTAATGTCAACGGAATTCGTCTGTGAAGTGGCCTGAATACGCACAAAGCACAAATTGCTTTCTGCGCCTGTTTGTGTTGTCGAACAATGGTGACATTTGTCGCATATTGATGATGAGTAGGTCGGATGAACGTGTCTGAGCGTCCACACTGCAGTCACATCAGATACATATCCAATTTATATCCACATACAAAAGAGGCCTGGGTTGGATTTGAAAAAATCTGAATTGCACTGGTCACACTTACATGAAAAAATCAGATATGTGTCACATATGGTTAAAAAGTCGGAACTGACATGCAGTGTGAACATAGCCTTTGACTTGCTCCCTCCAAATGACAATTAGTTCCCTTAGATAGTAACATGTTTCCCCCAATGTGATTGCTTGATCCCAAAATTTGTTACTTTGTTGACACAAAATTACAAAAATTAGTGTTTTAAATATACGTAAGGACACTGAAGAAGTGACTTAAGAAACCTGTCAGGACTTTTGAAGACAAATATGCTGCAAACAATATAAAATAGAAAAGTATATGAAAGAGAAAAGTAGAACGAGCCAAAACCAATGAGAGCCATTGACTCCCATTTGGAAATCACTCAGATAATTGTTGTTTTTGCATGTTCATCTTGAGAAGGTATATGTAGGTTAAGGTTTTATGTAATTTTAATATGAGTCGTAGTAATACCACATGCTGGTAGATGTAAAAAGCATCAGCAGAGATGAGTTTTGGTGTATTTTTATAGACATAAAACATACTTGTTTTAAGTTTTAATCTCCGTCGTCCATTTTGCATTACATCTACTCTCTCCATTTCTTTAATTACCTTCACTGTCTGCGGTTTTGGCTCCGCAGCAGCAGATGGTCTTATAATCTGTGGTGAGGCTTTTACACTGGAGACACAGATAATCTGATCCCACTGTAAAGGAACAATCCAAACAGTGCAGGGTTCACAACAAGCTCCAATGTCAGGCCACATGTCTGAGAACTGTTAGAAATTTCCTGAAAGAAAATAATCCAGATTTCATGGGAGAAAGATAAGAATGAAATAACAATATTGATGCACTGTGGTATTAAATATGATAAAGTTTCATGTAAATATGAATTCTTGTGCCTGTGGATGGTTCTACTGGAGCATCTATTGTTCATCTTTTGTTTGCACCTCCAGTCCTGAAATGTGTCTTAAAATGTCTCATAGCTCTGTGACGTACTTATCCTCTTAATCTACAAGACAGCTCCCTGGATTGAGAGAGTGAGAACCATAATCCGATTTGGCACCTCGAGGGGTGAACAAGAAGCAGATAACTCATCTGGGTCCAGAGGTTAAACACAAAGATACAACAGTCTTTACTGCAAGTCTGTCAGCAGGATGGGAAACACAAAGAGCAGTGCTTTATCCAAAGAACTTCTGGAGGATCTTAAATCCAACACAAAGTATACAGAGGTTGAGCTGTGCTCCTGGTATCAGTCCTTCCTGAAGGAGTGTCCCAGTGGGAAGATCAGCAAAGAACAGTTCGAAGGAATCTATGCCAGCTTCTTCCCAAACGCAGACTCCACTGAATATGCCCGCCATGTGTTCAGGAGCTTTGACACCAATGCAGACGGCACTCTGGACTTTAAAGAGTATATTGTGGCTTTGCACCTGACGTCGGGAGGAAAGACTCTGCAGAAGCTGGAGTGGGCTTTCGCTCTGTACGATGTAGATGGAAACGGAACCATCAGCAGCAATGAAATTCTCGAGATCGTCCGGGTATTTATAACTTCTTTCTTTATAAATATTGCAGAAAACAGAAAACCTTTGGTGATTGGAAGATTTGTAAAAACTGATTGAATAAATGAAAGTATTTGTAACTTTGGACTTTTTAAACAGAAACAATTAGGCTTACCATAACTTTCTAGAGTATGCTTATCACCTGTCTTCGCCTTCTTCTTCTTCCATCTTTATGTGCATGTGGTTAAGCATCGAAGTAGCATTTCTTTGATACACATGTTTAACACTCCATATCTTGCGCAGCATTTCACTGTCGTCTTTTTTGTCAAAATACCTCCACACATCACTTTCCTGACCACAGTTGACATGGCGCATGTGCCTGTAAGCTAATTGAGTTGCTGTACTTTAGCCGAGAACAACGCATTTGCGAGTAGTGTATCAATACTCGAGTGATGATGGTAACGAGTACTTGAGTACTCAAACATTCATCCCCAGCCCTAATATCCATATTCACTCAAAGGAGAATGTGAGTGTTCATCATATGTTTGTTAATTTTATTCATCATGGATGTTTTATTTTAAAAGTATTCTAAAAATTAACTTCCTGCAGTCAATATTCAACATGATTTCTGTGGATGACCAGAAGAACCTCCCTGAGGATGAAAACACACCGGAGAAAAGGGCAGAAAAAATCTGGGAATTCTTTGGGAAGAAGGAGAACGGTAACGACCGATTAAATGACACTGTTTGATAGCTGGTGTGATATCATTGTTCTCACACTGTGACTGTGCTGATACTTTCTTTGCAGATAAAATCTCTGAAGGAGAGTTCATTCAGGGTGTGATGAGCAACAAGGACATCCTGCGGCTGATTCAGTACGACGAGCCTCAAAAAATCAAAGCGAAGCTAAAAGAGAAGCAACAGTAGTTTATGATTGATAAGGGGATAGATGAACCTCACCTCCCACCATGTGCTTTTAAAACTGTTTACTTTCTTACACTGTTCGTTTGACTGCTGCTCTTTTCAAAATGTCTTTTTATTTTTCACTCAACTGTTATAATTTTGTCTTTGTGCCCAGAAAGTTTTTAGAAGCTGCACTCTTTGACGGAAAAAATGAAAATTTAAATGTTTTTTTTAGAAATCAATTATTGAAATAAAGATAAATTATACTGCCTCAGAAAACCCAACATAGTCATTACAAGAACTGTCAAATTATATTATTTATGATGCAGTTAAACAGACAGAAATAGAGGTGTTATTTTTCTTTAATCTCTTGCCATAGATAAGCTCAAGTTGACAAGTCAGACGTGTTGTGTACAGTGTAATGGAATTGAAATATCACCAAAGTACTTTGACTTTGGGCTCCACCTGTGAACTAAGCATACAGGTGCTGCTCATCAGGTATGTCAGCCAGCAACTGCAGCACCAATTTTGAAGTTTTTGAATCACCAAAGACCTGTGGATTAAGCTAAATCAAAGAAATTAACCACAACAGGCCAGCTTGGAGTCTATGGGATGTCCTCAGGTTGGCATATGCCATACTTCTGTGTGAAGCAATAGTGTCGCACATATCTGGACCTGTATGAAAGCAACGAAACTGGAAATCCTGAGGAGGGCATCAATTTGATTCTCAGATTAATTCGTATTCTGATCTATTGACACATAGCCTGTGTTGGCAAATTAATCTAAATTTGATGTTAACATAGCTCCGTGTTTGTTCACTCTCAGTTTCAGACATTAGTTGGTAATAATGACTTTAACAGAGAAGATTATAAAGGAGTTAGGCTCAGGTTAACAATCCACCTGATTAAGATGATCCTGTTAAATGCTGAAGGTCAGCAAATATAAACTCACACCTCACCCAGAGTTTAGTCCCTCAGATTACTTAACACCTCACACAGTCTCACTTCAAACACAGTAACAGTCAGATTTTTTTTACATTTTCTGATCTCATATGGTCAGTCTAACACAGACTCAGTGGAAATAGATGTCAGTGGAAATCTGAAGTAAATCCAGAAATTTAAAACATCATTGAGCTCATAGGTGGATCAAGGGATGAAATGACAAGTATACATTACATTGAGAAAATCTTAACATTTCTTTTCCCCTGTCCAGATTTAAAATGACAAGCATGTAGAATAAATTTTAAATCAAAAATTTAATGGATCGAGTCTTTATGCTAAACTAGGCTAACCAGCTGCTAGTTCCAGCAGACAGGTATGTATTGAACTTCTTATCTGAATGTCAGTTAGAACATCCCAAAATGCTGAGCTGTGTTATCATTAAGAATAACTGGACTTTATTTGATATGACATTATGTAATACCCATAATGCTGTTTGTTTTTAAGCTGGCTCAGGGCTCAGTTAATACCTGGGCATTATACTCTACTCTATCTGTGTCGCACACCTGGTTTATCTACCTTCAGGTCTGTTCTGGAGCAGATCCAGGTGAGTCAGTGATCTGAAGCGCAACGATTTAACTCACAACACAGAGAGGTCAGGTAGTGGCTGTGCTTTAAAACAATGAAAACATAAATCACAAAATATTACATTTGTGAAATCCTCTCAGCGGTTATATAATGACACAGTGAAGTTTAATTTTAAAAGGAGATTTATTGTAGACACTGCATTCCACAGAATACGCCTGACAGAAAGTCACGTATGGTCAAAACAGCTGGGAAACACGGAAACATCAGATTTAAAGCACGTTATGAAAATGTTCATCAACAAACTCACATCATCATCAAATTGCTGAATCTGAACATTGAATTGAAACTTATTAAACATTGAAAGCACAACACTGACACTGATTAAACCTGGAGCCTTTACAGTCTGTTTGTGCTGCATCCACCCACACAACAAATAAAGACTTTCATCAACTTAACACTGTGTAATGCACTTTAGCATTATGTAAGATAAGGCAGGTAAGCAGTTTGTTTTTTTTAGAGCAGGCAGCTGGATTAGGATTACCACTGAAATCTTTATTTGATTGGCTTCGTGCTTTTTTTTGTGAAATAAAAAAAAGAACGTCCACAAAAAGGTAATAATCCAAATAATCCAGAACAGACAGAGCACAACAGAATGTAGAGACACAGAGACACACACACTCACACACACAGAGAGACATACACTGTACATGCAGTCTATCATAAAATATGTTTTAATCTGTAAACCATAATTATCATGAATTCACAGCCTTACCTTCTTTTTTTTTAAGTTTGTTGAATTTCTATGACACAGGATTAGGGCCACATTTAGGGAAAAAAAGGAATTAAATGGAAGTTCTTCAAGGATGAAGTTGTAATGTTGAAAAAGAAATATTAATGTTCATTTGCAGTCTGTTCTCATTAACCCTTTAAATTTTAAGTTGTAAATTTGCAAGACTATGTGACAATTTTTCCAGACTTTCCAGAATCATATATTCACAAGAATAAAGCTGAAATTTTACATTGTAAAGTTTACGTCAAGTAAGAGTTAAGTTGATGTGCAATTGCCCTTTACAAGATTTAGGTTGTAAGAAAAGAAGTGGTAAAGTAACTTATTTGAACTCATTTATCTATTAAGTTAAAGTTGTAATTTCACATGAAAGAGTTCAAAATAGACAAGAACAAAGCTGCAAATTAACAAAAATGAATTTGGGAATTCATCTGATTCATCTCATACATTTTTTGAGAAAAAAAGTAAAATTGTGAAAAAAAAAACGAAGATATATTTAAAATTTCATCAAATTAAAGTCATACATTTACAAGAAACCATGTAGAATAGTGAGAATAGAGATGTAAATTTACGAAAATCAACTGATTTTTTTAACATTATAAAAGTTGTAAAGTCATGAGGAAAAGTTGCAAATTTACAGGAAAGTTGAAAATAAACAAGAACAAAGTTTGACAATAGTGGACTTGTTAATTCATCAGATTAGTGTCCTTTACTTAGAGAAAAAAATCTCTTATAATAAAGTTGTAAATTTACAACAATAAATATGTAAAATAAGTTTACAATGGTAAATTAAGTAACTCAGAATGGTAAATTTAATAACTCATGAAATTGAGTCATTTCATGGTAAAGAAGCTGTGATTATGGATGATCTTTGAGGAGACTAAAATAACTAATAGGATGACATTAGAAGGGCATCTAGCCGCCATCATGAGAAACATGGATTATCTTGTGACATTATATTCAATAGCTGAGAACAAACAGGTTGCAGAACCACTCTCTGACTGCATGGGCCTACTACACTCCCATCCACTCGAACAGATTCAGTTTCCTGCACAATAGATTGAAAATCTTGATATTTTTACAAAGTGGTGCTCATAAGCTCAAATATTGACTGTTACTTTATGTTAAAAAGCTATGCCAAAGGGAAACTCCACAAGGGGCTACATGTTACCGTATTAAATTAGTACTAGCTGCTGGTCTGATCTTCCTCTTCAAAATAACACCCGGGGCTTGAGTTATTGGGTTTTTCAAGTAAATTTATGATTCTAGGGGCTGTTCACGTGCAAGCAGCATTTGCAACCTCTATTTCAGAGTGTTTTTCACTGGAGTACTGTTGCTGGGTCATGAAAGTCACCCCACAGAACTTGTGCTTCTCCGAGCAGTGACCTTTAGGTCTTTTTTAAAGTGCTCTGTGGACCTTATATTTACTGTCATTCATCGTGTCGTAGCAGTGGAGGCAGCTCGAAATGTGGAAAAAGTACCTCGACAAAATAAGCTTTCTCAATTTTTCTTCAGTGCAAACCTCTTCGTTGAACTTCAAAAGTTGACTGTTGTAAATTCAATGCTTCTTCATGTAAATTTATATCTTTAACCATGAAACACCCCCTTTTTCCTGCAAAGTGGCCCTAATATTCTGTCATAGATTTCTGCCTCTGCTGCATGTTTTCTCTTTTCCCCGTCCACCATAAAGTTAATCTCTGTACATTTACCAAAAATAAACACACAACATGGTACAGTACAAACACCTGTGGCCTCAGGTACAGGCCGTGAAACATGAAACACATGGAGCCTGTCTGTACAAATGTACACTGATCATTCCAGGTGTTTCACCGTTAGGCACTAAAAGGTGTTTCAGAGGGATTAATCCACCTTTTTCCTCTGGACTGATCCAGCACAAACCCGGGCCTGAACCTGATCCACCGAGAGCGGGGGTCAGATTCACATCCAAACACCGAGAGTGTTCACTGCTGAGGTTTCTGGGTATTAACGCTGTACATGTAAAATCTCTCTTTGTGTTTTCGAGAGGGTTTATTATTTATTCTGTCTCTGAAGCAGAATACTTTCTTCAATTTCAACATCAAACAACCATCATGGTTCACAAACTGAGCAGCTCTTCGTAAACAGTTAAAGCGACAAATTTAAACATGCACATTTCACTAAAATGAATCAGCAAAATATGAAAATATATCATATTCATTCTGAGATCTCACTGTGCTTCAGTATCAGTATCTAAAATAAAAGTTTTATCAATTATCACTTTTTTTGTTTGGCTTCCACAAATCGGAAAAATGTGGATCGAAGCTCGAGTGAAAATTTTCAACTACAGATAATTTAACTTTTTAACAGCAGAGTATGTCAGATGGCATTCAGTGAACTAATGATGGCAATGTAAGGGTTAATTTAGGGGGAACATGCTGGTACTGGTTTCTGTTTTCAGACGATGATGTTAGAACCTTTCCTCGAGTTGTTCTGTCAGAGAAGATCTCTGAACTGTCCCTGGATCAGTTTGATCGGAAAGCTCTGCATGTTAAAATGCTGCAGACTGATTCCAGGTCAGTTTGTCTAAATGTCCAGATCCACAGGTCGAACCTCGCCTGTTTTATACTCCTTCACCCACAGCTCTCTGTCTTTGCCCGGATCCACATTCTGCAGAAGCTGGTCCACCGGCTCCACCGTCTGAAGAACCAGAGACAATATCAGTGAAAATCAACATCAGCTGTTTGTTTCCTGTTGCATTTAGATCATGGGATTGGGGTAGATTTGGGTATTCTTTGTTTCTATTATTTCTTTGTCTGTGTAAAGCACTTTGTGCGACATGGTTGTGTATGAAAAGTGCTATATAAATAAAGACTGATTGATTGATTTGAAGTCATTAAGCATCGTTCACCAAATATATTTAAAATGGTCAAACATAAGTGGCTGTGATTGTGTAAATATCATGTGAAATCAGTGCCGGTCAAGTTGCTTACCTGAAGTAGCTCCCAAATCTCAATTTGTGTATGTTTGTGTGTTAGATAATTATCACATGATTTGTCTATTTTCAATAAATAAACTGATAAGTGATTAATTGGAAAATTAGATTAAATTGTCACAGTAGGTAAAGGACTTAAAATCAGCTTTATGAAGTTAAATCATCTAAATCAAAGTTTGACTTAAATATGGGAGAACTTTAATTTTGTATATTCTTATCAAAAATGATGATAAAGACATTGAATATAAAGTTAAACTCACACTCTGGTTGAACATGTCTGTTTCATGTCTCAGAGTTGTGTATTGACGTAAATGCTGCTGAATCCACTCGATGCGCTCCACCTCCAGTTTCTCCAGCTCCTATAAACCATAAACAAAGGAAATAATGTTAAACCGGCTTAAAAAGGTCACTCTATCATTATCTAACATTATGATTATTATCAATCAACATGCTGCAGGTCACTGCCTCCTCATTATTTAACCATATTATCGATACAATACAAGAACTTCATTGATTCCCAAAAGGAAATTTATTCTGATCTCTAAACTGGAAACAGTTGTCACTCAGCATCTCAGCAAAGTGTCATCTTGCTCTGCCATGTTTCTCCAGTAGCACAGAGAAGAAAAGCTAGTAAAGGATATATATGTTTCCTTATGAAAAGAGCCAATTGGTTAAGGAATACTACTACTACTACTACTACTACTACTACTACTACTACTACTAATAATAATAATAATAATAATAAGAAGAAGAAGAACAATAACAACACCAACAATCAAAAGAAAAAGAAGAGGAAGTAGAAGAGGGTGGCTGCTGTGCACAAAATAATGTGAAAGAAGTTTTTGATGGTTAAAATGCATCACAAGAGCTTCTTGTCCTTGTAGGCCACCGTTGCCTGTAGAGCTTCACCAACAGTAGGGTTGAGCAAGGGTGCGTTTCCATCTTACTGTTACATATTCTCACTCCTAAACCTCTTTATTGATGAGGATGATGGTTGATGAAGTCAAAGATGACCAAGACGAAGTAAAATAATCACCATGCTGCTTGTCACCATTTCTTCAAACCACTTCGACTGGGTTTGGTTGTAGAGATCGATGCAGCGCATCAGGTCGTCCCCTAGGCAACATGAGGGAGAGGTCAAAGGTCAACACAGCAACAACAATAGAGTTTATCTTACATAGTTACACATAGAGTATTGACAACATTTAAAGGTAGCATAACAGAAACATAACAAATAAAACCTTAGACATAAAACATATCGAATTATAAGATAAAAAAAAAAGAAAGATGACAAAAAAGGACATTCCAATGAAATTATTAAGATCAGCACTGACTTACTAACAATCATGTTTTTATTACTCATTGTGTGTCTATATAGCAACATGTGTTTATTTATCAATATATGGGTGTATTTTTTAAAGAGTTGACTGTCTTGTTCAGCTCATTGTGTAATATGTTGCATTAACTCTGACTGTCCAGCAGAGGGCGATCAAAATTTTCTAAAGTATCAAGCCCCTGTTTCAAATGGATCAAATATTAATAGCTTTAGTACAAAAGAGCAAAAATATAATCAGACATGAGGAGATGCTACTAAAGGAAATATGTTCTAAAACTATGTATGTGTTTTCTTTCTGGAGTTAAACCTTTTTCTGAACCTCCATCAGATACTTTTCTGGGACACAATGTATCTCAGACAGTTCAAACTTGAATTTAAATTGAATTAGCATGTTAAATCTTTTCTACTGGGTTAATCTGCTGGCTAAGCAGCAGATTTAGAGAGAAAGACTCTTTAAGAAGCACACAGTATACACCGTCTGTAGTTACTGTAAATTCATATACACATGCAAAATACTTTTTTAAATGATCTCTATTTCTTTTGGTTTTACTTGAAAGTTTTTCAACATCTACAGATCAGCTTATCTGTGCTTCACTACGAAATCAGAGCAGGTTACTTTCTCTCTTTATAGATGCACAGGGTGGCGTAAGTGTTTGACTACAGAGCTGTGATTGGCGCTCATTAAACAATGTGATCTCTGACCCTTAACCTGCCTGTGTGTGGTGACCTTTGACCCCTGACCTGCCTGTGTGGATTTCCTGCGGGCCTTCTTGATGTCCTCCTCCGTCTTGTTGCTCAGTTTGACCTCCAGCTGCTGAGTCTTCAAATCCAGATCCTTCTGTCTGTCTGCAAGAGCTTTACGAGCCTGAACACACACACACACACACACACACACACACACACACACACACACACACACACACACACACACACACAGAGTGAGTAATCCTCAGATTAAGTGTACCTTCGTGTAATACTGTCACCTTTAATCTATCTTTAATCCTTTTTATTCACTTTCCTCTTCTCTGTTTTGACAGGATAAAGTCAGAGTATTCTCAACTCTGACACACACACACACACACACACACACACACACACACACACACACACACACACACACACACACACACACACACACAGTCACCTACACTTTCTCTTACACACACACCACATACCACTCACTCACACACACACACACTCACGCTCACAGCTGTGTTGCAACACCAAAGGGAGCATTTGAGGACTGATTGTGTTGCATCAGCGGGTCAAAGCTCCTGTCAATGTGTCCTACTTCTTCTAGGCTGTTGAGAATACGTGAGGGGACATCCTTTCAGGTTCAACTTATCCCATGATTCTTTGCACACTAGATCAAATAAGATAGTTGACTGCAGAGGCCGGGTTCTACACTGTTAAAGGGATATTCACACGTAAAATTAATTTAGGGTCAAACACATCGTAACTAAGAGTTAGACACCCCCTCGAGAGGTGATTGTTGCCGACCGTTTGCTTCTCCAGTTATAACAACTTGAGTAATGACCGCACAAGAGCAATACACAGTGGTCTCATGCGCCATAAACTAACGTCAACCAAAACGCCACTCTATAGCCACAAATAATGCTCAGAACAGCACCTAACTTTATCAACAGTACATATAGGGTCCTAGCCACAGCACTAGCCTAACATCTTTTTTGATTTGCCTAATTTCTTTAGTAAACACAACTCATCTAATCTCTTCCAGCAGCCACTTGTTTGTAGCGAGACCTCAGGCCAGTCCATTACGAACTACAGAGGGGTGATGCAGGTTAAAATTTATGTGTAACAATATTATCAGAGTTAGATAACCAAATTATCAGAACACTTCAGACAGAAATATGATAATCTGTTACAAATGAGGTGTTTGTTTCGGTCTGTGATGAGTATGTAAGTGTTTGACTTAAGATCCCAGCAGACGCTTATGATCAAACTTTTTTTTTTTTAATGCAGAAGGACCTAATAAAAATAACTTCAGAAGTGGTTTATTTTAGGTTGAATATCCGATGATGAATCAACAGACAGATTAAAGTATTCTCACATCTATTTTTAATTTCATGTGTCTGTGTTGGTGTGTATGTGTTTGATGATCCACTGATGTTAAATCTGTAACAGCAGATCTTCTTTTAGGATCCGTCTGATTTTAAACAGGTTTTTATGTCTCTTCAGGTTGGTAAAAACTATAACAGATGGTCAGTGAGTCTGTTCCATAAAGGAGAACAATCTTTAGGATTATGATGTTAGTATTTGAGATAATAATCTGGCACTTAATTGATATTTCAGACAGAGTACCTTTTCCACACCTGCGTAGCGGCTGGTCAGCTGCTTCCTGAGGTCAGCCAGTTGATGTTCGTACTTCTTCAGGTCCTTTTTGAAGCCGTCTCCTCTGAACGTCAGCAGAGGTTTCTCCACCTCAGAGTGTAGCTGGAGGTCAGATTATTTCAAAGTATTATTAATCTAATATTTTGTCAGTGAAATAAATCATTCACACAGCTGTTAATCTGTTTAGCTGAATGAAAAATTAATAAACAGTTGATTCAGTGAAAGAGAGTGGATGATAAATTTCCAGTGCTTGTTTTATTAAACCTCTAATGGACTCATCAGAAACAAATCAGAAAAAGTTGGTCTCTTAGATGTCTCTGCTGCCCTCCAGTGGATAAAGCCAGTCTGTTCATGCAGGTGAACACAGGTAACTTACCCATGAACTATCTATCTACTGGTTTATTAGTCTGTCTGTCAATCAATCTGTAAATAAATAAACAAATCTTTATCAATCAGTCAAACAGCCAATCAGTCTACATTCTCATCCATATTCATCCATCAGTGAACCAACCACCATTTAGTCAAAAAAGTCATTTATTAATCAGTCTGGTGACATTTTAACCAATCAACTAATCGAAAAACTAACCAACCAACAAGCCAACCAAAACTTTAACTTACTTATCAAAACATCAACCAAACAACTAACCAGCCAACCAACCAAATGGCAGAACACCAACTGACCAACCAGCTAACCAAAACACCAACCATTTGTTTTGAGTCAAAGATTTAATTCAGAAGAGTGACTTCAGAAAACTTTAAACAGAATATTGTCTCCATTTATAATATAAAAAACTTAATGTTAGAGATTATATTTCCTGTTAAAGAACAAGCAGTCTGTCAAAGTTTAAGTTTATTTTACCTTGTTGGAGAACTTTAGGTGTACTTCAGCTTCATCATGAAGACTCTTCTTTAGCTGCGTCCATGCTTCTCCCAGAGTCCTACATAAAGAGTCATTTATAAAAAACAATGTTTATTATTTGGCTTCATTTTTTCTGACATAAGAAGCTGTACTCATACTTATCTTGAAATTATTTAAACACTATATTAGAAGTTTTAGATTCAGTGATCAAAGAGTGCCACAGTCTTTGATTTGAGCTTCGTAAAGCATCATGGGAAATAATCTATTTTCACACTCCTGCTTCTGTTGACAGTTTTTATCAAAATAAGACCTTGTTATTTTGTTTTACTCACCCCTCCTCCTGAGCTGCCAGCGGGCTCAGAGACAGCTTCGACAGATTTTTGGCGTACTCTTCTTCAATCTTTATCCTGAAATAGAGACAAGACGGGAGTAAAAAGGCTGAAACCTGAGCTGACAGGATCATCACAGAACAGACACTGCTTCGATGAAGACAATGGAAAAATACAGCTACATTTCCTGAAAACACTCACAGACAAAAATAAGTTTTCAAAAATCACAGAGGAAGACATTAACTCTGAGTGTAACTAGGAGAGTAGCTGGCTTGTGACTTTCCTGGACTTGGTTCTGTTGTCCACGTTTGTATTTAATTAGTGCCTTTTTTACAGTACAGTACAGTTTTTGCACAACATGCATTCCATCTAAATCAACATGAAATTTTTAACCTACAAATGGTTGGCCATGTTGATTTATCATGTTGTCAGCCATGCTTTCTGTTTGCCACAGAAACTTGGGGTTAACTCAGATCTTGTGCTGCGTTCAAGTTACCTCGGAAGTCAGATGTCGGAGCTGAAAATGACGTCACACCCAAGTTAACAGCGTGTTAGTTACCCAGTCAGAAAAAAGCAAAATCGGAGGCGGAAACAAGATGGCTACATCTACGAATGTTATTTTAGTGCTTGCCTTGTCCGAATATAACAAGCCATTGTAGCCATCTTGTCTCCGCCTCCGATTTTGCTTTTTTCTGACTGGGTAACTAACATGCGGTTAACTCGGGTATGACGTCATTTTCAGCTCCGACATCTGACTTCCGAGGTAACTTGAACGCAGCATTATTCCCAGCACCGACATTCAACTTTTACAGCAAATGCAACACACCGTTAGCTATGTTTGCAGTCAGCCATGTTTACCATGGGCCATGTTCTCTGAGGCCATTTTTGCTACTAACTATTAACTGTCACCTGTTGACTGTAAGCCATGTGTACTTTTTGTCTAATTTAACAGTGTGTTATGATAAGCATCAGCCATGAACCATGAACTCTCAGCTATGTTAACCATTGCTTATGTTCACTGTAGACCATGTTAATAGTCAGCCATAGTTGTAAGTGACGTTCTCAGTATATATAGTCAACTATGTTTACTGCAGACCACTGTAATCCCTGTCCACTGTGGGCCATGTTTACTGTTGCACAAGAAATTGACATCAATGATGAAAAAATTGACCATGTGTGTTCAGATTATGAATTCAGTTATCAATGTGATTTTTCCTCTTTCTTTAACTCCTATTACAGATCAAATATTTACCTCTCATGGATAAACTCAGACATCTCCTTCTGCATCTGTTTCCCCTTCAGCTGCTTTTGGACCAGAACCTCAAAGCCCACCACCGACGTCGCCCCCTGAGGGTCCTTCTTATCCGTCTGAGGGAGAGGAGGGTGACATCACACAGATGACAGTTTATCAACAATTTAAAAACAGATTTTCTCCATTTTTTTCTCAGAACAATTCCCCCATTTAATCAGGATATCAACAATTTTACATACCATTTTCAGAAATATAAAAGACTTCTGTCTAGTGGAGATTAGTTTGATAATTTTAATGATGTTCCAGCTTGAATTACAGACTGTATACAGTATTTATTTCGTTCATTTAACAGACGCTTCGTCAGAAGATTTGGATGTAATAAAACCTTGACCCTGCATTCTGTTTAATGTCCAGCAGGAGGACACTCCACTGATTGTACAGAAATCTATGACAAAATGCTTATATTCTCAGTTAGTTTATTTCCATAGCAAACATTTTCGTAAGGAGCTAGAGGTCTCAGTCTGCATCTATGGGTCTTTATTCAATATAGTATGATGTTCATGTGGTAAGTTAAGGTCCCATATAGAGCAACGGAAAGGCATTAAATGGTGGGGATATTTTGTAATATGTATGCCATGACCACTTTGACCAAGAAACAATCAACTCATATAGACAGCAGCTCAAATGAAGCATTTCAGACAGAGGCTGAAATATTTGTCATCTATTTTAATACACCAGTGTGAGAAACAAGAGCCTTTTTTTTACTGGAAATTATGTAAAGCTATTGAAGAGGTATCAGGAGGAAGTATAGAGTCTGAAAAAAGCACAATACACACTCTTTAACAAACAGTAATGCAGACTAACAACACCCAAAGTAGGTGGGCGTAACACACGACCAAGCAGCAGAGGTGGATCATGGTTTGAAACTGGTCTAGATAACGGTCTTTGAATGATCAGTGAAATATAAAAAGCACACTGCAGACTGGAGACTTGTTAAATATCAAACAGCAATAGACAGTTAGTCTGGAGTGGTTATCATACAGATTGTCTTTGTGAAATATTAGTATTATTACCATGTTGCATTGTGACAAACGCTGTCTAATCCTGTTGATAATGGCCCAAGAAGATATGAAAAATGCATTGTAGCCGGCTATGCGTGTAAATACAGAGCAGATTGCTTACCAGGACCTGTGTCCTTAAATGCAGTCCCTTAATGTATGGACATTTCTGTGCATACCTACCTCAACAAGTGTGGAGTTACATAATAAGGATTCTCAAGTGAATTATTATAGCAATCAAATAAGAGAAGAAGGTGGCCTGTTACTGATTGATGCCAAGGATACGAGGAGAGGGGGCGGTCCTTATAGTGGCCTGGGGACACATGAGCTTACACACTGCCAGACCAATGTGGACATATGCATCCTAAGAGGTCTGAATCATCTGATCTCAATCTGTCTGTGGCATATCTTCAAGTATAGGAACTCGCTGAAGCTGTCCACTTTTGATCTGATTATCTGAGATGGATATTAGCCACATAAGGACCAATGTGTTGGACAAACTAAAATGCCACAGCTCAGTTAAGCAGGATGTACTTGTGTTTGTAATAAGAGTTAAAAGAGGAGAACTGACCCAGAAATAATCACAGTAACTCCATTCGTTTGGTTTCAGCAGCTGCTGCTCTGGACCCTCACCAGGAAGTGGAAACGTCACTCCGTTTATCTGAGGACAACAAGAAAAGAGCGAGGGAGAGAAAGGAAGAGAAAGAGAGGGATTTATTTTTCTTGTATTGGGCACACACACACACACACACACACACACACACTTAGTAGTCATAAGAACATGTGTTCACTCAGTCTGAATCCACAGAGACTCCACTTTCTCTCAGGCTGTTATTATGTAATATCACCATCTGTGTCATCACACACACACACACACACACACACACACACACACACACACACACACACACACACACACACACACACACACACACACACACACAAGCCAAAGCTGCATGAGCAATTATCGTATTTTTGTAGTTATTTGTCAGAAAGGATAAACTCATAAACACATCATCACATCACATTTATGCCCTCTTTAATCTCATCCTCTATACCTCTCATCTTCACCATTTCATAACTTTTATCATTTCTGTTCTTTTCTTGATCTTTCTTCATTATCATCACCTTCATATTCGTAATCCTAATTACTTTCATCATTAGTGTCTTTATTGTCATCATTCTCCTCTTTTCCCACCTCATCATCCTTCTCTTCTCATCAATCTCATCCACAGACAGAGGACGGTTGGGTAATAGAGGTTTGGTTTTAAAAATCAAATTATCAATCTCATCCTCCTCATGATCAGCCTCATCATCATCATCATCATCATACATATCATCATTATTATCAATGCACTAAAGCTGGATCAAAATTTCTTTAACTGAATGGCTCATATTCCTTGAAATCTCCTTGTAATGTTATGCTCAGTATGACAAGCTTGATCCTTACCAGGTCCTACTGTTGTATTTAAGGTTGTAAATAGTACAAACCTTGATAATCTCATAATCGTGAAGACTTGATAACAAAAATCTGACATCAGTCCTTAATTGACATCTGAGCGTTGCTTACATTACCATTTAGCCACTTCCAAATTAACAAAGATGTCAGGAGAAACAAATCTATCATTTTACTCAGGAATACTTTGGAAGCGCTACTGATGTTTGTTTTCAGGAACAGTGTTAAGTATTGTGCAGATGGGTGACCCAGTAAACTGTTTCTACTATTACAACTACCCAAGCATTTGCCCAAAAGATACCAGAAAACAGGATCACTCCTCAAACTATGACACTAAGAGATCTTACTTGTGCACCAGCAATTACGCTGATTACTTTCTTTGCCAATATCCAGAAAAAAAAAGGATTTAAAAGGATCCAGCTACTGGACAGGTAGTTGTGAAAGTAAGCTCCTTGGACATACAAATATATCGCTGACTACCTAACGTGACACCAACATAAACATTAGCACTTCCAAAGTTGTCATCTATGAATAATCACTTGACTTGCTTTTGCATCGTATCTGTGATGTTTTTCTCATAACTGTCAACAAGGAAGTGACTGAATGCTAATACTGGCTGTGTTTAATGCTAGCCAGGTTGTCAAACACATTTTTTCATGAAATTTACAACCACTCTCCAAGGGCATTGCACAAAATAATGGGCCACCGGGAGATGCATTCTTTAAGGGGCCCTTACCCCACATTGACAGCCATTCCTTTTTTATTAATCTTTATGGGTCCCTCCAACACTATTTCCCTCCACACCAGAGCTCTCCACCTTCTCTATCCTCTGTGTATGTGACTGCTTCTCAGTTGGGCAGCTGTGAATTAAACTGCTTGTAAAATTATTAAGATTTACACAATGTAAAGCCTTTAACACAGCAGTCAGACATGATGAAAATATTTAACACACTGAGTTTGATGTTACAATAAGATGACTGGTGGGGGAATTTGGTCTTTTTCAATGAAAACTACAAACACTCTGACCTTCATCTTCAATGACTGCAGAAGGTCACACTAAAACACGGACACCTAAAAACATTCACAAAACCCTCCACAAAAACATGGTTCTGCTAAAACATATACAGGCATGAACATGTGATCCCTGCAGTGATTTATGTAAACTCTTTATATGTTAATTTTCTCCATCTTGGGTAACCGATCATCACGACCAACAGATTTACCATTACATCGCTCGCTGTTTGGGGGAAGGGGTGTGTGTGTGGGGGGGTGATCTTTTGGAACATTTCGTTCCTTCTTTGTCATCAAACACTGAGACTGACCAGAGATATAATTTCAGTGTGAGATCTGCTGTCTCTGCTTGTTTATTTGTTTGATTGAGTTTAACTATCTTTTACCCAGAGACAATGAACACCGCAGGATGGATGGAAGATGAAATGTGAGTTTTGATGTGACTGATGTTTATGAGTCAAACGTTTCAGCAGACTGTAGGGGACTCTGCTGCTGTTGCTAAGCAACAAATTATCTTACATACATACCCACATTCACAAATTCAGTCACACACACAAGCACACAGAAAACAATCAGAAACAAACAGCCTTAGTCTTCCTCTGTTTCTTTTCTTCCTCCCACTGATCAATCAAAAAGTCTCATTGTGTCCCACCATAACAATCGCTGACAGACAGCTCAGACATATGCACACAATTATACACACACCCACACCCATCTATCATGATTTGCAGGGACAGCGTTCTATGAGTTCTCTGAGGACTTCCTCTTTTGTTGAAGCTAAAATGCTGGGCAAATGAGTTAAAGATCAAAGCAGAGCATTAATATATCCCTTTGAATAAAAAAAAAAAAACATTTACATGGACCTAACAGACTCATCCAAAATCTTATTTCTGATAACTATGTCATATATCAACACAAATAAAGAGAGGTTGTCCATCCATTGTTGGTCCTCAGAAGTACAGATAGACAACTATAGAGAGTACACACACACACACACACACACACACACACACACACACACACACACACACGTTTTATCCTTATCCTTGGGACATCATTCCATAAATTCCATGTAGACAACATTTTCTGTTCAAGCTGTAATTGTTGATCAAAATAATCTGCCATCATTAGAAATTGGAGGAAAAATATAAATATAAATAAATAAATATAATATTAAATATTAAAATATCACTTCAAATTACGAAACATTCATTAGGACCAAAAATACTCATCCAAGTTATTTATTTGTGTGGACTTTGCAAAATATTCACACAAGCGTGAAGACCCTCACATGAAATGTTGTCCACCAATGGTTTGTCCTCACAAGTAAACAAAAACAAACACACACACACACTTACAAGTGTATAAAGAGATTATGGTGCTGTTAAACAGGGTTGTGTTATCTGTGTTCAAAGGAGAGACCATACAAAGGCCCCCTTTTAATTCAGTCCACAACACTACAAGTCAAATTCTTTTTAAAAGCTCTGTGTTAAAGAGTTGTGATGTGTCTAATGATTTTTTTGAAATGGCAGGACCCACTGATTTAAGTTTCTCATAAAAACAAACTATTGTGTAACTGCACAAGTCCTCAGTGAGAGGAATTGATGAAGCTAATGTTAGTAAGACTGCATATTAGTTTCTTTGATTGATATTGGCTACACACCAAATGGGGTGATGCCAAGCATTCATCTCAATTTTGAATTTTGACATCTTTTGTTTTATGTGTGGCATTTCAGCACAAAGAAATTGTTTCATTATAGCATTACCACATAGACAGCAAGGAGGACAAGAATTCAACTTTTGAGGACATGTTCCCATTTAGTTAACACTTGAAGCCCAAGCCTGAACAAGATTAGAGACACAATTTTACATCCATATGAGTTTCATTTTAAGGCAACACTACACACACAAGTATGTTTTTGACATAATGTGAGGACAATGTTTTGAAATGGGACTCGTGGACTATAATTTCCACTCAAATGGTGAAAAACATGAATCTTGGATCGGAGGGAAGTAACAGTAAAAATGCCTCTTCTACATAAGAGCTTTCATCACTGCAAATGGGACTGATTTAGGTGTTTTATTTGTCAGGACTTTGCACAAACAAGACAGCCAAACAAGAAAGGATATCCTTTTTTGGTTGGCTCTCACTAATACAATAAGACAAACATACACACACAAACACAGCCTCTGTGTCTGACAAGCAGCAACAAGTCAAACAGAAGCATATTTTCCACAATAATCAAATAAATCAAAAATAAATTTCAATCCATGATATTAAAACACTGTGATGGAGTTGCAGGTGAGACTGAAGGTGAGCACAAGGTCACAGCCATGTCATGTGACTGTGTGAGGGTCATGTGACCCCGTAAGGGTCCATCTCCACAGTGGTGGGTGTGAGCATCTCCATGACAACCATGCAGGTTGTGTAACACACAGAAAACACACACACAGAAAACAACACCTAAGAGGGTTGACGTCATGTTTGTGTTTCAGGTTTTATCACCTGAGCGTTTGTTCTCAAATGCAGCAGAAATGCCACAGATGTGTGTGCTTGTTTCTTTTTTGCTTTTCAGAATAAAAGCCTCTCTGTGATTCTGTTAATTGGAGCTGATTAAGAGCAGAAAAGATTCTTCATACCTGAGATTCACCTGAAGTGAAACCACCACTGGGAACAATAAAATCTGTGAATTTCTTCTCTCATTGTGTTTTCTGTGAACACCCCCCTTCTCTGTCCCCCCCTATTGATCTGTGCTATAGCTGTCGTCACCATGGAAACTGGACCTGCTGCATCCTCACCGCTCTGCTGCTGGGAGGGGGTTTAGACCACAAAAACCTGACCGCCCCCTATCACACACACACTCAAACACACTTACACACACACACGCACGCTGGCCAGCCTCAACCCCACCTCTTCTTCATTTTCACCATCATCTTCATCATCATGACATATTACATAACTACAGCCTGTGTCCGTGTCTGAAGATAAGGATAAAGCTATATTTCCCTCCTCTTTATCACACAGAGACACAACTCTGAACTAAAAGCACAAAGTGTTCGATTCCCAACAAGCCTGCTGTGACCCGCTCTGCCCTGCGGCTCACTGTGGAAGCTGTGAGGAAGAGGAGGAGGAGGAGGAGAAACACTGATTCTGAAAACAAGACGGAATCAGACACACACACACACACACACACACACACACACACACACACACACACACACACACACAGCCCACAATGCACTGGGACTGGAGACAACAGAGATGAGAACTTTAGAAGAGGAGACATAGAAGAGGATGAAGGTTCTCGTTGATATACTGAAAGAAGAGGAAGAGGATGATGGAAATGAAGATGATGAAGATGAAAGTGGGGTCCATTTGAGAGAAGATTAAGAAGAGGAAGAGGAGGAGGATGAGGATGTTGGAGGTGATGAAGGAGGTGTGTGTACTCACAGTCGTTTTGGTCTCCTTCACCTCGTTGGTCCTCTTGGCGGGTGAGGAGGGGGCCTGGGGGGCCAGACAGGACGGGTCGTCAAAACTCTCCTCTGTGTCAAAACTGGCCTCCATCTTCATCATCCTCTTCCTCCTCCTGCTGCTTCCTCTCTCCTCCTCCTCTCCTCTGCACTGAGCCTTGCTCGCCCCACCTCCTCCTCCTCTCTCTACGACTCTCTCTCTCTCTCTCTCTCTCTCTCTCCCTCTGTCTCACTGTGCAGCGAGTGGAGAGGAGTCGTGTGCAGGGGGGAGGAGGGTGAGGAAGAGGAGGGTGTGTGTGTGGGTGTGATGAAGAGTATCCTCGGGTGAAGCTGCTGTCAGAGGAGTTTTTCAGGATGCTGCCTGTGAGGAGATCTGCATCCTCACCTTCCTCAACCCCCAACCCCCCACCATCACCCTGTGGCATCTACGCACAGTGAAAGGGGGAGAGGTGGGGGTGAGGCGGGTGATGGATGAAGGTGTTAGAGAAAAACGACACAACTGTGGAAGACAAAAAAAAAACCAACAAAACACTGAGGACAAAAGAGGAGGGAGTGTTTACATGATTTCTGACACGCCTCCTCTTTTCAGTGGGGAGGTGGGAGAGGAGGGGGAGCTGATAGTGAGGGAGGGAAGAGTGGGGGGTGTTGATGAAAACGTTTGAATGATGATCTCCACAGACCAATTATTATCAAACAGAAGGAGGAGAAGCATGTAGCCAATCAGACACAGCCTGTGTGTGTGTGTGTGTGTGTGTGTGTGTGTGTGTGTGTGTGTGCTTGTGTATTTCTGTGTGTGTTCAGCTGAGCTGCAAAACAACCCTTTCATCAAAGCGTTTATATTTTCAGTATTCCTTCCATCTAAATCTAACTGTAACTGTTGTTGGACACTTACTTTCTTAATTTAATGTTTAGAAATCTCATAAAAATTCAAACAAGATTTTAACTTTACATAAATCTGCCATTTTCATGTATAATATTATGTTATATGTGTATCGATGTAATTTAAGATTTAGTTTAAGATTTAAGATTTTAAGAAATATTTCATGGAATGAAATGTAGTTTCATCGTATGGTTTTGAGTTTTGTGAAATTTCTTTAAAATGTTTTTTTTGTATTTGGATTTTTTTTTTTTATTAATGAATAACATTTTCCTGGTCAGAAAAAGTTTGCTTTTGCTCTTTAGAAGCACTGTGGGTAAATCAATTAAGAATTAAATTAGACCAAAGTTACACGACGATCTGATGTTGATAGAAAAAGACTGAATTCCACATTAATCATTATTTTTTTAACAATAATTAAACCCTGTTGTTGATAAACTATTTTTTTTCTAATTCTTTTTATTTTAATATACTTCATAAAGTTTTCAGAATTTTTTTGCTGTGTCAAGTTTTACCTGTATGTTTAGTTTTGTCCATTATATGACATAATTTCAAAGTTTATAGAAAAATATGCAAAAACAAAACCTTAAAATCAGCTTTTGGCTGAGAGGTGTCTCTCATCCTAACTCCCTTTCATCAATCATTACACCAATAAATACGCTGCCATTAATTTTGTCTTTTCTTTTTTCAATTTAAGATTTGTGACTATTTTTTTATTTTTTTTTCTTAAACTTCAAGCTCCTGTAAACTTTAAATTTGTACCGTTACACTGAGTTAGACACCCGGTCAAGAGATGAATGTTGCCGACCGCTTGCTTCTCTAGTAATACCAACTTTAGTTGGTACCAGCTTTTGCTCAGAACAACTTCCTTGAGCTGCGTCCCCCCGCTGTAGTCAATGGACTTGCCCAGAGGTCTCTATACAAACAAGCGGCTGCTGGAAGAGAGAAGGTGAGTTGTGTTTAGTCTCTTTGGTAAAGAAACCAGGCAAAGTTAAAAAGATGTTTGGTGGCTAGCACTACGGCTGGGACCCTATATGTACTGTTGATGAAGTTCGGTGCTGTTCTGAGCATTATTTGTGGCTATAGAGTGGCTTTTTAGTTGAGGGCGTGACTCTCTGTATTGCTATCCTGTGGTTGTTACTAAAGTTGGTATAACTAGAGAAGCAAGCGGTCGGCAAAGTTCATCTCTGTATAACTCGATGTTACGGTGTGTTTGACTCTACCTTAATTTTACACCGGTATATCCCTGTAAGATATCATAAAAAGGAATCAATGTAATTTTCAGTCTATTTCACATATTTTAAAAACCTCTCACAGGAGCATTAAATTGACACATTAAGTCTGAACTTAAACCTACATGGTCTATAAATGTCAACTTTGAGTCAAACATAAAATCACACCCAGCTGGTGCACTTGGCCCCTAGTGTCCTTACTCACTTAATTGTGAGTGACAGAAAGAGTAATAATTATGAGCAATCACTTTTCTATCTTTTCTTAATGAATTAATTACTTGGACAGAGAGAGTCTCCCAGCTCTGAATCTGCTGTTTGCTGTCGGCCATATTGGCTGCTTCGCTTTCATCCACGTGGCATGTTTTCTCTGTCACTTTCAGACGTGATCACATTCATCAGTCACCTCTTCTCAGTGCTCCAGTTTCCCTCTATGTCTGTCTTTCCGAACCGTTTTCTGAGTCTACATCTGTCTATATGTATCAGTTTTCAGAAATAAACTTTTTCTATATTTTCACTTGAGCCTTTTCGGTACATAACCTTTGTATTAATCATGTTTATATGACCATAAAGTGGAGGTGAATGTTGCTTATTGAATGTTTCACTCTGCACACCCTTTATACCTTCAATATAAACCAGCATGTTAGAAGGCTCTTAATAAAATTTCAAAATAAAGCATGTAAATAAATCTCCATAAAACATATTTTCATAATGTGTTACGCTGCATTGCATTGAAACACATTAGACGACTGATTTAATGTGCCTGAACAGTTCATGCCCTGGTTTCAGCTTAAATGCTTCTGCATCATCTGTGACTCATCACCTGACACATACTTGGACAAACACACACACACATAAAAAGTCACTATGCTTTAAGGAGCACTCAAAAATCTGTGACCTTTGACCTCATCGTGGGATTAATCATCAGCAGGTCTGCATGAAAAACTCAGATTCACACTTTTACCCAAAGAAGACCAGAAAAAGTCAGAAACAGGTCAAATGTTTTGTTGTAATCAGATTTTTAATTAGATAATACTTAAGTCAGTTCGAATAAAGAGACTTTTAGTGTTAGCTGATTTTCTGTTTTAATTCAACTCTAATAGACTCTGTGTCTGATCTCTGTTTATGCTTCAATGCTTTCATTTTAGTGTATGCATTGATGTTGTGTTTCTTGGATTATGTAAAGTATCTAACATGAGGATGAGGGTTCAGTTTGTTCAGGCCTTGTCAGCTGATTCCTGCAGAGACACTCATACACACACACACAGCAACACCGACACTCACAGAGACACCATCTGCTGCAAACAGTAAGCGTCAAGAAAAACAAGGAAAATTCAGACACCATGAAATCACAGCCATTGAAATTTAAATATTAATGTTATCAGTGAAAAAAAACAGTCTTAGCTCTTCTCTAATAGTACAAAAATAATGAATAGTATACTTTGTTGTTCAGATGCTGAAGATGAAATCAAAAAATATTTTTTTTTCCGAAAATAAAGCACAGGGACCAAATGTGACTTGTGTTTTTTCTTCTGTTATTTCCAGGTATTTCTTAAATGATTCCACACAGCTGAACAGGAAGTCATTCACACTAAATAAAGCAAACACACACACACACACACACACACACACACACACACACACACACACACACACACACACACACACACACACACACACACACACACACACACACACATATATGTGCACACGGGCACACACACACCAGTGCATTGTTTTGAAGCTTCCTCCAGAGAAACAAACAGTGACAGCTGCTGAAGGTAAAAATAGATGTGTGTGTTTTTCTTCTGCTGTCACTGTGAGGAGACTTAATGCAGAAAAACAACGAAAGTGACAAAAACATCAAAGATATATAAAGAAAAAAAAATCATGGACAAAAAAAACAACAACAAGACAACAGAAACTACAAAAAACAAGTGAAATGTAAAAACAGCATAACTCTAAGGACATCAAAAACATTGAAAACAAAAAAAAGATACAAAATTTTTAAAAAGTCTAAAGTCATGAAAAAACAACGTAAAAAATAAAAAAGACAAAAAATATCAAAAAATAAAAGACAAAAAAATCAAGGGCAACAAAACATCAAAAGCTTTAACGACAACAACAATAACAAAATGCAAAAATGAAACAAAAATAATTCAAACTTATTTTTTAACACCATATTTAAACAACAAAAACTTCTAAAACCAAAAAAAGATAAAAAAGAAAAAGAAAATTTCTGATCAACTGAGTCCATGAAAAATAACAGCAGATTTCGGTCTTTGTTTGCTCTATGTTGTCTTCTTAGACGTTCTTTTCTGATTTAATGAGATATAAATCAAAGTGATTTATGGTTAAATATTTCAGTCATTTATCAGTGACTGTTTTTCCAGCCCTGTAATATTGCATGCATTTTAATACAGATATTAATGGTGCACAGAGATCAAATGATCTCCTTGTTGTGGTCTAGATTTAAAAACAGAAGAAGCTGCAGAGATCAGAGACTCAGTTTGAAAATGTTTGACTGTGTTTCTAAAAGAAATCTACACCTGCTAGCTAAGCCGCTCTGATGCTAAGCTAACATCCTGCCTGTTCTTTCTGACCTCACACTGACGTGACCTTGCTGACCTCCAGTGGTCTAACTTTAGACAAAAAACAACTGAAGATGACAATGCTTGGCTGTGATTGGGTGTCTCTTTGTTAAGGCTGCTTCCTGCTAAGGCTGCGATGTCTAAATTTCCTGTCAACTGTCTGAGATAATCCTGGAAATAATCCTAGAAATAAAGATAATAAATCCTCCTTAACGCTTGTCTGATCTTTATGTCGCCTTAGATCTGCTCTTCTTTATTTTGACGTCCAATACATCACCTTAACACAGACTGCAGAGGTTAGAGATGGTTTAGTCTGTACATCTATGTGTTTGTTAATATCAGGGAGTGTTAAGAAAAAGACACAAACTCTGGGTGAGACAGTTTTATCAAGTGTGGAAAAATAAATAATAAAGCAAGGCAATCGGTCCATTAATCAACTGTAATTAAATTGTATGGTTTTTTTTGGGTGCTGTGTTATTGGATCAAGAAAACACTGCTTAGTCTAAGGTCAGGGTTTGGCATTAACACTTAAACTGGTTCAGATAAACAGGTTTACTCTGACACCGGTTTAAATGCACACTGATTCACGCTAACGCATGTTCACACTTTTAACAGCTCAGATACCAAACTGATTTAGCCTCACATTGTTGAAACAGGGTCACACAGATACTGGTTTACAGAAACACAGGTTGACTCATAAGAACTGATTTACTTTCAAACTGGTTCATCACTTTTTCACATTTATACTTACTGTATTTATAATAACACTGGTTCATACTTACAATATTTATCAGAAAAAGTGGTCAAAACGTTTTTTAAGTTATTAACTGTCTTTTTTTTAATTAAAAAAAATTTGATTTCTCACTTATTCATTTTATTCTACTTATTATCTTGTGTATGAGACTTTCATATTTTTTGATTATATTGCAAAATTATCTTATGATTTTAACATGTTAAATTAATTTTAAAGTCTTGTTTTGACCACTTGAAGCTTCTTTTGTCTATCTAAAGTTGTCCTTATGAGGTTTTGCTGCACATAGTTGATTTGTCCTAGTTTAAATGTAAATTTTCCATTGTCCTCTGGTTTTAAATTCTGGAGTTATAATCAATTTTTTCTCAAAGTTAATGTTTGTAAAACTCATCTGTTTGTGTGTCATTGTGTTCTTAATGTGCATGTGTGTCTGCGTGTTTAATCCAGATAATTATCAGGTCTGTGAAACTTCATCTCTTCATGTCCATGTAAAGAAAATAGACCTCACACTGAGGACACACACGTCTATAAAAGACACTCACACACACGCTGTCCATGTAAACGAGAGCTGTTCTGTTGTGGCAACTTTATTTTATTTTCAAAATTCATCTTTTTAGAAAACTTACATCTAAACTTCAGACTTCTCTCTAAAATCCTCCAGTAAGAAGGTAAGTTGAAGTGAATTATGGATTTAATCTCTATTTTTACCAACATTTTTAGTCCTAAATATCTAATCTTCATCATAATACAAAAAAGACCAAACGTTTGATTCATGATCGTTGTTTAAGTTTTAAAACGTGATCTATCAGGAGTAGCCTATTGGAAAAAAAATAACGCTGTGTAATCAGGGGCTGCATTTCAGAGACAAAGTATTTGTGGGAGAAATAAATCTTAAAATTACGGTATTTAAAGGGGTTCAGACATAAACTAATTGAATGAAGATTAAGAGGACCAGTAAAACTTGATTCACGAATATGAAGAAATAACTCTGGTCATTTTTGTGTAAAAGCAAACAACTTCTAAAAAACCTGGTGTTACTGTATTTACATGAAATTACAACTCTTTTTCCATTTACTTTTGTGCACAGAGAGCGAGTCAATCAGAAACTTATTTAGTTATTCCTGTGGGAATTTTCCTGATATCCAAAGTACCTGCAAAACTTCTTACTCTTCTTTATATTCTAGTCCAGAATCTACCTCAAGTATGTTTTAAAAACTGGACGAGTGCAATAGTTCTGGACATAATGTAGGACATTGTGCTTGCTTAGCTAACAAACTGCTAACTCGCTAACAGGCTGTTTTCTTTAATTCAGCATGGTTTTACATTCAGATTTCCTTCTTCAGTTTTACATGATACACAAAACCTGACAGTTTAATGGGTTGTAGATGAAACTAGCCTTTCTCTCATGGCTACATTATTTTTTATGCTCTCTATACATCCTTATAGACATGCACTTCTGTGCATTGGACATAAAGGTATCATTTATTATTTCCATGGATCCTCAGGAGACATGGTGTAAACTCCCAAACACTTCAATCTCTTCAGACCTCCTCTAGACAAGTTGCACCAGGACGTCAACCTAGAATAAAGAAGTAGTTCAGAGGGTATCAGTCTTATGTCAGATGTAGAAATGAAAACTGAAAAACTGTTTTGTTGTTGTTGTTGTTGTTTTCCATCACTCAGGTGACAAAATGAGCACTGATGGAGAAATGTCAATCTTTGGGCCAGCGGCCCCCTTCCTCCGTAAATCTGAGCGTGAGCGGACGGAGGCCCAAAGTCGCCCGTTTGACAATAAGACGGCGTGCTTTGTGAGCGATGACAAGGAGCTGTACGTGAAGGCGGAGATCACGGAGAGAGATGGCGCCAATGTGACAGTGAAGACGCATGATGACAGGGTGAGATTATAATCATAACTGATTAATAACTCTCTGGATTAATGATTTTATCAATATCTGGATAACTTTGGCCTAATTTCATATTTAGATTTTCAACTTAACTTGCAGTAAAACTTTGATTGATTAGATAAGACTGAATCATCTTCCTCTTAAAGTTCTTGTAGTTCATCCCAGGGTTGATTGTGTGGGTGGTCTGTCTCTAAATAGTCCCCCTTTCTTTTACTTTAAGTTCAATATTGTTTATTGACTTCTGTTGAATGGCAGTTTTTAATGGTTGCATGTTTTCAGACAGTGAATCCAGTGTCTAGAAGTGCATCAAAATTGTAACGTTTAACTTTGGATCAACCTGTGTCTTTAGACAGTGACGGTCAAAGAGGATCAGGTGTTTCCAATGAATCCTCCAAAGTTTGACAAGATCGAGGACATGGTGATGATGACTCACCTTCATGAACCTGCTGTCCTGTTTAACCTGAAGGACAGATATGCTGCCTGGATGATCTACGTATGTATCATAGAGTTTAGCATCAGGTACCAGAGTTCAGATAAAATCAGAGAGCAAAAGAAAATTAATCAAGTTGTTGAGAAGGAAACTTCATTCAAACTTTATCATCCGTGACAGAATTTAATGTTTTAAAACTGATCTACAAGTTGGGGTTAATTCATTTACGTAGTTATATCTAATAAGAAGCTGAAATGATGATTGACACAAAACAACTGAAGTTCAACATGAAGTGTCAGTTTCCTTTTTTAAATTAGTGAATTCGGGAAATGACCATCATTTTATCAGCCAAACAAATACTTTCTGTCCATGCGTATGTAAATGCTAAACCATCATGATGAATTGTGCCAGTATATAAACATTTACAACATCCACATTACAACGGAATTAAAGACAATCAATGGCTAGCTGGTATAGCATCGTGTGTTTTTTTTTTTTGTATTTTCAGACTTATTCCGGGCTTTTCTGTGTGACGGTGAATCCTTACAAATGGCTGCCTGTCTACAACCCAGAGGTGGTCCGAGCCTACAGAGGGAAGAAGAGGATGGAGGTCCCTCCTCACATCTTCGCTCTGTCGGATAACGCCTACCAGTTCATGCTGACAGGTGTGCTACGTTCACGCTAACGAGTACAAAAAGTTTATGCTAACAGGAATATGAAGTTCACACTAATGGATATCAAGCACACACATTACAGACATGCTAACAGGAGTGTTAGGGTTCGTGCTAACGTTTATTTGATGATGCTTGGTTTCCAGTTGTTGATTAATGTGTAACTGGAATATGTTTATAAATGAAGTCCAGCACAAGGTGCATTTTTTTACAGACATAACCTTGGTAGAAACTACCTATGGCCATCATGAGATGGTAATTTTATCTGATGAGTTTGGGTGACCATATTCTGACTTCCCAAAAAGAGGATATGACTACACGTGGGCGGAGTCACGAAGTCGCACAAAGTTAATTTTGAGAGTTTTTCGAGTCAGATAGAGCATCTTTTACTCAGTAAGTCCACGTGACACAAACTCAAAACTCACATACAAAACCGCAGACATTTGAAGGATTTTATAAACGTACCCAGACAAAGCCCGACAAATCAGGACAGCCCCCCAAAAAGAGGACATGTCTGGGTAAAAGAGGACGTATGATCAGCCTAGATGAGTTATAAATTTGTCAGTACTTCAGACTAAACCGTAATTCGCAGAATAACCCTTCATTACAAAATGTGTTGAGGCTACATAAACAAATCCTTATCAGTCACAATCGTTCAGTAATCAATACAGGCAGCTAAATCTATAAATAAACTTTGAGCTAGTTAGCAGCCTGTTAGTTCAGCTAGTGCACTGCAATAAAAAAAAAACCTTGAAATTTTCTTACAAAACTTTTGACAAAAATGTCACATAGGAGGTAGGGAGTTATTTTGGCACCTAGGATATCATGGAAATTCCTACACGACTACTTAATGAACTGCCTCTGTATTATATATTTAAATGGAAATTAGGCGTAACAGAGATTATATTTACTAACAGGTGAGATAAGTGCATAAGATAGATTTCAAATCAACACCAGTTAAAGCTAATCACTGTGTCTCTTTATATGCCCTCAGATCGAGAAAATCAGTCAATTCTCATCACGTAAGTTCTGATAAAGTTTTCGTCTAAAAAAAATAAATAGCCAAAGCATTAATTGAATATTTCTGTGTAAATAGATATAAGAACTGTAATACTGATTCTTATTTTAGTGGAGAATCTGGTGCAGGAAAGACTGTCAACACGAAACGTGTCATTCAGTATTTTGCAACCATTGCCGTTTCTGGAGACAAGAAGAAAGAGGTGAACAGTAAAATGAAGGTGAGTTCACTTCAATGGGCAGTAGATTCTGTTTTTATGTTTCAGTTTTGAGAGTAATTAATTCAAAAAGGGTTTAAATTTGTTTGATTTTTGAAGGTTCATGTGTTTTCTGTTGGTTCAGGGGACTCTGGAGGATCAGATCATCCAGGCTAACCCTCTACTGGAAGCCTTCGGAAACGCAAAGACGATGAGGAACGATAACTCATCCCGTTTTGTAAGCTGAAGGATAAATTGCGATTGAACATCTTTTTTATGTAACACATGGACTCTTAACTTTTTTTGTTAAATTCAACAGGGAAAGTTTATTCGAATCCACTTTGGTGCAACTGGTAAACTAGCCTCTGCAGACATAGAAACATGTAAGTTTAAACACTTTTTTAATTTAAAAAAATATTTGATAAATGATGTTTTTGAACACTTAAAGGGATTTTCACTGTTGTAGATCTGCTGGAGAAGTCCAGGGTGACATTTCAGCTGTCGGCTGAGAGAAGCTATCACATTTTTTACCAGCTCACCTGCAATAAAAAGCCTGAACTGATTGGTAATTTTATTTATTATTTGGGATTTTGTTAAAGAGATATTCAAAGACAGCTATAAGAGCTTTATTTCATCTCTCCAGATCTTCTCTTGATCACCACAAACCCGTACGACTTTACCTTTGTCAGTCACGGAGAAATAAGCGTGAAAAGCATTGACGATGCTGAGGAGCTGATGGCCACTGATGTGAGTTGAAGATGATAATGCACCATAATTTTTTGGTTTTCATCTTACCTATTTATCCTAATCTATTACACAGGAGGCTTTTGACATCCTGGGTTTCACCAGCGAAGAGAAAGCTTCGGTCTACAAACTGACGGGGGCAGTGATGCACTATGGGAACATGAAGTTTAAGCAGAAACAACGAGAGGAGCAGGCAGAGCCGGATGGCACAGAGGGTGAATATCATCAAACAGCGTTGATGGAAGGAAACAGAAATAAAAAGACTTAAGTTATGATGTCAGATTTTAATTGGTTATATTTAGTTAAGTTAAAGGAATATAGATTTCTTTTTTGGTGGGTTTCACAAACTGGGTGTTGACATGTATCCATCACTCAGCTGTGATTCTTCCTCCAGAGGAAGGATATGTTTACTCTGATCTCTACGGAAAAACCATCGTACACTGAACTATTTAGACTCAATGTAGGAATTCATGGACTGTAAATGACTAAGATATTAGGAGCCCCTGCACTCCTAAAAAAGCATGTTTATTTTTTAAATCTTGTGCGCATAAGAGATTGATGTTGTTGGAACAAATAATTATCTTGTGGATGCACAACAATTACCAATGTGTTAATATATTGTATCATGTAATTATTGTCCTGTGCACACAACAAAAATATCTTGTGTGAACAAGTAATTATCTTGTGAGCAAAGAAAATTATCTTTTGCACACAAGAGAATTACACAATATGGTATCTTATGCCCACATAATTATCTTGCAAACATAGGTCAATATTATGTTTCCACAAATTTATATCTTATGTACAGAGGAAAATAATCTTGTTGGGACAAAATATTATCTTGTGCATATAAAATGATCATCTTGTTTGCATATATTTTATCTTGTGTTAACATTGACATTATTTTGTCAGAACATGTACGTACCTCATGCCAACAACACAATTATCTTGTACTCAAAAGACAGTTATTTTATGTGCACAAGATATTTATCTTGGACGCACAGTAAAATGATCTTGTATGTGTTACTTGTGCACACATGACAATCACTTGTGAGCGCACATTTTTATATTGTGCTGCATGAAGGAAATTTTTCACTTTTTGGAACCGGTTGTAGTATTTATATTATATCGTATCTTCATTTATGGATTGACTTAAAGATTGATGGATTCAGATGAAATTAAACACCAAGATTCTGAGAGGACATGGTAGGGATTTCTGCTTTGATGTAAAACCAAAGAGAATGAAACTGAGATTCATGCTGTCATATTTTTATCTTATCTGTGTTTGTCAGAGGCCGATAAAGCTGCGTATCTGATGGGTCTGAACTCTGCTGACCTGCTGAAAGCGCTCTGTTACCCCAGAGTCAAAGTTGGGAACGAATACGTGACCAAAGCACAGAATGTGCAGCAGGTCAGACTGCTGATAATTTGGTTGTATTTATACATCCACCGCAGAGTGATATGATGTGCTGCTTTCAGTAATTTGTGATAAAGAAAAATTAAACACAGTACACAACTTTGAAAATAACTACTCTTGTCTGTCTTGAACCCAGGTCTATAACTCTATCGGTGCTCTCGCTAAATCAGTCTATGAGAAGATGTTTCTGTGGATGGTTGTTCGGATCAACCAGCAGCTCGACACCAAACAGTCAAGACAGCATTTCATTGGCGTCCTTGACATCGCAGGATTTGAAATCTTTGATGTGAGTGTTTACAGTCTGTAGCTCTAATTTTTTAGATAGAGGTTTCATAAATAGAAGTCATTGCCGTCGGTATAATTCTTGTTTTAGTTTAATAGCATGGAGCAGCTCTGCATCAACTTCACAAATGAGAAACTGCAACAGTTTTTCAACCACCACATGTTCGTGTTGGAACAAGAGGAGTACAAGAAAGAGGGGATCGAGTGGGAGTTCATCGACTTTGGGATGGACTTAGCAGCCTGCATCGAGCTCATTGAGAAGGTGAGATTTACATCCTGAACATCAGTTATGTTCTTACTACAAAACTAAAAATATCAACAAAGATTAAATAGATATGTTGAAATTGTGTTTATAGCCGATGGGGATCTTCTCCATCCTTGAAGAGGAGTGCATGTTCCCAAAATCTACGGATACGTCCTTTAAAAACAAGCTGTACGACCAACATCTGGGGAAGAACAGCTGCTTCCTGAAGCCGAAGGTGGTCAAAGGGAAACCTGAAGGTCACTTCACCCTGATGCATTACGCCGGAGCCGTCGACTACAACATCGGCGGCTGGCTGGAGAAGAACAAAGATCCTCTGAACGACACGGTGATCCAGCTGTACCAGAAATCCTCAGTCAAAACACTCGCCATGCTGTACGCCAGCTTCTCAGGTCAAGATGGTACGCTTAGATTAAAAAACAGGGAAAAGATACCTGTTTACAGATCCAGCATCTAAACTGTCGTATTGATGTATTCTTGATGCAGATTATTCATGTTATATATGGTGACAGTGGCGTGTTGTTGATGCAGAGGCAGCAGCAGCAGGAGGAGCCAAAAAAGGAGCCAAGAAGAAAGGAGCATCTTTCCAAACTGTTTCAGCGCTTTTCAGGGTCAGACTCTACCTGGCGTTAACCAAAAAATCTTGATTCCTTTTCTGGTTGAAGTGTTTTAGTTTGCAAATCTGTTGGACTGAGGAGTCTGGTGGAAACTTGGATTTTACTATTGTACATAGGTTAAAAAACAATAATCTTATAGCTGTCACTGAAAAGAGACAGGGCTCATTAGAAGTCACTTTTACCTTTCAACATTGAATTTTCTTTCAGGAGAATTTGGGGAAACTCATGACAAACTTGAGAACGACTCACCCTCACTTCGTACGCTGTCTGATCCCCAATGAGACCAAAACTCCAGGTGGATTTTTACTCTCTTCTTAAGACTTTGAAACAACAATATAGTACTGATGGTAAATCAAGGATAAGACGTGATAACTAGTAAAAATTCATCATTGCTGCCTATCATAGGTTCCATGGAGAACCTCCTGGTTATCCATCAACTTCGCTGTAATGGCGTCCTTGAAGGAATCAGGATCTGTAGGAAAGGATTCCCAAGCAGGATCCTCTACGGGGATTTCAAGCAGAGGTAAACCACTTTGAAATGTCTTCAAGTATTTGGTGTCTTTTGAAACTAAAGTTTAATTGGACGTTTTATAATCCCTGTTGTTTTCCTCTGTCAGATACCGGATCCTGAATGCCAGTGCTGTTCCTGAAGGAACCTTTATGGACAACAAGAAGGCTGCAGAGAAACTTCTGGGCTCCATTGACGTTGATCACACGCAGTACAAGTTTGGACATACAAAGGTTATATTCTCTAACTGAACTCTAAATGTAGACATCTTGAGAATGATATGACCCACGTAGATCAACTTCACAGTTGGATTATTTCTGTATTTTCAGGTGTTTTTCAAAGCCGGTCTGCTCGGCGCTCTGGAGGAGATGAGAGACGAGCGTTTGGCTCAGGTCGTGACGTCGACTCAAGCTTTATGTCGAGCCTTTCTCGTTCGGGTCGAGTTTCAGAAGATGATGGCCAGAAAGTAAAAATATCCTCTTATTTGTCACTCTTCCCGAGGCATTTTCCTCTAACCATAACCATTCCTCTAACATTCCCAAAGCCACTGTTGCACCGTGTAGCTGCGTTGACATGGGCACAAATAATCGGAATAAATGCGCGATCAGAATAAAAATGCGTCATGTAAACATATAGATCGGAAGATTCTGATCCAGTTCAGCTGAATCGAAAAGAAATTCTATTCTGATTGAGAGGGAAGGTTAATGCCGATCGTTATTCTGAAACGCGTCCATGTAAACACTTATTTTGAACATGATTCTCTAACCTGACTCCATCTTCACTCTTTAACCTTTTGCTCATTTATTGAGGTCAGTACAGGAGGTTTCATTATTAACACTCTGGCCTCAAACAAAACAGCAGTCTGTGTCTGCTCCTCCCGCAGCATAACAAGGCGTACATACAGCGTAATGATGTCACATCTGCACGCACAGTGCAACCTTTGACAGAACAGTAAAATAAGTACGCAAGGGCGCCATCTAGTGACATCATTTAACAGGGGGAAAACTCCTGAATTGGATAGAGTGAGCCACTACTGCGTTTGTTGCTTTGTTGACAGCACAGGCAGAAACACAACTCTTCGTCTGCAGTCGTTTTAGTGAAATCAGACAACTCTGCACATCTCCAAATGCTTCTAATTTGAATAAAACTTGGTGCATGTATACGCACGTCATGATTGGATCATTTGATTTTGCGCCCATATAAACAGTGGATTCAGATTATCCGATCCCTCAAATTTTTAATCCGATTAAGAAATTTTGCACATGCAAACATGGCTTGTGATTGCTTTGTGTCTGTTTTGATTGATGTCCACCATCTGTGCTAATATTCATTAACCACCATCTTCAGCTTTGTGCTGTCTAAATATAGAGATTACTGTTAAAATACCCTTCATGTTGTTTTGCCAATGCTTTAAAAAACTAACAGTTTTATCAAAGTGTCAACAGGCAGGGGAGACATTATTAATGGGACACTAGATGTGCCATCACTCCTTTCCTCAGATAGGATGTGTTTGATCAGGTTTTCCCAAGCTATTCAGTCAATCACCATGATCGAGGGTATTTGTGGACCAATCAGGATCAAGTATCTCTTGCAGCCAAATGATCAATATGAAAGCTGTGTAATAGATAATATTTCAAGTGTGAGAGAGTGCAGCCTTGTCAAACTAACATTTATTTAATTCTATGAGACACTTGTCAGACAAACAGGACAGGTGAGTTTATGTGAAAGACAGAAGTTTAAATCCAGAATAAAGTGATCCTGATTTCGCTCTGACAGGGAGGCCATCTACACCATCCAGTACAACTTCCGCTCCTTCATGAACGTGAAGCACTGGCCCTGGATGAAGCTGTACTTTAAACTCAAACCTCTGCTGAAGAGCGCCGAGGCTGAGAAAGAAATGGCCCAGATGAAGGAGGATTTTGCTAAACTCAAAGAAGATCTGAGCAAATCTGAACACAGACGCAAAGAGCTGGAAGAGAAAATGGTGTCTGTCGTTCAGGAGAAAAACGACCTGCTTCTGCAAGTCCAGGCTGTAAGAATTGCTCCACCATGAACATGAAGTTTTCAATATCACCTGCTGAACTCAAACTCATCATGATCACCTGTTTAACTGGAGTAAGTACCAAGCGTTTTGTTATTTTACATGTGTCTGAATCAGGAGGCAGACAGTCTCCAGGATGCAGAGGAGAGGTGTGAAGGTCTCATCAAGAGTAAGATCCAGCTCGAGGCCAAACTGAAGGAGGTGATGGAGCGCCTGGAAGATGAGGAGGAGGTGAACGCTGAGCTGACTGCCAAGAAGAGGAAGCTGGAGGATGAAAGCTCTGAGCTTAAGAGAGACATAGACGACTTGGAGCTAACGCTAGCTAAAGTCGAGAAGGAGAAACACGCCGTAGAAAACAAGGTTATAACATGAGCAGATTGCAGATAATTTATCATCATGTTTAAGAAGGAATAATAAAGTTAGTTCTATGTGTTCAGGTGAAAAACCTGACGGAGGAACTTATGAGTCAGGATGAAAACATCAGCAAGGTGACGAAGGAGAAGAAAGCTCTGCAGGAAGCTCATCAGCAGGTGTTAGACGACCTGCAGGCAGAGGAAGACAAACTGAACGCTGTGAGCAAAGCCAAGACCAAACTGGAGCAGCAGGTGGACCAGGTGAGGAACACAATGACTTCACTTAAGTCAAAGTTTAGATCCTCCAAATCAAATATTCCTCCAAAACATGTGAAAGTCATTTACTCAGATTCATACTAAATCATTAAAAAAAAACCCAGAGCAGAAGTAGTCAGAACATTCACAGAAATTATGTAAAGTATGAAATGTCTTTCAAATGCAGTGGAGTAAAAGTGATACATTTTCCCACAAAGTAAAGCTTAAATAATATACGGATGTTAAAAAATGTACCAAAGAACAGGACTCAAGTTAATTTACTGTGATTGTCCAACAGTGAGCACTGATAATACGCTTAATAATTGTCTTTATAACAATAATTTGTTATAAAGACAAAAGTTAAGATGCTTTAAAGCTTTAAAGGGATATTCCAGCATAAATATGTTATGGTCAAACACACTGGAACACCGAGTTAGACACCCCCCCGAGAGATGAAAGTTGCCGACTGCTTGCTTCTCTAGTTTTACCAACTGTAGTAACGACTGCACGATAGCAAAACACAGCGGTCTAAGGAACCATAAACAAACCTCAAACAAAACGCCACTCTATAGCCACAAATAATGCTCAGAACAGCACCTAACTTCATCAACAGTACATATAGGGTCTTAGCCATAGCAGTAGCCACCAAACATCTCTTTAACTTTGCCTAATTTCTTTAGCAAAGAGACTAAACACAACTCACCGGCTCTCCTCCAGCAGCCACTTGTTTGTAGGGAGAGCTTGGACGAGTCGATCACCGAGAGCAGCGGGGTTACGCAGCTCAAAGAAGAACATAGCGACGTATTTGTGGCTACAGAGTGGCGTTTTGGTTGAGGTTTGTGCGTGGAGCCCTAAACCGCTGTGTGTTGCTATAGTGCGGTCGTTACTAAAGTTGGTATAACTAGAGAAGCAAGCAGTCGGCAACATTCATCACTTGAGGGGATGTCTAATTCAGTGTGTGTTTGACCCTAACTTAATTTTAGGACAGAATATCCCTTTAAGCTTGGAGAATATCTTAAATATTCACCTGAAAGTTCACCTGTATTTGCAGTTTTCTGTGTCTAAAATGCTTTTGTGTGCTTCGAAGCTGGAAGCGTCTCTGGAACAAGAGAAGAAGATCAGGATGGATCTGGAGCGTGCAAAGAGGAAGCTGGAGGGAGATCTGAAACTGAGTCAAGAGTCCATCATGGATCTGGAGAACGAGAAGCAGCAGCTGGACGAGAAGATGAAGAAGTGAGTCTGTCTTGAAGAATTTGGCTCCTATGAGGGTAAAAACAGCGAAAACAATTGTCTGAAGTTTGCTCTTCCCCCCGTGTTTGTAATAATTATCATAAAGGCAAGAATCATGAGAAACTCTTATCATCTAAATTATACCATTAAAGCTGATTAAAAAGTCATACATTTTTAAGCTGATTTAACAGAACATTTTATTTATGATGAATGAAAAATAAAGCTGAAGATTTATTTTAACCAGGAAAGACTTTGAGTGGTCTCAGCTGCAGTCAAAGTTGGAGGACGAACAGGCTCTGGGTGTTCAGCTGCAGAAGAAAATCAAAGAGCTGCAGGTGAAGATTAAGACTCCAAATCTATTTTAAAGTGATTTTAAGAAAAAAACTAAAGTTGTTTTATTCTTCGTCTCTGATCTACAACGTTGTCTTCAGGCTCGTATCGAGGAACTGGAGGAAGAAATGGAGGCTGAGCGTTCGGCACGAGCTAAAGTGGAGAAGCAGAGAAGTGACCTCTCCAGAGAGCTGGAGGAGGTGAGCGAGCGACTGGAAGAGGCGGGAGGAGCCACATCCGCTCAGGTGGAGCTGAACAAGAAGAGGGAGGCGGAGTTTCAGAAACTTCGCAGAGAGCTGGAGGAGAGCTCGCTCCAACATGAAGCCACGTCAGCCGCCCTGAGGAAGAAACACGCCGACAGTGCGGCTGAGCTGGGCGAACAGCTGGATAACATCCAGAGAGTCCGACAGAAGCTGGAGAAAGAAAAGAGCGAGCTGAAGATGGAGATGGATGACCTGGTCTCCAACATGGAGAGCACAGCTAAGGCTAAGGTTAGCCATCAGATCCTGAACATCTGTCATTCACAGGATCATCTGGAGTTCTTAACCAAGTTCTTTTTTTTGTTTTTAATTTTAGATAAATTTAGAGAAAATGTGCCGCTCGCTGGAGGATCAGCTGAGTGAGGTGAAAACCAAAGAGGAAGAACATCTGAGGCTCATCAATGATCTGTCCAGTCAGAAAGCTCGGCTCCAGTCAGAAAGCGGTAAAGAGTATAGCATCAGGAAATTTAAGTCATTCCAAAAAAAGTTGGTAACGTGTTGATTAAAGCAGAATTTGATGGTACGGAAAAAATCAAAGCCTGTATCTGATTGGAAATAGTATAAGAAGCAAAATAGTGGTAATTAAAACTGTGAAGAAAAGTGATTGTGAAAAATATATGCTTCTTCTAGCAACAGGTATCAAAAAGTTCACTAAGTGCCCAGATCTGTAAACCACCCATGCAATGATCACTTATGCATTCCCGATATCATCGCTGTCTTTCTACTTGCCGCCAGAAACAAGCCGGTTGGTCCATCTCCTCTTCGCTGATGAGGATGCTGAATCCATGATTTCCAATTTAGATATAACAAAGTCAAAATAATCCCAAATGTCCCCATACTGCCTGCGTTCAAAAAGCATCTGAAATCACATTTATTCACTGAGACCCATGGTCCTTAACCACACCGCCCCACCACCCCCACTTCTACCCCCTCCCCTCCTCTCTCCTCTTTCCCCTAGCACCATCTCCTTTTGTAAAGCGACCTTGGGTTACTTGAAAGGCGCTATATAAAACTAAGTTATTATTATTATTATTATTAAACTATTGAGGTGACAATAAAAAAAACATGCTCTCTTCAGCAAGTCATTTCTGATTCTTTCATCTTTCTTTTCAGCTGAAATGTCTCGTCAGCTTGAAGAAAAAGACTCTTTACTGTCACAGTTAACTCGAGGAAAACAGGCGTTCATTCAGCAAACTGAAGAGTTGAAGAGACTCCATGAGGAGGAGGTGAAGGTGAGCGCTGAGAGATGTGACCTTTAGAGAAAGCTGGGGGTCAAGATAACTCAGTTGAAAAGAAAAAGACAAGAGCATTGAAGTGCTTCGATGTTAAAGTGTGAATCAGAGTTTAGGACGTATCTCAGTGTTAGAGAGTGATTCTGTAAATCCTCATCAGGCTAAGAGCGCTCTGGCTCACGCTCTGCAATCGTCTCGCCATGACTGTGAGCTGATCAGAGAGCAGTACGAGGAGGAGCAGGAGGCCAAAGCTGAGCTTCATCGCTGCCTGTCCAAGGCCAACAGTGACGTGTCTCAGTGGAGGAACAAATATGAGACAGACGCCATCCAACGAACCGAGGAGCTGGAGGAGGCTAAGTAAGAAGAAAACCCTTAAAAATACAGTTTATTTCAAATGTTTCATTAAGGTGAAATGACAAAAGTATTTATATATATTGTACATAATCTGGTCTATGGTGTCTCCCCCTGCAGGAAGAAGCTGGCTTTGCGTCTGCAGGAGGCAGAAGAGGCGGTGGAGGCGGTGAACTCCAAATGTTCATCTCTTGAGAAGACAAAGCAGCGTCTGCAGGCAGAGGTGGACGACCTGATGATGGACGTGGAGAGATCGAACGCTGCTGCTGCAGCTCTGGACAAAAAACAGAGAAACTTTGACAAGGTTTCATCATCATAACGTTTTGATTTATATCTCCATCATATTCATGCTGAGGGTTTGTGTCTGCAGGGTTTGTTTTGACTGAAAGTTCAGGTGGGGGGTTTGCGCTTTTTGTGTTTCCATACTGTTGATATTTCTCTCTTGGATTCATGTTAAAAAGACTCAAATTTCCTGCTTTGAGTTGAAAGTATTAAGTGAAGAATTTCTTTCAGGTTCTGTCGGAGTGGAAGCAGAAGTACGAGGAGGGTCAGGCAGAGCTGGAGTCAGCTGTTAAAGAGGCCCGAGGACTTGGCACAGAGAATTTTAAGATGAAAAACGCCTTTGAAGAGTGTCTGGAGCAACTGGAGACACTCAAACGGGAAAATAAAAACCTGCAGCGTACGTCAAAGCTGCCTCTTAATCTCAGCCTGAGCTCCAAGTCTCTAAAAGCAGAAAAATAAAACCTTTTTTATCCTCTTCTCAGAGGAGATCATGGATCTGACCGAGCAGCTAGGAGAAACTGGGAAGACCATCCACGAACTGGAGAAATGCAAGAAACAGGCTGAGCAGGAGAAACTGGAGGCTCAGACATCTCTGGAGGAGGCTGAGGTGAGAAAGAATAAACTTTTCAATATTTAAACTTCCTCGGAGACTAATCTATCCTCTGTTCTCAGGCCTCCCTGGAGCACGAAGAGTCCAAGATCCTGCGAGTCCAGCTGGAGCTCAACCAGGTGAAATCTGAGGTTGACAAGAAGCTGTCGGAGAAGGACGAAGAGATGGAGCAGCTGAAGAGAAACAGTCAGAGAATCATCGACACCATGCAGACCACGCTTGACTCGGAGGTTCGCAGCAGGAACGATGCTCTGAGACTGAAGAAGAAGATGGAGGGAGACCTTAACGAGATGGAGATCCAGCTGAGTCACGCCAACAGACAGGCGGCCGAATCCCAGAAACAGCTGAGGAACGTCCAGGCACAACTCAAGGTAAAACACACAGAGCTGCTCTTAAATTAGTAAAATGATATCCAGGAAGTGGATATATCCTTAAAGGTGTTGTTTCTGTCTTTAAAGGAACTGCAGATCCACCTGGATGACGCTCTGAGGAGCAGTGAGGACATGAAGGAGCAGGTAGCCATGTCAGAAAGGAGGAGCAATCTTGTGCAGGCAGAGATGGAAGAGATCCGAGCTGCTCTGGAGCAAACGGAGAGGAGCCGTAAGCTAGCAGAGCAGGAGCTGCTGGACGCCAGTGAGAGGCTGCAGCTGCTGCACTCGCAGGTAGAAACATACCTGAATATATCAATCAGATTATTGATAAAAGGTTCACTAAATGGAGAATAAACGAGTATCAAAGTCATGAAGTAAGCATGATCTATGCAGGCTGCTAGAGATCAGTGGGGATTGTCTCACTTATGGAGTAAACCTCTAGTGGACACTCAAGGAACTGCAATTTTTTTTAGGACTCAAGCGTAAATGAAAATCATCCTTTTGTGTCCTATTTTAGAAACCTTTCAGGTGTAAAGAAAAGACTCAAAAGAACAGCCATCCAGGACTTAAAGCCTGATTTGTTGACAGCTACAATGATAAAAAGGACATTTAAAAAACCTATCTGCGTTTTTGTATTTGCTGTCTTTATAATATTGTTATTTAATGATGTGTGACAGAACACCAGTCTGCTGAACAGCCGTAAGAAGCTGGAGGCCGATCTGTCCAACATCCAGTCTGAGATGGAGGACAGTGTTCAGACAGCGAGGAACGCTGAGGAGAAAGCAAAGAAAGCTGTCACTGATGTAAGAGAGGATTAACGATATAAAAAATCACTGTATTATATTTGTTTTTGACCTTAATGTTAGTAAAAGATATGCATTGCAGTTGTTTTAAAACCACATCATATCCTCAGCTCCTCAAACAGAATTCAGTCATTTGGTTGTTGTTTGTTTGTTTCCAGGCGGCGATGATGGCAGAGGAACTGAAGAAAGAGCAGGACACCTGTGCTCACCTGGAGAGGATGAAGAAGAACGTGGAGGGGACAGTGAAGGACCTGCAGCACCGACTAGATGAGGCAGAAAACCTAGCTATGAAGGGCGGGAAGAAGCAGATGCAGAAACTGGAGGCACGGGTACGAATGATAGATCTTATTTTTAGTAAAGCAAACATTGGAAACTTTTGGCTTTTTGTGAGTTTTGGTGCCCTCTGCTGACAAAGCAGGATATCATATTTCCTTGCTGATGTGGTTATTATGGCTTTGTTTCACCTGTGCTCTCCAGGGTCTACCTGGATCCTAATCTGCTTACAGAGACAAAGATATTGAGTTTTACTTTCTCTCTTTGAAACAAACTTGTGTGTGCAGGTTCGGGAACTGGAGAACGAGCTGGAGGCTGAACAGAGACACGGATCAGACTCTGTGAAAGGAGTTCGTAAACTGGAGCGCAGGGTCAAAGAGCTTGCCTATCAGGTAAACAGTGAACACAACTGATTTATTTTGATATAGAGGATTTTCAATTAAGGGCTGCGTGGTCAGTGCTGAGAGAGGACAAAACAATTGTGCTAAGTTTAACTAAGGTCAAATAAAATTGTGTGTTTGAGTTTTTCATGTTTTCATTTTCAATGAAACTTTCGTACCTAACCTCGTCTGTTTGATTTCTATCAGAGCTGTGTGGGACAAGGTTAACAATAAACCCAAACTCCCATCATCCCTCTCCACTCAGTAATATAATTAAGCCATTTGTTTTAATTTACTCTTCTGGGCTAATTCCACCTTAAACTTTTTATTTGCCTTATCTGTTTCGTAAACGTTGTTTGAGCTGAACTGACATTTGACACTGAAATGTCACATGAGGCAGAGGTAGACCAACAACTCCTGAGAAAACAGTCTTTTGTAATGTTTAGACGCTTTCACTAACAAACAAAGCATCATGAATAAAAGAGTTGGTTTCTGTTTCAGTCTGATGAAGATAAGAAGAACATGCTGAGGCTGCAGGACTTGGTGGACAAACTGCAGCTGAAGGTCAAAGCGTACAAGAGACAGGCTGAAGAGGCTGTGAGTATAGAAGGCCAACGCCGATGCAAATAATCAGACAGCAGGTTGGCCAACGAGTGATATAATACCCATATTCTGCTGTTGTTTTTTGTCTTTATTTTTGTTGAACAGTTAAGTTTACATGATCCGTTTTGTAAATTGTGGTTACCTTGCAGGAAGAGCAGGCCAACACTCACTTGTCCAAGCTGAGGAAGGTGCAGCACGATCTGGAGGAGGCGGAAGAGCGAGCCGACATCGCAGAGTCCCAGATCAACAAGATGAAGGTGAAGAGTCGAGACCTAAACAAGGTGAGTCAGAGCACCTGAACAGACACAACAGATCTTAGCCTTTTTTTTTTACATTCACTGTGTTTTTTGATCTTCACTATCTTTCCATTTTAATTTTCTGATCATTTTGTTCTGATCTTCAGAATAAAGACAGCGGGGAGTAGTCTCTGGTCATCATGACAGCTGTGAAGCTAGCGGTGTGTCTGAGATAGTCAGCAACATACTCCTAACACATATTTATTAATGTATTTATTAATTATTTCTGTATTTAAAGCCATTTTATGCGTAGATTGATATTTTGGCATCAATTTTAGACAATGCTTTAGTCACATGGTTTTTGATTTATTACTTATCTTTTATTTTATTTTGACCCTTATTAAGAAACTCTCGTTCACATCAGCCAGTGTGAAACCCTTCTATACCTTTCCCGCTGTTATTTCATCATTAGACACAATATTACACAAACACACTCATTTTTTAAATTTAACTGTTTTATGTCATATTAACACTAGAGGGTGCCAAACTGTCATTTTTTATTCACATTGTGGCTTTAAATCAGAAGTGATGAATATACTTGTGTCGTTGTGTAGCTGTTGTATGTTGCCTTAATGTCAATAAAGTGTGAATAAAATCACTAATTGTTGCACTTTCATTGATTCAAATATGCCACTCCACTCTAAAGAATTAACTTATATGTTGTGCACAGAAGTGACTCATTTGAGCGGTGTCCATTTAATTAAACAGGAACAAAGAAACTCAAACAATTGATCTTTAATGTGACAAACATTTATTTACTAAAACTAAAAACAACAAAAAAATTAAATGTGGTTTAATTCCAAACATCAGGTTAGTGTGAAACAAATAGAAATTATTAAATGCCTCAGAGTGAAATAATCCAAGAAACTCTGGCAGTGTTTTTGAAGTTGTCGACCTTATCTTTTTGTGAGCTGAGTTTACTAAACTAGATCCATTAGTAATGACCCGCTATAACAGTTTTAAATCATTCTCAATACCAAAAACGACACCAGGGACAGTCTGATCACACATGTCGTATCAAATCATTAGTTTTAAGAGTCTAACTTGTTTCACCTCTAACTGTTGACACTGAGAGAGGTTTAAAAAAAAAGGTTGAAAAGGTTAGTATCTGTTAGCACTCTCAATCACTGGGCTCAAAAATGTGGAGAATATTTTTTCACACTGAAGTCTATTTTGTAATCTAGGTGACAGCAGCAGAGCTGGTGAATACATCTCTAAGCTGCTGATGACTATAAAGTGACATTTGCTGAAAGCAGTCTAGATCAGTTGTTCTCAATCCAGTCCTCGAGGCCCACTGTCCTGCATGTTTTGGATGTTTCCCTGCTCCAACACACCTGATTCAAATGATCAGCTCGTTATCAAGCTCTGTAATGGCCTAATAACGAGCTGATCATTTGAATCAGGTGTGTTGGAGCAGGGAAACATCCAAAACATGCAGGACAGTGGGCCTCAAGGACTGGACTTGAGAACCACTGGTCTAGATGATAGTGTGTAAAGTTGTGACATTGGCCTTATTTGAATTTAAAATTTTCTGATTAAAGGAGAAAATATGTTAAGACTCTGACTGTAAGGCTGTAATGTTATGGTAATAAAATCAAATTAAATTCAAGTTGTTTCAGAATAAATTCATCACATTTAGAGAATAGAGTTATATTTAAGTCAAAGCCTGTATCAGGAGAATTAAGTCATAATTTTAAAGTCAAAGTAAAACTGTAGTTTTGGTAAACCAACGGTTTTGGCTGCTGGTTGGATTTCCCCTTTTCAATGGTTGTAACTAAAATGATAACCTTAAAATAAATAATGGCCTTATACCAGTAAGCTTTACAACTTTGTTCTTTAAAAGTGGATTTTTTTCTTAATGTGGCCCCAATACTCTGTGGTATAAAAGAATAACTTCATACAGGATCATCCATTTTTACCTATTTCTCATAGTTGTAACTTTACGCCTCTAGTTTCTTTGTTGTTGGTGTCACAATATTTGTTGTATTTCTAAAATTATATTTTTATATCAGTTTTAATGATGTTAATATCGCTCACTATGTTAAACCACATGTTATTGTTTGTTATGTCAAACTTATGTCTCATGCACATACTAAATTTTCCTCCCAGCTACTCGCCCTGTCCCTCTTGGGTCTGAAAAACAAAATAAAAGGAAATATTAAAAGGTTTATTTTTCTATAATGCTTTATCAAAGCAGTCAGACAAAACCTGATATCACTGAAAATGAATTTCTTATAAGCATAATTAAAACTTTTATTTTAAACGTATGAAAAATAAAGTTATAAACCCTGCATTCCTGCTGCTTTCCAGCAGGGGGTGACTTTATAGTTTGGTAAAAAGCAGCCTGACTTTATACACTCACCGGCCACTTTATTAGGTACACCATGCTAGTAACGGGTTGGACCCCCTTTTGCCTTCAGAACTGCCTCAATTCTTCGTGGCATAGATTCAACAAGGTGCTGGAAGCATTCCTCAGAGAGCTTGGTCCATATTGACATGATGGCATCACACAGTTGCCGCAGATTTGTCGGCTGCACATCCATGATGCGAATCTCCCGTTCCACCACATCCCAAAGATGCTCTATTGGATTGAGATCTGGTGACTGTGGAGGCCATTTGAGTACAGTGAACTCATTTTCATGTTCAAGAAACCAGTCTGAGATGATTCCAGCTTTATGACATGGCGCATTATCCTGCTGAAAGTAGCCATCAGAAGTTGGGTACATTGTGGTCATAAAGGGATGGACATGGTCAGCAACAATACTCAGGTAGGCTGTGGCGTTGCAACAATGCTCAATTGGTACCAAGGGGCCCAAAGAGTGCCAAGAAAATATTCCCCACACCATGACACCACCACCACCAGCCTGAACCGTTGATACAAGGCAGGATGGATCCATGCTTTCATGTTGTTGACGCCAAATTCTGACCCTACCATCCGAATGTCGCAGCAGAAATCGAGACTCATCAGACCAGGCAACATTTTTCCAATCTTCTATTGTCCAATTTCGATGAGCTTGTGCAAATTGTAGCCTCAGTTTCCTGTTCTTAGCTGAAAGGAGTGGCACCCGGCGTGGTCTTCTGCTGCTGTAGCCCATCTGCCTCAAAGTTCGACGTACTGTGCGTTCAGAGATGCTCTTCTGCCTACCTTGGTTGTAACGGGTGGTTATTTGAGTCACTGTTGCCTTTCTATCAGCTCAAACCAGTCTGGCCATTCTCCTCTGACCTCTGGCATCAACAAGGCATTTCCGCCCACAGAACTGCCGCTCACTGGATATTTTTTCTTTTTCGGACCATTCTCTGTAAACCCTAGAGATGGTTGTGCGTGAAAATCCCAGTAGATCAGCAGTTTCTGAAATACTCAGAACAGCCCTTCTGGCACCAACAACCATGCCACGTTCAAAGTCACTCAAATCACCTTTCTTCCCCATACTGATGCTCGGTTTGAACTGCAGGAGATTGTCTTGACCATGTCTACATGCCTAAATGCACTAAGTTGCCGCCATGGGATTGGCTGATTAGAAATTAAGTGTTAACGAGCAGTTGGACAGGTGTACCTAATAAAGTGGCCGGTGAGTGTAGAAGTCAAGCTATCCCCTCAGTACACATTTTATAATCAGTACATGGTCTCAACCTCCAGTTTCCAGTCTTCTTCAATAAAGCAGGACAATCATTTTATGAATCTGACACTTCATCCTTTACACAAATATGTACAATTTTAACTCCACAAAAAAGACGATGAAAGCGATCATGTCTGCAGACTGTTGTCCAAATAACCAAAAGGTGATATAAAACAGTAAAACAATGATAATCATTGGGGTACCTTTGATCCGATGTCTCGGCTCTTGGCTCTCATCTTGTTGGCAATAGATTCGGCCACATCGGCTCTCTCTTCAGCCTCCTCGAGCTCATGCTGAACCTTCCTGAACCTCGCCATGTGGACGTTAGACTGCTCCTCCTTCACACATAAACATGTTACATATTTTAACATATGAATATATATCTAACTGTACAACTGAAGGTCATTATGTGGATGATGGTCCACTCTTCCTTTGTACCATAAATCTATGTTTGTAATACAGTGTTCAGGATCATTTACATAACATAAAATAATTATACATATATACAGATGACTGCTGAACTCACAGCCTCCTCTGCTTGTCGTTTGTACGCCTTCATTTTGATCTGCAGTTTGTCCACCAGGTCCTGAAGTCTGATGTTATTTTTTTTGTCTTCATCCGACTAGAAACAAGATCACAAACTCTCTCACAGTCTGTTTTTTTTTTTAAATACATAAATTATTAAGAAGGAACTAACAAGCAGAGCATGTTTACCTGATAGGTGAGCTCTTTGATTTTTCTCTCGTACTTCCGGACTCCTTTAATGGCGTCTGATGAGCGTTTTTGTTCAGCCTCCAGCTCCATCTCCAGCTCACGAACCTGCACATGGAAACAAAATCACTGGATTGCTTCTTATATTGAAGGTAAATTTGACACTCTAAATCTAAATACCATCCAGCATTCGTACCCGTGCTTCCAGTTTCTGCAGCTGCTTCTTCCCGCCCTTCATTGCGAGGTTTTCCGCCTCGTCCAGTCGGTGCTGCAGGTCCTTCACAGTCACCTCCAGGTTCTTCTTCATCCTCTCCAGGTGAGCACAGGTGTCCTGCTCTTTCTTCATTTCTTCTGCCATCATGGCCGCCTGCAGAAAGACGGATTATTTAATAAATTTCAGTAACTTTGTGTTCATCAGATAATGGTATCCCAGCTCTCTTACATCAGTGATGGCTTTCTTGGCCTTCTCCTCAGCATTTCTCGCCTCCTGAACAGCTTCTTCGATCTCAGAGTGAAGCTGAGTCACATCAGCCTCCAGTTTCTTCTTGGTGTTCAGGAGACTTGTGTTCTGATAGAGAAATTAAAATGTTTTGAATCCTGCTCCAAAGATTTGGTTTTTAGATGAAAAACTGAAATCTACCTGAGAGTGTAGAAGCCCCGCCCTCTCACTGGCGTCCACCAGTTCCTGCTCTGCAAGTTTGCGGCTTCGCTCCGTCTGCTCCACGATGACTCTCAGCTCCTCGATCTCCGCCTGCATCAGCACTGTCCTTCGCTCCATCATGGTCACCTGCTCCTTCATGTCATCATGTCCTCGCAGGGTGTCGTCCAGGTGGATCTGCGCGTCCTGAAAGATGATGACACTTGATGTACAAAACAGCACACCATAATACAATACAGTAGCATATTGATCACATGGACTCAACTTGGAGTTAAACACTGAGCACTTGAGACTTGCACATAAATCTTCTCATGTTTGGTGTAAATTTTCTTTCATATTGTAACATCTGTTTCACCTTGAGTCGTCCTTGCAGGTCTCCCAGTACATCTGAGTGGGTTTTACCTTGAGTTGTCCCTGGACGTTCCTCAGCTGTTTCTGGGCCTCGGCTGCCTGTCTGTTGGCGTGGCTCAGCTGGATCTCCATCTCGTTCAGGTCTCCCTCCATCTTCTTCTTCAGTCTCAGAGCGTCGTTCCTGCTGCGGACCTCCGAGTCCAGCGTGGTCTGCATGGACTCTGTCACTCTCTGGTTGTTCCTCTTCATCTGCTCCATCTCCTCATCTTTCTCTGCCAGCTTCCTGTCCACCTCGGCCTTCACCTGGTTGAGCTCCATCTGAACTCGAAGGATCTTGGACTCCTCCTGCTCCAGAGTCGCCTTAAAGACAGTACAAGTTAATAAAACCAAAGTTCTTGTCTCATTTTTTCGACATTTAACAGTTTATGAAAGTTTTAATGATACCTCAGCCTCCTCTAGAGACGTCTGCATGTCAAATTTCTCCGTCTCCACCTGCTTTTTGAATTTCTCAAGCTCATGAACTGTCTTCCCGCTCTCCCCGAGTTGTTCTGTCAGGTCTGAGATCTCCTCTGTTTGATCACAGAGAGCCACCGTAAGAATTATTTCTAAAACTGTTTGACTTTTGAATTGTTTCATTGATAAATAATGCCAGGCACAACCCTGACATGCTTTTGCTAATGTCTTTTACTCACGCTGCAAGTTTTTATTCTCCCTCTTGGTGGTCTCCAGATGATCCAGAGCTTCTTCGTACGAGTTCTTCAGTTTGAAGAGTTCAGTACTCAGGGATCGAGATTCTTTCTGAGAACTTTCCAGCTCGGCCTGAGACTCCTCAAACTTCTGCTTCCACTCGGCCAGAATCTAAATCAACAGAGAGGAAAGGAATAATAGAGAAAAAGGATATATGACTGTGAAACATGGAGAAAATAAGGAATTAAAAGGTTAACAACAAACCTTATCAAAGTTCCTCTGCTTCTTGTCGAGCGTAGCAGCTAAACTGTTGGATCTCTCCACGTCCACCATCAGATCCTCCATCTCGTTCTGTAGACGCTGCTTTGTTTTCTCTAGAGACGCACATTTGGAGTTCACCGCCTCGATCTGCTCCTCGGCCTCCTGCAGACGCTGAGCCAGCTTCTTCCTGTGGAGCAAAGGAGGAAAATATCAACATCTTACATGTTCTCATTCAGCTCCTCAGTCCATGTTTGATTTTTGAAGTTTGGATCATATTTATTGATCTGATATTGCTGTATGCTATCAGGTGTATAGATTTGATAAACTAGTGTACTGATGCAGTGATTACTTGGCCTCCTCCAGCTCCTCCGTCCTCTGGATGGCGTCAGTTTCATACTTGTTCCTCCACAGAGCGACCTCCGTGTTGGCTTTTGATAAACTCCTCTGAAGCTCCGCCTTCGCCTCCTGCTCCTCCTCGTATTGCTCTCTAAGGAGGTCACAGTCATGACGGGCCGACTGCAGACTGTGAGCCAGAGCGTTTTTCGCCTGATGAAGAAGATTTCATGAAGTTTCACGAGGACGAACAAAGTCAAACAAACTTTTTCAAAATTTCAAACGTTTAATCACCTTTGTCTCTTCCTCAAGCAGACGCTTTAACTCCTCGATCTGAGTCGTAAATCCTTGTTTTCCTCTCGTCAGCTGAGAGATTAGACTCTCTTTCTCCTCCAACTGCCGGGAAAACTCAGCTGCCACCCACCAGAGAATAAATTATTTATTTTATCAGTGTGTTAAAACACATACATTAAAATTTAGAACAGAGTGCATAACAGCCAGACAGCAAAAGGTCCTGCTCCTTCAACATTTGTTTATTTTAGTTAAAGCTCCTGTGAGAAGTTTTTCAACATAAATGAAATAGACCAAAATTTATATTAATGTTTTTTTATTCTATACAACGCCAGACAAGACCATCCACAATGAGTGATTTGTTCACAAGGGTGTCAAATCAGCAAAAGGAATATAATTCTTTGCAGGAGCTTTAAAGTAAAATTTTCAGCATAATGTTAATTAGTAAATTTTAATTTCAGACATCTTTGGGTCATTTTTTTAATTAAAAATTTCATATAAGAGAGCCAAACGCTTTTAAAGTAAAGATAATCAACTTTCAATAGTCAAGAAACTTGAATCATCTCTTAAAAAATAGAAAGTACATCAACTCTAACTTAAAACAAATTTTAGTTTTCTGTTAGATCTTGTCGGTGTTGAGATTTTTTTTTCCCTTTTGTCGTTAATTAATAAACTTAAGATCCCAAATCCTCAGATAAGTTTGACGTTTGTTTGTTGTTTTAAAAAATAACACTATCTGTTCAATGTTTCAGGAGTGAAACCCTTAAATCTAAAAAAAATGCACTTTTTTTATTTACAACAAGAAAACAGGACTTACCGTTTTCGGTCTGAAACCGAGCCCTCTGATTGGACAAATCGTTAATTTGTCGCATGTTTTCCTCATTTTTGCTTTTCAGCTCCATCAGCTGATCTTCAAAGGAGCGGCATGTCTTCTCCAGATTCACCTGAAGAGTAAAAACAGGCATTCATAGAAAAAAATAATCTTTTTTAGATCTTTATTCTAAAAAACAATTAAACTGGTTCCTGTAGGTAGATATATAACAGGAATGGTTCACATAGGCCTGCATGCAAAACCACTGTAAATTTAATTAAGTGATCCCTCTTCCTCCTACTCTGTTTTTACTTTGGTGTTACAGAGTCAGTCTGAAGTCTTTCTAAGTTTGTGCTGTATTTAATTCCACCTTGAATTTATCATTTACTTCAATACTTTATATATATTTTCACCTCACATCCATTATAACCCCATTTTTTGTCACATATTGTCACAATTTCTACATTAAACTACGTATGTTCCTCTAAATTAATCCTTTATTGTTAAACTCACCTTGGCTTTGGCCACAGTCTCCATGTTGACGGCTAAATCGTCCACCTCCATCTTCAGCTCGCTTTTTTCTTTCTCCAGTTTCTGTTTGATTCTCTGCAGGTTGTCGATCTGCTCGCTGAGCTCGGCCATGCTGTCCGCCTGTTTCTTCCTCAGCGCAGCAGTCGTGGCTTCGTGATGCAGGGTTGACTCCTCTAGATCGCGCCTCAGTTTCAAAAACTCGGCCTCCCTCTTCTTGTTCATCTCGATCTGAGCGGCGGTTGCTCCTCCTGCCTCCTCCAGACGTTCGCTGATTTCCTCGATCTCCCTGGACAGGTCAGACCGCTGCTTCTCGATCTTTGCCCGAACTGCTCGCTCAGCTTCCACTTCCTCTTCTAGCTCTTCAATCCGGGCCTAAAATTATAAAACAATAGATTATAAACCATCAACTGATCATCAATAGACTTTAGTCACAGGGAAGTCTCCTTACATGCAGCTCCTTCAATTTCTTTTGCAGCTGATTATTGATCGCCTGCTCATCAGCTATTTTACTAAGCAGCTGATTGTTCTCAAACTCCTTCCTAAAACACAAGAGCAAATAAAGTGTCAGACTTATTTTAATCACACACGTATCATACAGTACATGATTAGAGACTGAAATTACTTCTTTATCTTCTCCTCTGATTGTTGTTTGTCGTTCTCAAGATCCATGATGGACTCTTGGCTCAGTTTCAGATCTCCCTCCAGCTTCCTCTTTGCTCTCTCCAGATCCATCCGAATCTTCTTCTCCTGCTCCAGAGATGCTTCAAGCTTTAAAAGAAAATACACAGAATCAACTGACACATCAAAAACGCTCAGGAGACAATTTTTAATGAGATATCTACTCCTAAAGTACTGGCCAGAACTAGATAAACATGCTCCTCTTCCACGTGTTAGCTTCCCTACACTCCTCATAAAGCCAAGGACTGAATTAAGAATCATTTTACTGACCTATAAAGTATCTAATGGTCATGCACCATCATATCTTAAAGAACTTAAAGTGCCTAGTATCCCTCTGGAATATCACAGCCATACTCTGTAGGTCTACCTGTGATTCTATCCAAAAATTAGCACGGGAAGTAGAGCCTTGAGTTATCATCCCCATAAAAAAGAAACTCCAATAACTAAAAAGTCAACAACAAACTTATACAAACTACTGCTTCAGTTTCTCAAAGCAGTATGGGAGGTAGAGTTTGAAGTTATCAAGCCCCTCTCATGTGGAATCATCCATCACAACCATACTTTTTCATCAGGCTTAAAGTTGAGGCTTATGCTGCTGTAGTCGTCAAATGCTATAGGCGTAGACTGCTATAGACGTAGACTGTTAAAGGCATTGACTGTTAAAGGCGTAGACTGTTATAGGCCTAGAATGTTATAGACTTAGACTGTCAAAGGCGTAGACCGCTATAAACTTGGACTGTTAAAGGCCTAGACTGCTTTAGGCCTAGACTGTTAAAGATGTAGACTGCTATAGGCCTAGACTGCTCTAGATTTGGACTGTTAAAGGCGTAGACTGCTATAGGCCTAGACTGCTATAGGCGTAGACTGCTATAGATTTAGACTGTTAAAGTCGTAGACTGCTTTAAGCTTATACTGTTAGACTGTTTTAGGCTATAGGCTAATGAAATAAAGCAATGTATGACAAGCAATTCAGAATAAAAGCATAAGAAACAATTGTTTTATGAGGCGATGTCTTCTAAGGCAATTTTTCCTTGCTAAATACAGTTCTATGTTTTGCTTATGGTGGATTAATGAAGGGTCTTTGCATAAATCATACAGTACAGTCTATGAGAATCAGATATGAGACATGAGAATCTCATGTTTTAAGACCATAAATTGTAACATAAACGTATTTATCATCTCTCTTACGTCATCGACTTGCTGCTCCAGCTTTGTCTTAGCTTTGCTCAGGGAGTTGACTTTGTCCTCCTCAGCCTGAAGATCATCAAGTGCCTGCTGATGAGCTTCCTGCAGCGCTCGCTTCTCCTTTGTCAATTTGCCTAGGTTTTCATCCTGACCAGCCAGTTCTTCCACCAGGTTTTTAACCTGCAGAGGCATGAGTTAGCAGGGAGAGGACACAAAAGAGAGCAGGTCTTAATAGTTCTGCGGGAGAGGAAAAATGGACTAGTTGGATATAAAAGGGTCTGACATGGTGACAAATTTAGCAAAGACACAACCACATGTAATTGTCACAGAAGTTGTTTTTAACACACTTTTAACAAACCAACAAAAATCAGAACAAATTGGTTCAGAGGGAGTGACAGAAGCCTTTCAAAGACCTTGTTTTCAGTGGCATGTTTCTCCTTCTCTACTTTAGCGAGAGTTATCTCCAGATCATCGATGTCTTTTTTCAGCTCAGAGCATTCGTCCTCCAGCTTCCTCTTCTTGGCAGTCAGCTCTGCCGTCATTTCCTCCTCATCCTCCAGCCGCTCAGTCACCTCTTTGAGTTTAGCCTCCAGCTGGATTTTGCTCTTAATGAGACCTTCACATCTCTCCTCTGCATCGCACAGATTCTCTGAGTCCTGAGGAAAGAAAACGAGGTGATACAGGGAAGTTTGATGGTTAGGACAATGAGAAAAACTTATGAATATACTCACAAAAATGAGATGTATTATATGTAAATACTCACAGACTGGACTTGCAGCAGGAGGTTATTTTTCTCCTGCAGGAGAGAAACCATCTTCTCCTCCAACTCCTTCCTCTTGGACTCTGACTTGGACAGGTCCTCTTTACATTTGACAAAGTCTATTTTCATGGTCGCCATCTCCTTCTCAGTCTCAGCGCTCTTCAGAAGTGGTTTTATTTTGAAAAACAGCTTCATCCAAGGCCAGTGTTTCACGTTCATGAATGATCTCAGGTTGTACTGCAGAATCCAGACGCAGTCTCTGGGAGTTCAACCACAGGTATTAGGATGAGATGGTTTAACTGTGTATTGTTTGTCATTTTGAGGGAATCTTTCTTACTTTTGAGCGATTAATTTGGAGAATTCCTTCCTCATCAGGTAACCACGACACAGCGCCTGAGTCTGAGTCACCAGCGAGGCCAGTTTTTCATCTCGCAGCTCCTCCAGAGTGCCGAGAAGGCCGGCTTTGAAGAACACCTGAGACATATTAATTTATTATGATATAGCACTGACTTTAAATGACTCAAACTAAACTATAAAGACTGTTAGACCTGAACCATGTGAGATATTTGACCTCTGACCTTTGTCATTCCAAATCTGTACTGAGTGTGATCGACGTCGATGGACCCCAGAAGCTTCTCAGAAGCTTTCTTCCCATCGATGAACTGACCCTCAGGGATTGCACTGGCGTTCAGGATTCTGTACCTGCTCAGATTTAGATAATCACAGATTATCATGAAGCATTAAGATTACAGATCAGGTGTTTAACTACCTTTATGTCTCAGGTAAGGATCAGTGACCTCTGTTTGAAGTCTGCATACAGGATCCTGCTTGGGAATCCCTTCCTACAGATCCTGATCCCTTCAAGAACGCCGTTACAGCGAAGCTGATGGATCACCAGGTGGTTATCCATGGTACCTACAAAAATGTATGTGTGATCTTTTACTAAACGGTCTGATTGCTCCCCTGCACACCTGCTGACATGAATATGAACCATTTTTCTGTTAAGAGCCTGCTGGAAGTCGCAGCATACATGAACACTTATCAAGTAATTTCCTACCTGGAGTTTTGGTCTCATTGGGAATCAGGCAGCGCACAAAGTGAGGGTGTGTGCTCCTCAGGTTGGTCATTAGTTTCCCCAAGTTTTCCTGTTGGACAACAATTTAAACCAGAATTTTCAGGATTGTTAAACACTGTGAATTAGAGTTTTTACTTCTTGTACTCATCGATTTTTAAACATAAACCAGCTTTCTGTAACGTTCTGTCTCTACACTCAAATCTCTAATTAGAAACTGACTGTAATGTGGTGTACTGAGACCCCAGAGCTGGTGTTGGTTTGCACACTTTCTGTTATAGAAAAAAGTAAGGTTAACACAATCCTACTTAGTTGAAACCATTCACACACCAAAACCTGTCATAATTTTCGAAGACAAAATAATATTTGGAAACTTGAGCAAAAACCTGCTCCAAGTTTCCCAGTTAGACATTTTGTTTTTTTGCACTATGCTGCGGCCCTCTTGGCCAAGTCTCCCTTGTAAAAGAGATTTGTAATCTCAATGTGACTAACCTGGTTAAATAAAGGCTAAATGAAATAAATTTGCTGGTTTCTGTTTGTAGGCTGAGAGATGCTGACCTCTGATATTTGTGCAATCGGCTAACTGATGACACTGTATTTTCAAGGATTCTCATAACAGACACTTATTAAAACCAAAGATGAGTTGATAGAAATAAAGACCAGCTGACTGTAACACATCAGTTGATGAAAGCAGAAACCAGTCCAAAAAAGTAAATGGGTGGAAATCAAGATTATAAGACAAACATTAGATCGGTAGATGGAAAACAAAGCTTTTTGAGTTCACCAGTTAAAGTGATCATTAATTCAGATTTCTGCTCACACAAACAGAAACCAATGACACAAAAGCTCTTTTTGCTTCTGAGGTTTTAGTCTGATTGATCCTCTGATTGAAAGCTGATTCAAACTGTTTGGAAGCATGCAGAACAAAAAGTCAAAGTGATTTAAAATCACATGATTCAGTGATTTACCCTGAATACAGCAGACACCGTCTGAAACGAGCCGCCTTTCTTTTTCGCTGCTTTCTTTCCACCTTTCCCTCCTCCAGCGTCTCCGCCTGATTCTACAAACACAGGTGTAAAGTCTGTCAGGTGTTCTGGGCCTGAAATGATCATTTCCTCTGACTGTCTCTGAATCTCAGGCTGGCTGCTTACTGTAGAGTTTTTTCTTTACCTGCATCACCTCCTGAAAATGAAGCATACAGGTAAGCCAGCAGCTTCATTGGAGACTTCTGATAAAGTTGGACCACAGACTCATTCAGAGGGTCTTTGTTCTTCTCCAGCCAGCCAGTGATATTGTAGTCGACTGTGCCGGCGTAATGAAGCAATGTGAAGTGAGCTTCGGGTTTCCCTTTGACCACCTTCGGCTTCTGGAAAGCGTTTGTTTTTCCCAGATGTTGATCGTACAGTTTGTTCTTAAAGGACATGTCTGAAGCTTTGGGGAACATGCACTCCTCTTCAAGGATGGAGAAGATACCCATGGGCTGGAGGAGTCACAGACAACACAATCATTATCATAAGGTGGGATGAAATACAAAGTAAAGGTTATGGCATTAATCTCACCTTCTCAATGAGCTCTATGCAGGCTGCTAAGTCCATCCCAAAGTCGATGAACTCCCAGTCGATCCCCTCTTTCTTGTACTCCTCTTGTTCCAACACGAACATGTGGTGGTTGAAAAACTGTTGCAGTTTCTCGTTTGTGAAGTTGATGCAGAGTTGCTCCATGCTGTTAAACTGTCACAAAAAGCAGTATAGTATAAAAGTATTAACAAATATCTGCTGTGGATCATCCAGATCGATGGCTCAACTTCGCTCAAACTCACATCAAATATTTCAAACCCGGCGATGTCCAACACTCCGATGAAGAACTGCCTCGGCTGCTTGGTGTCCAGCATCTCGTTGATCCTGATCACCATCCATAAAAACATCTTCTCATACACTGACTTTGCCAGCGCTCCAACTGCATTAGTGACCTGAGCAGATTTAAAGAATCACCATCACTTTTTGACGTATCATTTTTTAAAACCGTATGAGGCTGAGTTTTCTTCTCTTGTATTTCATCATCTGTGCTATCTAACCAGTAAATAAAAGGTAGAGCATTACCTGCGGGACCGTCTGGCCTTTGGTCACGTATTCATTCCCCACTTTGACTCGAGGGTAGCAGAGTCCCTTCAACAAGTCAGCAGAGTTCAGCCCCATGAGGTAAGCCACTTTGTCTGCCACTGATGGATGGAAAACACGTTATCATTTTATCACTAACATAAATACACACTACATGCATACACACATAAATATTTAAATACTTGGGATGTTAACAATTAAGTATTGGTAAATTGACTGTTAAGCAGGTACTCAATTTTCCATAAAGTAGAGATAAACAACATGAGGTTACATTATTCATTCAGCTATCATCACTTCAAGATTGATTAAAAAAAAAAACTATCTCTCACCCTCGGTGCCATCGGGCTCTGCCTGCTCCTCTCGCTGCTTCTGTTTGAACTTCATGTTCCCATAATGCAACACTGCTCCTGTCAGCTTGTAGATGGACAACTTCTCTTCATTGGTGAAGCCAAGGATGTCTGTGGCGGTCTGTGTCATCAAAGTTCGAGTCAGTAGGAGTCAGTAAAATACTTATAAAGCGATAAATTAACAGATTTCTCACATCTGTGGCCTCTAGCTCTTCTTTGTCGTTGATGCTGGCCACAGAGATCTGACCCTGACTGATCATGGGGAAGTCATACGGGTTTGTTGTTATCAGAAGCATTTCTGAGGAGACAAACGTAAAGAGTTTTAATTTACTGAACGTAGTCTTTACACCAAAAAAATCTTCAGCATAAAAAGTCTGGTCTCACCGATGAGCTCCGATTTGTGTCCAGTCATGATCTGGTAGAAGATGTGGTAACTCCTCTCTTCAGACAGCTGGAACGTCACTCTCGACTTCTCCAACAAGTCTACAGGAAATATTTAAAGGCACTTTAAGGATTTTTTATCTGGTTGAGAAACAATCTGAAACTTGTACTGATGCCTCTTTAAGATGTTGAGAAGCAAACAAGACCATTAGCAACAAGAATGATAATTCTTTTGTTGTGATATTTAGTGCTTGAGCTCACTGTAAGGGGTTAGGTTCACACCAGATGATTGACAGCAGCCTGTTGAAAAAGCTTTTTATAATTTTTTTGTGCGGAAAATACTATTAGTGAGTGATAATTTACAATTAAACGGTTAAGAGACAACAGGACAATTTTTTGTCCGAAAATACAGCAGAATATATAGAATACATTGTCTTACAAACATGGTTAAGGAAACTTATTTACTATAAATTGTATTTTTTTTAAACTTTAGTATAAGTATGCACAGGGATGTTTCTGTATAATTACTACCATCCTAAATACTGTCAACTTCACCAATCAGCACCAAAATTACTTACCACTAAAACTTATCAAGGATGTGATTAATTCTGAGACTGAAAATTGCCTTAATACTGCTGCAAACATCTAGCTAAAGGTCTAGTTTGATTATATCTGTAGTGGAGTAAAGGGTAGAGTGAACTACAGAGACCATCATCCCATGTGCTCTGGTAGCTGCCTCGGATGTTGTAGAGATAAAATAGCGAGAAAAACAGAAAAACTATATTGATTCTATTTAATGACTACTGCTGTTGCTCTGCTACCTGTATGTAAATAGGAGCGGATGACTGATGGCTTAAAGCATGTAATATTAGTGTGGTGTAGTTAATATAATGCAATGATGTAGAAGATAATTCATGTAAAATGAATATTGTTAGTGTAAGTAAAATAACTTACAGGTTTCAATATCAGCGGAAGACAGTTTTCCTGTCGTTCCAAAGTGAATTCTGATGAATTTACCCTGTAAATTATACAATTTTCTGTGAAAATGGTTAAAATAAACATGAAAAATATAGTTTATTACCAAGGATTGTAGATAAAAGAGAAAAAAAAAAAGATTAAATATCATTGCTTATACATGAAAAACAACAGTAACTTTACCATAGTTAAACTTTAAAAGTTTAAACTTACAAATCTTGAGGAGTTGTCATTCCTCACGGTTTTGGCATTTCCAAAAGCTTCAAGCAAAGGATTTGCTGAAATGATTTGATCCTCCAGCGTCCCCTGAACAGTTTTTCCAGATTCAGTGTTTAAATTATATAATTATTTGTCACTTTTTTATTTGGATAGTATAAACGTTGGCGTTACCTGCATTTTCCCAGATGAGTGCTCCTTCTTGTCTCCACCAGACACTGCGATTGTCGCGAAGTACTGGATGACACGTTTGGTGTTGACGGTCTTTCCTGCACCAGATTCTCCACTTTGAAACACAACCAAAGGTGTCAAATTTAATAATTTTATAGTCTAAGAAATAAAAACATTTTGATCGAAGTGCAGCATGACTCACGTGATCAGGACAGACTGGTTCTCACGATCTGTCAGACACAAAGAAGACAAACCAGTCTTAATTTTATAAGAGCTTTTCTTCTCAGATCAGTATTCAGTCGATCTTTGCCAATGAAGTAATGAGAGATTTAGATTCTGTGAGGTTCTTTGTACATCTGTCTGTTTTGTCTTACCTGTGAGCATATTTTGATATGCATTATCAGAGACAGAGAAAATGTGAGGTGGAGCCTCCATCCTCTTCTTCCCTCTGTAGGCCGCCACCACCTGTGGGTCATAAACTGGCAGCCATTTGTAGGGATTCACAGTGGCACAGAAGAGCCCGGAATAAGTCTGTAACCAAGAAATCCATGTATGAACACTCAAAAAACATCATTATGTATGTAAATGTTGGTTTAATCATACACAGATACTTATACATCTTAAATATATTCCAAACATAAATATATGCTATATGATTAAAGTTTCGGTTGTCTCTTCACTGACATAGATCATCCACGCTGCATAACGATCTTTGAGGTTAAACAGCACAGACGGCTCGTTCAGATGCGTCATCATCGCCATGTCCTCGATCTTATCGTACTTCGGAGGATTCATCGGGTGAACGTCTTCCTCTTTGACTGTTACAGTCTGGAAATAAAGTTTGAAAAGATTTGTTTTTTTTTTTTAATCCATAAAGTAGGACACCTCCTTTTATGAAGCAACACTAAAAAATACTGCAAAAAAATCTAATCTTAGCAAGTGATTTTGTCTTATTTCTGGTGAAAATTTATGTGGTTAATTGGTGCCCCCTTGTGGACGAATCGGTCTTTGCTTGTCATGCTTTAACAGTGTCTTTTGACAGAAAGAAATCTACTTTTGAGGGTGGAGTGTATTATTTGGTACGCCCTATCTGTGAAAACACAGCTGTTTCTTCAGCTTCCTCGCAGAGACCTCCCCCCTCACAAAGGTTTTAGTTGTAAAATGTAACAATATAAAACTTTTGTGAAATTCAGTCTGTTTCATAACTGTTAAAAAACTCCTTACAGGAGCTTTAATTTAAGCCACATTCACCTAAGAAGACTAGAAAATACCTTATTTCAAGATGTTAGATGCCATGGGTAAAAAGTTGATTTATTGTAATGAGTAAAAAAAAAATCTGCCAAAAGAACAACAAAAATGTTCTTTTTAAGACTTTTTATTGCAGTTAGAGTTAAGTTTCCTGAAATAAGAAAGTGTCTTATTTCAAAAATTTTGAGTTAATGTTCCTTTGGAAGAATTTTTCCTTTATAAAAAATAATTCAGGACTTTTATTTTGAGTGTAATATTTTCAAAATTTGTATCTAGAAATATGACCAAAACACTTGCTGGGGTTTGAATTTGTGCTGTTGTCTGGATCAGACTTAAAACACAATCTTATTACAAGTTGCTATTCTCTAAAACATCAGCTAAAACATTGAACATCACTGAACACTTAAATCTATAAATATTATCATAAAACAGGTATGGGCTACAAAAAGCCAATTTGTCTGTTGGATTATTGATGGTTTTTTTTTTTAAGATGGTGATTTTAATGTCTGCAGGATAAACCACAACATTATATGAGACATAATAACCTCATCAGCTGCTGTCTTCACAGTGACTTGTCCTCCCTCTCTCCCCTGGATCACCCCTTTGATGTACAGCTCCTTGGCATCAGGGACAAAGCAGGCGGTCCGGGCATCAAACGGCCGGTTCTGAGCCTCCACGCGCTCCCTCTCTGGTTTACGAAGAAAGATGGATGCCGGCCCATACTGGGCCATCTCGGCATCGCTGCTCATGCTGATAGGCTGAGCTAAACATTTAAAAAAGCATGAAGTAGTGTATCTTTCCAGGATTAACTTTGTGTTTTAAACATTTCAAAAATGTTCACTTCAGTAGACAAAGTATCATATTTACTCACCAAGTCGACAAACGCTCCTGGATTATCAGAGATTCTGTGCTGCATGTCAAACACACACAAAAAAGAAAAGACAGCTAGAGCTGAGCCACAAACAGTAAAATTTAAAATAAACAATAAATAAAAATTAATAGGATAATTATAATCAAGATGTTTCTGTTACCGGTCAGTGAACGCCTCCTCTCTGACTGAACACCTGCAGGAGTTCAGCTCCTTATATCAGCAGCAAGGAGCTGCTGAAAAAAACGGATCCTCCAAACTTGGCAAAGTGACTCAAATGTCAATCAAGCAGCATTATCGATCCGAACAGACACTTAGATAACTCCCTGAAATATCACACAGGATGTCCAGGTGTTAATATGAACCTGTCAGCAGGAGCAGGTGATGATCCCCAGGATCTATTTTTACATGCGTCAGTCTGTCAGAGCAGTCATTAAGTACTTATGGTGTTTTGATGCTCAGCAGCACTCCATGTTTAATGATTAACCACTCTGAATCAATACCATGTTTAATGACGATTGAAGGGATGTATTTTTGGAGGACATATTAATTTTTTTGTGATTTTATATACAGTATATATATGAAACATAAATGTTTGTCTCAAGGATGTTGCATGACCTTCATGTGTTCTGGACTCAACCATCAGGTGACTTGTTTGAGGCTCCTTGTTGGATTTACAGGATTAAACCTCACACAGATGTCTGAACAAATTTGTACAAGTGTTGTGAGAAAGTCTATTTTTAAGTCACATACACATTTTTTGTTTTTCAGTGATGTTTTTTCAATTTGTAAAATATTTCAAATGTGTCAAACCTGATGTTACTCAACCATAATTGTAATAACAGAAATAATGATAAAAACATGAGTATTTGGAATTTTGATGGCCTTCAATAAAAACCTCAATAAACATAATTTTTACTTTTTAAAGGAATCACCAGACAAGCTGAATTATGATGTAAAAAACTGCAAATGAGGTGAGAGAATAAAGCTTTATTGGAGGAGTTATTTACTTTTCACATCAAAAATTACAAGACTTGTCAAGAATTTAAAAAAAAAATAGTTTTTTGTTTTCCTTGAAATTGTTCAATCAAACCGAACCTTGAAAGACATCAGAATAAATGTTAGTGTGTAAGAGCTGCTTGGCTGCTTTTGTCTGCCTAATTCAAATAAATTCATCTTTTTCATCATCATCATCATCATCTCCCTTAATTTTGGTCAGTATTTTTCAAAGTTTTTTTTTTCTCATCCTAGTTTCTATTAACAGTGTAATGTATCATTTGTTTCATGAGAATGGCTGCTGTTAAAGAAGTCATTCTCATGAAGAAGTTTTTTCTTTTTTTTTGCGTGGTTTATTTGTTTAGGCCACCCTCTTGCTCTCTCTCTGACATCAGTTGCAGGTTCCAATCTGCGGATAATATCTCCTCACAGGAGCTTTAAATTTTAATTATAAAATCATCAAAATATCAATTATAGGATTATGGTGAAAAGGGAAATGGGCCCCAAAATGGAGCCTTGTGGTACACCAGCAACAGAAAAGTTTGATTTCTAAAAATATCCACATTTCACCTGAAAGAATAAAATAAAATATATTATGGTTTAGGTCTAAAGAATACATGCCAGTTGTATAAATAATGATCTAGAATAAATGCATGCCCACTTTTATTGTGTTCAAATGATATTTTTGTTTAAACCATTACTCTTTTGAGTTACATCTCCTGTCTGTGTTTTACTCTCTGAGTGTTTTCTCACCAAGGTGAGAGTAACCCGGACACCTTGAGAGAAGTTTTCTGGTCTGACTTCCTAGTTGTCAAGTTAACACCTGACCGTGTGTGAACATGACAAGCAAGCAGGCACAAACACATGACGACCACATTTAGAATAACCACGGCAGCGTCAGAAACTCGATCTGTCACCTTAATGAGAGGAAGTGGGGACAGCAGCTTGTCACATTTAAATGCAACACATGAAAAACAACCTCAACCATCTATTAGTGAGTGTAACCGAGGGCTTCAAATTTGTTTTTTGATAACAAGTGCCTAATTTTTGCCTCAATAACCACTGATAACATGCTATAAACATAATGGAAGAATAAACCATCAAAAAAACTATAAATTATGTTTAGAGTTTATCTGTCATGTATGTGGAAATGTCTTTATTCTTTCTTTACAAATGCTTTGTTCACAGCAAAACCCTCCTGAAATTTACACTACACTGTCAGTTTTCTGTCACTCTGTTTTTTTCAACAGAGAGCAGAAGAAGTAAATTATTTTCAGCAATATTTCCACTCATTAATATCATTATACTCAACAATCTTCCACTTTTTATTCATCTACTTAGCAGCTAGTTTTTAACTGATATATCAACATTATTCATATGGCTGTTTTTTTTTTATTCTCAAAAAATGTTGTGGATAAGCTATCCTTTTATTATAACATCAGTTTGCAGCCAACTAATTTATGTGGATAAAATAATTGATTACTAGACCATCAAAGTCATGTTTTTAATAACATTTGTGTCAATTTAATTTGGCTAAGGGTGAATCTAATAAGCTGTTTCTAAATGTAAAACAGTTTCATGATTTTTCTCGACCATCGAACTGTTTTAAGGGTTTTTAATTGGCTAGGACTGTTAAGCTACCATTATCCTCCTGCCAATGCCAGTTATTGTTTCCTTTTTACCTCAAAGGAGGCGTCTTCTTTAATAAGGGAAAAAGTTGCCCTAAAGGCAAAACAACAAGCCTCAAATAGCACTAATTAGCTAACTAGCTTGAATGCATTCACAGCTTTTTGATGTTTTTACAGTCCTTGCAAATCAAAAATACGAAGGGACTTTTTTGTGACAAATGAAGAGCTGTTTTCAGGTTTAGCTAACGAACAACGATGGCAATATGCCAGAGTAGCTAACAACACTGTTAGCTGGCTAATTCACAATCTTCTGTCATGATGCTCAGTCGAACCTTAACCAACTAACTAACTTAACTAACCACAATGATTTTGAATGCTTACATTAACTCAGATGAGCTAACATATTTGAAATGTTCATTTTTAAATATTGATGTCAAATGTTAGTATTTTTAAGTATTATTGTATTTTTTTTCTACTTAGCTTTTATTCTTTACAATAATTCTGGTGATTGTTTCTCTGAACTTAAGGATAAAGTGTTTATCTTCTGTAGCCAATGTAACATTTTATGAAAACTTAACTCAGAGGAAAACACAGGGAAAACCCATTATTTGTCAGACACAGACAATTTAAACTCAAAACTTTGCAGATGAATTCTGCTCTCCGAGATAATTTCATTCCTCTTTACCAACGTCTCGGCTTTTTGCTCGCAGTTTGTTGAGCTGCGATTCAGCGGCGTCAGCACGTTCTTCAGCTTCCTCCAACTCGTGTTGAACTTTACGGAACTTCAGCAGATTCACGTTGGTTTGTTCCTCCTGTATGACCAGGTATTACAAAGACTTTAACATTTCTTCTGGATATACAGATTAATTTAACTGTATGTATGAGTTTATACTCACCGCCTCTTCACACTGACGTTTGTACGCCTTCACTTTCAGCTGCAGTTTGTCGACTAAATCCTGAAGTCTCAACCCGCTCTTCTTTTCCTCCTCAACCTGAAACATATAAGAACAGATGAGAGATTTTTTTGGCATATTTTGCTCAAACCTCTACCACTAAAATTAAAAAACAGAAAAATCTTTTACCTGGTAAGTCAGCTCTTTGATTTTTCGCTCATATTTGCGCAGACCTTTCATTGCTTCACCGCCGCGTTTCTGCTCTGCATCCAGCTCATTCTCAAGGTCACGAACCTTGAAACAAATTTAATCTCTTTCAATCCACAGCAGCTTTTCTGTCTTTCATTAATTGTTTTTTTCTCAGTCATCTGTCATTCCTTATTCTTTCTTTATATATTTCTGTTTGAGTCTGTCCTTCATACCCGTGCTTCCAGTTTCTGCAGCTCTTTCTTCCCACCCTTCAAAGCAAGCTGCTCAGCTTCATCCAGTCGGTGTTGCAGGTCCTTCACCGTCACCTCCAGGTTCTTCTTCATCCTCTCCAGGTGAGCACAGGTGTCTTGCTCTTTCTTCAGCTCCTCTGCCATCATGGCCGCCTGTGTTTAAATTCAGGTTAAAATCAAGGACTCAGCAAGTAAGTCATGCAGAAAATGAACAATAATAAGATAAAGACAGAGACTCACATCGGTGACAGCTTTTCTAGCTTTGTCATCTGCATTTTTGGCCTCCTGGATGGTCTCCTCCATCTGAGACTGCAGCTGATTTAAATCTGTGTCTGCCTTCCTCTTCGAGTTTAGCAGACTGCCATTCTGATAGAAAACACAGCAATTAGCAGCAGCAATTAATAGCCCCCACAGCCCTATTCAGACCTATCTCACATTTATGCAGGTTTGTCTTAAATGTGCTGTTTGTAAAATGAGGTTATTTATGCTGAGTTCCAGTTATACTCGGAAGTTGGAATTTCCCAGCTCTGAGTCGGAAATTCATCTGGAACACCCCCATGAAGTCAGATTAGCGTCTCGGAAAGTTGTACGATCCTCACCAACCCCAACTTGACGACAACGTCATAATCCAAGATGGCAGCGCAGTGCATCAACAGTTAATAGTAACAGCAAAAGCTTTTGTAATGTATTATTTATTAGCACTTCTGTTTTGTTTTTGTGAAATATAATTAGTGGTATTTGATATACTGCTCAACGTCTAACTGTGAACACAGTGCTATGGTGTTTGTAAGAGTAAAATACCGTGTTATGCGTTGTTTACAACTGGTATAGCTAACAACAGCTAACAACAACTGACAACAGCGAACGACAGCTGACAATTGTAAACAACCGCTAACAACGGGTAACTGTTGGCGTCCATCTTGGTTTTCCGACTTGTTAACTGGAACACCGTCAACTTGGGTGTAACATCATTCCCAGCTCTGACATCCGACTTCCGAGGTAACTGGAACGCAGCATTGATGACGTCTACCAATCAAATTCTAGAATGGAATGCTTCCACGCCAACCCCTTGTCACCAAGGCAACAGTGGTTTTTGAGAAGTGATGCGATTGAAACATTTTTAATAATTTTATCTAAGAAAAAAAAAAGACCTATTTGAGTGGATTAATGTAAATTAGATGTTGCGCCACTTTTTAGTTTCTTCTTGATTGTCTTCTCACCTGAGCGTGCAGCAGCTGAACTCGCTCGCTGATTTCCATCACTTCCTGCTCAGCCACTTTGCGAGTCCTCTCGGATTGTTCGAGCGCTGCCGTCATCTCTTCGATCTCTGCTGTCATCAAAGTGTTTCGGCGTTCGGCGATGGCGAGCTGCTCCTTTAAGTCGTCCTGATTGTGGAGCGCGTCGTCCAGGTGGACCTGCATTTCCTGGGACCAAAGATTTTGTGGTTAAAACACAGAAGCTGTTTTTAAGACTTTAGCCTGAACTCAAACAAACCTTCAGCTGAGTCTGGGTGATCCTCAGCTGTTTGGTGGATTCAGCCGCCTGTCGGTTGGCGTGTCCAAGCTGGACTTCCATCTCGTTCAGGTCGCCCTCCAGCTTCTTCTTTGTTCGCATGGCCTCGTTTCTGCTGCGCGTCTCAGCATCCAGCGCGTTCTGCAGCGTGTCCACAGTTCTCTGATGGTTCCTCTTCAGCTGCTCCATCTCCTCGTCTTTCTCCGCCACCTTTCTGTCGACCTCAGACTTGATCTGGTTCAGCTCCAGTTGGAGGTGCAGGATTTTGGCTTCCTCGTGTTCCAATGATGACTACCGAAACGAAAGAGAAAAAACTTTACGTACTATTTCTTACGTAGTATTTTTTTTATTGCTAATAAAAAGGGAAGGAAAAAAGACACAAACCTCAACTTCCTCCAGAGCTGCCTGCGTGTCTCTTTTCTCCTGCTCCGCCTGTTTCACTGATTTTTCCAACTCATGGACGGTTTTTGCAGATTGTGCGACCTGGTCAGTTATGTCTGAAATCTCCTCTGAAAACACGAAAAAAACGACCAAAAAACACTTTTTCCCCAAAATGAAATAAAAACACAACAGCTGATTTTGTTTTTTTTAACAGAGCTCTTACGCTGCAGGTTTTTATTCTCTCTCTTCATGGTCTCCAGATGATCCAGAGCTTCTTCGTATGAGTTCTTCAGCTTGAAGAGTTCGGTGCTCAGCCCCCTGGACTCTCTCTGAGAAACTTCCAGATCTGCTTGAGTCTCCTCGTATTTCTGTTTCCATTCAGCAAGAACCTAAAGACAAGAAAAAGAGTGATCAGTGTTGCCACAATAAAAAACACGACATGAAAAAAGTCAAATCTGATTATGTACTTTGTCAAAGTTCCTCTGCTTCTTGTCCAACGAAGCATTGGCTGCGTTTGACCTCTCCAGCTCCAACATTAGATCCTCCACCTCTGCCTGCAGACGTTGTTTGGTTTTCTCCAAAGATGCACATTTAACATTAGCCACTTCAGTCATCTCCTCAGAGTCCTGCAGTCTTTGAGCCAACTTCTTCCTGAAGAAACCAGATAAAACATGTAAAAATCAAAGCAAACTTCACCAGCATTGATTCCTAAAATGTACACAGGTCTCCCATGACCCTCAGTGCTTCTTATCCTGTTCACCTCCCAGTCTTTTAGCAGTGTCACATTTTTTCTCTCTTACTTGGCCTCCTCCAGCTCTTCGGTGCGTTGGATGGCGTCTGTTTCGTATTTGTTCCTCCACTGAGACACGTCACTGTTGGCCTTGGACAGGCAGCGATGAAGCTCAGCTTTGGCCTCCTGCTCCTCCTCGTACTGCTCTCTGAGCAGCTCGCAGTCATGACGAGATGATTGCAGGGCATGAGCCAGAGCGCTCTTTGCCTGAAGAAAGAGAATATTCATGTGTTAAATTGATTTCTCTAGACAAAAGTTGATGTGTTTAGGTTTTAGTGTGTTCATTCTCTGTGTATTGATGACTTTATTTCTGTATTGAAACCTTCATTTCTTCATCCAGAAGTCTCTTCAGTTCTTCCATTTGTTGACTGCAGACTGATTTGACTCGACTCAGCTGGGAGAGACTCATTTCTTTCTCCTCCAGCTGACGAGAGAGTTCAGCTGTTAATGAAATAGAGAATAAAGTATCAATAATTCCTTCCTGACACCCTTCTAATGCTAACATTGATATTGGACGTACCATTTTCTGTCTGTAGACGAGCAGAGTGCGCTGTGGAGTCACTCAAAGACCTCTGAGCTTCTTCTGCTTTGGTTTTATACTCGTTCATTTGATCTTCAAAGCTCCTGCATGTTTTCTCAAGAACAGCCTACAAAACAAAATCAGGATTAAAAAACAGATTTTTATAAATAAAGAATAAATGGATGGATCAATCTATGAAATTACAGAGTTTCTGTCACCTTGCTCTTCAGGACGCTCTCCATGTTGCTCATCATGTCATCGATCTCCATCTTCAGCTCACATTTTTCTTTCTCCAGCTTCTGCTTCACTCTCTGGATGTTGTCAATTTGCTCACTGAGCTCGGCGACACTGTCCGCCTGTTTCCTGCGTAGAGTCGCAGCAATAGACTCATGTTGCAGCGTGGACTCTTCCAGGTCCCGTCGCAGTCTCTGAACCTCAGTCTCCCTCTTCTTGTTGAGCTCTGCCTGAGCGGCTGTTGCTCCTCCAGCCTCCTCCAGACGTTCACTGATTTCGTCCAGCTCTCTGGAAAGGTCACATCGCTGTTTCTCCACTTTGGCTCGAGCCGAACGCTCTGCCTCTATTTCCTCCTCCAGCTCCTCGCTGCGAGCCTGGAGGACAATTCAAACCTGTTATTAAGCAACTAGGGGTTTTTAGCCTATCATTAGAAATGCATCATAATATATTTTTTGTTGTTTCAGTCAAACCTGAAGCTCTTTAATCTTCTTCTGCAGCTGAGTGCTGAGATTTTGTTCATCATCAATTCTGCTCTGAAGGCCGCTGATCTCAAAGTCTTTTCTGAAAAAGAAAGGTAACTATGTCAGGTTGTAAATGGTGTAATGTTTGGACTTATGTTGCACTTTTGACCCAGATAAAGACTAAAAAGCCAAAATTTTTATTTTAATGTTCCCTTGCTCTCCATTAGTTAAGCTATGGTGGCCTAGATGGACAAAAAAAAGACTATTGTTAAGCTTTAAGGTTATGATTCATTATTTTGTCATCATAAAAGTTAACCAGTGCAAACTGTATCCCCAACCACTCTCCTCTATTTCATGTTATAACAGACGCAATTGACCAAGTGCAAATGTTAGTAGTTTGTCCGAGTTGTGCTACAGTAGAAACATGACGGTACAAGGTGCCCAAACGGCACTGTATTTATGAGTTTGCATATAAATAAACAAACTATAATAAGAAGAGCTTTATTGATCTCCGAAGGGAAATTCAAAAATCATCGTGTCTTAGATGACATTGTGAAAAACATCTTCTTAATCCTGGTTTCTGTTCTTTCACCCCGAAAACAAACCTTTCATTAAGATAATTCAAAAATGAAAACATGTTTTCATCTACTTGAAGTGGCGTGGTCAGCGGATCTGAGGCAGTTAAAAACCGGCCAAAAAAAAGGTCATGGACTGACAGATGTATTTTCATCCAGCTTTTAACCACATTTCAATGCTGAAGTCCGATTGAACAGGCGATGATAGAAAACCCTACTTTTTCAGCCTCTCCTCCGACTGCTGCCGGTCGTTCTCCAGGTCCATGATGGTTTCTTGGCTCAGCTTCAGATCTCCCTCCAGTTTTCTTCGGCATCTCTCTGAGTCTGCGTGAAGTTTCTTCTCATGTTCCAGTGAGTTTTCCAGCTGAAGAAGATGCTCACGTCAGCCATAAATCTCAATATAACCAAAACCACAGCATGAAAAGAAAATCTTCATCGGTTCAACACTCACATCATCGACCTGCTGCTCCAGCTTGATTTTGATCTTCATCAAACCGTTGACTTTGTCTTCCTCGGCCTGCAGGTCATCCAACGTCTGCTGATGAACTTCCTGCAGAGCTTTCATCTCCTTTGAAGACTTCAGCAGGTTTTCCTCCAGAGACGTGAGCTCTTCCACCAGGTTCTTCACCTATTCAGAGAAACAGTTTGAAGGTTTTATGAAGATCAAACATACTAAGTATTGACCATTAGAGAACTTGAATTTGATCAGAAGAACCTTGTTTTCCGTGGCATGTTTTTCTTTTTCCACTTTGGAGATGGTGAGTTCGAGGTCATCTATGTCTTTTTTAAGCTCTGAACATTCGTCTTCCAGCTTCCTCTTCTTTGCTGTGATCTCAGCGTTGATCTCCTCCTCTTCCTCCACCCGCTCTGAGAACTCTTTCAGTTTGGCCTCCAGGTGGATTTTACTCTTTATGAGACCTTCACACCTCTCCTCTGCATCGCACAGGTTCTCCCTCTCCTGAGAGCAGGAACAGATTTTTTACCAAACAGTGAAAGACTTTTAAAACTATGTTTACCAGGAATTCGAAAAGTCGAAGTGTCCAAAGTAAGAGGTTTAGAAAGTCATAAAGTCAACCCTGTTGACTTTGTGGTGTATAACCCTGTCATACTCAGTTATCTTTCTTCGCTCATCATCTAGCAATTATCTGTCCATCATTTGTCTTTCATGCATCCATCAACCATCCATCTGTCAGTCATTCACCTATCGTTTATCCATCTTTTATTCCATTATTCCATCCATTTACCTATTCATCCATCAACCCACCGATCAATCCATCAGCCTGCTATCCATGAATCTATCAGTTGATCCATGTTCTTCTATTCATCCATCCATCTATCCATTTATTCATCTGTCTATCCATCCATTCACCCATTCATCTATCCATGCACACACCTACCCATCCATATATCAATATATCCATTCACCTATCCATTCACCCATTCATTTACCCATCGATCCATCAACCCATCCATCAAACCATTCATCCATGTCTAACCATCTACCCCTTCATCCATCCATCCATCCATCCATTAATTCATGCTCATGTTGCACACACCGCCTGTATTTGCAGGTAAAGGTCATTTTTCTCCTGGACGAGGACAACCATTTTCTCCTCCAGCTCTTTCCTCCGAGCCTCTGACTTGGCGTACTCTTCTTTGAGTCGAGCGAACTCCTCCTTCATGTTTTGCATCTCTTTCTCAGCCTCGGCGCTCCGTAACAGAGGTTTTATCTTAAAGTACAGCTTCATCCAGGGCCAGTTTTTCACGTTCATGAAGGAGCGGATGTTATATTGGATGACGAAGATGGACTCTCTGTGGGGTGAAAATGACCAATGAAAGAAAATTCAATGAACTGATGTCCAATAAATATACAGCTTTGGTTTATTTCTCATTTTTACCCTTTTTACCAGTATGACCAATATGGCTGATTAGCATTCTACTATTGGCTCACTATGACACGGATAAACAACGATATATAAATAAATGAATCATCAATTTTCTCTGTTTAACTTTAACTTGGCTGAGCTATGGTTCTCTGATATTTATGAGTTGGGTAACATCTCAGGAACCTTTTTTTGGTCATCTCTTTCATTCTCAGTCTAGTGACGTAACCTCTGGAAACGGCCTGAATACGAGTCATCAACACAGCCAGACGCTCGTCCCTCATCTCCTCCAGGAGACCCAGGAGCCCCGCTTTGAAAAACACCTGCAGGGACATAGTGTGTTTTATTTTGTTGAATGATAAGGACACAGAGGGGAAATTAATCAAAGCAACCTTGTATCATCGAATCAAAAATCGTAATTCATGTCATCTTTTATATTGCTTTTTATAACTACAGCCATGAACTGTTTTGTAATAAAACATTCGAATTTTAAAGCCCTTTATATCTTATTTGTTTTCAAAGGTGCCATATAACTTAATTTACTATTACTGTCATTGTTACTGATTGTGAAAAAACAAACAGTAAATCACCTTCGTGTATCCAAATCTGTACTGAGAGTGATCAACGTCTATGGAGGACAGAAGCTTCTCAGACGCCTTCTTACTGTCGATGAACTGACCTTCAGGGATCGCACTCGCATTCAGGATCCTGTACCTGCTCACAGAGGTCAAAGGTCATGAGGCGCTTGAACCTAATCGTGTAATTATTTGTATTTGTGTTTGTGTGTATGGGGGTGTACCTTTGTCTGAAGTCTCCGTACAGGATCCTGCTGGGGAATCCTTTCCTGCAGATCCTGATCCCCTCTAAAACTCCATTACATCGAAGCTGATGAAGAACGAGGTGATGATCCATAGAGCCTGCAGGATGAAAAGTTCACTTCAAAAGAACAATTTAACATTTTTGAAATCACTGCGGTTCATTCCTTTCTTAGATCTGTGTGTGTGTGAAGCTCGAGCCAGCAGCAGTTAACTTAATTTAGCATCTGAGAACAGATGAAAGCAGCTAGTGTGGGCTGTGTTGTCTCTTTTTCTTGATACATCCCTGTTGATTAATTATTACTGAGGTTTTTTTATTAACTTTGAAGAAGGATACCAATTCAACAACCAATGTCGAAACCTTCAGCTATTCAGTTATTGATACAAGGACACACCTCAATTAAAGCAATCATACTTTTACACACTCTTCAAGTCGTATTGATTGTGACTTATCGAATAGGAATTTACCAATAAAGCTTTAAAAACACAAACAGCGTAATTCTTGATATCATACCTGGAGTTTTGGTCTCATTGGGGATGATGCACCTGACAAAGTGAGGATGTGTCGACCTGAGGTTCGCCATCAGTTTGTTCAGGTTCTCCTACAGAGAAAACTCTGATTATTAGCAAAAGAAACAGAAACTTAAAAAACCTTGACAAAGCGACCTTTCAATCAAACTCATTAGATAAAATCCTTTATAGCACTTTTAAAATCTTATTACCCTGAAGAGTGCAGAAACTGTCTGGAAAGAAGAGCCTTTTTTCTTGAAACTTTTCTTGCTTCCATCACCTGCCTCCAGAAAAAAATCATTAAGTACATCATAAAGGTTACAGCAATCTTGCTATGTGACAGCAGTAGTATAGCTAGGATCAGATAAATCCATTTAGCACTGTATCGTGGTAATTTGTGTGGTGATATCATATGCAGCATATGGATAACTCTACTATATTAGCTGCAAATGAGAAATGAAGTCTCTTGTATCGTCTCTGAATCTTGTTTATACAACACTGTAAGGACTCCAGAGTTGACACTAGTTTGACATTACTAAGTGAGCATCATTTAACACCTGCTTAGAGATATAAGGATCTCATAGGGTGCAGTACAGATTGTATTTTAGGTGCAAAGAGAAATAAATGTGGAGAGGACAAGAAAGGCAGCTGGTAGAAAAGTCATGACTACAATTATGTGTAGGGATGAAATGAATGCAGTAAGATGAATGGACTGGAATTTTTACTTATTGAATAAAAAACTGAACTGACCGTCAACTGAAGCATACGAGGCAAACAGCTGAGCGAGCAGCTTCAGGGAAGCTTTCTGATAAAGTTGGACCACCGTGTCGTTCAGAGGGTCTTTGTTCTTCTCCAGCCAGCCGCTGATATTATAGTCGACCGTTCCGGCGTAATGCATCAGAGAGAAATGAGCCTCGACCTTTCCTTTGGAGGGTTTGGGCTTCTGGAAGATGCTGTTCTTCCCCAGATGTTGGTCGTAGAGCTTGTTTTTGAAGGAGCTGTCTGTCGCCTTTGGGAACATGCACTCCTCCTCCAGGATAGAGAAAATCCCCATCGGCTGCAGACATGAGAGATGATCAGTTTTGATATATGCGCTTCTATTATTGATCAATTATTTGAGTACTTTATAATCTCACCTTCTCAATAAGCTCGATGCAGGCTGCTAAGTCCATCCCAAAGTCAATGAACTCCCACTCGATCCCCTCTTTCTTGTACTCCTCTTGTTCCAACACGAACATGTGGTGGTTGAAAAACTGTTGCAGTTTCTCGTTTGTGAAGTTGATGCAGAGTTGCTCCAGACTGTTCATCTGAATGAATCATTAGGAATCATTTCATACACGTATTTTCAGAGAGATTTGATGTGTTTGACTCTCTTTACCTCAAAGATCTCAAATCCTGCGATGTCCAGGACGCCGATGAAATGCTGTCGGGGGAGTTTGGTGTCGAGCTGCTGGTTGATCCTGGTGACCATCCACAGAAACAGCTTCTCATATACAGCTTTGGACAGAGCTCCCATTGCATTATTCACCTAGTAAGAAGTGTAATAAACCATAGAAGTCACCAGCTGCACATATATTGGTGAAAACAGCCTGAAATTGGCTTTAGCGAGTTTAAAGTAAAAACATAGAGACTGTACCTGCTGTGGAGTCTGTCCTTTGGTGACATACTCATTCCCAACCTTCACTCGGGGGTAGCACAGAGCTTTCAACAGGTCAGCGGAGTTTAGACCCATCAGGTAAGCCACTTTGTCTGCCACTAAAGAGTCAAAAAAAGTAAATCAAGCTGTAAAAGATAAAAAAAATATTGATAACATAAAATGTATGAATTATTTCACTTGTCCCACCCTCGGTGCCGTCGGGTTCTGCCTGCTCCTCTCGCTGCTTCTGCTTGAACTTCATGTTCCCAAAATGCATCACTGCTCCTGTCAGCTTGTAGATGCCGAGCTTTTCCTCTGAGTTAAACCCAAGGATGTCGATGGCACTCTGACAAACACACACACAGATTTGAAATATTGTTCATCTTTGTCGAACAACAATACATGAAATCAATCAGCATTAGAGAATGTTCTCACCTACTTTTCAATGTTTCTCTATCTATCTATCTATCTATCTATCTATCTATCTATCTATCTATCTATCTATCTATCTATCTATCTATCTATCTATCTATCTATCTATCCATCCATCCATCCATCCATCCATCCATCCATCCATCCATCCATCCATCCATCCATCCATCCATCTATCTATCTATACCTAGCTGGCCAGATAAATGGATAGATAGATGTTTACTCACATCAGTGTCCATCAGCTCATCGCTGTCGTTGATGCTCAGCACGGTGATTTCTCCCTGGCTAATGAAGGGATAGTCATAAGGATTGGTTGTAATCAGCATCATATCTGAGAAGAAACAAACCAATACCAAAAACAATATAATGCATTAATGTCAAAATAAAATAAAAACATCAAAACAATTTTATCAAAAAAAAAAAAAAAGAAATCCATACTGGTATGTTAAACACATCCTGTCATGATGAAAAAAAGAGAGTCTAATCCACACTTAACTTATTTCTGGTTTGTTTTAAGAAAGATGCAGCAATGTGTGGTCTCCTGAGTAATCAATTCCTCCTTTTTCAGGTAAAATCAAAGATGTTGTTAAGTAATATTTTTGAAAGCTAAACGTTTTTTGTTTTTTTTTTCAACCAAACACAGTTAAAAAGGAATCAGAACCAAAAAGTTTAAAAAGATGTTTGACAAAAAAAAAAAAAAAAACAGTCATAATCACCAATCAGCTCAGGTTTCTTGTTGGACATGATCTGATAGAAGATGTGGTAGCTCCTCTCTGCTGGCAGCTGAAATGTCACTCTGGATTTTTCCAGAAGGTCTAAGAATTATAATTGACAAAAACAAAGATATAATATGCATTTAAAACCCAAAGTGGATTATAAACATTACTGTTAATGTAATTAAAACACTTACAAGTTTCAATATCAGCTGATGCCAGCTTCCCCTTTGTTCCAAAGTGGATGCGGATGAATTTACCCTGAAAAAGTCACAAAGTTGGATATTAAAAAATATCACAGACTGATCTTTCTCTTCCTTTTTCACGATCCAGTGTTATCTCACTATATTGTCAATGTCTATGTCATATCTTACAGTATTGCGTCCTCATCAGTGAGCTTCATTGTACTGTTTCTCATTTTTGTACAGTATCATATAATTTCCAAAGGACCTGTATCTTATTTATGGAAAACCTGAACTGTTAAAGTTGTCAAAAAAAACTCAAATCAGTGTTACAGATTTGTTCCTTTGTGATACCAGATTACTCTCATTATGAGGAGATAAAAACTTTATTGCAACAGTAAGAGCAGCGACAGCACCCTCTGCACTGATCAGATGTAAACTCACAAATCGAGAGGAGTTGTCATTCCTCACAGTCTTGGCATTCCCAAAAGCTTCCAGCAGAGGGTTGGCCTGGATGATTTGATCCTCCAGAGTGCCCTGTAACTCACATAGAGAATTAAAGATTAACATGTCTGTGCGTTTCTAAAGCAGCTGCTCACACACCTGGGGGGTAACCACAGAGCAAGCTCTTCATTCAGTGAGTAAGCTGCCTGAGAGGCCTGTAGCTTCATTTAAAGGTGTGGGGTTTCATGAAAGTAGTTGTGATCAAAACTATCAAAGTCGGTGTAGTTCAAGAAAGAAAAGGGAAGACATTGTTGTATTGAGCAGTAAATTAATTTAACAGTTTACCATGTTATGCACTTAGTTGCTCCCTTTTGTTGAAGAGCAGCTCTTAAACTTCAACTGCGGTACATTTAAAGCTCCTGTGGGTTTTGTTATGTTAATGGGATAGAGTGAAATTCACATTAAATCCTTATTATGAGACAAAAAAGCAAACAAGACCATCAGCGTCAAGATGAAGGATTTTCATACAGTAATTTTTAAACCTTTCTAGGGGTTGGTGTCACATGATCAGCTCAAAAAACAGCTCTTTTTTGCTATTTCCAGATTAAATATTGACAAGAAATTACTCATTTTTTCCAGATAATACTACTTGAGCTTGTAAAGGACAAGATAGGTAAAGACTGCAGGGGGTGCTGTAGTTGATAAAGGGTGAAAGTTGACGCTCTTTATCAATTACAGACCTAGAAACTGTACCTAAAAAAAACCAAGTGGTTGTTTTTGCCATTGTTGACAGAAACAATGATATCAGAAGCCCCGCCCCTGTTCCTGACCCAGTCATGAATTTAGAGTAAGTTACCATGGTGATCTAGCCAACCTAAAAGAGATCCAGCTTTATTATAGTAAAACTGTGACACAAGGCTCAGCAGACCTAGTCCTGCTTCATGATAAACCCCTTGATCTCATACATCTAAAATAAATGATTTCATTTTCCAAATGAAAGATCTGAACCTGCATTTTGCCGGCAGGTTGCTCCTTCTTGCTCGAGTCTCCAAATGATGCAATTGTTGCAAAGTACTGGATAACTCTCTTGGTGTTGACGGTCTTCCCGGCACCAGATTCTCCGCTGAAAAAAGTACAGCAGAGATAATATTTGGAAATTCATATATATTGATTGTCCACTGAAAAATGAGCACAATAAGTGGCACTCACGTGATCAGGATGGACTGGTTCTCTCGATCTGATTTGGGGAAAGAAATCAGATTAGAAACACGTTTTTAAGGCCTCTCACTTCAACTAAAAAACATTTTATCAGTCCGGCATATTGACTTATATATGACTTCAAAAATTAATTGTGGGTTGAATTAAACAAAAGTGGTACTCAGTAAATATTGTTAATAAAAATAAATAAATAAAAATTATTTAATTGGCTTCATTCTTGAAAGTGAGTAGTAGTCTGAGTCTTTTATTTATTGGTATCATTTATTTTGTAAGATGGATTATGACAGCATTAGATATTGTTGTTGTATTATGTATTGTTTATTTGGTATGTAATGACTGGTCTGGACCTGTGAGCATGAACTGGTAGGCGTTGTCAGAGATGGAGAAGATGTGTGGTGGAGCTTCCTGTCGTTTCTTCCCTCGGTACCCAGCAACAACCTCAGGGTTGTAGACAGGAAGCCATTTGTACGGATTGACAGTGACGCAGAAGAGTCCAGAGTACGTCTAAAATTACAAGAAACATCACAGAGTCTAATTTCTTGCTCACCAAAGTGCTTCTTTTCACTCGTGAAATCCTGCAGAGATGCCTAAAATAGATTGGGGTTTTTTTTATTAAGAGACAATTTATAATCTTTTCATTGTTTATAGTTACATAGATCATCCAGGCGGCATAGCGCTCTTTCAAGTTAAACAGCACAGCTGGTTCATGAAGGTGAGTCAGCAGAGCCATGTCTTCAATCTTGTCAAACTTTGGAGGATTCATGGGGCGAATGTCGTCCACATCAACCGTGATGACCTGAGGTATGACATCAAAAGATTTGTTAAATCAGATTCAAGCTTTAGAAAAATAAAATAGACCAAAGGAAAACAAAACCCACCTTTCTATCCTCTGTCTCCACAGTGACCTTGGACCCATCTTGGGTCTTGATTTTCCCCTTCACATACTCCTGCTTTGGGTCCGGCACAAACACAGACGATTTGGCATCAAACGGCATGTTTTGAGCTGCGATTCTCTCTCGCTCCGACTTTCGGAGGTATGGAGCAGCCACTCCAAATATTTCCATCTCAGCGTCACTCATTTTGTCCAGCTGCAGATATTAAATCAAGAAATCAGTCACACTGAACAGATGTAGATCAGAGTTAAGGGAAATAAGGAAGCCTGTTACTCACCAGAGAGAGCTGCAGACAGATGAGAGGAAAATCACAAAAAGTTTGAGGCTTTGATAAGATTCGTGTTTCAGGAGAATGAAACAGACAACAATGGCACTAAAGAGTCTCTGGCAGCTTTTATAAGCTTTGGTTTGCCTTGTTCTCCTATATTTGGAGGTCTAATTGAAAAGTCATGTATGTCTATTTTGTCCTCTGAGTAGTCTATGTTTAGATGTATTGTGTCCCTTTTGACATGGTTTGAACTGTAATCCTTCAGGCTGTCCATTAAAAAGCAATGATTGTTAAAGACGACAGCTTAGGGGGCTCAAGGTCCAAACACAGCGAGCCTCATTTTCTGGGATCAGAGGAGATTAGGTCTGTTAGTGCATCCTTTAAATTCAGTCTGTCTGCTGAGCTGATCACACACAACTGTTTGTCTTCATGTAGAGGGTCGACCAGACGTTTAACACATGCCAGGCTGAGGCTGACTCCGTTTAAACAGATGCTTCATATGTGTCACTGAGGAGCGTCTTCACCAAATATTTAAAAAATCTAAAGAAATTCAGTGTGTTTTTAGATAGATAGATAGATAGATAGATAGATAGATAGATAGAAGTCCTCTGTTTCCCTATGATTTATAACACATTCCATGAGGCGTCACTCATTCACTTAAAGCTCCTGTGAGGAGTTTTTGATTGGTTATGAAACAGACTAAAATGGCCATTGATCCGTCCCCATAATGCCTAAAAGCAAATGAGACCATTGAGGACAAGACTGCCACAGTATGAGGGTTACCACTTAATCCACGGGGGGCGCCAAAATTTAACACAGACTGAAAGTTCCCCACAGGAGCTTTAAAGAGGAGACAAGATCTTCATAGCCTGGCGTCACTTGACCAGTTCACCGCTGTGAATCATTTTTCTGGGGAACATACAGTAAGCTACATTCAGTAAGAATAGCGGCCATCTTGGTTATTTACATATATGCTGATGCAGCGCTCTTGCATCATCATCTTAAATAAAGGACAGTGAATGAGTCGGCGTGTCTGACACAGAAGGAAACATTTTTTAAGAGGTGGTATTATGCTTTCATTTTCTGAAAACAAATGTTAAGTTGTTGGACGTCAGCTCTATACATGAGCAAAGTATCAGACTTAAAGGTTAATGTGTGTTTAAGTAATCATCAGTTGGGACTTCAGGGGGCTCTGAATGGCTTGTTCAAAAAGTCACATGAGAATTCAGAGATCAAAATGCGACCAGATGGTTTGTCTCCTTAAAGGGGGCAAATTTGTCGTATTCACTCAGTCGGAGGTTGATTGCATTTTATTGTCTTTTATGGATTTGATTTGCTTTTATTTGATTGTACAGTTTTTTTTATCTAACTTTATTTTATCTTCATTGTTTTATTGTGCTTCTGTTCTGTTACTTACTGTATTTTTATCTTGCTGTACAGCACTTTAGAAACCTTGTGTTTGTTTCAATCGTGCTATATAAATTAAATGGATTGGATTGGATTGGATATTATAGAAAGACACACAACTTGGTTGCATGACAACAGTGAAGAAGGCTTCCAGAATGCTGTGTTCTGGAATGCCAGTGGGGGACTTAAAGTGACAGTGGCTCAAATGAAGCATCTCAGACAGAGGCTGGGATGAGAGTTTTCAAAGCCTGAAATATGTTCAGAATTAACTGAAAATCGTGTAAAGCGGCTAAGAAGATACAGAGGGACAAAGACAAAAAGGCACCTTTCTGCCATATTAAAAAAAAAAAAAAAAAACAATCTTTAAAAAATCTTTGAAACAAAATCCAGGTGCTAAAACCGTCTCAGACACTGTGTCGTAATCTTCTATGACATAATACAACCTTCTGTCTTGGTTTATCTTTCCCTTAAGTTTAACTCTGCACATGAGCAGTGCGCCTAATTCTTACCAAAATACAAACTCGGTCCAGAAAATACCCCGGCAGCCGTTCCAGACAAAGAATTCAAATCCAAACCAACAAGGATAAAAATAAATCCACCATAACTCCATAGATCCTCTGTGCGAGTTTCTATTAACGTGACTCAATCACCAGAGTCAATAGAGCAAAAGAATGTCTTTAAAGTTCACCGCATGCCACAAAGTTTACTGTGATTATAGTGTTTTATCTTCAGCCTCATCTAAATGAACTAGCGTTCTGTTTATTTCAATGTGGCTCTATTCCAACACTTTGAATCCAGAGATGATTTATTTTTATTCAAATGTTGATTTAAGCTCATAAAAAAATCATGAATCAAAATTTTTAAAGGATAAAACAGAATTTTTTAAATTTAAAGAAAATGCAAAAAGGCTGTAGAGGACTTGCACAGAGAAAAATAGAAAAGGCAAATGTCTGAAAAAGTTGTCTCACTATTGCACTGACAATAGTCGATTGAGACTGAAACATTTGCTGCTTATTTGTTTGATCCTGGCAATAAAATGGATCCAACTTTTCAAGACATTTGTCTTTTCTATCTTTCTGTGTGAAAGTCCTCTACTGCCTTTTTGCATTATCTTATCTGGCCACCGCACCAGAAGCAAGAACACTTGAAATGATGTTAAGCACACAGCTCTTTTCTTGTTAATCACGTTAAATTTAGAGAAGAAACAATTATTAAGAGATTTAAAAATACTAACCCATGTGTCGAGAAGCTGTGCTGCTAGATTCCTCCACCTCACTGTCAATCAATCAATAAATCTGTCTTTATAAAATGCCAGTTCACAACAAGTGTTATCTCAAGACACGTAACAAAAAGATGGTCCGTACTCTTTTTGCAAAGACTCAATGTAAAAGTTTGAGTCCCATCTTCAACCACGAGTGAAACACTTTGCAGAATTTATGAAGTTACAGTGAAGAGGAAAAACTTCCTGTAACAGGCAGAAGCCTCAAGCAGAACCAGACTCATGTAAGACAGTCATCTGCCACTACTGTTTTGGGTTTAGAGAGGGGATGCAGAAAGAGAGAAATGGGCAGGGGTGAGACTGGTGCATGTAGTTAAAGCAGCTGGGAAGCAGGGCCAGGCAGAAAGAAAACATTTGCAGCAGCGATCCAGAGCGAACCTACGCCATGATGGAGCACATGGACTATAGAGAAGACACAGCGAAGAGGCTGCTGGCTTCCTCAAGACCCCTCTCTATGTATTTTACAATTATTTCAGCTGCAGTGGTGTATGAGGTGCAGCTCACTCCTAAGAAGACAAAGAAAGGTCCCCAGTCACTCAAAGAGGTGATAACATAAACAGATGGCATATAGAGAAAATATCAAAGCTTTTTTGAAGACATCCACCAGTGGACACCTGAGGAACTGCAGTTTTTTTTTCCACAATGCAAAAGCTTTTCGTCTGAGTTTCTTTAGAGGACTAAATAATTTAAATATTAAAGAACTGAATTAGACACTTTGTCCAGCAGTGTTCCACAGACGCTCTAATTGGTGCCAATTTAATCGCCCCTTAATGTCACTTGAAGGTCTGGTAACAGCTGTGTTTATAATTGGATCTAGGTAGCTAACTGTACCCCCTCAACCCCCTTCATGTGTCAACACAGCAGCAGCAGATATGTTTGACAGCGAGGAGGCCGAGACTTGTGATCGAAGGGACGCAGGAAGAGACAGAGAAGGAGCAGGGGGCAAATCCCCAGCAGCTGGTTATGGTGCCTCACCCCAGGGGGAAAATAGATCTGATGACGGGGGCGTCTGAACAGGATTAAGAGGTCAGCGGGACAGACAAGGATCCTAACAAGAGTGTGAAGCTACTGCAAACCACTGACAAGACAAACTCTCTCTCTCTCTTCTGCTGGCTCTGACGTTAACAGTGACTTTGTCAACCTTCGCTGCAGCCTCTCATACTGGCTCAGATTAACTTCATGGGAGGCAGATGAGCCTTCACAGAGATGTAAAGATACAAAGTTCAGGATGTCAATAAACAAACTTCAAAACTGCACTGTAGAAAAAGCATGAGAACAATATATAGGGCTTAAAAAAATATGCTTGGACCCCAATACGAGACACCAATATGTCAAACCTAAAACAGTCTCAAAGAAAAGCAACAGCACCATCCTCTGGCTGATAAATGTATATAATTTTTCATAGAGGTCGTCAAAGAAGCTTGTTTTTTTTGGTACTGATCTAGACAACCCAGAATCAGTGAATCACATAACTTTTTTTATTTTATCTTAACATCAGAGTTTCTTAAAAACGACTATCATCAAGTTTTTTCTAACCCTTAAAATATGTAAATGTTTTCTGGCTTTTACATTTCACAAACCTATAGAGAGACATTTCTCAACTGAGCTATTTTAGACATTAACCCTAGACGGTAATTTCCCATTTTGAGGACCGTTTTAGCTTTAGTTTCATTTTTCAAAAAGTTAGTAAATTTATGTGTAGATTTAAGCTACTAAAAAAAACTACTCGGGATTCATGAAGGCAGTGAAAACCCCTGATTTGATGTAAGGTCATGATAGTTCATGAGTGCCAATTGTAAAGTGACAGCGCCCTCCCAATAGCCACTAATCTGCCTAATTCTCCGCCCACGAATTAACATAAGTGTGGACATGTACCTCCTTTGGTACTGTTAGCTTGCTGTTTCAACTGTGTATCTATCTATCTTTCCGGACCCTGTAGGGAGGAATCAGAGATCGATGGCCCTCAGCTACAGTACACTTACACTCACCTGAGGGACTCCTAAAGCAAAACATGTTAAATACATGAGACCAACAGTGTTCGCTTGTCCAGATTTGTTTACTCTGTGGTCGTTTATGGCATTTTAACAGCCTGGTCTAGACAACTTTAGATTATTCAAAACCCGGACTCAGTACCAGCACTGGTTTGGATCCTACAAATGTAATGATTGATTTTAAGACCCAGAGCTGAGCTTTTCCACTGAGCTAGGTTCCTGCCCTCTTTTTTGGGGCACTGTTTACGGTGTGTAAAGGCTCACATTTTGATTTTTGTAGTGAGTGAACACCTATAAGGCTCTATGAGAATAACAGTTTATAATAATGAGTTCAGTTTTAATGGGTTTTTATATTATTTCACTTAAACATAATCATGAGTATTCTGACATTTTAAGCTAATATTCTCAATATCTTGGCTTTATCACTTTCAGAAAACAGCAGCTTAGCAGATACAGAAGTCCAGGGTTTATGGTCAATTATTTTCACTAGACTCGGTCTAATCCAGCTGGCATGCAGTCAAAGTAAATTTAGTCAAGCCTAAAAATGTCAGAAACAAAACAAGTGTATTTATCTGACTTTATTCAGACTTTTTTCTCTCCCATAACTCTCAGAATCAATCTTTAAAGATAAAATACACATTTCCTGTCCACAACCAGCTCAGATATAGTCTTTAATGTGTTTTGATTTTGATATACAAAAAGATCAGCTGCTCTTTTCCATTGTTGTATAATTCCTGTTCAGTCGATTTGATTCCATTTTTGCTGAGCCAGCCCCTGCTGTGTTTTTTTTTTTCTGTGTCCTGTCAGAAACTTGCTTTACTTCTTTACGATCTGAATGACATCTTCGTGCTCCATGATATGCGTAAGACCCACTCGCTGAGGACTGTACTTGGTACTGGTTCCCTGGAAGACAAAGAGACAACAAAGCTTCAGACCTTTTATGTATTTCCTTGTTGTTTCAAGTGAAGCGTTGACAAATGAGTGAAACAAATATACTATACTGTGAGAGGCTAGTGCATATATCCTGCTATTTCAGGTTCAAAATTTTGTTAACACGCTAACAATTCAAGCTATGGCACACTTTTTTTTATCAATAGGAAAATTAAGTAGAAACAGAAAACATTAGCACCCCTTCCTCCAGATAATCCACTAGAGCAGTGGTTCTCAAGTTCAGTCCTCGAGGCCCCCTGTCCTGCATGTTTTGGATGTTTCTCTGCTCCAACACACCTGATTCAAATGATCAGCTCGTTATCAAGCTCTGTAATGGCTTAATAACGAGCTGGTCATTTGAATCAGGTGTGCTGGAGCAGGGAAACATCCAAAACATGCAGGACAGTGGGCCTCGAGGACTGGACTAGAGAACCACTGAACTAGAACATTTGCTGCTTGGTTCTCACATGATCTCACCTGGAATTTCTCCTTAAATGGTACTAAACACACAACAGTTAAGTCTAGATACCCGTAAATTAAGCCAGTAAATGATTAAAATTCATGTTTTGGGTGAATGCAACATAAGGCCTACCCTGCAGCAGTAAAAATAGCTATAAAGGAATACTTTTTGCAAATGGTCTTGTTGGCTTTAGTAGGTTAAAAAAGGCATCATGATGAATTTCAGTCATATCTGACGAAAAGATCCTCTTAAGAGCGTTAACAAAAAAGAGTAAGATCAGCTCAATTCATTCATCGTACTCACCCAGACAAGGGCGTATTTGAACTGGCTGGCTAAGGTTCTGTGGATTCGATGGCACTGTAGGAAGAAAAACAAATGTGATTTGCAGACTTACACACTCTGTGGGTCTCATTACTCTAGTGTTGTTTTCTACACTGTGTGAATTAATGAGTGCTTCTTTACCACATGTTCTACAGATGCTCCTCTTCTCATAATGATAGCATCGTTAAAGTCCGGTCGTTCTGGAGAAGAAAAAAAACAACAGCTAAACTTTGATGTAACATTTTTGTATTCATGTGAGGTCAAAGGACTCATGGGAAGTGCGCACGTACCTCCTCTTTTCTTTGTATAAATGCAAATCAAAGCCAGGTATTCCCACAACGTCTCCAGGAGGTAATCCAGGTTCAGCTTCATGCCACAACTGGAATGAACACAGAGACGGAATAATGAGGAAGCTGCTATTTTCAGCAACAACTGAGAGACAAGTTTTCACACGCATGAGCCCTCAAACATCTCACCTGATGACGACACTGTTCGGTCTGTGAGCCAGGCGGTCCACCTCCTCGATGGAGATCTGATCTACCTTATTGTACACCTGTAAACACCACAGAAAGACGAATTAACCTCAAACAAATTTACAAAAAAAAAAAAATTACAAAGGTTGGCGAAAGCATTCTATCTCAAAAGACAGTGATTCCCCTGAGTTTTTTGCAGATGTGTTGGATAATGATAATAATCCAAACTTACATATAAACAAGGCATGTAGACTCTGTTTCCAACGATGACATCGATGAACTCGTCTGGCGTGCTGTCCTCCCTGAAGAGCACCTCTGCATTAAAGATTTCTGAGGAGAGCGAGTCAAAGAAGCCGACAAAATACTGCTGCAAAATATTCAAAAATGTCAAATTAAATGATCGATGGACTAAAAGGAAAAAAAATCTTCATTATGATACATTAAATAATTCAAATATTTACCAGACTTTCATGAATTAACTTATGTGTTTCTCAACCATTTAAAAACTCCTGACAGTGCCTTTAAATAGTGAAGGATACTGTATTCATGGAGAATGAGCTGGACGAGTTTCTCTGAGCACTGGGTGAGAGGGACTGTGGAGTTGTAAGAGAGGCCGCCACCTTTCTTTGGCTACAGAGAGAGAGAAGGTACATATGTTCACAAATGAAGTATAACAACCAAAGCGGTCATGCTGGAGCTGACAAACTGTTTAAGGTTAAACAGACTCCAAAAGTGGTAGATATACGAAGGTCATTTATTGCCACCATTAGATTAAATTTTCTTCCTGCTAGTCATTTCAAAAACTAAGCACTACATCTCTTTGAAATTAGCCGCAGGTATTCAAGGTCCACTCAGAATGAAACAGAAAACCTACCTTGAAATAAATGTTTGGTTTTCTCCGGTTGAGCCTGATGCCGACTGATTCCAACTCCTTTTCTAGAAGCTCTCTAAAATAAGGAAGTAAAGGCATGAGTTAGTGTATTTAAATACTCCTAAATACTCCTAAAAACACGGTTATGTAACAAACCTCTGAACATCTCCTTTAGTAGCATCCAACATCATGATGACGACGTCTGCTGTCCTGGCAACCGCAATGACCTGACGACCCCTGCCCTTACCTAAGATGGATCAAAGGGAGGGAGAGAGAGTTTAAAAGGAAGTAATAATAGTTACGCCATAATGCCTCAATCCTAAACGAGATATGCTACCAACTCCAGTCTACATGAATCAACAAAACCATGACACCTCACTTACCTTGAGCAGCACCCTCAATGATTCCCGGCAGATCTAAGAGCTGGATGTTGGCCCCGTTGTACTAAAGAGCAGCAAATGACAGTATAAGTGACACACTGTTGCTCAATATCCACAAGTACATGCATTCATGAGTGCACTGTTGTGATTGTGTGTCTACCTCTATGACACCAGGTATGCAGGTGAGGGTGGTGAACTCATAGGAAGCAGCTTCGCTGGCTGTTGATGTCATCAAACTAAGGAAGGTGGACTGTGAGGGAAAACAGAGGACGAAGTCAGATCAGGACAGGTTCAGTCATTTCATTATGTTTCATCTCTTTTCCTGTGGACTGCAGTATTTTTTAGTGTGGATAGAAAGTCATGTCTGTAATTTGTATCTGTTCGATGTATGAATGACTTTGGTAAATAACCAGTGTTTCCATTCAGTCGTAACACTTAAAGGGATATTTCGGCGTAAAATTAATTTAGGGTCAAACACACCGTAACACCGAGTTTCTTCATGGAAATACAATCAGACCGAGACGTTAAGGCAGAAGAACTACTGTCTGCAGATTTGTCATTTTGCAGCATGTATTAGTGTAATAAGGACAACACTACAATATGCACCAGGTAGCAACATTTCTTAGTCCTAAAAAACTTAGTCAGGCTGTTTCATAACCAGCTAAAATCTCTTCACAGGAGCTTCACCTGTGATTTTTAGAATTGATTCTAAGATTTTGCTGCGTGTTTTCATAGCCTTCAATGACTCCAGTCTGTGTCTTTGCTGCAAACTCACAACGAGCCTGAGGTCCTCCAGCAGGGCCCTTCTCATGGTTCCTAAATCCTGACTGGAATCAAGAGGTGACCAAGCATTGGCTGTTCATACCCCACCACAGCTCTGGAAATCTCTGCCTGAGGATGTCAGACCCTCTATGTCCTCTAATAAACTTTGTTATTCTCTCTCTCCTTCCTTCTCCCTCGTTCTCTTTCTCTCCCCCTGCCCTCTCTCCTACTTGCCACTGTCACTCATGTTACATGACATGGGTCAAATCTGTCACATCTTAAGGTTTGGTCTTGATAATTCATCAAACAATGAGTGTGGTCTATACCTGCTCTTTTTCTTTGGAAAGCGTCTTGGGATGACGACTGTTGTGAATTGGCGCTATATAAATAAAATTTGATTTGATGATTTGATTTATACTTGTCCTTAAATTATGATGAAAATACTGGGTCACACTCATTTGTTCTATATCATTAAAAGTCATTTGTTTAAATATTTATTTACTGTTTTTGTTGAAACATTGATTATTATAACAACAGATATTTACTGCTTTGTTTGTGACTGGAGTGATTTAGACTTCAGGGTGTTCCAGTATCTTATGTTGTGGATGATGAGTGTATTCCTTTGAGCATTATAGGTCTGTTTAAAGATCTCAAGACCAAAACCCAGTGTCTGTTGTTGACTTACCTTACCCACAGAGGGGAAACCGATGAGAGCAACACGAGCATCTCCTGATTTCATGACATCGAAGCCTTCTCCTTTGGCCCCAGCTGACTTGGAGGGTTCCAGGAGCTGAGCTCTGTACTTGGCGAGCTTTGCTTTCAGCAAACCCAGATGGTACTCAGTGGCTGGAGGAATGAATGAATCACAAATATGACAACAGAAATACTCCATACTGAAGGTTTAAAGGTTTACGAAAAACAAAAGTGGAAGTCTGACTAAAAGATAATGAAGGTAAGGACTGAACGGGGGTTGATTTTCAGTGTGACACCAGCACCTGCACCATTTGGGAGTTACTTTGCACTTCAAAATTAAACACTGAAGAAACAAAATAGAAACAAATAAGTTGAAATAAATGTTCTTTAAATTGTGGCTGTAATTGACATAGAGCACAAGTCTCACTAAGCCTGTTTTCTCTCGAGTTACAGAGAGATGAGAGTAACACAACACTGACGGGTGTCACACGTACACACAGCTGGCTAGAAGTTTAAGTGGTAGCTAACACTTAGCCACGAGACTCTCCCTTTCTTACCTTTGTTTTTCTGTGTCCGAGCTATTTCTTTCTCTATTTCCGCGATTTTCTCTAATATCCCCATTGTGGCAGAATAAGTTGGCTACAGCTACACTGTCAAAAAAAAAAGAATAAAGTCAGACACGTGTTATAGTACAGTTGTTAGCACTGATAGCCACCCGGCCAGGCAGCTAACCAGCAGTCTGCTGCTGTTTCTTCTTCGGGGGTTCACAGACGAGACGACACCATCGAAGTTGATGTAATACTGCCACCCACTGGTCTCAGTTTTCTCCATTTTCCTCCCAGGACAAGCTGTCTTAGCTAAGTCTCATGTAGACAAACGTATCATTTACCCTTTACCCACTGTCCCAAATAGTAACGTTTACTGTACTTGACCTGTAGTCTGCACAACTTAAGATTTCTTCCACACACCATGACACACCCACCCCCCACCCCCATTTGATTGACACAGAAATGTGGTGCAAATATTTCTGAAACAGAATATTTTAAGCTTGTCTACTGTGTTTTCCAACATTGTAAATACTAACTCACCCTACAAACTTTCCGCCAATCTGGCCAGAGGCAAAGAGGGGGAGTTTAGGTGGAACTTTAGTCTCCTCTGTAGTAGCTACAGGGGGTCTGCCTTTCAGTCGAGCTCCTAATCAAATTCAAATTCAACTCTATTTTTATGGCGCTTTTTAGACAAAAAAATGTAGTTCAAGTGCCTCACAGAGGCTAAAAACAGCAATTAACAACAATAAAACCTGAACCTCCCACCCACACACCAACCCATGGACCCACATGCACACAAAGACACACACCCACCTTCACTCATCCACACATACACACACACAAGCACACACAGAGTGAGAATTTAAGATATATTGTGAAAGAGACATGGCCTGACACTAAGACATTACGTAAGGAAAGAGCTACCTTTGGGAAACTCTGGAGATAAAAGACAAAAAATAAAATGGTAAGAAGAAAGACTAAAACCTGATGGACTAAAACAGAAAATGATATTAAATGAACAGATAAGTAAGAGCTCTTTACCATGTAAAATGGGTAAAAGAAGGAAAAACCTCTAAGACGAGAATTAAGAAAAAGACTAAGAACAGAGATAATCAATAATAATTAGTGAAAAGCCTGGTTAAAAAGGTGAGTCTTGAGCCTCTTCTTAAAAATATCAACAGTCTCTGCGGCCCTGAGGCTCTCTGGTAGGCTGTTCCATAAACCGGGTACCATAGAAACTGAAAGCCCCCTCCCTGTGTGTTTTTGTTTTGACTTCAGGTAAGGTTAAAAGGCCTGTGCCAGAGGACTGCAAGGTCCGCGAGGGTTGATATGATAAAAGTGAGTCAGATAAATAAGAGGGGCCAAGACCATAAATACATCTAAAAACGAATAAAAAAAAAACCCTAAAAATCAATCCTGAAACAGACGGGAAGCCAATACAACGATGCTAAAACTGGCATGATATGCTCTCGCCTTCTGGCCCTTGTCAGCACTCTTGCAGCTGATTCACACAAAACTTTTAATCCTCTGAACTGGCAAGTTATGTTTTTATAAACTAAAATATATAAACTAACGCTTATCACTCCTTGGGACTTATATTTTGATAGTGACTTGTAATTTGTGTGCCCTCCCATTGTCTTTGAAACAAGGTAATCTTCTGTATAATATTTTATTTAACAAATACTGGTGACTTTCTGTTGCCCCTGTTTTAATGGAGAATCAACACGTTAACTACTTTACTGGAATGAAAGAGTCAAGTTCACAGAATTAATCTTATAACATTCTCTCTGCACACACTTCCTAAAATATTTCTCTCTTATCATTTTGACTTGAACTCAGGTAAAGTTTTTGCAGATCATGTTGCATCCATGATTCCTTCAGTTTTTTTTGCAAAAGTTTAATAAAAATAATGCATCAGATTTCATATTGCACTTTATCAGAGACCCTCAAAGTGCTTTACATTGGATACATCATTCATTCGCTCACAGTCACACCTTGGTGGTGGTAAACTACTTTAGTAGTCACAGCTGCCCTGGGGCAGACTGACGTAAACGTGGCTGCCAGTTTGCGCCACGGCCTCTCCGACCACCACCAAACATCACTCATAATCATACACCAGTGGAGGACACACAGTGGGAGCAAGGTGGGTTAAGTGTCTTACCCAAGGACACAACGGACAGACTAGGGATAGGGGGAAATAAAACTGCCAACCTTCCGGTTATCAGACCACTGCTCTACCTCCTGAGCTACTGCCGCCCATCATCCACATCATTCCCAATCGCTGTCATCTAACTTGACCACACCACATAAAATAACTACTTTCAATAAAATAATGAGCTGAACTCAAAGAGCTATACATGTTTTAATTGACAAAGCAGTATTACAGCTTTTCAACAATTGCATAGTTTATGTTGTCACTAACATTGCAATGGTGATTTAGGATAAATAGGCTCAAAATATGTTTCTACAATGTTAAAAAACATTTCTTTTACAATAAAACACAATAATCCAGCATATAGTTTTAAGTTATAAAGTGCTAAATGCATTCACATAGCAAGTCTCCTCTCTAAAACTAAGACTTTAAACAGCCGACTAGTATCACTGTTAAGACTGGATAATACTGAGCTGAATGAACACCATGTTTGTGTTGTCACTGTGGCAGCCAGTTCACACTATTAACTATGATAACCACTTCTTCTAACTATCTATCACCAGTGCAGTTAAAACAGTTTGGACCTGAAGACCAGCCTGTGATCTGAAATGAGTTTGTAAAATATAAAGTGCATCACGTGTTGTCTGGTACAAACTATCCTACATGTGATTTTGAGGAATGTGAAACTTCTGTTCATGGTTTTGGTGTTGGCAGAAAGGCTCTGAAGACAGAAATAACTCAGCTCAGTCTTTGAAGTTAACCCAAATAACAGAACCCTTATTTTCACACGCAACTGTAGTATGAAAAACAGATTTTTTCGTGAATTAATTATCAAACAATGTCACTCCTAAAATACATTAAAAACTGTTTTAAAGACCCCGTGGCACATTGCTACACCTGTTTTTGTGCTGCCTGAGGAGGCTTTATTTCTACTTGTGTCTATGAGGAGCCCTGACTTCTAAAAATGTTGATAGAAAAAAACACTCAGCTACTTGTTCCTGCTAACTTAATATGACTTCACTCTGTAAAAGTTTGACATTTATGAGGAAATATGCCTGTCTTCAAACAAAATGACACAGACCATTTTTATACAGACTTCTTGTTTGATGTCCCCCCCATAGCTGAATTTACTCCACACGACATTTCCTGTCTCATATCATAAGTGTTTCAGTTGATTTTAAACAGGATTTTGCATATTTCTGTGTATGAACCAATCTGACATTAAGCCATCCTTGACTATTAGCTTCATATTTTTCCGATTCATCTTTGTCTGTTCGCTAAAGATTTAACACTTTGCCTAAACCTTTTGGCTAATGCTTTCAAATCATAATATCAAGGTAACAATTTGAACATTTATCATTTTTTAGCAAGGATTTAATCAGTTTTTCCACAACTATGAGCTGGAGTTTATCCATACTTTAAAGCTAACGTTTCTAACTGGTGTTTGATTGTAAGTGTTAGCTAAATACTTAAGCTAGTTATCCACAGATTTTAGCTCAAGAGTTCACCTCATAATCTCTTTTATGGGTTATCCATAACCATTTTGGGTATTAATTGAAAATATTTTAGCCTTTTGGCAGACAATATGTAAACTTTTTGCTGTTAAGTCTTAATTTTAGCTCACTGTTCCAACTGTTAATTAGCATGTTAGCTTACGACTTTAACAGCTAACCAATAACTTTAAGTCGACTGTTTCAGCTGATGATTTATTTCTGTTGTTACTTTTAACAGTGAAACTATGTAGTTATTCAACCATATATTTTTTTTGATTTATGATTAATGAGAATCAAACGTTGAAGTCGACCATCTCTGGTAACTGCTAAAAAGTTGGAACTATCTTTTCATATCTTTAAGCTTTACTTTAACTTCTACTCGTTACTGAGACTGACAATTAAAACATTTTCCCATGACTTTAATCTTCTCAACATTTTACAGATTACATAAAGCTAGCTAATTTGATCTGTTTAGTTTCTCTGAGAAAAAGTTTCCATCACACATGGCTAATTGTCAATCAGCTGATTTGCTTGCTGGATCTTTTCTTTTCTATAAATATACAGACTTCTTCCTCACCTGTAAAATCTTTTCATAAACCTTTAAAATAGTCGAGGAAACCTTTGGGCTCAAGGTACCCTCAAGGTGTAAAATCACTGAAAGACAGAAAAGCCTTTTCCTTGAGTGTTGGACCATTTCTTGAAAGAAGCTGCCACAACAGTATCTCCCTGTTTTTCTGATTCATGATGCCATTGTCCAGCACAGTCATCATAGAGGCCGAGGCTGATGCAGACCCGCCGTTTCTGGGCTCAGAGCAGGACTGTGTGTTGCCTTTGAAGGACTCCAGTTCCCCAGAGAAGCCTGGACAGCTTTACGATGCGCCAGTCTGTGTGTGATGGAGAATCCAGCATTTCCCTCCAGCTGAGACAAAACCACAAGCACCTGTCTGAGAGACGGAGATAAACCCTCATTCACATTTAAATCATCTTCTTGCAATAATCATAAAAAGGACGAGTCCACACCCTCATTAATGAAATGATTACAGCGAGTTTTGTTGTGTTTTCTGAGTCTGCAGAAGTCTCTTATATGTGCATGTGTCAAAACAATGATACGTTTAAGCTCATAATTTGCTTAAATTCTGACTTTAGCCTTTATTTTTCTCACACTTCAGTTTTTCAGGCTCATTTTGTCTCAGTTTTTTAATGAATGTTGTTTTTCTGTTTTGTAGTTGTCTTAGATTATAAATAATAATTAGTCAGTCATCAGTAATTCCTCCCAGTCTATTAATGAGGTGTTGATGTGAGTATTGGGTTGGTTTTGTAGGAAACCTGTGCAGAGGAGGGATGCTGTCGATAGCTTTGAGGCTGCTGCGTGTCGACACCACATTGAAGCTGTCACTGCAGTCACAGGAAACATGGAGGTGGTGTCTGGGGTGTCGGTTTTCCACCATAACGATGAGCCCTGCCCAGCCATGAGTCAGGTAGTAACACGTCATTCCCTCTCGACCCTGAAAACCAGAAATGGGAGAAGTTTTCAGGTCCTGTACAGCTATAAAATTACAACAAAAAAAAAGTCCAGCCTTTCAAACCTCACTGTGGAAAATTACTGTGATTTTTGAGGCAGTGAGTGACAGCAGCAATACCTCGTGTCTTTCTCCTTTGGTTTCTGTCAGCTGGATGATGGCGTCAGCAATGGTGGTGTTGGAGGCTGTTATCTGCTCCACCATCACCAGTCTGGAGCTGTAGACTGCCAGCATGTAGCCGGGCTCCTCTGGTTTACTGCAGCTCGCTGAAAACACAGAAACAGTCGGTGGCTTTTTAGCAGATTTCATCGTAATACTTTAAATCAAAAGTGGGGCCTGTTTATCACCCTGCTGAAAGGAACATTTGAGACCTTGACTCAGTTAGAGCCAAAATGCTGCTTTTTGCCTTTGCTCCAAAATCATCATCCTCATATATCACATTGTGTTGAACAAATGCTTGGAGATTTAAGAGCTTTGAAGAAGCTGTAGTTGTTTAATTGAAGCCTTAATCAGGTGCAATGAGTAGGTTAAATGAACAGAGTACTTTCAGAGACTAGTTTTTAACGTCCCCTTGAAACTAAGAGGGCAAAAGCACACATAATAACAGGGCTGTCCTTGTGTCATTACATCAAAGCGTCATTATCCCACTACACAGGCAAACAAATATCATGCATACTGGTCCTGCTTTGCATAGCAGGGAGCCAGCTTTAAGATGTGACTTCCAAAAAATAATAAAATAATACAAGTTCACAAGTTTGGAGTGACATCCAAGAAACTCCAAGAGCAGTGAATAAAGGGACAACACCTGCTCAGCTAAAGAGAAGGTTCCAGTGATGAAAAAGATAAATACATTTGTCATTATTCTTTAGTTTGAGACAAGTAGCCATTTTCCTAATAAAATAAAAGTTTAAATGATTTGATAACCATCAAAATCTAGTTCAGTCAGGACCACTTTAGTCAAAATTAACAATTTATTGCAAGCAAACATTTTTACATTGGCGGTATGGCTCTGTTCTGAGAGTTCCCTGCCCTTCCATGTGCTTGCATGGAACACCACGGCTACAAGAGGGGAAAGCCCCTCCCCTTCCTTTCACATGCATACATGAAAAGTCGAGGTAGAGAAAGCAGCAGCAAATAAATAAAATTAAGATAAATACAATTAAGATAAATAAATTTGAAATCCCCCCCACAGAACAGAGCAAGCATCTGAGATAATACATATGACACTGGTAAGATCGGACACAACATAAACAGGAGGAGCTGAGATGGAGGTGGGTTGCAGACTGGTTGCAGCAGGCAGAGTAGGCAGGAGAAGCAGTTTATATAGGGCACCATTTTGACATTTGCCAGTAGGATGTGTGGAGGGTGATCAGCTGAGCTGTCAGCTGACTGAAGGCTGGCTTAAGATCAGCTAACTGTAGCCCTTAGCTTGACTTCGTGTCCTGCCTGAATTACTGCTGTGCTTCATTTTTATCAACATTTTATCCCAGTGCCCTCGCTCTCTTTTCAGAATGAGGATTGTACATTCAAAGTTTGAATCTGGCATCATACATCGCTAACAAACTCAAAGTGTTATGTTTTTGCTAATTTATGACTTACAGTTCAAAACCTGGCATTTCTCTTACCCGAGTCCTCCATGTCATTGTTACGCCAGTGGTTGAAAGCGCAGCAGAGCACGGCGTACTCGCCCGGCTCCAACATGACATCGCAGCCCACGAACCTCCTGACCGAGCGCCGGCTGTGAGCCAGCAGACGACCCAGGGACAGGACGCCGGAGCTGTCGTACGAAACCCGAAAAACCAAGACACACAGATCTAAGAGGTGGCTCTCTGCTGTGTCCCACCGCCTACAACAAATATTTGACATGGATCAGTCTGCAAACATCATTCAATAACATTCAAGATATTTTGCAAAGGACAGAAAGAGCATGACAAACGTCGTAAAAATGTAAATGTGTGTATTGGGTAAATGAAGCAAAATGACTGGGCCAAGCAAAGAGCCTTGGGGAACACCACAGATAACATATGCTGAGTAGTCTATTGGGATATGGAGTCCCCCCCTGCACAGTTTAAGAATATGTTTCCCAACTAAGGCGATGATCTCTCTGGGTTTGAGAGACCTTTTTTATTCCAACAATTTTAGCATCTTAAAGCATGTCTGGCAGCGATATTCAAGGGTAATTTAACACTAATTACTACAATCCCCACTAACACACTCCGGCCAATCACAGTTTTGACAAAACTGCACAGGTAAGACTGTGAGCATGTTCCTACCTGCTGCCCTGCTGGAATAATGCCAGCTCCACTGCTGTTCTCTCCAGTACCGTGATGGATACAACTGTCACTGGGACATCAGCTCCACGGGGAAAAACACCGGGCACTCGCACCTCCTGCCAGTCTGAATGAATCTTACAAATATCCACAGAATCAAAGTACCTGCCAAGATCCAAAGCACACCCACAGACACATGCAGATGCAGAAATAAACAACCTTGCAAACAGGTGACTCCACAGTTGCTTGGATACCCTTGTACAGTAAATCTACAAATGTAGGCTAAAATGAGTTTGAGAAAACTGATATTCGTTTGTTTTCTCACAAGGTAAATAATAGAGTATTTGCCTGAGTCAGAAAGATAGAATAAACAGATCCAAATGCAGCCTTGATTTTTTTATGAGATAATTTACCTGATGAAATCCCAGAAGTCCATCCAGAACAGTCCATCTTCAGCCCGCTGGGCACAGAGCTCCCTCTTCAGGTGAGGAGGCCAGTTTGGCCAGTTGTCAGCCCAGGGCCCAGTCCAGGAGAAACGACCCCAAGGGTTCCTCAGCTGCAATAACCTGACAGAGTACAATGATTAAGCCACACCAACAAGTAAGCCTCTTTGTACTTTGCAACATAACTAAGTCTTGAATCTGGCGTGCGTGGCAACATTCCCTACATGATGATGATGTATTTTCTGTGATCCAGCAGTGATTGGTTTTCCAGAGCTAAAGTGGGAGCAACAATACAAATTGAAAGCATTACAGCAACTGTAAGTATGGGGGAGTCTTTTGCAGAAAAGCCCAGAAATTTTTCTGCTGATTAAAAAGGACACTTGGCAAAAACTTTTTTGGGGCCAAAATGGCTACAAGAAAATCCCCGCTGGGAAGTGGAACAATCAAAAAATGATCAATAAAAGTGCCTGTTTTGCCATCCATAATAGGTTTTTATGGAAGTAAATCTGTGCCATCTGATTTTGAATTTGAATATCTAAAGATGCATTTTTTTGTATCAAAATCAGATGTTGAATTTCAAAACTATTGAATTTCAAGCACGCATTTTTATTTCTTACACTTGTTTTTTTTTTGGCAATGATGAAATAAAATCAATGTAAAAAAAAATCAGTCACTCAAAATATTTGTTTGGTAAAACTTTTATTTAAAAAAAAAAAAAAACAGTCAAATTCAATGTCAAAAAATTCAGTGTCAAAAAATTCAGTGTAAGACAGACCGACTCAATATCTGGGTAACCAGGGAGAAGCAATCGATTTCTGGCTCAATCATCCATCGTCCAGCCAATCAAATAATGCTAGATTGGTCATGTGGCACCAACCCCAGTGGAAGATTGAGGAATCAATTGCTTCTCTCTGATCACCCAGATGTGGAGTCAGTCTGTTTTACACTAAATTTTTTTGACACTGAATTATTTGACACTGAAATTTTTTTATGTTGAATTGTTTTTTTTACACAGTTTTTACTACACAAATATTTTGAGACTGATTTTCTTTTACACTGAATTTATTTCATCATTGCGAAAAAAGAAAAGTGTAAGAAATAAAAATGCGTGCTTGAAATTCGATCTGATTTTGATGCAAAAAAAATTCAGCTTTAGAAATTCAAATTCAGAATCAGATGGCACAGATTTACTTCCATAGATTTTTCTTTAATTTTTAAAACTTCAAAAAGTGACCTTATAGTTAAGAAAACGACTCTTTAACCAGAAATCAACAGAGCTAAAAGAACAAGACTCCTCCAAGAAAGCTTTTTTACCAGCAAGAAAAGGGAGTTGCCAGTCTACCTCTGACTTTTGTCTTTAAGGACCTTTTTTATAATGTTGTCAAATATTGAAATTAACCATCTGAGCCTTCTTGTGACAAATAACTAGGATTTCTACATATGAAGGTTTAAAAATACTGGAATAAAACACCCTAAAACATGCAGAAGAAGCAGGGAAAAGTATTAGATTTTACTGCTAGATAGTCAAGCATGGTGACCTTTTAGACTGTAGCATCTGTGCTCCACAGAGTCCACAGAGTCATATTTTTACAGCTGATTTAAAGCCCTTAAACTCAGCAGAAAACTCAGTCAGTGGATGTTGATTCTTTTGATGACGAATGGCGTAATCTTTTCGAACATTTCCTCACCTGTGACCGTCTACGTCTCTCACATCGAGGACAGAGTAAGCATGTCTTGGTCGTAAACCCAGTGACTCGTACTCCGAATCATCCACCTTCATGTTACCGCCACCACATGACGCCCCCATCAGGAAACTAGCAGCACAAAGAAAAACAGTAAGAGTTCATCCCTGCTGTTCCCTATCAGATTCAAACTGAAGATTAACCCCCCCACACTCACCCTGCTTCTTTGGAGCTGAGCATTTTTGCCCAGATGAGGTCTGTGTCGATGGGTTCTTCTTTGGGGTTGGTGGCGCTAACCTGGAGGGCCAGCGACTCACAAGGAGCCCCCGTCAGCGTGGACAGGCCCTCGATGGCTCGGCCTGCCTGCAAAGCGAAGTAGGAACCATGCAGCTTGGCCAGAGCTTTTTCAATCAGGGCCACCCACAGTTGCTTCCGCTGGGCCTGGAAGATTAAATTAGAGGAGATAAGGGGAATTTATTATGAAGTAATTATCTCCAGTAGCACAGCTTTAAAACCCAGCCAGGTGATGGTAGGGGAACACAAGCCTGTATGCAAAAGAGAGAGGACTTAAGATAGAAAGTAGAGTTTAGATAAAACAGATTATATCAGATTCTGTCTCTATCAACAATTTTACATTAAATTTAGTCTTTAGTCTACACCAGTGGTTCTCAACTGGTGGGTCCCGACCCAAAAGTGGGTTGCGGACACATTCTGGATGGGTCACAAACAGCTGGTCAAAAAAGTAAATATTTAATGTAGTATTTATTAGTTATTTAATATTTTCTGTATATGCAACTTCAGTAGTTATCGTCCTCATGTTGTCCCCTTCATGTGCTCTTAAATGCACTTTATTCGATAAAACAAGTGGATTTATGTTTAAGATAAGATAAGTCTTTAAAGGTTTTTTTTTTATATAAAAAATAGATTAGCTCGGTTTGAATTCTATAAAAGTGGGTCACGACTTAAGGACCATGGGAAAATGTGGGTCCCAGAGTGAGAACCACTGGTCTACACTACAATCATGTGGAATGAGAGATTCAGATTCAACCCTTAAACTCCTGTGCAACAAAATAGGATGGACTCCTAAAGCTTATATGTATTTCATTAGTTTGAAATGAGTGTGAATGCACTCAGATTCAAAACATGAATGTATTATCAAAAGTCAGAGCAGTGTCAGTGCATGTGGTTGTATCTACACCGAAATCATAGTTGTGTTTAAATCATCAAAGTTTAAAGAGAGTGTTACATCACCTTAACAAGTTGCTGAATTGGTGTTTACATATAATCACTTTGAGCTCCAAAGCTGTATTTTTCCTCTAGTTCCAGATTTCGTGGCACAACTCTTAATCTAAAACTGCTGTATATAGCAAACTGGGACACTTGGTGATTGAGTTGTGTGCTTAATCAGCCTCAAATCACGTCTTTCTCTGTTGTGTGCTGTAACACAGAGCGACACACACACTCCGTGTTCACTCTGTTGAATAAGAATACATTGTTCAAAGCGATGAGTTATAACCCTGGGTCATACATTCTGTTATTTGTTCCTGCTGCGCTGTGCAGCTCTGTCTCCCCCCCTGCAGAGTGGGGATGTCTGTGTTTGTCTGCTGATTTAGGTGCTGATGCAGGTTTGGCCTCTGACTGATCAATTTGAAGAGGAGCGCAGCCTCTGATTGGATGAAGACAGTCATCATTGGTTTGAATCCCAACTGCTCCCCCCTGCTCCTGCCACTAGTACCAACAGACCAGCAACATATATTTAGTTAGGAGGTAATTTTTCTATTGTCTCAGAACTAACTCTAAAAACTATTTCTAAGAAACTGAAGACATAATGAACATCATTAAACTAGTTAGGAGTTCAGGTCAGACATCTGTCATTTGTTTAGTATTTTGTTTCCTGGTGAGTTTAGGGTTTATCTAGATAAATTTTGTTTGTTGTTTTGGCATTTGCTCCTCATTAAAGATCATTAAATCTGCTGTTTGACTCTGAATTTGACCTGTGTCGCTGCCTTTCTTAGGATGTACCAATCCAGGCCTAGGATGTACCAGTTGATTATAAATAAGAAGTAGGCATAAGCTCCAGGTCTGGAAAGCTTCAGGTTTACTGCGTTGGTGCATCAGTTTGAAATAAGAAGGCTAACTGTGTATAAATCTAAGAGGAAATATCTCACTTTATCTACCCTCAAAAGAATTTACAGCCTGCTGTTCTTCACTACAAATTTACAAACTGAAGGCAATTTTTCTGAATACTGTTCTTATCTAAAGTAAAATGGAGGATAAAGCAAAGATAGTCCCTGGGCAAAATTACATAAAGTTGATAAGTTGCTGCCATGTCTTTGTGACACGTCTTTTTTATATCTAAGTGTTTTAAAAACACTGTAGTAAATAACAACAAAATCTTCACTTAACCCTTGTGTAACCCTTAGATTTACATCCTTTCTTAACGCTCAGTGGCTAAAAACAGCCACTGACATTGACTCCTGTAAAAACATATTGGATTCATATTTTTTGCAGATTTTTTTTCATATATCTCTTAATTAACTTCTGCTCTATTCAAAACTAGTAAATGTTTCATTAAGAATCCAAATTTTAACCCTTTAGGAACCCATTTAAAACATTAAGTCACTAATATTCGGAAAAAATGGGAGGAAAATGACAGATTTTTACTAGATTTATTTTCTACCATATCAGTGACATTATGTTTTGAATGGACCCTCAAAGGGTTAAAAAATGTTTTTAGATTAAACATTTACTAGTTTTGAGATATAAGAAAAAAATTGGAAAAAAATATTAACCCAATTTGTTTTTACAGCAGTCAAAGTTAGTGGCTGTTTTTGGCCACTGAGCGCTAACAATGGATGAAAATTTGCCCAGCGCGTATTTTTGACCTGGTGAAAATTTAAAAGTCATATTCTCAAAGTGTCCATCAATATAGGCATCTGCACAAAAAATCATCCCATTTGTTGCAGTAAAAAAAAAAGTTACATGGAGGTTAGTGGCTAAATTATGCCCCTAGTGGCTGATTTTAGCCACAGCGTTAATACTAGTTTTCTAACTAAAAAGAAACTGGCTGAACTTTATTAGCCTGTCAACAAGCTCCACCAGCAGCCTTTCAGAAACATTTTGACCGTCTTTGTCGAAGTCTCATGGCTTCCGTAGATCACCAACTCGACTCTGTCAGAGCAGTTTTTTAGCTTCACAGTAGTAACATGTTTTTAGTGTCTTCAAAAGTGATTGTTAGCAGTCGAGTGTTTGACCTGAGAAAAGAGGAGGTGTCTGTTCTCGTCACAGGGCAGCATGTCGTCCACCAGCACCGTGGTCCACGAGCCGTCTTTACACAGACGCACCTGATACGCTCCTTCAGCACACAGCCAGCGAGTCACCATCACTTTCTCCACCAACTCTGGACGTTCAGCCAGAACTGCCAAGGCACTCAGGAACCTGCTCCCAGAAACAGCCAGACAGGAGGAGATTTCATTTTTTCAAAGTCATCATTTTTTTTTGACATCCGGGGTTTAGTTCACGGGAAAGAAATTATCTCAAGACTTCAGTGCGGTGATAACATCACTTTTTGTTGTACTTTTATAAAAACTAATCATTCACTCTCAGTCTTTGGAGACAATGCTAGTTTTTCTGTAGGAGAGAGAAACATTATTGCTTTTTCCTCTCTGTTGACCTGCAGACGTAATTTGACTTCATTCCATCTGTCAATATCTGGCTGAAAGACCTAATGTCCTTCTTTAAGAGATAGTGAAGTGCAGCATTAGAGGTCGAACGGAGAACTTCACCAAGACTTAAAGTCCTAAATCTGTGTTTCATAGAGTAAGTGAAAGATTTGATTTAGTATATTTATCATTTTAAATCACCTTTATAGTTGTTATTACTAATATTGCCATTATTACTATTATGTTCACTAACAGCACTTGTTGTTATATTCTTTACATTTTAAGGGAGGGTAGGGTACTTGTTAATGTTCAATGAATTTTTTTAATTCCTAAAACTGGAAAATATGATATAATATTGGATGTATACTTTGAAATATATATATATAAATAAAATATAAATATATTAAATTGGTCATTGTGCTTTTTCAGGCAGGCCATGAAGTTCAGCTCAGAGAGCCCATCAGCCCATCATGAAACCGTCTCATCTTACAGCTCAGTTGATACCTTCTATGTTCTTGGCAGAATTGGTTTATTTTATTTACTTCAGCCCGCTGAACATATATTGTAATTTATGTTTGATCTGTTCTGTTTTCCTGCCTCAGGATTCGGTATTCCACGTATGCAGGAGGAAGAGAAGGAGTTTTTGATCATACAAGTACTACAAACAAGACTACTTGTAGTATGTAAGGGTTGGGTTGTCTCACCAGCAGTTTCCCAGAAGTCCCTGCAGGATATCAGATGGGCGAAGCGTGCGAAACACAGACCACTTGAGTCCACGGTCTCTCGGGTTGCAGCAGTTGATTTCGTGAGGTCGGAGCCACTTTTTGACCCGATGTTGGACACTGTCTTCTGCTGGGAAGCCAACAGATTTTGGACCAGGAGGGAAGCTGTCGTCCACAAACGTCACAGAGTTCTGGAAAAAAACATACAAACACAGAAACAAGTAAACATTTGAGGGCATGAATCAAACCAGAAGGATGATAGTTATTTATTTATCTGGAACAGTAGAAAACTTACCTGGATGTGTGTTTTTCTCAGCATCTGTATGCTTTCATCTAATAAATGTGTTGTTTAATAAATCCGAGTTGTGTGCTAACCTCTCTGCAGAAGCTGACGATGTTCTCCCACAGCTCCTTGGCCTCTCCTTCATCACTCTGCCGCAGCTCCTCCACCAGCATGCTCTCCTTCCTCTTTGAGGACGGGGCCGGTCTGAGCTGCTGTGGAGTGTGGCAGGCCAGGCAGTGTTTGGCTTTCATCTTGTTAATGAGAGTGCATGCTGGACAAGCCCACTCCTCTGTCCTGTTGATATCGGGAGTTGCACATGGTGGGAATGATGCAGAGGTGTCTGACGCAGGTGACATCTCCTCTGTCAGGACGCTGAGCCGCCTGCCGGGCTGCAGCTCTGACGGGGCAGAGAGGTGGGATACAGCTAAAGATGACGTAGACGGGCTTAAGTTAGTGAGGCTGACCTCAGAGGGAGGTACCTCTCTGCGGCTGCAGGGAACAGGATTATTATGTCCAGAAGAGGAAGAGTCTGACGCCTCCACAGGTAAACACTCTCCTCCAGTGGAGATGGAGAGTGAGAGCGCCCCCGCTGCAGGTTCTGCTTGTTTCACTCCGGTTTTATCGCAGACTTCAGGTATGAGTAAAGAGTCAGCAGGGATTTGGGGGAGGGACAGTTTGCGTGGTCCTCCACATGCCGAACAGGACATGGAGGTCGGGGTGTTCTGCAAAGTGCACCTCCGACAGTCCCACATAAGGCTGTTTTTTTCCACATCATCAGAAGTCTGGGGTCTCAGGGGGCCAGAGCAGCTACTGGAACGCTGAGGCCGAGTGGGGGGCGGGTCTTCAGATGATCCACGGCATTGTTTGAGGGGTCCGCTGTAGCCGCACAGAGAGCAGGCTAGAGTACCAGCAGGGTTTGAGAGTGTGCAATCTGGGCAGGACCAGCAATCGTCCTCCTTGCTGCTCGCCTGCCACATCCAGCGTGTGTCCGGTCTCTGCCGGGGGGCTTCACAGATGGAGCAGCGGGGGGCGCCGGCTGCATTGAGGAAGGTACAGCAACCACACGCCCACTGGCTCCTTTGCAGAGGCATCGAACCAGAGGAGAAACTGGAGAGACAGTTCAAGACTACAGTTTAGATTTTTTATATAATATTTTATATCATATGATGAATGATGATATCCTTCTGATGTTTATTTCACAGCGTAATTACAACCTGTTTGAACACTCATTTTCTTGGTGATCTGATATATGCAGCTTACAGTTCCTGCTGTGAACGAGCGCTGTGCACGACACTTTAAGCTAAACTTATTTTACCACAACATCACAGCCCTGTAATTTACTGAGAGACATTCTAACAAAGAAAGAGGATTTGAAAGTGATGACTCGACTTCAGTATCACACACATAGACTGTATATAGAATGGACGCCGTCTGCCTCCTCGCTGGGTGAAGCCACCCCAAGAACAGCAACCTCTGGTGACAGGCTGCAGTATAGGTCATATAACCCACCTTTTCCAGCAATCCTTATGGAGCTGTGGACAAACTTTAGGAATTTATTACACAAAATATAAAATTTTCTCCCCCCTGCTTGCGATGTTGACATGTAGTCATTGTAAGACTGGTTTGTGCTCAAGTCCTCTTTTTTCTGTACAGCTCCATTTTTAAAAGTTATTAGGGGGTTCATGTTTTCTATGATTGACATTTGATACAGCCTATCGGCGTATGAAGATTGCGCAGCTCACCCAGGGGATACGCTGTTTGAGCTGCGTGTCATCACAGTGACTTTCGGCGACTCTCCCACCGAATGCATACAACGCAACTGGGCAAGTGGTGAAGCGTGTACAATGCTACTGCTCAATGTTGGTTTCAGGAAGTGGAGAAAAACGTGGAATAACCTAGAGCTTTTCGGCTTCAAATCCGGAACCAAGTTGTCCATAGTATATACAGTCTATGATCACACACATGAATGATTGACATTGATTCAGTTTGATGAAGGGACACTGAGAAGACACTCACAGAAAATCTTTAATTTTTAACTTTTTTCATCTGTTGTGTTATGACCAATAAAAAAGTCATGAATAATGGCCATTAGACTCTGGCTCTGAATCACCATAAAGTTATCTTGTTTTCTTGTTTTAAACCACTAAGTTGTCAAAGACCCTGGAATTCACACTCACCACTCTTTATTTAGAAGGACTGTTTTTACCCAAAAGGTGGTGTGGTCCATTTGGAAGCAGGAGGTGACGCTGCAGTTTTTGGCACTTCCACATCAACTTCATTTCTTAGACTGGTTGGTTTTTCTTCACTTTTTGTTCTACGCTTTTTGAGGGGGTGGAGCTTTAACGACCATATATGGGGACTACACCCTTGCATGTTTCAAGCATTAAAAATGTCAGTATAAAGTTTGTCAGTCTGGCCGCTGATAGTCTTGTTTATCTTTGTATGTCATAAAAAGCCATCAGATGATTTCCGGTGTATTTCATGGATGTCAAAAATTACTTACAGGATCTTTATGTGAAAATTTTATGAAGACAATGTTTGCCAAGAAAATAGGACAATCTGTGTCAGGGCCTACCTTGATATTTACAATAAATCCTACAAACATAGAATATGAGTGTTCATCTAAGTTCAAATTAAAGGTGAAATTAAAAGTATTCCTCTACTCATTTTTGTAATGGTTGTATTTATTTTCTATTCATGGAAACTTTTTTAATCATCTAAATGTGCCTGGGTGGTTTATAGCGCACTCCTCCGCAGCGTGACAACATCAGCACATTCGGCGCCCCCCCCACCACTTAACACAGAAAGAATGCAGAAACAAGAAGTAAATCTTTTAATCCTGCACGAATAAACTAAGTAACTGAGGCAGAATTAGACCAACAACCTGTGCTCTGCCAAGTGAAATGATTGTTTTTGTGAATGGTGCCAGGAGTCTGTAAAAAGAGCAACGTTACAGCTGTTTCTGATTCCAAATCAGTGCTCTATTCTTCAGCAAATAAAAAACTATCACTGTGAGGATCCTTTCTCTAATGTTGTCAAACACTCCAAAAAAACAGTCTGGGTTTCTCAGAGAATAAAACCACTTTTCTTGAATGTACTTTTATCCGGCACCTCTGTCTCCAAGGATTAAACTGCAGCAATAAAGCTCATTAAACAGCAGCCAGGTGAAGCAGTTCAGCTGAAGCAACTTTTTTTGTACTTATTAGTAACTCAGACCTTGTAAAATGTAAAAGAGGGGTCCGCATTTTACAAGTGCGTAACTTATCTAAATAACACTTTAAAAATAAACTTTTAAGACAAACTCTTTTGCTTTCTTTTTTCCAGACGGACTGATCAAATGCCATGACAACATAATTTTCAGAATTTAATCAACATAATTCAGCGAGGCTGCAGAGTGAAAACTATATTAGAACTGTCATCGGCCGGTTTTATGTGGCTTTAAGTGCAAGAGGGGGAGGGCTGAGAAATGTGGGAAAAAGCAAAATATAAATGGTGCATTTGCAGCTCTTGCATTGTTCTATACCCTGCGGTGGCTGAGAGGAGAAAATTAAAATGCATGAATATGTAAATGAAAAAAGAGGCTGCGCCAACATAGATCATTCTTCAGCTGGTCCCATAGAAACTTACAGATTAAACTGATGATTTGGTCCCTTCCCTGGGTGTTAATTTTTCCAGCCCTTTCAGCCAGACTACTTCACAGTGTTTGTGAGGTTCGGCTATTTCCCAGACTCTATAAAGGGTTTCCAGACGTGGTAATTGCTCCAATATTCATGTTGTTCATTGTGCTCATGCTGTAAGACAGTCCTAGATTATCTATGTGCTGGCATCCAGGGAGAAATTCAGACTCCGGGAGCCAGTGGGACATCTGTGCTGAGACTGTCCCACATTCTCTAAGTAGCTTTGGCACCCAGCCTGGAGCTTCCAGCAGAGCACAACCTGGAGGGGTTACTGCAGAGCAAACTGTCCCAACAAGAGCTCAACAACAACTTCTATCCTGAGGTGGAAACTAATGAAGCAGAAATACGCCTCTGCTGTTTTTCCTTCTGGTCCTGCGCATCAAATAAGTTTTCTTCGTCTGTTGTCTCATCATTCCAAAGCTTAATCCATTCACCACAGGCCCTTGTATTCTTCCATCTTTTCCATTCCTCCCGCTGTGTGATTTGCATTCGGGTCCTACCCCAGTGACAACCTCTGGTGTTGAAAAATGAAGCTAATGTAAAAGTGTCAGAACTGCAGTTCCTTGAGTGGCCACTGGAGGCTGGTTCCGAAAGCAAGTTCATCCCATAGACCGTATGTACTATGGAAAACTTGGTTCCGCCTTCCGCCAGTTTACAGCTTTGAAGCCAAAAAGCTCTCTGTATTTCCACAAATTTTCTCCAGTTCCTGAAACCAACATTTCGCAGTAGCGTTGTACGCACTTCATCACTTGCGCAGTAGCGTTGTACGTATTCAACGGGATAGTCGCCGGGAGTCACTGTGATGACGCTCAGCTGGAACAGCGTATCCCCTGGGTGAGCTGCGCAATCTTCGTATGCCCATAGGCTGTATCAAGTGTCAATCATAGAAAACACAAACCCTCTAATAACTTTTAAAAATGGAGCTGTACAAAAAAAAGAAGACTTGAGCACAAACCAGTCTTACAGTAACTACATTCTATAGTTACTTTAGTCCATTTTATATACAGTCTATGGTTAATCCCTACTGAATTTCGTAGTAAAAAGCCAGATTTTGCACAAAACTGAATGAGTTTACAGCATTGAATTAAAGATAAATTTGGCCTTTATAACTTCTTTTTCTACTCATTAAACTGTTCAGATGTTGAATTTTTATGTATCTCACCTGTTTTGATTATATAAAGTAGAGATTTTTGTTCTAGTTATTGGTATTTTGAAGTAATCAGCAGCAGTACCGACACTTACCAATAAAAAAATAGAAAATACTGTCTGCAGACACTGCAGGCAGCCTCATCAGTGTGGCTGCTATTGAGCAATGTTAACACTCCCCTAATTGGTATGAACAAATTTTTCTATCCTCAATGATAGTATATGAAATCTGAAACAGTTACTATCCAGTATTGTAGGCTTAGAAATCCAGGTACGATGTTGTGACTAACCTATAGTGCCACCCACCTTTAACTGAGGCTGTAGCTCCTGTTTATGGTTACTACTACTACTATTAATAATAACTTTATTTATATGACACCTTTAAAACAGATGTTAAAACAGATGTTTACAAAGTGCTTTAACAGACAAAACAAAGGCAGAAAAAGGTAAAACTATCAGGACAATCAATCAACAATCAGGTCAAACAAAGACCAAAAGAGTCAGGCGAAAAGGCACTGAAGTTCCTGTAAAATAAAGCAATGAAAGGAAAGAAAAGGTAAACTGGTGAGCTGGATAGATGATAGACTTGTAGAAACATTGATAAATTGTTGACAGTTGATAGTGGACGACATCACATCAGGAGGATGGAAAAGAAGGAGGTAGATAGAGGATGGATAAAAGAGGAAAGCATCATGTCAACACAAGTGTAAAATAGTGAGTTTAAAGATGTGATTAAAAGGATGTCACTGATTCAGCACGTCTTATCTCCTCAGGCAGGGCGTTCCAAAGTCGAGGAGCACTGACAGAAAAGGCTTAATCACCTTTAGTCTTGAGCCTCGACTTTGGAACAGCCAGGAGGCCCCCACCCGAGGATCTGAGGCTGCTGGCTCATAAGGAGTCAATAGTTTAGATATGTAGGTTGTGGCCAGACCTGTAAGGGCTTTAAAAGTGTTTATTAAAGTCTTAAAATCAATTTGAAAATGGAGAGGAGGCCAGTGGAGAGAAGCAAGGACAGGAGTGATGTGATGCTGTTTGTTAAAACCAATTAAAAGCCTAGCTGCTGTGTTCTAGACCAGTTGGAGGTGAGAGAGTGATTTGTGAGAGAAACCGCAGAGGAGGGAGTGACAGTAATCTAACCTGGAGAAGATGAAGGCATGGATGACCTTTTCTAAATCAGCAGGAAGAATGGATTTAATTTTAGAGATGGACCTGGTCTGAAGGAATCATGACGAGACTGTTTTCTTGAGGTGTTGTTCAAAGGTGAGGTTGGAGTCGAAAATTACGCCTTAATTTCTAGCAGATGGTGTGACATTGGCAGAGTGTGGACCAAGGGTGCCGTTTATCAGGGGGGAAATTTGGGTTTTGAGTGATTTAAGAGTATAATTTCTGACTTTGATTCATTTAACTGCAGGAAACTTTGGGCCTTTCAACTTTTAAAATCCTAGACGCTTAAAAACAGCAGCTAGGCATTTTGGGTCACCAGATCTCAGTGATAGGTATATCTGTGTGTCATCCGCATAGCAGTGGAAAGACAAATTATAAAGAATAAAAGCGGACCTAAAATAGAACCCTGCGGTACACCACAGGTATTACAACAGGTGGAGGAGGAGTGGTTACCCACGGTAACTGTCTAAAAGATGAGAAGAAAATCAAATAAGTGCAGTACCCTTGACACCAATCCAGGTCTTGAGGCGATGCATTAAAATAACATGACTACTTAGATACTGTTAATGCACTAGCTGGATGTAAACAAGCACAGATGACAGATGGCATCTTGTAACACAGCATAGTTTCCCAATATTTTGATCAAGGACATGGACCTTAAGTTGTATGTAGGCTGTGGCTGGTTAAAATGGAGTATATCCACTCAGCAGGAGCACAGACAAATCAGCACAGTTGTGTGGATGTTGACCTGTAAGGAGGTCAGGGGGCTGGGGCTTCCACACAATTTGATAGCATCCACTTTATGACGCTGTACTCCCAAGTTTAACTGTCTCAAGTAAATATTGCCCAGTCCAAGTTTTTTCTTATCATTGAGCTTGTCATAGTTCGATTTTGTGTAAACAACCAGGAAGTTAGCCACTAATGAACATCCCAAGCTGAAATACCCTGGTATATGACTAAGGATGTGCTTTAGGCAGCACAGACTCTTCTGACTGATCAAAGTATTGAAGAAATGTTGTGAAAATACCACATACTGAGAGAGTCTCTCTTACTGAATCTGCTCTTCAATATCTAAATGTTGCTCCATATAGTTTCACCTTGGTCGTTCTGCAAAATATTTGCATAACATTGATCTATTGAGCTGTTACTCCTGCAGTTTAGCATAAAGAGTAATGAGGATCCAATGCAGAACTGAGTGAAGGCCAGGAGCTAGGCAAAAAAGCACAGATAAATCTGGCTGCTACTTCAGCACCACGGACAGCGATATTCTCCCCATAAACAAGACCTTCAACATGAAACATTGATGGCATTATTTCTGAATTTGTCATGATGTTTTTCTTTTTAATTCTTTCTTCAGGAAAATCACAGATTAAACATTCTGCTGTTCATGTTGTAGCAGGTTCACCTGGACAGTTTTGGTTCATCTAAAAAAACAGCTCTCAAACCCCAAATATTGCAGGAAACTCTTCAGTTATATTTGGAGAGTTCCCTCCACCAGAGTTCAAAGCCCGTGATATCCGACTCTTCTTGACTGGATTTTTGATATCACATTTCACTGATAACATACTTCAGTGGCGCCTTCCTTTGGATGTCCCTGCAGGTTCATTTTGATCTTTGAGCTTCAAACAAAATATAAAGTCAACTGTGGACCCAAAATCCCTCTGGTGAGTTTCCAGTCTGTCGTCTAAAGCTCAGTGATCAGGGGTTTCCCTGGTAGCATTACACTTCCTGTCAGAGAGTAACTTGACTCTGGTGGAGTTTGGGACAGCGTGGCAGCAGAGGAGTCACACACTGGACAGAATAAACGCTCCACATTAGACAGAGATACGGTAATAATTCTCCAGTGGAGATTTGAACTAAACCGAGGAGCCTGTGGTTTACTTTATATCGACCAATTCATGAAAAATTCATGACCACAAAGTCGAGTCTGGGAAGTGTAGAATATCAATTAAACAACTGCTCCATCCTGCCATCACTTTTGAGGAGCGATGGGTTGTGTAAGAACTGAAATAAATCAGCATAATCGTGGACTTTTATTCAAAAACAGACAGAAAAACTAAGATGCCAAGCACCACAAGGCAAATCAGGAAACTCTCCCCCCGAGAAATGTGTGTAACAGCTTATTTGGATCAATTTTAAGGCATAAAAGTGTTGACAGTGGGAAGAGGAGGCGGTCTTTGAGTCTGAAAAGTTAAGCAAACAAAGAAGTGCCTCTAAACCTTCCCTGTCTCTTAAAGCCAGTACTTTTGACTCCACTGGAGACAAAAATAACTCTGCTTGTATTGAAGTCAAGTAGAAAATGACCCTACTTCTTAGTAGGGGTAGATCAATTATCAGCCTTCACCAAATATCAGGGCACCTATCACCTATGTATATCAGCCTTTTATTTCACAATCAAAGTGACTGATTGAAGAATTGATCTATTACAATGTGTGCTACTTTGGCTCTGTTGCCAGTCTACCTGAAAGTTTCAGGGTAAGCTGCATTTTTTAACCTTAACGGATGAAATTCTACTAAAACTTTGCCTAAACTTTTTCTGCCTGCTCCCTCCAAAAGCTCTGCGAGAAGTTGGGTTATGTTTAAGTGTGAGTCAAGGAAAATTTACTGTGATCGAGTGGCTGGGGTGATGACAAGAGACCAGAATAAGACTGGTACAATCTTGAAGCTGCTTTGCACTTTTTCCTTCTTGCAAAGTACGTTTGTTTTTGTTGTTTGCTAGTTATCAAAGTATACACAACCACAATTTGAATACCGTTATCTACACATTTCTCTCCACCTCCATTCTCACAAGTAAACCCTCCCCTACCTGCGCTCTCTGTGTCTGCCCGGTCTGGGAAGCTGCCTTGGAAGGGAGATGCTCTGGCTACTCCTCAGGCATCCCATGGTGGGGGAGGGGGGCAGAGCTGCACCCCGCGGGGCATCACCTTCAGCCTCCTCGACCAGGGAGGAGGTGGAGCCTCCCATGATGCTGCTGGCTCAGGAAGATCAACCCTGGAGGAAGAAGACACTTTGACTTCATTCTTGATAGATGGACTTCGCTCTTGAAATTTGAAATTTACCCTCTAGGTTTTGACTTTACTTTTTAAATCTCAAATTTTACTTGACTTCATTTTAACAATTTCAGCTTTATTAATTTCAAATCGACTTAATTCTCTCCTGTTTTTGTATCGAATGCATTCTGTCATTTGAATTTTTTTCTTGACATTTTAACTTTTTAAATTTTCTGTCATTAGGGTTGACATTTCAAAGTGATTCTCAAAATGCCAAAAACATCTTTCCTCCTTTGGCATCATTTTCTATTTATTCACTTATTTTCTTTAGCTGTCATTCAAGCTGAAAATTAAACTCATTTCTCAAAATTTCAGCTTTGCCTCCATGCCTTTGCTTTAATCTGCATTTCTGACATGCCAGCTTTAACATTTGATCTAAACCCTCAGAAGGAAGAAGAAAAATATACCCACATATCCACTTTTTCCCTTTTCCTCACACCAATTATGAAGGCTTTACTTTTTTCCTAGAGATTTCTGCCAATCAAAATGAAAGTAAAGATCTTCTTCCTCTCATATTTTTTTTCCTTTTACCTTGCAGGAACACTCTGTAGTGAGGTACCCTGCTCAGACTGTTAAACTGACTCACAGAGGGTTCACCCAGATGTCATCTCCTGCTTAGTTTGGTGTCTGCTTGCTTCAGCTCCCTGCCTGCTCGCTCTACAGTTCTGTCCTTGAACAAGGACTTAAAGTCTGTGTGAGCTCCATCCTCTGATGTGTGCAACATAGACACAAAGATAAGTGAGATTACATCTCCAGAAAACAAACCACACTACTTATGTCCTTTAAATAATGATCCCATCTCTTAGAATATGCCCTTTTCTTTGTCTGGTGTGTCTGAGTATTTACACAACATCCTAAAGGAAGGATAACATTTATTTCAAAGTAAATATAAAACTTAAACATTAAAAATGAATAAACACAGTTTGTGTTGTTTGATTCAGGGTGAATGCATGCTGCCTCCTCCTCCGTACCTCACTGCAGATGCCTCCCTGCTGATACTGAAGTTAACATGGACTTCAGGTAACCTGGTGCACCTGCAGTACAGCTGGTGGCTGCCTTAGAAACTGCAGAGCAGCGAAAGGACTCGAGCGCCGACAGCACGTGTGGACGGCCGGACTCACCTGACCTCAGAGCGGACACGAAGCGCGGGAAGCCGGGGCTGAATATTCCTGGCAGCCGCCTGAGAGCTCCATACATCCTCTTTCATTGAAGCCCCGATGTGCACCGTCACCAGCAGCTCTCCCGTAAGAAAACTGTCAAGACACTGAGAGTGGTCAAACGCTTCCGGGATTGGAATTTCAAAATAAACCAGCTTTTGTTTAACGTGCCAAAATAAAACCAAACATATTCCAAAATTTGTTACAACAACGACAACACTTTTATATTGAGGAGAAGCTTTGACTGTCTTAAAGTGAGGCTGTATTTAACATATGAGCTCGGCAGTTGAACCATAGACCAGTGTTGTTTTCGTCAGGCAGGACGAAAACTTAAATGACGACGTCAGACCCCTTTTTTCCTTGACGAAAATGAGACTAAGACGAACGTCACCAAAGCTCTGTAAAGACTAAAATGTGACGAAAATTATATTCATTTTCGTCAGACGAGAACGAGACGAGACTAAATTGTTATTAGGTGGACGAAAAAAGTTTCAAAACATGCTTTTTTTTGTCCTAACAGTCACGCCCCCATCACACACGCACCAAAAGCCTCGCTCGCGCACAGCTGCGCGCACACACTCATACACATACACAGAGCGGCAGGTGGACGAGGCGCGCACACACACACACCGTGGCGGCAGGCACAGCAGCGGTGCCCGGTGGCCGAAAAAAGAGGGATGATTTTTGGTCCTACTTCAGATACAGTTCAAGTGACAATAAAATAAAAGTGACAATAAAACACGGGACGGGGAGACGAGACAGACGACAGTTGTGGAGCCACAGCTTCCTCATGCTTCAAACTGTCGGGAAAGAACACCACGAACCTCAAAAGGCACCTTTACGTTGACTAAAACTAGACGAAAACCTTTTGAGTTTTGGTCGGACTAAAACTAGACGAAAACTATCAAGGATAGAAATGACTAAAATGGGACTAAAACGAAGAAGCATTTCGTCAAAATGACTAAGACTAAAACTAAATCTAAAATGCCTGCCAAAAACAACACTGCCATAGACTGTATATACCATGGACAACTTGGTTCCGCCAAAAAGCTCTTGGTATTTCTCCAATTTTTCTTCATTTCCTGAAACCAGCATTGCGCAGTGGTGTTGTACGCATTCAGCGGTAGAGTCGCCAAGAGTCGCTGTGATGACACTTGGCTCAAACAGCGTATCCTTCAGGTGAGCTACGCAATCCCTGAACGCCAATAGGCTGTATCAGGTGTCAATCATGAAAACATGAACACCCTAATAACTTTTAAAAATGGAGCTTCACAGAAAAAAAGAGGACTTGAGCACAAACCAGTCTTACTGTAACTGCATGTCAACATCGCAAGCAGGGGGGAGAAAATTTTATATTCTGTGAAATAAATTTCTAAATATTCAATATACAGTCTGTGAGCTGAACAAAGTGAATTTTGAATTCTCTTATTATGAAGCTTTATCTACATTTTATGGTTATTTGATACTATTTTTTAACAGGCTAAAATACGAACATTCTTTGTTTGTTTTTTTCTTTGAGTTCTTTTTCCTGTCTTAGTTGTAGTATTTATACAATAAAATATATAAAAATATACATTTTCTTATTATAAGTTGTTCCCTTCACGGTAACACTTTACAATACCCATAACTTATAAATCGTAAATAGACCATTTATAGCCTGTTTCGTGTCAAACACTAACGGCTTTTATTTTGTAGGTAGTCATTAGTTCCGGTCGTTGTCTAGTTCAGCTCGGCGGCTCATCGTCTAAGACTTGGGGGACGTTTTTAGGACAGGACACCGGACAGCTGCCGGGACATATCTGCCTCTTATCCTGACGAAATAGATGCCCTTTACTTCTTTTAGGGTTTTTGAAGCTTTACACTGAAACACATCAGCTCACTTCTGGCGGCAACCCGACTGAACACCATTATAAATCTAGTTACATGTCAATTTTAGATTTATACCGAGGTTTTCGCCTTTATAAAGTTAAATGATGCTTCTCTTTTGAATAATTACTTCCTTCTGCTTAATTCGGCGGCAAAGTAGGTCATATCGATGCTTTTAATAAAAAAGAAGAAACTAAATTTCGATCTTATAAGATACATCATACTGTACATTACAGTTTTAGCTATTTCCGTTTTACAGTTGGCCATAGGATGCATGTAGGAGATTTACTCTCTAGTTCTTCTTCTGGTATTATTCACATTGGTATTGATATTGATATTCAATTTTTAAAAAGCAAGTGTAATTTCTGAATTTCCGCCAAGATAAATACAGTATAAAGTAAAGGATCCTGGTGATTTGAGCAAATCTCATTTTGATCTCACTGAATTCTCATGTGTCTTTTTGAGCAAGTCATTCAGAGCATCCTATAGTCCCATTTGAGAATTACTTCAACACACATTAACCTTGCAATCTGAAACTTTGCTCATGTATAGCACTGATGCCCAATACAGCACAATAGCACCTCCCTAAAGCTCTAGTGAGGAGTTTTTTACAGTTCTAAAAGAGACTTTTAAGTATGATGCCTTTTGATTACCTGTAAAAGCAAATGAGACCAAAAGCAAAGCAGCTAAAGGTCCCTCTTTTTTACACTTTTCACAACATTATTATCTACATTGAATGGTACATTTAAATCCCAAAAAGTCAACAGGATGAGATTTTTTTTTTGTTAGAAGACGCTACTTCAGCCTGTAGCAATGACCCAAAAGTTCCTCACAGGAGCTTTAAGAAGAAAATTAACGATGAAATTCTTTGACTGGTGTTGCCTGACATCTGTGCTTCTAGTTAGTTAAGGTTGACCCTGCTCTGACATGCGATCCGAAAAAGCCATCCTTTAAAACAGGCTTGAGAACACAAAAACAAAGAATCATGCAACACTGATTAAAGATGATTAAGTTTAATGTCAAAATACCTCCCTTTTAAGTAATCAATAAAACATAAAGCCTCTGGATGAGGGTTTGGAAATACGGCCTCTGTCAGTAAGTCCACTTTCATTCATAAAATTCGTAATGTCAGTATAAAGGTTCTTCAATTTACAAACAGAAAAACTAGAATGGGATACTGAAACTGAATTTAAAGATAATTATACTTAAAAAAATTCAACAATCTGCCAAGTATTTTTTTTTCAACAAACACACAAATGGACAAACAATCTGATATTACAGTCTCAACTGACATGCTTTACACAGATAAAAAGGCAAGTTGAGCAACTGTACTTGAAGTTCTGATTGATTTGAACTTCAAACAGCACCCCCTGAAAGCACAAAGGGTCCCAGCTGTCCTTTGAGTTCTCATCTGCAACCTTTATCATCTTCTTCACCTTTTATGGTCCTTTCCTCCAAACCTCCTCTCCTAAAATATAGGTGGCTTTGACATTGAGGGCATCATCAAGCAAAACGAGATCTGCAAAAGTACAACACAAATTTCAAATATCTGACTGGAAGGACTTTAGAAACACTGTAGAGACAATGATCCTTCTGGCTGTAAATCCTGACCTGCATCTGAACCGTAGTCAAGGTTTCCCTTCCTGTTGCTAATACCCAAGAGTTGAGCTGGATGAAGTGAGGCAGCTTCCAGAGCCTCCTCAACACTGCAGCCTGTAAACATCCAAAAACATGAAAAAGGCATTGTGACAAGTTGTGGAGTTGTGTACAGCTGAATAGAACCTCAGGTTGAGAATATGCAATTTTCTTGAGGAATCTGGGATTTGTGTTGCATGTGCCACATAGAAGTCTGAGGCTGATTCCCCAAATAAAAGGCACTACAAAGCAGCTACTTTAAAAATTAAGATAATGGGAAATGAAGGCAGCTGCGGTTCATCAAGTGTTCCTTCAAAAAACATGGAAACTTCTTCAACAGCCCCTTTAGAAACCAATGGGTAACGACACTGAGACCACATACAGTCTATGGACATAACCTTTTAAACCAAACAGCAACCTCCAGTGGGAAAAATAAAGCCAAGGCTAAGGTGCAGAAGAACTGCAGATCCTCATGGGTCCACTTAAGGTTGTAAACCCTGTTGTTGCCAACAAATAAATGCACATTTTTACATCAGAATAAAACCCCTATTATTGGTACAGAAACTACTTTTGATATCAATGGCTCATGTCTCTCTTCATTATTTGTTCAACCCCTAAGCAATTTTGCATGTTTTGCATAACTAGGGGTAAAACTTGCTTGACAGACAGGCAGGTACATTGCTGCAGTTTGCTTGCGTAAACACAGACAGTTAAGTGGAGTGGATTGATGCGCTTGTCGTAGTTTACAAGCAGCGGATAGTTTGATTTATTAACGTTAGTTAGTCTGTGGTGATATGCCCTCTTCAAGCTTGTTTCTACTGGGTTGTCTCCCACTTGGCCTGCAAAGTCACAGAACTAAACAATCGCTAAACCTTTTGTATGCATGATAGGACAGTATGGCTCTTTTGTCCTCTCTTCTTCTGTCAAGGTTTTGTTTATTACCCGACTTTCTTGCAACGTATTTATGCAATTCAACTCCTGGGACAAAGCCCATGCACAAAACATGCAAACTGTGGAGCATGTAAAGAATGCTTAAGCCTGTTTTTATTCCCAGAGCAATGTCTAGGTATGTTGCCTCAACTCTTTGGTCTTATGTGGCCAAGGAGTAGGCATGTTTTCTGAAAGTTCAGTATCAGTTGGACTAACCCAATAAACATGTAAATGTGTTGATTTCCAAAATGGTAGCAGCCATGTTTGGGATCAGTACATCTTTCTTTTTTTTTATAGAAACCAGAAGATGACGTCACTTCGATTACATCCATGATTTTTACAGCCTATTGCAACAACTTGAAGGGCTGGAGAGTGGTTCATGGAATGGCCACTTGACGCTAACTCCAATAGAAGTATGTGATAAATATATAATGTAGCCTATATAGGAAATCCCTGGAAGTCGGCTGGTTTCAGAGCTACAGTTTTGCAAGGAAGAAATTCTGCGTTGCTGTTAACATGTTCTTGGTCCTTTCTTCATTTTTGAAAAGGTACAGATATTTTTTAGAGGGGACATGCCTTGTTACATCTCTACTCTGACTATTGTTGGAGATAACACCTTATCAATCATCCCCCATCCCAGACCAAACCCCTTACCTCTGTGGTACGTCCTTCACTTTCACATTCAAGAAAGCTTCAAACTAGGAATCTAAGATCATGAACTCATTACAGAAATGATAATTGAGGTCATATATCTAATGATAATTTATTCATTTTCGCAGTAGTTTCCATACAATCTCAATTTCTTCTGCATTTAGTGAAGCCGGTGTTGGAATAATTCAGCCTCTGTATTGGCTTTACTTTTAAAAACCCAGGGGAGACACAACACACACGGTCTGTGGGTAATCCTCAAAATGCCTGAATTCATAGAAGTCATAGAAATTTCTGCCCAATCGCTCTTCTTGAGCCCCAGCCTCTTGTCTAGATTGGTTCATTTCAGGCCAACAAAAAGGCCACAGCACAAATATAAACCCTCACGTTTTATCGTGTCAGTGTGTCTATCCATTTCTTTATGCAGTCCCTTTGTTGCTGTGAAAATGCTTAGAAATGGTGCATATATTTTATCATTTTTTGTCAATAAGATCTCAGCTTTCCTTGGAAACCTATGGATTCTCCCAGGAAGTAATAAATCTAAAATGCTGAGAAAATCCTCAAGCTTACTGGGAACCTCATTATCAGAATGCCTAAAACGCTGTCCTAGATGACACCAAAAAGGATTAAAAAATAAGTACCAAGCTTCTAATACCTTTCAGAATGGTTTTGGTTTTATATGAATTTGTATCTGGCCATTAGGGTAGAAGAGAGGATGTTAAAAGCTTCAATAATAAACTATCACCAAGAAATCGTAAATCCCAAACTCACCTGAAGCCTGTTTAAAGTGCCGTATACACATATCCATGGTGGCTATGCTTCCACAGAGCGTTTTGGTGCCTTAAAGACGACACAGCAAATGTCTAGTTAAGTGCAGAAGGAGACTAACTGATATGAACAGTTTTCACTGTTCTCACAATGATGGAGTTTAATTAAAAACACAGACCTGCCACATACGCATGCAGACCCTGGATCTCTATGACCTGCTGGCCCAGAGTGTGGCGACCTGGAGGGAGACCCATCGCTGTGATTGCATCTGTCACCAACACCAAACCTACAAGGGCACACAAACATGATGTCCAGGTGAAAACTCTTAGTGAAACAGACTCTCTGTCGCAGAGGTTACAGTTCAAGATGTTTCAATATTGAGACACAATGCTGCTGATCTGAAATAAAATCAAACTCAGTGATGAATTAAAGCTCCTGTAGAGTTTTTTGACATTCATAAAAAATAATAAAATTCAAGTTAGTGCCTTTTTATATTACACAACGGCAAACAGTAGCCAAGCTATTTAAGAAAAAAAACAGTTTTTACATTTTTCTCATAAATATTGACAACCAATTATTATTAATATTAATATTTTACTGTCAAAGTTAGGCTGACACTATTTAAGATAAAATAAGCAAGAACCTCATATGTCCACAGGGGGGCACCAAAATTAACGCAAACTAAAAGTTCCTCAGAGGAGCTTTGAATATGGTTTTGTGTTCAAGTTTAATCTACTTTAGAAAAATAAATAAAGCTTATTAAATTAAGCTTATATCTTTAAAGCTTCTCTTAGAAAATTTCAACTTGACTCAATATATAGCGCTCCCTGTGGACAAAAAAGTCATTGCTTAGCTTGACTGCTATATTTTTAAGTAGTGCCTTCAGGTTAAAAATCTCATCCCACTTACTTTTGATGGTCAAATTGATCATTTTTTGGGAAAAAAGTCTGTTTCTTCATTTGTTCAGCTGACACCCACCCCCAGCTTTAGATTTTAAAATAATGATGTAAAACACATCTCTCAATGGTCTTATTTGCATTTAAGACATCATAAAAAAGCATCAATATGAGTTTCAGTGCGTTTCATAAATATAAAAAAAAACTAAGTGTGTTTGGTTATATTTAGTAGTTTGTTTTCATTCTTAGCCTTACTCTTGAACCCTTGCTGTCATGAGCTCAGCATACGTTTTGTCCTAACCAAAGAATCAGAAACAATGTAATGATTATGCAAGATTAAAGGTCAGAGGTACATTTGTTATTGTAATCCATCGTCAGGGGAGCATGAATGTGTGCACCACATTTCAATACAATCTGTATGTATATAACGGTCGTAATATTAAATATGAGAATATTTGCTTTGGCTATCCATGCAGCTGCTCAGCAGATGATGTTGTATTTCTTTCGATCTTGGCAGTGATTTTCTGTTTCCTACATCTCTTTAAAAACAGCAGAATCTGCAGACAGCAGAAATTCTGCTTCATCATGTATTATCCAGCAGGGACAGACGTTGAAGGAGGCTGTGGAGAGCGAAAGATACATGCTGTTCTATTTTTATGGCCTCCCTAAACACCCGGAGAAAAACTTGAAGGGAGAAGATACCAGCTGTTACTCTAACTAATGATGGCTAACTGGGTGTACTGAGCTGTGATGAAGTGTCTTCAGCTGGGAACACCAGCTGTATAAACAACAAAACTCACTGAAATCTTGTTCATGACTAGTGACAGACAAATGAAAGTTTTTGGAGCTGCAGGTTGATCCTCAAGGACAAATACAAGTAAATTAGCATAAAACTGTATATTTAACTAAACCAGAAATACCCCAAGAATATCCTGCTTTACATAAATAAAGGAAATTAAGTGTATGTTTTACATTCTAAGTTGTGTTGTTTTAATGATCTTGCTGATCTATTCTTTTTTTTCCACAGGTGTTAAACCTTTGCATTTACCTCCTGTTTTTTTATTTTAACACTCAGGTTGTGTCCAATAAGAATCTCTAAATATGTCTTTGCATAAACATTATTGATCTACACTACATTTACAACATTTAGTTTGATTTCTGAAGAGCATTTTTAAGGTAACACTTTTGTACTTTAGTTTTTATACTGACCAGAAGGGTGCGCTCTGTGGGCGATGCGGAGGGCAGCAGGATTCGTGTGGATCCCGTCTGCTATCATTCCATAGTAGACCGTCCTGCCTGCAGGAACCTGATCACTGGTGAGGAGACCCACGATGCCAGGGTCACGGTGATGGAACTAGATCACATTGAAACAGCATTGAAACCAGAAGGTCAAAAAGAAACCTGTGCTTGTAATAACTGTGGACATGCAGTCTGCAAACATGACAGAAAGAAAAAACACTGTGTTAGCCAGCGGTATGCGGCTCTTATCGTAAGGAGAATCAATCTTAAAATAATAATATAGGCAAATAGAGTTCTGCATCTAATTCAGCCATGTTGACTGGTACAATTGACTTGTTAGACCAGTTTGATAAAGAAGACCTGTGAAGACCTGTTTCTGGAGTTTTCAACATGAAATGTCTATTGATTGCCTTACACAGGCGGTCTAAGGTTTCCTTTGTCATACTTTTGTGTCATGATGCACAAAATGATTTCAATAGCTGATAAGTCAGGAATGCAGGCTGACCGGTTAAGCACTTGAATGTGCCGCTCCAAAACTGTATGCATTGTTTGGTATTACTAGTGACATCTCAGATTTGTAAACGATCCCTGTCAAGGGCACTTGTACATCCACATACCATGAAGGATGTTTTCTTTTGAACTCTTGAACAGTTTTCCATTTTGCCTCAGTATGTCTTTCATGAGCCCTCCAGCCCAGAGAGAGCTGTTGGTTTTTCCAGATAATATTTATATTATGTGGGATTTCCTATTTAAATGCAACAGTATAAACTTGCACTGTGGATGCATCAATAAACTGTGTTCACAGACAATGGAAGATATTTGATCCCATGTGATGATTTCCACAACAAAGCCACGTCTGTCTCTTTTTGGAACGAGATTTCTTCACATTCAAGAAATCTTTTAGTGATTTTGTGTACTGTAGTCAATCCTTAGATACTTGGCTTTTTTACACTCAGGAACATTGATCTGGAATTGCTCAACTATTTTCTCACCCAGTCTGTCACAGAGTAGTGAAACTCTTCCCATCTCAGAGTCTCGAGAAGCCTTTTTCCAAACATAGTTATGTTACTATCCTGTCTCAAGTACAATGGAATAAAAACTTGGAGATATTTCTCCAGGGTTTAACTTTTTTAGGGTTTTGTTTCCCCCCCAACAATTGATGTGAAATGTGCTGCTGACATCAAATTTAAAATAGCAATTTTGACAGCTTTTAGTTTTAACATTTTGCACATTTTTCAGTCAAATATGGGTTTTAAATTATTTGCAAACTATTAGTGTTTTTGGTTTTATCAACATTTTACACAATGCCCGACTCCATTGGAACTAGGGTTGTAAAAAACTGCACCAATAATGTTTAAATGGTTCCATCAGAAGAGTGATATTTCATAAAGGTCAGGCTCCTTTTAATTTCTCACACATTAGACTATAAGTATTAGTAAATGTGTTGCAGTGGCTCCCAGACAGACACTAACAGGACTGCCATATATTTTTCAAGCCACCAGATGTCCCTGTCCCCCTTGTGTTTGGAGCACTTGGCTTCATTCACCCATAAGCTTACAAAATAGTTTCCAGTATTGTTTCAAAGTTGTGGTACAGTCACAGTGAAGTGCTAAATCTTGTTGAACTGACTATATGAAAACATGGTCATTAGATGGAAGGTCTGAGGGTTTAGCTGGGACTCACAGGCAGCATGGCGTTGAAGAGGTGAGTGATGAAGGAGGCTCCATGCTGAACCGCCTCCTCAGCCTGGGACAGGTTGGCCACAGAATGACCTAAATGAAGAAAACAGAAGGTCTCTGTTTAAGAGTCAGATCATAAAGCTTCATCAGGGTCTGTTTGGAGTAAACTCTACTCACCTAAAGACACAGTAACACCCATCTGGGAAAGCTCCCTCACCACCGATCGGCTTCTGGCAAGCTCAGGAGCCAGCGTCACCATGGCGACGTTGTCCAGGCTGCCATAGGCTTCCATCACATCCTGGAGACCATCATTCTGGAAAGTCCGGAGAAACTTCTCTGGATGAGCTCCTTTTTTCTCTGTGCTGATGAACGGACCCTCCAAGTGGAAGCCTTTATGGAGCAGATCGAACTACATTAACATGAGCTCACACACTGTAGTTTGTTCTAATTAGGATTCATCCACTGCTGAAAATAGTCCAAATTAAATGCACTATTCCCACCTTGTTGTTCAATAAAAACTACAAACTTTACTTAAGGAGCTGTCCTGAGGTCTTAACCTCAAGTGTGACTTTTTTTTATCAATACAGAAGGTTGATCATTCACTAGATTCTGAGTAACACACAGCTGAGCAGGCAGAGTATACTTAGAGACTAAGCTTTGTAGGTCTTAAGGTGTCTCTGTTTAAAGTTTTGAGTACACCAACAAAAAATCAGCACAACAATTTATTCCACGACCACAGCTAACTACAAAAGATCCTCACTAAACAAGCTAGCCTAACTGTTCCCTTGAGTGCTTGAAAAACCCATTGTCATTTACACTAAACTATTTTGTGTTTACAGCTCAGAGTAGGATAAAATTGAGGCCAAAACTACATTTACCGTATTTTTGCACGATAAGGCACACCTAAAATCCTTTAATTTTCTCAAAAATCCTCAGTGCACCTCATAAGGTGTGCCTTATGTATGAATTCTGGTTGTGCTTACTGTCCTCGAACCGATTTTATGTGGTACACAGCACTAAAAAATCTGTCAAAATGTTTTATTACGACTTCGGTAAACTAGAAAGCCGCACAGCCTAATGGCTTGTCGGAGCACTTTGTTTGGCTTAATGCGCTTTATAATCCAGTGCCCCTTATGTATGAAAATAGACGCAAATAGACACGTTCATTGATGGTGCGCCTTATAATCAGGTGCGCCGTACAGTGCGAAAAATATGGTATAAAGAGATTTACCTTGCTAACACCCTCCTCTTCTCCAGATTTGCACTCTTTAGTCACTAAAGTAGTCACTTTTAGCAACAGAAAACCAACATGGTGACAAGAAAAACATCTTACTCAAGGAATCAAATCAACAGTTACACACAAAAAATGTTCGGTTGGCTTTGTTAACTTTTATCTGGGTGTGATAATTGCTAATATAGTCAGACATCTTCAGTTCAGACTCTCAGAGGCCTTCAGCTTGATTTGTAGTTTTATAAAGGGATTGTAATCTTACCAAGAACTCCAGCTCCATGTTTTCCTCCATTATGAACTTTGACCTGAGGCAAAACCTGAAATACACATTTTTACAACAAGATTCATCTCAAAAATATCAATACAAAGTCAGAAAAAGTTCAAAATTACATTTTAAAAACTTCAAAACTCAGTTCAAAACAACTTTGAGAAGCTGAGAGATTTTTTACAGCTGCACGAAGAACAGAAAATTGACAAATTTTTTTGTTGTTTGTAGTTGCATCAGGGAAACACATCAATTTATGAATGGTTTAAATGTTCTAAGTATGAACTTCATCGTCACATTCGTCATTTTTATCATTTGCTCCATGTTGAGCTGGTAACAAGCCATCGTTTTCAGCTCACGGCCTCTACAGTTGGTATTATCACTTACATTAAAACACAAGATGTTGATATTGGAGCTGTCACAACATCTGATTTTCATCTCATAATTATCGTGGCAGTAAAATATCACAATTACAATATTATCAAAATATTTATGTAAGACTTAAACTTCTTGAAATCATTTTTCTGCTTGAATTGTTCTCCTGCTGTTTTCCTCAAACATCCACTGAACCTCCACAAACTCATGTATCCAGAACCTTTTGTCTCCTCTTGTTGACTAACAGAGGAGAAAGGGCCTTGGCACACTTGGCTTGAAGTTTGATAATAAAAGCAAAGGTTACCTTGTGGTAGACAGCAGGGGGTGAGGTAACCAGAGTGGGGCAGAAAGACGTCACGCCATGCTCCAGGATCTTCTGGGCCACGAAAGAAACCCCACTGCTGACGTCCTCAGAGGCTTGAGAGAAGTCAATGCCATATCCTCCTGGAGAAGAGAGAGGCTGTGATTACATTCCCGCCAAAACTAGAAGCTATGGTTTAGAAAAGCTGCCAGCATTTTTAGATTATGTTTATTCATGGTTTCCTCTCAGCGTGGTGTGGTTTTAACCTGCATTTGTGGATGCAGCAATAAACACACAAACATTGATTTTCAGATGACATTTTGGGCTCGTGGTGATTTCCACTGCAGAGTCATGCCTGTTTTTTTTGTTTAATTCATGACCATCCATTATAAGTCATTGATTATGTCCATTTTGTACACAGATTCTCTTGTGTACTATAGCTGATGAAATCCTATTCAGAACCTTCAGTCTGAAACTGCTGAACTTTTTCCTCACCCAGCCTCTCACAAAGTGGTCAGCCTTTTCCCATTATACGCCTCAGAGACACAGCCTCTCTGGACAGCCCTTTTAGTACCTGGTCATGCTGCTAGCCTGTTGCGAATGAATCAACTAATTGTATATTAGATGCAGTCAAGAATCCATTCACTATTTGACAGAGTGTTCAGGTTTGAAGCAGCTCCTTAAAAAAGCTTAAAAGAAAGCCCAACAGGATCATGATGTGGATCACAGCAATGAGGACAAGTGTGTTTGAAAGTGTTACCATTGATCTGGACATCTATGAATCCTGGCGCGATGATGCTGCCTTCACAGTCCACACATTCATCGGCATATCCCTGCTCATCAAAGAACAGCTTCTCTGGGTCTAAAATCTTCCCCTCACGCACCCAGAGGTCCTCTCTGCACACATACAAACAAATAACTCACAGACTCATACACACCTCAGTTTGAACTGTGACAATATTGAGTATGCAGAGTGTCTTTTAGGGTTACCTCTGCAGTTTGTGGTCTTTCAGTATTCTGCAGTTGACAAACTGAGTGATGGGAGCGTCAGACACCGACTTGTTGGATGGCATTTTTTTCAGGGACAAGTTCTGTTTCAGATCATTGGAGGAAGATGCAGCAGGATAAATTAAATGCTCCTGTGTACAAAAACATACATTACAGTCAGTGTCACCAGGAAAGGGTCATAGATTAGATTTGTAACATTAATAAACATTCATCCTTTTCTGTTGTAAGAATGATGCTTTCCCTCCTGCCTTTACTGTGAACTACCTTTGGTAAACTCCAGCTGCAAATGTGCTGTCTTATATCTGTTCGCAGAAATAGAAGCTTCAAGAGGAACATATGGGAATTCAATGAGTCTTCCGTATTTTTATTCAATTCTTTAACTAGACATCAAATCACAACTGCACTAAGATCAACTGATAACCTGATATCTTATCAATGTGGGTGCAGCAGCTGACTTCGACCTCTGCTCCTATCTTATCTCTCATAACGTTTCTAAAAGGGTAAATATGTGACATAATGCCTTTATTCATACATTTTGCTGTCTACTATCAAATTTTTAAGACGAACATTTCTACCAGGCTGCCCTACTTCTACCTCTGGTTTGTTTTCCTGTGAAAAGCTGCACAACACCAAACTCCATTAAGAAAATGGTCATTTTACGTTGCCGGGCAAGTCGACCAACTAAACCTACCTTATAGAAAAAAAGGCAAAAAGTGGGGGAATTGTTAAGGTCCCGTCTTCACTTCGGCGTCCAGTTGATGCATAGCACGTTTCTTATTTCAGTCAAATATAACGTGCTCCACAGTCATTGTGAAGCCCGTCTTCTGCAGACACAGCATTAACTGACTTCTAAAAAACGAGCTCGAAATCCCGAGATTATTTCAGCATATTATTTTACAAGGAGCAACGTCAATATCTAAAAGCAGGAAGCTATACATTAACTTTTTTAATGTTGAAAGTAAAACCCCAGCGAAGTTTAGCTGGGTCCGAGGTGTAGAAAATACGGGAAGCGGATATCATGTGACAGAAGCGGAGCTGTAGGTCAGCTGATCAAAACAACAAAAAAGTGAACAGTCAGCAGGCAGAGGCAGACCACTTTCGACAGAGGACAGACTGAGAGTCCTGTGGTCCAAACATTGAGCAACTTTGAAGTTTCGAAATACTATATAGAAGTTTTATATATGTATATATATATAATCAAAACGTTTTAACATTAAAATTAAAGAAATTTATCTTAAATTCATAACTATAAAAAAGTGGGTAAAAATGTGATTTTAAAGTATTTGTAATTTAGGAGTATATTTGTATTATTTGTTATTCAATGTACTGAGAAGTATTTTATTTATGTGAGAAAAAAATCAACAGTTTTTTATTATTATTATTATTTATTATTATTATTATTATTATTATTATTATTATTATTATTTTAAGGAGACAATTATCTCTTTTATTACCTTTTCATCCATAATATATTCCCGTGATTTCAGTATAGTTTTCTTGTTCATTAAAAAACAGGACAGAATTGGTTCATTTACAAAAAAAGTTTTCTTGTTATTCTGAGATATTAAATAATATTTTAAGACAAAGAAATTAATTAAATACAAAACAAGAATACACCACATTCATCAAATCTGTAATGGAAATACTAGCCTTTATTAACAAATGTAGAGACAAAATATACATTTTAGTCTATATTTCAAGGCCAATAGAGGGAGCTAAAGTGCAGCGTTTTAATCCAAACCCTCATAAACAGGAACATCTCTTGGCTTTTCTTTTGACACCCCCAGCTGAATTCTTGTACCTTCATGGGGCCGTTCCACAAAATGGGTGCCTTTTCTGTCCCTAGGATATTCTCTATTTGAAAAGTGAAAAATAAACACTTTGTTATGTTGAACATAGTCTTCTGCACACTGATTTCTCTGACTGATTAAGAAATTCAATTTCAAACATAAAGAAAAACTACAAAGAACACTGAAAATAACATTACCTATATGACCCTGCTCTCTGAAATTATATTTTACCATAATTTAAATCCTGTAAAGTTTTAATATTTTAGTCAAACTCTATAATTTCTATTTATAGGGCTTTCCACATAATGCAGACATATAATGTTTAACTTGCATATGGTCTGTGTTAACTTTGGAGCACCCATAAAGACGTGTTGAAATTGAAGGACAAAAAAGTAAGAACTATCAGTCAGGCCTCCAGCGTGGAGAATGGAACTGGTTCTTGGTTCAAATCCCAAACATGGACTTTCCTTGTGAAGCATAAATGAATTGCTTTCTCCACACTGTCGCCTAAATTCAGTTTTTGAGAAGGAATTATAGAATTAAGAGTTAAGAAGCTCTTGACAGTAAGCACAGTCAAGCAGGCCTGTGGCGTAGCAGAGGTTAAGATTGGTGCCAATGAGTGAATGGGTTATGGTCTCAAATCACAGTCTGGGATTTCCTGTGTGTGGTGTCAATGAATAGCTGTCCTCATACTGTAGCCTGAATCTGGCTTTTGACAAACCATGATAAATGGTAGAAAGAACAGCCAGCCAGGCTTGTTACAAGGGGTCAGAGATGCTGCCTAAAAGTCTGATGTTTATGGGTTCAAATCACGCTCAAGGGCTCTCCATGTAAGTTTATCTGACCTGACATGTTGTAAGAGCTGAATCATAAAGTGAAAACCCTGCCAAGAAGACGCTCCCACTACCAGGAAGTCCTACACCAAACGCCATCGCTGACCCCCCCTTCCTCCACTCCAGGCAGGACAGCAGCCCCCTCCCCATTCCTGAAAGTCAACAATAAACCACGTTTCCAGTAAGCCGGATACCTCCCCAAGTCCTGCTCATCCCCATGGAGACCACTACGAGACTCCACAGGCCTGGATCCTGCAGCCAAACCAGGCCACCCAAGGGGAGCGAGAGCCTATATTTTACCCAATATGGATCAAAATATACATCTCCATGAGACACAGTGCAAATGCTCCTCTCTGTTTCCTCTGTTTGACTCAAAGAAAAGACTTGGCAGCCTCTCTGGTGCGTGTTTGAGAGCAGAACCAGCACTCAAACAGAGAGTGGTCATGGCGTACTATATTTTACACCCTCAATGTCCTCTCTTTTGTGGACTGTGACGTCAGCATTCCCCCCAGAGAGGTCTGAGTGACACAGTAGCTTTGTTTTGGAGTCGCCACATCTCATTCACGGCCGCTTAACTCCAGAGTCCGAGGCTGGGATGTAGCCTTTCAGGATCTCTGGTTCCTTAATCCGCTGGTTTATAAGGCACTGAATAAGCAGCCGTTTGTATGCTTAGTCCCGGGGCGGCGGGGTGCTTCTGCTTTATGGGGACTGTTGACTTGCAAAACACGCCTTGAGGACACAAGTGACTGATACACGTAGGGATGACTGCCAGTAGGGTCACAGCCAAAGGTCAGATGGAGAATTCAGGGAAGCAAAACAGTGAAAATGAAAGAGCACAATTAGTTAAATTGAGGATAGACGAGACAAGACAAGAGTGAATCAACACATAACTTTGACTGATAATATCCATCATTAGTTAATAATAATATTTACATTTATGATTCATCATCTGCTCTGTGACTGATACAAAAGGAGAGAACGGTCATGAATTTTCCTTTTCATCCACCGTTAACTCATAAGAACAACCTATCATCTTGCTTTCTCAATACAATAAAGTTCATTTTCTAGTGATAATAAATTAATTGATTTTTGTTATGTGTCTGCCACTGTAGCTGTTCTTGTCCGATTCGCACATGGCAGCTAAATGTTCCAACATTGAAAGGGTAATGTGCATGCACAAAATAAGGCAAAATATCTGCGTTTTCATTCGAAACCCTGGCTTGCTTTAGACAATGGTGGCTGCAGTGTTTCAGAAATATCCCACTCTAAAGGGCTTTTTTTATAGTTACCATTTTAGGTCGGCTAAAACACCCTTTCCGTAATCACAAGAAAACGATCTTTGTTATGTCAAGATAACGAGATAATAAGTCATTATCACGAGATAACAGTGCATAAAAAAAAAGAAAATTCCATGGCCGTTCTCGTCATCTGTAGACTGAAACTTCTTTGGCTACTTCTTCTTTGCCTCTCCTCTGTTTCATGACATGGTAACCAGCCTAAAGGACCACTAATATGATCTCACTGTGCTACTGTGTGCCTATTCAAGAGTTTACTTACAGAGAAGTCTGGTTTCTTCTAAGGTATTCTCTCTACGTCACTTTGTCGCTCAATTTTAACTTTAACAACTTAACAACTAGGACACAGGTTAATGATCAGCATGTTAAAAGCATAGTAAGCTTATTTGAAATAAATGGATTCTATGTGATTTTAACTTTTATTTCATTAAAGCTCTGAATCATCCTCGCACCGCTGTGACACCCTCATATATGCTGCTATCTGAGGAACCTGCATCCTTTGTAAACAGATCTCAAGCGTTTGGGAAAGATAAATCCATTAGCAAACAAAGCCACACTGAGAGCACAAACACCTGACATCCTCGACATTATCCTCCGTCTGAATCCTTTACTCACTGCTTCAGCTTCACACTCACTAATCTGTTAAATCTGTTGTCATTTGTCTTCTTTCACAAAGACCCTCCCTCCTCTTCATCCTCTAGAATAATCCATGTCTTCCATTTGTTTACACGTGGACTAATTGGATCAACTGGCTAAATCAAAATGGTACATTTCCCTGTTTACCTTTCGCTTAAACCTGTTCTTTACGATCAGAAAATTAAATTTGACTGGTTTGAAAGACAAAATGTGTTAGCTCAAATTGTGTATTTACTAACGGTGTGGTTTAACATGTTCAACACAAGAAAAATTTCCCCAAAGTAAATCATATTGAATTGCATTGTATCCCATCATAATAAATTGTATAATGTTTTGTTTTGTTTCCAATCGTGGATCAAAACCTTCCATACAGAAGCTGGTCTGACTTATTACTCTGACTGGACTGGAATCCTTTTTGAGTGCGAATGAAGAGTACAACAGCACTGGGATTTACAACAATAAATAACTATCACTCTGCTTAATATGTTTTAAACATTATTAACCAGAGGCA